GGCCTAGGCTTTTGCCCTGGCCCTTGGCTATTCGGCCTATATATCCGTATTAAGTCTTTTCCTCCGCTGGCAGGCAAGCTCTTCTGTACCTCTTCTACCCTTGTACTTGGCATCCTCGCGTTTACTTCCTCGCGTCTCGCACCTGGGTGTCCTCGCGTTTATCTATCATCGCTTTCCTTTCACTATCATGGCTAATAGCAATGCTTTCAACCAGCTTAGCCATGCGAGATATACCTCTATCCAGAAGCAGATCGATGCCCACGATGCCATAGCACAGTTCTCTCTTGGTACCCTCAAAGACCTCCCACGCATTAAGGTTCCAGGACGATCCCATGCCTTTGTCCCAGCTCGCTGGATGCCAACATCATCGGCCAAGAGGAAGCGCCACGGGTCTGATATCTGGCATTTCGGCGAGAAGCTCTTCGAGGTCATCGTACAGGCTGACGGCACATGCAAAGTTGCAGCGGATTGGTGGTTCTGTCGCCTCTGCGATCAAAATAATCGACAGACCTTATATACTACGCGTAACAGTATCTCGACAAGCATATCAGCAGCTCTAAAGCATCTCGAAGGTCGCGATAACGAGGGCCATAACCTTGGCAAGCTGAAAGAGCTTGTTGCAGAGGCAGAGAAAGAGGAGGTTAGCCCAGAGGAGCTTGGCCGGCGAAAGCGGCGAAGAATAAATCATCGTGGCCTTTTCAACAACAGCAGTCTATATACAGCGCCTGATGCCTTGAAAGACGCTGCCAACGCTCCAACTCGTGCAGTTGTTAGTCTTGCGAAGAAGGCTATAACAGAGCTGGTTGCTTGTTGCGATATACCTCTTTCAACTCTCGAGGCGCCTCAGTTCCGCCAGCTGTTGATGGTCTGGAATAGCACCCTGACGGAGCACTTTTTCCCTCGAAGTGATGGCACAGTGATGAGATGGCTGTTTGAGGCGTTTCACGAGAACCTAGCTGGTCTTCAGCTCCAGCTCCAGCGCGAGGCTATCTCGAAGATTCATCTATCTGCTGATCTCTGGACCTCGCCTAACCACAAAGGCATTCTAGCAGTGGTTGCGCATTTTGTTGATAGCGATGCAAAGCTGCGAAATCGCCTTATAGCAGTGAGGATGATCAACGGCCAGCATACTGGCGAGAACCTCCAGTGGCATCTCCATCAGGTTATTATGGCTTTTCAGCTTGAGGAGCGGCTCGGCTGGCTTACTTTTGATAACGACAGCACGAACGACAAGGCAACAAGGCTTCTTTTTCGCAAGATGTACGGCTTCAATCATCGTGAAGCTGAGAAGCTGCGGATTGAACGGCGATGCCGCTGCTGGGGCCATATTATTAACCTTATTGTCAAAGGCTTCCTCTCTGGTAACGCTAAACAGATACTCGAGGCTGAAGACAGCGATGCTGATGAGGTAAGTCGAGCTGTTTTGTATCTTCCTGGCTTATTGCTAATATTTAAGCAGGAACTCGAGCAACAGAGGAATCAGTGGGATCAGTGGCAGCGAGAAGGACCTATACGCCGCGCTCATCTTATTGTAGTCTTCCTCAAGGCAAGTGTACAGCGGGTCCAGGACTTCGAGAAGATTGTTCAGAACTCTTTGTTTTCTCCAGAGGACCAAGATCTCGAGGACACTACAGCCTTTTTGGCAGAAGCCCTTCCTCAGCCAACAGCACAAGACCTCACGATGCCACCACCACCGCTTCCTACAGACTCTACAGATGAGCAAACTGGCGATATATCTACCTTGCGGCCAGTGGTAGCTCAGGAGACGCGATGGAACTCAACAGAGGCTGAGATATCGCGGCTGCTGAAGCTGAAAAGACCTATTGATTTCTGGATTAAAGAGCAAGTTCGAAGCGGTGCTAAAATACAACCTTTGAGTGAGCAGGACTGGCGAGTGCTTGAGGCAACTCGAGATCTTTTGCAGCCATTCCTATAGCATACAAAACACCACGAGGGGAACGCTGTAGCTGTTCATGATGTCCTCAGTTCTTTGTGGGATCTCGAGAAGCATTTGCGGTCCTTTCAGGAGAGATTTGGAGGCAGAAAAACGTATGCTGAAGAAGAAATCCTTGAGGAGATTATTGTCTCGCCAAATGCAGAGAAACCAGCCCTCCAGCGGCCCTCATCGCGATATCAGGCCCCTTCAAGACCTTCCTCTCGGCCCTCGCCTCGACCCTCCCCTCGACCCTCCTCTCGACTTTACTCTCGGCCCTCCTCTCAGCGTTCCTCTCGGCCCTCCCCTCGACCCTCCCCTCGATCCTCCCCTCGCCGTCGAGCTTCACAGTCTTCAGATATATTTCCCAGCACTCCAGTACGGGAATGGCCAGATGTTGGTTCTCAACAAGAGGCTGAGATATACCCCGAGGAATGTGGGCTTGAAGGTGCTGAGTTTCTGAGAGAATCAGTAGCCCACGCGTTGGCAATTCTCAAGCGATATAAGAGCAAGCTTCGCGAATGCCCTATATATTTTGCTGCTGCTGTTTTGCATCCGAAATATCGCCTGGTTGGTATTCGTACAGCAGCGCCAGCTATTGCTGACGATGTTGAACAAGAGTTTAAGGCTTTTTACGAGAAATATTGGGCATATAAAGATCCAGCCTTATCATCAGCATCAACACCCAGCTTGCAGGAAGATCAAGAACATAACAAGCCAAAGAAGCAGTGGAGGACCGCCTTCAGGGCACAACCAAGGCCAAAGCATCAACGGCCACAGTCAGAGCTGGAGAAATATCTCCAGCTAGAAGAGGACGACGAGGACGACGATGGTTTTGAGCCCCTCGTCTGGTGGGCAGCGCGTAAGGCCGAGTTTCCAGCCCTCTCACAGATGGCCTTCGACGTCCTATCTATCCCCGCGATGTCGTCCGAATGCGAGAGAGTCTTCAGCCAAGGGAAGCTTACGATGTCCTCGCAGAGGAGGAGAATGAAGAGCAGCACTCTCGAGCTCCTTTTGTGCCTCAAGGACTGGCTGAAAAATGGAACGCTGGCAGGACCAGCAGCAGAGATGAGGAGGAAAGGCATTGCCTAGCAGCTTTTTGCCAAAAAAAGGCATTCGAGGGGGTCAGAAATGTTTCTTTCAGCACTTGAGCGAGGGACCTCGCGCGGATCAGAGCGTAACAAGGAAAACTATCATCATATGCCTCTGTACCGGTTGAACCACGTGCGTAGCTCATTTGTTACTCTCACCACCTTTCGTTTCGTATATCTATCGTACATTCCTAATCCGGTATAGTGACCAAGTCACCAAGCGAATCAAGCGGCCAGGTACTAGAAGACAAGCAAGCGGCCAAAATAGTTAGCAAGTCAAGTGGAGGGCTACCGCTTGCCTTGACTTGACTTGTGTGGAACGCTGCCGGCATATCATCACCCACTGCTCCAATCCGATGAAGTCTCCTCACGATCCTACACAGAGCCGATAACGTCCGAAAATCCTCTCAATGCTTGGAGCTTCAGGGTAAGCAGATCATACTCTCTTACAAAGGCAAACTTTCAACCCTGTTAGATTGAGATTGACGAGAAGACATCTGTTCAGACCGTGATTAAACCAACCGGCACTGGGCCCTTATCGGGCAAAACAGTGGCTATCAAGGACAACGTCTCGGTCGCTGGTCTTCCACTGACAGGAGGAACACATCCATATCACCTGAGCAAAGACCAGCCCTATCCTATCTCGACCTTTGACGCTCCCGTCGTGACACGGGTGCTGGAGGCCGGGGCTACGGTCATTGGGACGTCGACGTGCGAGAACTACTGCATGTCAGCCCTGAGCTTCACCAGCGCGACAGGACCAGTGGACAATCCTTGGCTCCAGGGATACGAGTGCGGTGGCAGCAGCTCGGGAAGTGCGGCCCTTGTAGGGATCAAGAGCGTGCGGGACTGGCAAAGGAAACACAAGGACACAAGTGACGACAAAGAAGACGACAAGGACCATGACAAATTGGGCGAGGGCGCCGACTTCGCCCTCGGTGCAGACCAAGGAGGCAGCATCCGCCAGCCGGCCGGCTATTCTGGCATCTACGGCCTGAAACCGACACACGGCCTGGTGCCATACACGGGGCTCACGGCGCTGTATCCTGCTATAGATCACTGTGGGCCCATTGCAGGATCAGTACGTGATACTGCCCTCCTACTCGCCGTGCTGGCTGGATACGATGGCCTCGACCCGCGCATGACGCCCGAGACGCCCCTTCGGCAGAACGTGGCCCCCTATCACGAACTTCTCGACGCAGCCATCGAGACCCGCAAGGCAGCTGGCGACTGGACGCCCACGACTGCAGCACGTGGTCTGCGCATCGGCATTCTGAAGGAGGCGTGGTCGGCACCACAGCTCAGTGCTGAGGTTGCCGCCGTGGTCCACAAGGCTGGCGAGCGATTTGGAACCCTCGGGGGCGTCGTCGAGGAGGTCAGCGTCCCACTTCACATGCTCGGCGCCGACATCTTCACCGCCGTGACAAGAGCAGACATGGCAGATGTGTTCATCTACAACAAACCACCAGACCTCCTCAGCTGGCCTCTCGCCGATCTCGACCCGCCAGTGCCCAACAGGCAGTGGTACCAGACAATGAACAAGGCCGCGCCTACGGTCGTCAATAAATTGCTCAACGGGACGTTTCTCAACCAGCAGAGAGATCGCTTCCCTCTTGCCGCGAGGGGCAAGGCCGTGACGCATGCGCATGAACTACGAGCGGCCTACGTTGCGGCGCTGGACAAGTATGATGTGTTAATTCTGCCTGTGAACCCGACTGTGGCAATGAGGCATCCTACTGGGGAGCTGAGTGTGAGAGACAAGCAGGCGCTTGCGCTGGGCAACACGTGGAATACATGTCCCTTCAACCTGACGGGTCATCCAGGCTTGGTCATACCTGTGGGATGGGGGCAGACGCCAGATGGCCAGGAAAAGCTGCCTATTGGGATGCAGATGATAGGGAAGAGATGGGGTGAGGAGAAGCTGTTCCTAGCTGCGGCAGCCTGGGAGGTTGGAGGTTTTGGTCTTGATCCCTGAGCAGGACAGTGCGTCAATGAAGATACACAAGTAAATACGCAGCCACTCTTTGCAAACTATTTAGTCTTGGAACACTTTTCCGGCGATGCTCCGCTGCCGTACGTCCAAGGCCGCATCGGCAACCAAATCCAGGCTCAGTAACCATGGCCTCGTGTGCGCTCTTCTGAGCCTGGATGAATCGACCGTTGCCCGCCAGCTGCGCTGCCATGTTGGCCGCCGTCCGCTCCTTTGCAGACGAGGGGCTTCTGGCGAAACCTGCGCGGTCGTAACGCTGCAGATCTGCGGGTCGAGCATCCTCTGCGTGCCGGCCCAGGCGGCGCAGCTCACACCGAGGCCCTTCTCGAAGACGACGACTGGCTGGCCTGGAGTTCTTGTGCGCCTCTGAGGTAAAGGAAAATGCAGAGCCATTGGCGCCTCTAACGAGACCTTCATATGGCGTTGCAATTGAGTCCCACGAATCGTCAGACACCGTTGTTTGCGTGGTCTGATGAGACTCCACGGCCGGGCTGTAGTATTAAGCGAGCACAGGATCAAGGTTTGAAGGTTCACAGTTACAGGAATAAGGTTCTGACAAGGCTGTGGTGTTGTTCGGCTGGGATGCACTATGCCACGTTTGAGGATTGCTTACTTGTTTAGGTAATCTAGTATATGTGCATGAGTATTTACTTTGGGAAAAGCTCGGAGGGGATAGTTTCTCAAGGAGTAGTTGAAGCTATTCGACAGGAGGGATACACCCCCAGGTTGACCTACTAAGCACTTACGTACCAAGCCAGGCTGGTGTAATTTAAGCCCATGAAACAGTGATTGAACAGAGGCCTCTCTTATTGCGGACCTTGAACGATCAACGGACGCAATTGTATTCATCTCGTCGATTTTTGTGCTCTTACAATCATGTCGTGCTGCAGCATTTTACTGACGAGACAAATATCATTTGACACAGGTCAACTGTAACGTGATTCAGTTGTGTGGCTTCGCTTCTCAATCCTCATGCCACTTGCTGCCATCTGAGCACTCATAAAAATTCGAAAGACAATAAAAATTAGCTAATCAAAGATCTTCCACTTCACTTGGCTTTTCTGCCTACTGACATGAATATAGCAAGTTGGAGAAAGAGAGAGAACGAAAAAGAAAAAAATTGCATCATCATCAGCGTTGTGGAAGACGACAAAAAGCTCAACATTATGCTCGAGCATATGCAAGGCAATCCGCAGATAAATCTAACCACTAGTATTGAACAGAGCGATATTCTTACAGTATTGAATGCATGACCTCCTGTTACACCATTACACACCTTACGGAGGAGATTGGGTAGCTTTTGGAGAGAATGGAGAGGATCCAAGGGCGTACAGAGGTTTATTATCAGGCGTACAATTTGAGGATTTATGGAGGAGTAAACATATTATTTACTATGTCAGACGAGGGATATCTAAGATGCATCGAGATAACCAAAAGAACACCATCTGCCGAATGTCGTGTGTCTCCTCCATTTGGATCGTGCGGTTACAGCACCTAAATCATGACGTCTTCCAAACCGGCCCAAGTCTCGTTCCACAGGCCTGGAAGATTTTGTACGGAGTCACGTCATATAGTCACTAAAGTACTAGAATTCTGAGACCCACCAAGTGGATTCTTGGCGAATCCAGGAAAAGTTTACCCGTATTAATAAACAGGCGATTGACTTACGAGTTGGGCCCTTCGTCCGAACACATACTAATAACCTCATACGTTTTGCTGACTTTCCAACTCACCAGCACTAAGCCTCTTCATAAGCTAATGCTTCTCATTCATTGAAAATAAAGATAAATAATAGGAAACACCAAGATTTCGGAGCAATCGAGCAAATTTTCAAGGACTTTTCTTACAATGGCACCTTCAACCACGAAGCAGTGGACAGTCACCGGCACCGAGAAGGGTTTCGATGGCCTGGAATACGGCGACGTCCCCGTGCCGAAAGTGGGTGACAGCGATGTCCTCGTTAAAATCAACGGAGCCTCGCTCAACTACCGCGACCTGATCATTCCCCAGGTGAGTCCACTGAAAATGCAGCAGTCCCACAAAACAAACCTCTGCCGCATGTAATAAATCACTGACGACGACGACGCACAAGGGCCTATACCCCTTCCCAACCAAATTCCCCGTTGCCGCCTGCTCTGATGGCGCAGGCGAGGTCGTCGAGGTCGGCCCGCGAGTGACGCGCTTCAAGCCCGGCGACAAGGTCGTGACGCTCTTCAACCAAGGCCACCAGTTTGGCGCCTTCCACGCCGCAGCGGGCACAACAGGCCTAGGCGGTGCCGTCGACGGTACCCTTCGTCAGTACGGCACCTTTGACGAGAGCGGTCTGGTCCACGCGCCCCAGAACCTCAACGCCATCGAGGCGTCGACGCTCACCTGCGCAGGCCTGACAGCCTGGAACGCGCTGTACGGTCTCAAGCCCCTCCTGCCGGGCCAGTGGGTCCTTGTCCAGGGCACCGGAGGTGTTTCCCTCTTCGGCCTGCAGTTCGCCAAGGCGGCTGGCGCCAAGGTCATCGCGACGAGCTCCTCGGCGGACAAGTGTGAGCAGCTGAAGAAGCTCGGCGCGGACCATGTGATCAACTACCGCGAGGACACGAGCTGGGGCGCGACCGCGAAGAAGCTGACCCCTGGTGAGGCGGGCGTCGACCATGTCATCGAGGTCGGCGGTGCCGGCACGCTGGAGCAGAGTGTCGAGGCCATCAAGTTCGAAGGTGTGATTAGCATCATTGGATTCCTGGGTGGCGCGAAGCCCAAGGTCACGGCCCTCGACGCGTTGATGCATATTTGCACATTCCGCGGCGTGTATGTGGGGCCTCGTTCCATGCTGGAGGACATGTGCCGGTCTGTGGAGGCGAACGATATTCACCCTGTTCTGGATCCCAAGATCTTCAGCTTGGACCAGGCTAAAGAGGCCTACCAGTACATGTGGGACAAGAAGCACTTTGGCAAGGTTGCCATCAAAATTGAGTAGGTATCGATAGACTTAATATACAAGTAGGCCGCCAGTGTAAGAGATCCGAATGCAAGAAAACCAACAACTTTTATTCGCATTTCAAAACAAAGCTTTGCGATACTCTACATGGTGATCAGTTGCAGTCAAGGGAATGTAGTACCGAGTAGGATAAGAATATCTCGTGGGTCCCGTTTCAGCAGCAGTCCAGTCTGAATAGGATCGTTCTTCACAGTTTAGGGGTGAAGGTGAGACATCAGTGTTTGCTAGTGTGGAATGGGTTCTTGTGTATGCTTTTCGAACTCCGAAATAGACGGATCGACCATACATGACATCCCACAAAGGCCTTGTAGCCGATACATCTTCCTGACCTTTGTCCCTCTCGCATCGTGATTCCAAGCTCGAGTGACACCAACAGTTCAGCTTCCAGGTCGCAAGGATCGAACCAAGGCCGGCCCACATGTCCTAGCCAAAAGTCATCTACCGATCTCAGCCATGAGTTCCTGACCCGATCGCGGTCGTTCCACGTGCATACAAAGCTTGTAGATTTGCCATCTGATGCATCCTGGCATGCCTTCTTCACAGAGCCGCAATAGACCCACCATGTCTGCCAGTTTAGACCTTCGCCAAGGGTGATATAATCGTGGACCGCACAGTGATCCATCCTCCTTGGTGTACGTATCGACTGAGACGCTGACCTTCGAAAATAGCATCGACTCGTCTGAAGGAAGCCTGCTGCTTGTCGCTTTCGGGTGGGCCACTGGGCCGCTCGAAGGGAGGATGTCAATTGCGATCGTCCAAGAAGTATGCTCTGCACGCGCACATCTGAGGGAGTCCTACCTCGTTGTTTGTTAGTCTCTCCAAGGACTGAGGTAGAACGTCCATTGAGCACGTCCCAGACGGCAATATCGGTACTGACTCGTTATCCTTCACCGGCATTTTAAAACGAGGCTCATCTAGACAACTCGCCTTCTTCCAGTCTTCAGGCAAGCCACAAGATCGAGTGGTGGAGCTTCACCTGAATGTATTCGTATATTCTGCACCTTCTTTCCTGGGGCCTCAAAGTAGTCCCTCAGGCGTCGCGAGCTGGTAGCCTTCTAGAAGGAAACACGCACACGGAATCCTTCGGCGATCCGGTCGAGCCATGACTTCAGACGTTGAACTTCTCCGTCCGCCAACGAGCCAGTTCGGCAGCCTTTTCGTCCTCGCCCCACTTGGTCAGCCAGCCTTCGAGCTTCAGGATGTCGGTAACAAGGACGGCGCGTCGCAGGGGGTGGTCTATTTCGATCTCGATGAGCTCGCGCATGTATCGCTCGGCCGTCTCGCGCTGGTCGCGGGCTTCGGCAGCCGCTGCTAGCCACTCGAGGACATCTGCTCGCAGCTTTGGTTGGCCTTGGAGTAGGTCCTCGAACAGGATCATGATTTTGTCGTTTTTGTAAGGGTTGCGTCCTTTCGCGCTGTCTGTGTAGTGGAGGTACCAAGCGTATAGTTGGGTCATGTGTTCTGTCCATGCACTGATGGTCCATTGCATCAGTAGACGCTTCCATCTCAGACACTGGGATTGGTGAGAGTACTTACTGACGCACACCATACGTCTCCTTGTATTCTTTTAGGGTTTGTTCCATGTTCTTTCCAAGGCTTGGAGGCAGATTCAAGAACCCAACCTCCCTCCCGTAGACTATCCACGTGGCGAAATTGTAATGGCTTTTCCGAGAACCTGGGATTAAAGCGTCGAGTGACTCGCAGTTTATTCGCAAGGCTTGCTGTGCTATCGCTGTGAGGTCACGAGGCTCGGCTTTCATGAGCATTGTCAACATCTGGCGGAGGGGATGACCCTGAGGCAAGTCGGCTCCCTGCACAGCCGAGGTCGCTACATATTGTATTAGGCTTTTGATGACTTTCGTGAATTGCTCGGCATCGGGAAGCTGGAGGAATCCGTTGATGATCCAAGACAGGAACATGAAGAAATTGGCGATGAAGGGGATAGGCTGGACCTGGATCAGCATCCTGATGACCTCGGGTGCCTGGCGCATCAGAACGAGCGCGTACGACAGCTTCTTCTGCTGCAAAGCCCTCTGGATACCATGGCCCAACAGATTCAGCTGGGTGTATTTGCTGTGTTCATCCCTGGTGATGTTGAGCTGCTCCACGGTCGAGATCTGGGGCCCCCAACGGCCTTGGTGATAGTCACTGACGCATTTTACCACTGCCTCTGGGATGTAGTACACATCAGGTGCTTTGATGTTGGCGGACATGATCGACTGTGTTGTCGGCGAGACCAGGCGTCCTCGGCCAGTTTCTGCGTGGTGTCTTCTTCGCCGGAGATGCATGGCCAGCCTGTCCAGAGAGACGACGCCGCCGTGCTCCAGGCGGACGATGCCGTTCGAGCTCCATGGCTGTTTCTGGAGGACCCGAGAGATGTGCTCGGCCTGACCATCTTCCAAAGTGATGTTTTTGCGGTAGCCCCAGGCCCTCATGCGGCTCTTGTAAGTCTTGATCCTGCCCCAACCCGTCAGCCAAATACGGTGCAACACCGCACGCGTTTCACATGCGCCAAGACTCCCCTGCGGCACTCACGTCGCGCTGAAGCCATAGTCCTTCTTCATGGTGTCCACTACCTGCTTCAAGGTCATGTTCTCGTCCAGATACAGACGCCTGATGGTCTGCTTGTGCACCGCCCACTCATCGTCAGCCGGCAGCGGCGCACCACCATGCCGCGCGCTCACATCCTCCCAGACGATCGGACGTGTTGTCGCCCGCACAGACGACATGGATGTCTTTTTGTCAGTAATCATGATTTACACAAGTCTCATGGTTTGTTCAGTGCCCTGACACGCGCGCTCTGGTTTATGATCCGGGGTTTCTGCAGCTCTCTGCTGCAGTCATAGACGATGTGGTTGTGCTTCCGCATAGGCGTGTGACAGATATTCTTTTGTTTGGTCGGAGACGATCACTGCACCTTGTCTTTACTGCCGGGGGAGGCGGGGGGGTGGGCATGCTTTCCTGTGGCTGCGCCGCTCCAATACCGACCAAGGATATAGGAGTGGATCCTCCTTCAGCCCTGGATCCTGCACAACCTTTTCAGGGCACCCCGTCCGCGACCATTCTTCCTTGCTTACCACCGGAACGGAGTAACATCGCCCACGTGGCTCGCGCTGCTATAGTTTAGGCTACTATAGCTTTGCCGTGGTGAGGGAACATTGGAGTGCGGCTTTTTTTTTTTCTGTTGTAGTGTTATAGACATATACAATCGTGGCACATCGTGAGCCACAGCAGCAAGCTCACCCTCCATCATAGTCATATTCCAAAGAATTGGTGGTCGCTGGCAGACACATCACGGTCGTCAGTAGACTACTGATTTCCTCTGTCGACAGGCATTCAGCTCTGCATCAGCACGGAGCTTGTTAGTGGCGGGAATCGGCTTTTCAGCTGACATCCAGAGCACCACCCGAGTAGCTTGAGTCCAACGAGCGCAGCCCCATACATCTCTTGTCACCAATCCTTGTTTTGTTGACGTTCGCACGTTCAGTATCGTGTTAAGTTGTATTAGATGCAACTCGACGCTGGATGACCTTTTCAGCCTCGGAATCAACACGCAGCAGCCTTGGAACATTTACAAACCTCGTGATTTACATAGCCTCGGGCTCATACGGAAACAATGTACACCTATGAAGCAGCTTTGTGAGTGATATGGATTTCTCTTTGTTGGAAATCCCGTGATGCTACTTATATAATCCAATGATTGTCTCGTATGCCCATGTAGACAAGGGGCATAGCATGCCATTCATTAGAATACATCCTGCCATGTATGACCCATGCATTTGATCCTGGAAGCATTGTTGAAGGAGCCAAGCTAACCAGTTCGGATGAGTAAGAGGCTATTATGTCGTTCATATGGGAACTCCTTCTCGCCTACACTGGGGAGCAAACCTACCCAAGCTGCACCAGGGGTAGCTTCCCCTGTAACCCTGCTCAGATCGCGGACTCTCCTGCCGTATGGATTGGGACTTCTAATATAGATCCTCGCGGCGCAGTACGTGCGTGTTCCCATGTGAGGGCGTCACAAGGACATGATTACCTTGATGTACCAACGTGCCGGACAAACTCCAATCCTTCACGGTTGAGCGCCCAACGTGGACGGAGCAAGCATAGCCTGTTGCCGGTGCTATGACGCCTTGATACACAGCGCAATAAGCCCCACTGTGTGGGACTTTACAAGTGGTTCCGTGGCGGGGAAAACATTGAGACCGTCCGATGAATGCTTGCATGCTGACTGGGAGGGTCTAGAACGGTATGCTATTTCTTTAGAGAAAGTCGAAAGCCGAATGCATAACGATGGATTCAACGTTCGTTTCTATGATTAAAAGATGCCATGGCAGAACCTTATTTTTTTTTTAAAAGGCATCCCCAGCTGCATCAAGGGGCTTCGCGAATGAAAGGACGGATCCTGTAGCTTTAAGAGTCCCAAGGGATGATGGAGACAAAACTGTAATGATATGTGATTCAATGTATTACCGTTGCTCCCACCATGGTTCAGCGGATCATCTTTTCATTGAATTTGGTTATGTATGGACTGCTCGACAACGGCCTCGATCAAGGCGCATTTCCTCGGTACATTATCCGGGCATTGGGGGGGGGGAGGGGCTCCACCGAGAAACGCTTAATCAACATATGGCCTGGCAAACCCAGCCCAGATAGCTAGGTATTTTGCCCTGAATAAAGTCTTCATTTGCCTGCACAAGCCACAGATCTCCAGTATATATCTCAATTCTACTGGCATGTGGAAAAGGAGCTCGAAATAGATTCTCAATGCTGCTCCCTGTGTCTCTTGTCTCACCAGCAGTAGGTGTTTGTCGAGCGGCGAGCCAATTTATGTTCATCTGATGACCTCCAACGAAAGTGTCCCGTAATAGCCTGCAACGTCTGTGTCGCCGTTCCCTAGACGGACGGTGCAGCAATGTGTCGTGTCCGCGTCCCTCCCCCCCCCCCCTCTTCCACCTCTTTCTTCATACAGTGCAGTAGATGACTCAAACCTCATTCAAAAGGTGGATCAACCAGATGAGATGGAGTGGCAGTATGACAGTAAGGATCACTGCCATGCAGCCATTTAGCCGGCATCCTTCAACCACAAGATGCCGATCCTTGGACTTGGAAGGCTTGATGGCCTGTCCAAGGTGAGAAAAGAGGACATTTGAGGTAGTGGAAGATATGTCTCAGTTTCCATCCACTAGTATGTATACTTGATCGTCAGAAATGCCATTGTGGGAACTAGAACGAGGCACATCTGAGGCTCTCATCGTGGGCTGAATATGGAATTCTAAATTGATGATCTAAGGTAGCTTGAATAACTCAGCTTGTGCTCAACTTACCCTAGACCTGGGATTAGATTCTGTATGAAGAATTTTATTGTTGCGAGGTTCTAGGCTACTCAGGCCAGGAGACGGCGACCGGGCTCTCACTTGACATGCCATCTAATTATTCCGATGTTAATTCCCATGGATGGAGAAGTCAACCCACACAGCCTTGAGTATTTTTTTTAGTATCAGATGAACCTCATCTACAGCTAACTAGCTACCGTCATACAATAGCAAGGAGTCTAAATATAATGATACTGGTGTAACATCGCGTAGAGAGGTGCTCCTAGGCGTCATGAATGCAACCCCCAACCCCGGCTCTCCCTCTCCCGTAAACTCCACAAAACGCTTCTACACCTTTCTATCACCATATTTCAACCCCACCGTGTTCTTCAATGGTACCTCGACCAGGCCCCTCGCCTCCTTGATCTGGAACTGCAATCCCTTCAACAGCGCATAAAGCACCTTCAGAGTTGGCGCCGCCACACCCAGCCTCTCTGCCTCGCGCAGCGGCTCGCCGATGATGTTCTCAAACTCAATAAAGTTGCCCTTCTCAACATCCTGGTACATGCTCGGCTTGAAGAACGTGTCGTAGAGATCAACAGTGATAATGTCCTCGACCAGGCCAGGCGGCAGCTCCACACCCTTCGCCTTGGCCACGGCCACAATCTCCAGCATGACGGGCCGCACCAGCTCATCAATCACGTGCTCGCTCGCGCGCATGCGGGACACGTCCATGCGCAGGACGGCCGCGGTGCTGTTGAAGCTGGCGTTGTAGAGCAGCTTCTTCCAGCGGCCGGCGGGGACGTCCTCGTCGAAGCTGCAGCGGACGGCCGGGCAGGCGCTGTAGAGGTCGACGAACGTCTTGGCGGCGGCGACGGAGACCTCGCGTGGGATGTTGGGGTTGTCGAAGGCGCCGACGTATGAGATGTCTGGGTTGTCGTGCAGAATCGCGCCGTGGGGGGATTCGCTTGCGCCGATGATGGAGATGCCGGAGAGGACTGGGTTCGAGGGGAAGGCGGCGATGATGGGTCGCTCAATGTTGAGTCCGTTTTGTAGGAGGAGAATGGCAGTGTGGCCCGGTGTAATGGATGGGGCGATCATTTCTGCTGTGGACGGAGGGATGTCTGCAATGTTCTTGGTGGTGACGACCACGAAATCGTATGGATCCAGCTTCTCGTCTGCCACGTTGGGCATCGTGTTGCGGACTGGGCATTTTGGTCAGCCGACGCTTGATACGACATAACGAGACAAGTTCCACAAATCGTAGGTTCCTTACTGGTGCTTGGCCTCCAATTCTTCACCTTGCCGTGCTCGAGAGACCTTATATGGAAACCTTGGTCCTTGACGACAGAGAAGTTGGAACGCAGAACAGCCGTGATGGTAGCCCTGCCACCCTTCTCAAGCGCATATGCTGCCATCGTTCCCACCCCGCCGCTGCCCACCAGCAGCACGTTGGCCTTCTGCCCAGAGGAGGTCTTCATTTTTACTGTTTATGTCGTGAAAAAACTGGATTTTGATTCTTTGGGGTTTCCAATGGCAACTTGGGTGCTGAGAGGGACCAAAAAAATTCAATGGTAAGACTGGGGATCATTGAGTAAGTAATGAGCCATGACAAGGTAAAGTATCTCATGGTTGCTTACAATTAAACAGTAGATGTTGGTGGATTGTAGTGACTCCGATGCCGGTCAATTTGGATGCTTCCAAGGTCGGAGTGACAAGCTTTTGAGTTTCCCAATTCAGCTGTATTCGGTCTTGTTCTGGCAGTCTACGGTCTTTAAAGACTTGCCGGCCATGAACATTACGTAGTTTAAAGGACCAGGCGGAGAAATGCAAAATACTTATTCAGTCATATGTTCCAATACTGAATGGGTTATGATCCGGATATCAACACTGCGAATTGCCTGGGCATGACGATAAGGAAATGTAAAAAATGGAGTGCAAAATACCCTAACCCTGAAGACTCCATACCTTTCAGATAGATCCTTATTCTATGGTCCTAGAACCTCTCACAAAGTACTACACTCGTACTCACTAGCTCTACGGATTTCTATGTTTTAGGATTTTTCTGATCTCAACGATGGACCACGGAAGAGCTACTTCTGAAAGGCACATTCGAGGTTATGCTGGGTGTATACCAGAACTCTATATGGTCTACTGCTCCCCAGAATCACCTAGTATCGATAATTTTAGTGTATTAGCCCTTGATTTGTTGTTGGATCAGACAGGGAAACGACATATACCGCGTTGACTGACCGCTGTCTTTACCTTCTGCACCCCCTTCAAGCACGTGTAGCACTCCAAGAGGGAACAGTCCTGAACTCACTCAGCCCTCACCACTGAATCGTCTCCCCAAACCTGTCCACAAAACACCCAGTCCCCAGCCCTGCCTCGCCCCCAAGCCTCTCCAACAACGCCAGAACATCCCCCAAGCTCTCCTCCACACTAATAGCCCCGTCCTCCTTCACAACCACCAGCCCCGTCTCCACCCTGCCAGGATGCACCATCGCAAAGAACACCTCGGGCACATCAAGACTCATGCTCCGCAGCACAGCATTCAGCGCCGCCTTGCTCGCGCGGTACGCATACCCGCCGCCCGCGGCGTTGGCGGCGATGCTGCCCATGCGCGAGGAGAGCACGATAACCTTGGGCGCCAGCCCGTCCCGCGCGGCCCGCCTCAGGTTCGGCAGGACCGCGGTCAGGACGCTGAAGGTCCCGACCACGTTGATCTCGTACGTGTGCAGGAGCGTGGCGGCGTCCATGGCGTCGAGGGTCTCGGCGGAGGCGACCTCGCTGGCGCTGTGGATGGGCACGTGCGGGACGAGGCCGCGCACGCCGGCGCAGTGGACGACGAGGGAGACGGGGGTGGTCTCGCCAATGTGTTGGCGGACGAGGGCTTGGTGCGCCTCGAGCGGCGAGGTGACGTCTAGCTGGGCGTAGAGGGATGAGTCGTCGGGCCGGTAGACAGCGTGGTCCTGGCCTGCGTTGTCGGTCCAGGGTCGTCTGTCTATGCCGACGACGGTGCAGGGTGGTGAGGTTGGGTGCTTGGCGAAGTGCTGGAAGAATGCGCGGCCGAGACCGGATGATGCGCCTGTGATGAAAATCACGGGTTTTGGTGGTGCAGTTGCTGCAGCTGCTGCATGTTGCGACATGCTGGGTTATTTCGATCACGGTTGGTCTGTATGAATTAAGATGAAATAAAATTATACTGTTGTGTTCCTCAAGGTCAATCAATATTTACGTGCTCGGTGGGCTTTCTTTTTGGCTGGAGAACGAAGAATGCGGGCGGTTTGCACAGAAGCCCTTCTTGGGCTAGCGGAGAGGCTCCGTAGCGGGTCTGCAGCAGGGTCTCCCGCTGCAGTTGTTCAGGCTGGCCTGCATAGTAAGTAGCACCGTCATCTTCAACGCCACACCCACCATTACTACTCATACGCAGCGCACAGGTTGGGTGGGCAGTCAATATACACAGTTTCAAGAAGGATCCTTATGAATTGCAAGATAATCAATTTTTTTTTATTGTTTTTGTTTTTGGTTCATCAACAATATCTCATGCAAATGATGCAAATGAGAAAATAAGCTGGTAACACATACTCTGTAACTCCAAGCGCCGTCCGATAGCATGCAGAGACCATGGCAGCAAAATCCAGCCGCCTATCCCCATCCTTCCTCAAGGTTTCTTTCAGCTCCCCCTCCTAATTTATCACGATACCCGTCTGTTCCCCATAACTCCTTTGACAGATGCACTCCTTGACTGACTGCAAGTGGAGAGCCCTAATCCTGCAGGGCAGAGAGACACTCTTATTGAGGCCCTTCATGCTGAGATCCTTCATGTTGAGATCCTTCATGCTGAGACCCTTCATGCCGAGATCCTTCATGCTGAGACCCTTCATGCGGAGGCCCTTCAAGTTGTTGAACTCCTCCACGTTGTCCCATGTGTTCTCTGCGGTGGTGGCCATGATGCCCCTGGAGTCCAGGCCCATGTCTAGGCCCGTGCCCATGCCCACGGCCATGCCCGCGGCCTCCCCTCCCGCCAAACTCAGACTGGCCGAAAGACGACTCTGGGGAGCCACCCTGCTGCGGCCCTTGGTGGTGGTGGTGGTGGTGGTGGTGGTGACGTTGTTGGTTCATCATTCTAGGCGGCGAGTCCGACCGTGGTGGGCCCTGAAAGGGTCCTGCACCCGGAGGTCCTTGGTGGTGGTGACCGTGATGGCGGCCGCCGCGACCGCGACCGCCCTGGCGCTGGGCATGGAAGCCCTGCTGAAATTCTGCGGGCGGCCCGCCGGCGGGAGGAGGAGGAGGAGAGGGTCCTCCGTGTCCGTGGTGGTGTCCGTGGTGTCGCCGGCCGAATTCATGTGATCCTTGGGGCCCAGGACCGTCGTGTGGTGGCCCATGTTGGTGATGGTGGGGATTGAAGGTAAGAAGCGTCATTGTGGTGGTGGTGATGATGATGATTGGTTGTTTTCTTTGTGGAAAAAAAGGAATGTAGGACTTGTGTGAATTTGTTATTTTTGTCGCTGAGAAGACGAAGATTGTTTTCTTTTTCTTCAAATAAATCTGCAACTTGCGAGAAGAGGAGAGTTTGAGTTGTCCAAGAACCGAGCCTCCAACCTACAGCAACATCAGGCTTACACAGATATATATATACTATGATACGTACGTATATACGCGTGGGAGGCATCCAAAAACCCCTGTCAACCCAAACAACCCGGCGGCCTCTTGGCGCATGACTGGCGAAAACCAGCAAAAAGCGAACGTTGTAGCACACCCTCCGCTCGAGCCGCTGGCCAAGTTGTTGACCGTGACAGAACTCTTGGATGTCTTGGGAGCATCCCTGTGGAAAGCTCACAAAAGTAGTGGAGCTCGGCTCGGAGGAAGATGGGGGGCGAAGCCACTGGTCTGCGCCCCCATGAGCTGCGTGGACGTGTTGCCTCCCGTGTGGCGAGTGCTTAACGCCGATGTCCTAAGGATGACACATCTGTCAGTGCACACCATCCAGCCTGCCAGCCTAGCCTAACCTAGTGACGACGATGAACCAAAGCGGCGAGGAAGAACGACTGTACAGTACAGTAGTACAATGGCTATGTTGACATTTCTGGGTGCTATCACATAGCTACAAAAAAAGACCCCCACTATTCGCCCCAACCCAGCTTACATTGTGACTCATGCAAGGTCAAGTCCCCTGATGTGGTAATTTGTAACAGGAAAGGTCAGTGCTCATGTCGGGACTTGTCGTCGGAAGCAGACATTGACGCAAGTTACCAACCATGGCTATTGTCGATGGAGAAATTCCAAGCAGATGTGTCGCCCTCTGCCGTGGTGCCATATCCGTCCATAGCAGCAGCAGCAGCACCATCAGCGGTGCCGCCCTCGTCGGCACCACGCCACTCAACGCTGCCATCAACGGTGGCAGCGGCCGCCGAGCCCCATCCACCATCCGCGCCGTTGTTGCTGCTATTGTAGGGCGCAGCCTGCTGGGCTTTCTTCTCTGCCTTCTTCTTCTCGATGTGCTCCTTCTTGTCATCGAACCGCTTGTTCAGGTCCTCGTCCAGCTTGGGGAACACGGCTCTCATCTGCTCGATGAAGGAACAGTAGTCATTGTACTCGGGCTCGTCCAATTTGCGCGTCCACCACGCCTCAAAGATGCTAGCCGAAGCTGCTTCCTGGAGAGCCTCGGAGGGGCCTAGGTATTGGAAGTGGCCCTCGTCGTACAGGCGCTCGACATAGTCGAGGTTGATAAGGCCCTTGCGTGCGTACTTCATGGCTCTCTTCTTCAGGCCCTCCTGCAGGGACATCTCGGGGACCTTGAGCTGGTCGGCCACGACAATGATCTCAAGCAAGATATTGAGAGCGTTCTCTTCGTCCTCGATCTGTGTGGATACACCCGAGGATGGTTAGTCCTGCCTCTGACAGTGGGAAGCAGTGCATCGACCCGCCTGGGTCGGCTTACCTCAGGAAACTTGATGTCGTTTCCCTCGTCGACACACTGGTTGATCCAGTCAAGCAAACGCTTGTAGGGGTCCAGGTTCTCGTCATCGATGACGAGGGCCGCGAAGCTTCCCTCGTTCTCGAGCTCCCTCTTCCAAACCTCGCTGAAGGCCATCGCGGCGTTGCGGGGAAACTTGTCGACGAAGGACTGTAGAGGTTCATTCTTGCCAGAACGCTGCCAGATGGAGATGAATTTCTCCTCGCCGTTCTCTCGGTCGGTCTTCAGCCTGAGTGCGATTGCAAACAAAGAGGTCACTATTGATGCAAGACGGTGTCGTCGCCACGTACGGTGCATTGACAATGGGCACATGACGGTTGGTCGGGGGGTAGGAGGCTGAAGGGGCCATCGCGCTGGGCATCGATGAATGAATGGATAGATAAGAACTTACTGCTCCACGTCCTTCTTGCGGACGCGCTTGGGCTTCTTCTCGTTGGCAGCCATCTCGAGAGCCTCGTAGCCATCCCTGTCCAGGACGACGCCGCTGTCCTCGATGGTCAAGGCACCATCACCCACCTCTCCGCCCCAGGACTCGGCGCCAAAGGCCTCAGGCTGGACAGCACCCCACTCTGACATCTTTTCTGATGGTACAGAACAACGAGGGTGACGTAGGAGCTGCTGTACGCGTAAAGTATTCAATGGTGGGGGAACAGCTCTGATGTGGTCCACGATGGGTTCCAATAGAAATGATTTTACGACAAAAGGTGGGGTTAGGACGGTGAAAAGATGCACGTGTGCCAGAAAAATGTGAAAGGAAGGAGGAAGGAACGCGTCCAACACCAATTTGAGTTTTGGGAAGGTGCGGCCCTCGAGTAAAGTAAAAGGTTTGCTGCTGATTTTTCTTCCCTTCTATTTTCAGGGATGCAGATTTGACACCTGCAGACGTTGGTGCCGTGACAGGTTTTTGGGGTATCCTCCAGACAGGGAAAAGGAAAAGGAACGTGTCTGTTCTGAACTGTGCGAGTGCGCGTTTGCTGGAAGCATGCACTGAATATTATAATGAGTTGATGCAGCCTACCGTCCACCCTTGTCTATCAGCCACCGCCACCAGCAACCTCACGCGTTTGTCATGTCTTTGGCTCACGCTGATGATTGCACAAAGGAGGCAATACGGTGAGGACAAGACACAAAAGAGGAAAAGGAAAAGGATAAACAGATTTTCCCCTCAAAAGAGCTGAAGGCATTCAGCCCACGACCTTTTCCTTTGGCCTCTCTGGCTGCCTAAGTATTTACTTAGTAGTTAAGCATTGCACGATCTGAGAGTCTCAAAGTTTCTAAACACTAGTTTTATTCGTTCATAAAAGACTATCAAGGCTCAAGTCCAATTTTACCGTCCCAAGCATTCCTCGAATCTCTGTGTAAGACCAAAGCTGATCAAAAGACCTGCGCATGGGCGGTACAATCAACAAGTACCTTTACAGACAACCTTGAAAACAATTTGCCTTTGCATAAGTATGATCACGTTCCAGGTCAGCCTAGAAATCCTTCCCACTGACCCTTTGCCGTATCAGGTGTGAAAATTCAATCCTTGCAACCTTAAAGAAACCTGGGGTGGCCGACACGTTGGCGCAGAGACGAGATATCTTTGGCTCAATGACTGCTCATAGTACAACGTCACAGCCAAGTCGAAGTCACCCAGCCCACCTGCGCCATGCTATTGCTTCAGGCCCTATTTGGCTTTCTTCGTCGGGTAGATGATCTGAAAGTTCTCGTGCTGCAGATGCATCTCGCCGCTGTCTTGTAGGATGTCCTCGTTCCACTGACGAGCCCACTCAATGGTGAGGGGATGCTTCTCGTTGATCACTGCGTCAAGATCCCATATCAATATCCTCCTTTCGGTGGCCAAAAGATAGATGAGGGAAGGGAGAGGGAGAGGGAGAGGGAGAAGATATCGCTACTTACCTTGACAGCCATATTGGCGCACCATCTCCTCCACGTCCGCAACGATAACGCCGTGGCCACGAATGTGCTCGAGGCCCCGATTGTGTAGCAGAGGGTGCTTGTGTAGGACATCGCAACCGTGAGAGGGGCAGACCAGGATGTACAGCGCGCACTCGCTGGAAGGGAAAGTGTAGGCAAAGACCCAGGCGCGGTTGGGACGGCCGCTCTTCTTGCGCTTGGTCTTCTTAGCCATCTGGGAAGTGGTGACATAGGTTTCGGTGTTGTGCAGGAAGCGGGAGGCGGGAGGCTGTGAGGTAGGACCCCGTTGAATGCCGGTGACTTGAGGATTGGCTGCTGGAGCATTGACAGTGGTGTAAGTTGAGGGCATCGCCCCATGTCCGGTGAACGAAGGGGGCTGCATGGCCTCCTGATCTTTGGTGACAGACATTGCCGTCGCGGTAGTGATACCGCCAGTTCCGAGGGTACGGTTGCCAGCCCAGACCCGTGCAATGTTCTGACAGTCGACAGTAGGGGCTGGGAGTCCGCTGGTTTGGCACCAGGAGCCAGGAAAGGGGGCTGGCTTGTGGACGGCCGTTGGTTGGACTCCTCCTTGGCCGTTAGACTGAGTCTGACCTATAAGTGAAGTTTTAGCCTTGACTGTACTGTTTACAGCTGTGCGGGGCTCATGAATACCTTGTTGAGAGAGAATCTCTTTAATGAGGGCAGAAGCACGCATGGTTGCACCGTTCTGCGCTCCCTGGTTACTGAGAGATGGCATCATAGGATAGTTATTGGGGAAGGTCGACTGGTTGGGCGCAGCTTGAGGCTGGCGGAGAGTGTTCGCATTGGCAGACGTTCTAAGAGCGGCGACACTACCTCCACCAGACTCCTGCTCGACTGGGTTGGTGGGCTTCAGGGTTGCACCCATATCAGTATTAACCTGGGTGTTTCCAGTGGTAATGGTAGGTGAAGTATGAGCTGTGTGAAACGTTCCTGTATTTTCCTCGTTGTTGAAAGAAGGATGACGCTTGGAAACGGGGCCCTCGATTTGGCAATTCTTGGTTTTGGTAGAAGGTGCTGTAGACAGAGTGCCACTTGACTTTTGGCCCGCACCAGTCATCTGATTTCTGTTGAACTCAAGACTTGGCTTGTTAGAAACAGTTGTGTACATGTCACCAAGGTGCTTGCCCTCGGATGTGATGGTTTTGTTGTTGGTGGCCTGAAGGCTGTGCAGTTGTAAAGGAGCCGCAACCTGCGAAGGTGGAGCGAGGGGGGGCGAGATAGAAGGTGAGTCATCTGTTTTCTTGCGCTTGGCAGGATTGGCTGGACCAATCTGGTATTCAGTGAACATGTTTGTGAATGGAAGAGACTGCTGAATGGACGAGGGGCCTCCCGAGGTGGTTGCATATGACAAAGCTGGTCCATATTCTGTCATGATAGGAGCAGTTGTCTGCATAGAGAAGAGATCGTGAGCAGCAGGGTAACCACCAAGCACTGTGCCAATGCCTGAGAAGCTGAGACCTGAAGCATCATTAGCACTCAATTGGCTGTTGCCAATGCCACTGAGGACTCGAATACCATGATCAGCCAAGATTTGCTGGTATTGTCTGATCTGCTCCTGCAGCGACTGATTCACAGTCTTCAGCCGCTGGATCTCTGCCTGCTTAAGAGCAAGGCATTGGGCCTGGCTGGGAGCCTGGGCACCAGTGTCTTGATCCATATTGGTGATGGTGCTTTGGTATAGTTCTTCGGTGAAGTGTTCGCAACCCTGAGCTGTTCTTTGAGATGACCAAGGTTTGCTGCTTGATCAAGCTGTAGTGTCTCCAGAAGATGTTGATGTAAGAAAAGAGGTGGGTGCAAAGACTGGATGGGGGAGGAAATATGAAGGAAATTCGAAGTCCTGGATTTGTGACTCAGAATCAAGGAGCTCAAGGCCCAAAGCGTCATACGAAATACCATCGATTGGGGGCGAGAAAGTGAACATGATGAGAGATCTGGAAGCCGAAGGCTGTCTTGCCAGTGAAGTCGACACGAGTGGATCTGGAGATAATTGCCGCAGTGATTCAGTAAACCAAGGTCTCGAGTAGAATGGTGCAAGATGATCAAGTGAGGTCTTGATATCACCATCAACGTGAAGTTTTCTTGACAGCTTGAATAGATCATAAGAGCAACTGGGTCACTGTGTTTCTTGGGAGGGGTTTAAGACTGCGTGAAGGTGTATAAACAATCCCCATTAATACTATAGAGCTCAAGTGCTATGGACCATGTACAACATCGAATAAGATGCAATAGGACTGTAGTACCAAGTGTAAGGCCTGGAGAGCGTTCCTTGTTACGATAGGTGATCCGGAATAGAATAAACTCCCAAGACACAATACCTCCGTTGTACGAGAATAACTATGTGAGAATACTCTTGCAGAACTAGTAAAATGCCACCCTACATCTCGCCAAGCCTGTGAACGACGGGAAACATCCTATGTATTTACTACAAGATTTAATGTTGAGATACGTGGCCGTGCATGTGAAAATGAACCGCACAATCCTCGATCATGCCGCGGCTATCTTGTTGGGCCTCGACCATATCCTTGCTATTGGCGAAGCAAAACTCTGGTGTAAACATGGCCCTTCCATCGTCACACGACGAGACTATCTTGGGATGAATCGCCTGCACGCCAATAACCTCGGGATGTAAAGTGGAAGATGATCTTGTAGACAAAATAGTTAGATCATGGTCAACACTCTGAATTTATCAGGAGAGGCCTACTTCTATGAAGCAGCTAAAAAGAGTGACCACTCCCAGCTGACTGGGAACGGCTGTGGCCTATTAAGCTGCGTAGACGGTCGGACTCATACAACTTTATTTACTCATGTAGTATCCTGTTCAGACGCTACAAGATCGCACGTACGTATAAAATAAGCTAACCTCCAGTATCTATGCTCACGTGGGGAAATAATTAAACTCACGAGACAAGCCCGAGAGTGGTCCTTTCGAGGTGTGGCAATCAGGTTTCTGTCCACCGTGCAGACAGGAATAGGATCTTCCCCAGTGCCCCCCATGTTGGTATTGCAAGAAGTACGGAACGCTGCTACACAGGCATTTTGGCCCTAGGAGGAAGGCCAGACGAGGAAAGAAGACCTCGCGAGGTCGGGCAGTGCCTAATGCCACAATTGAATGCTGTCAAGAGTATTTTGCGGTGTGGGCATTGCTGTCTACCACCCCCGACTGGAGGAAAGCCCAATCTGAGGGACGCTATTGTGACATTCGGCCATATCTTGTCCCGTTTGCTGTGCCTTTTATCACCTTTCGACGGTTGTTCTTGTGTTATTGCTAGGATGATCACCAGGTTATATGTTTTGTGGGGCTAATGATCAAACACTTGCTAAAGTGCTGTTCTCGAAGTGCAATGGCCTTGAAGGCGTAAGTGGGGCTACACCCGAGTTCCGAACCAGATGCGGAATGGTCTTTTGCCCGGGCGATCAACAATCTGCAAACCTGATAAACTGAAAAGATTTACTACTGTCAACGGTTGTGTAGTGTAATGGTTATCACTCTGGATTCTGACGATTGAAACACGTCCTTTCCAGCAATCTGAGTTCGATTCTCAGCACGACCTTCAGTGGTCGATTTTTGTTGTGAATTTCTTGAATTTTGCTTGCTGATTCATACATTTGTGAATCAGTACTTTTAATTGCAATTCTGCACGGTGCCCTCGGAATGCCTCTCGATGCTGGCCCTCTTGTCACTCACCTCCGATCAATCTTGAGTTATCGATTTTGCTGCGCACCCATCGTCTTCTTGCAACATTCGATTTCTATTTTTTCAACTTTCCTTACATCTGTTCGCTTGCTTTGTATACTGTTCTTTAATGTTGTATCCCCGGCTGGTTTTGAGCTGGAATGGCATACTTACTTTACTGACTTGGTCAGTGGAGTGACTATCGTTTGCAGGTTGTGCAGTCCACGGTGTGATTGGCTGCCCGTGAGGACGACGAACTGTACTCTGTTTTCTAGCAAAGCGGATGTCAGCTCTACAAATGATGAAATATTCCTCTGGGTCGTGTGAGACCTTGCATGACAACAGCCCAGGCAGCAGCCGTATCTGCTGGGCTCCCTTTGATAGCTGGAGGCACGCATTCGGCTCTCCATCCCAAAGGGCCCTTTTTTGAGGACGGCTTTGACTTTCTTTCTAGGATCCGCCCTTCTGAGCATTTCGTATACGTAACAAGGCGCGCGATGGGTCCGCAAGCGAAACGGGGACGACGCGCAGAGGATGTCTCTTCAAATCGCCCTGCTTCTGTCAGCACACAACCATCAAGCAAGTTTCAGAAGTGCCAGGTGGTGACATGACTGCAAGAAGCCGTCATCTAATTCCAGTCCCGTCCAGCTTCAACTACGGACTTCTGCGCACACACCAAACAACAATGAAAACGTTATTGTTGGGCTTTCACGTCTGCATCGCCAGGACCGGGGTCACGACGCTTGCAGGTGGTATCCTGCTCAGCCGTCGTGGATTGATAATCACGATCACCAAGGAAGTCCTGGTCTACCGACTGCAAGTTCGTTTCCAGCTACATCAGTCTGGGTTGAGAGGGTTTATGCCCGAGAAGGCAGCAGTCATTCGCTTGACCAAATCTCATGCATAAATCAATTCTCCAACTTAGATCGGCGCGGTGATGAAGCTTCATGCATCGGCTCTGCGCGTAATCCGGGACATCGGCGTCTATGTTCGCGTCAGCGAGGACAAGAAGACGGCAAAAGTTGGCGGTGATGTCCTCTCTGGGAGCCTCTTGAAGGCGTTGGGAGAGCACGGCCTTATCACGGCCAGGTTAGAATCCACCTCAAGGTGGAAGGAGACTGCTGGCCTTCTGAAGCTGATTATCGTTGTGCAGTGGGTCTACTGGATCGGTTGGCTGTGTTGGGTGGACCACTGCTGGTGGCTATGGCCCATTCTCGAGCCTCTATGGTCTCGGCATTGACCAAATCGTCGCGGCGAAGCTGGTGAATGGTAACTGCATCGTGAACGCAACCGAGGCCAAGACCGTGGCCAAGTACAGCGAGGATAACGAGAAGTTGGTGAGCTATGGCATCCACGGGCGAACCTATACGGTGAGCCTCAAGGCCTGGACGCCCACCTCGGTACGCATCCTGGTCACATATAGCGCCTCTGTCCCAGGTGGCAATTCAATGATATCGATACATGGACTGCGCTCCCCGCCAGCAAACGAAGACTCGGTCTTTGGAGCCCGTGAGGACCATCATATGGTGGAGATCATCTCCTTGACGACCGATCCGGCGCTCGAGGGCGAGGTGTCTGCGTGGGGCCAGGGGCTGCTGAGGGAGTTGAAAGAGCAGGATGCGAGCAACATTGTTGACAGCGCTTATCTTCCCCTGCTCGACTACGGTGAAGTCGACTCGAAGAAGATTTACGGAAGACATAACGAGACGGTTGTGTCGTTGAAGAAGAAATATGACCCGGAAAATGTGTTCAAGCACGCAGCTCCGAGGGTCATTGTGTAGATTAAGTTATCTTTAATCAGCGTGGAAGGGTTCAAGTCCAATAGAAGGTGAAAATTGAGGAGTGAGGAGCATCTGCAATCGTGATAACGCCCGCAAAATGCTTGCACAACCTCACCGCACGATTATGTCAGTTTTGGGAGAATGCATACTCTGTTGGGTACATGAACCAGTATAAAGTACGTCATGAATCAATGATTGTGGTGATGGAAGGACAAACGTTCACTTTGAGGGAAGATATTACAAGAATCTCTAAAAATTAAAAAGGGCCCATGGAAGATGTGGCCCACATCTATAGTAGCGCTGGCAGCCAGTGTTGCCCCTGACCTGTCTGGCTTACATAATACTGCCGGTACATCGGTACTTGGAAGAGCTGCTAGGCGGCATCAACAATTTTTCGAGGAGAGATGGAGCTCTAAGCCAACCCCACGCGTCGCCCACCACCCACGTCCCAAGAACTGACTTCCCCCAAGCGTTGGAGGCCAGCAATACTTTCTTGGGCTAGCATCTCCCTTCTTCCTCTACACACATACCTCCCAAGCCCTTGTACATTTTCAACATGTCTTTCGGCGGGCAGACTCCAACCATTATTGTCCTGAAAGAGGGTCCGTGTTGCCCCTCCATCAACCCCTCCACTGAAGCTATCCCCAGATATCTTGTGAGACATCCTTGCTGACGCTACCCTACGACACAGGCACCGACACCTCTCAGGGCAAGGGCCAGATCATCTCCAACATAAATGCATGCCTCGCCGTCCAGAACACGATCAAGTCGACCCTCGGACCCTATGGCGGCGACCTGTTGATGGTGGACGAGAACGGCAGGCAGACAATCACCAACGATGGCGCGACCGTCATGAAACTTCTCGACATTGTCCACCCGGCGGCGCGGATCCTCGTCGACATCGCAAGATCACAAGATGCCGAGGTGGGCGATGGCACAACCTCCGTCGTGGTGCTGGCAGGCGAGATTCTGAAGGAGATCAAGGAGCATGTGGAGCAGGGCGTCAGTTCACAGATCATTGTCAAGGGCCTGCGGAAAGCCTCGACCATGGCGGTAAACAAGATCAAGGAGATCGCTGTGAGCACGGATGAGGCCAACCACAGAGAGACGCTGGGCAAGCTCGCCGCAACGGCCATGACGAGCAAGCTGATCAAGCGGAACACCGAGTTCTTCACCAAGAGTAAGTAGGCCCTCTCTATGGGGCTGGTCTGTCTAGGCACGCGAAAATGCTGACGAGAAATCTACCTACCTAGTGGTTGTCGACGCCGTCCTCACCCTCGACCAAGACGATCTCAACGAGAAGTTAATAGGCGTCAAGAAGATCCCTGGTGGTTCCCTGACAGAGTCCCTGTTCGTCAACGGTGTCGCCTTCAAGAAGACCTTTTCCTATGCCGGCTTCGAACAGCAGCCCAAGAAGTTCACCAAGCCAAAGATTGTCTGCCTCAACGTGGAGCTGGAGCTCAAGGCCGAGAAGGACAACGCGGAGGTGCGGGTCGAGCAGGTATCAGAATACCAGGCCATCGTCGACGCAGAGTGGCAGATCATCTTCAAGAAGCTGGAGGCCATCTACAAGACCGGGGCCAAGGTCGTGCTGTCCAAGCTGCCGATCGGCGACCTGGCCACGCAATACTTTGCCGACCGCGACGTCTTCTGCGCGGGCCGCGTCTCGTCAGAGGACCTGGAGCGTGTTGTCCAGGCCACGGGTGCTACCATCCAGTCCACCTGCTCCGACATTCATGCCGAGCACCTGGGCACCTGCGGCACTTTCGAGGAGCGACAGCTCGGCGGCGAGCGCTTCAACTTCTTCGAGGATTGCCCAGAGGCCAAGACCTGCACACTCATGCTCCGTGGCGGCGCAGAGCAGTTCATCGCCGAGGTGGAACGATCGCTGCACGACGCCATCATGATTGTCAAGCGCGCCATCCGCAACCGCACCATTGTCGGCGGCGGTGGCGCATGCGAGATGGAGGTCTCGGCCTCGCTGCACCGCTTCGCGGACAACAACATCCGCAACAAGCAGCAGGGCATCATCAAGTCCTTCGCCAAGGCCCTCGAGATTATCCCGCGGCAGCTGTGCGACAACGCCGGCTTCGACGCCACCGACATCCTCAACAAGCTCCGTGTCGAGCACCGCAAGGGCAACACCTGGGCCGGCGTCGATTTCGTCAACGAGGGTGTCGCCGACATGATGGAGCGCTTCGTGTGGGAGCCCGCCCTGGTCAAGATCAACGCACTCCAGGCGGCCACCGAGGCCAGCTGTCTCATCCTCGGCGTCGACGAGACTATCCGGAACGAGGAGAGCCAGCAGCCGCAGGCACCCGGCAAGCCGTTGCCTCCCGGGGCTGCGCAGAGGGCGCTGAGGGGACGAGGAAGAGGGATGCCGAGGAGGTAGATATGTGTTTGATAGAGAAAGAGGGAATATAAAGCAGTGTGGTAAGAAAACTGATCTGTATTCTGTGTGTGTGGGACTCTAGGGTGCACCAGCGAAGGGGGCCGCATTTTCTGTACATGCTATGATTGATACCTAGATCGGCTTCTATAGACACAGGCAAAATGGAGATGTTGAAAAGCAGACGACCGCCGTCGCCTCACGCGGGATCATTATTCACGCAAGACCAGCCCCTTTCTTGATAATCACGTTCTGGGCAGGCGACCTGGAATCCTCAGCATCTGTGGTTTCAAGACAGGAGGTGAAGCACCGTATTATCACTCTCGTGTGCAAAGTCTCTAAGTCTCGAAACCAACGGCCAAAAAAGAAAAAGAAAGAAAAAAAGGACTGGATATATGCGCACACGCAAAGGAACAGAAGCATATGAAACTACTCGGACAAGCCGGGGTTCAGCAACAGTGAAAGGGTTCTTGACCATCTGCCAACAATCCCCAAAACTCAAAGAAAGTATTTCACCCATCCATGTATTCATCCATTCAGCCTGTCATACTATCTCGCACTTCGAAAACTGCAAAAAATCCAGAATAACATATTTGCCATGGCAGGCGACGCTTGAACGCTCCTAGGAATCGAAGGAAATAGAACAAGGATGAAAGAATTAAAAAAAAAAGAAGAAAAGACGAAAACAAAGGTGAAGAGATGAAGTGCGGCAACGCCCTGTCCATATATCCCCATCTTTTTGTCCCCAAGACCAGCGCAAAAATCAGGACCCTTGGATCTAGGGCTCAGAGTGACATAGAAGAAAGAAGCAAGATACAAGAAGTGAAGGAAGAAGTAAAATTAAGCAACAGAACAGACGCAACAGAATGGCAAGGGCACCGCCGGAGCCACCATGAAATTCCCGTCCATCATATATAGCAGCCGCTCCATCACATATCTCTTTTGAGTGACGGCTGATAATTTGGATTACTGCCGAAGCAACACCTTGCTCGCCTAGTCGTCGTTTATTCCGCCGTTTGGAAAACCCCCCAACTGACCCACAACATCTAATGTCAGACCGCCTCGTTGTCCACGAATTTGTCGTCGTTGATAAATATTAAGTCTTCCAGCCACTCGTCACCCGTCGGCTCAAAGATGTGATCCTCTCTCGGAGGCATCGGCGATGACGTTAGCTCGTCCTCCAGCGGGCTGGGTGCCATGGCGCCCGAGTTAGGCGACGGCGACGGGTCCGTGCCAAAGTCCGGCATGCCACCCATACCCGTCATGTCCTCATCGAACCCGCCGTCTCCATAGTCGACCCCGTCGAATCCGCCCATGGGCGCAAAACTTGCGCTGTTTCCGCCGCCCTCGCCGTCGGCGGTCGGCTGAGGCGGCTGGTTCATCTCGTTCGGCGCCGAGACGGCAGTGGCGGTGCCGTCGCCGCCAGACACGACGTCTTTCTTCTTGGGCGGGCGGCCTCGCTTTGCGGGCTCCTTGCGCTTCGTACCAGGTGGAGCACCAATGCAGTTGCCGCGGCCTTGGTGCCGATGGAGGGCGTCCGCGCGGCTGAAGTCGCGGCCACAGGGGCACACCCACTTCTTGTGGACGTCGTGGGTGCGCAGGTGGCGGCGCAGGTCGTGCGACCGGACAAAGAGCTTGCTGCAGAACTGGTAGGGGCACTTGTACTGCCGGTCGTCGAGGTGGGTCTGGATGTGCGCCTTGCAGTTTTCCTTGCGCTCAAAAAACTGACCACACATCTTCTCCTCGCCTGTTTCCTTGGAGGGCTCGGTCCACTTGCAGATGAACTTCTTGTTGGTGTCTGCTGCCCCCGCCGCCGCTGGGTTGGCAGCAGTGCCATCAGAGGGGGTAGAGGGGGCATCTGCTGCGGAGCCAGAAGTGGGCGTCCCGTCCGTCTCGCCGATGAGCTCAGCGATCTGCTCCGGCTTAACGTGCGACTCGACACGGTACTGCTCCATGTCTCCATCCGCCAGGCTCATGACACTGTTGATGCTGGCCAAGCTTTGGGTCCGCTGGTGGGCGCGCATACGCCGGCTGGGGCTCGGCGACTGTCGGCTACGGTTGGGCGAACGGGAGCTTCCTCGTGGGGTCAGGGCCGGGCGCAGGTCAGGGGCGGTGTGGACCGGGTTCAGGCCAGAGGAGGGGTGGTGGTGATGGTGGTGCTGCGAGCTCGGGTGGGAGAAGCTGTGGCGGGTGGGCGAGGGATCGGGCGTTCGGATGAGCGACTCCATACCGAAGGAATCGCGTGTTGGGCTCGGCTGGCGAGCCTGCAGGAGGGAGTCCCTGAGAGGGTTATGGCTGTGGTGTGTGGGCGACGGGTCCGGCGTCGAGAGGAGCGAGTCCCGGAAGGGGCTGCGCGTAGGGGACGCCTGCGGTGTTCGGATGTAGGAGCCCATAGCGACGCTGCTGTTGCTGTGCTCTGGAAGGGCGCGAGCCAAGGGCGATGCAGTGCGCGGCGGGATGAAGGACTCGGGAGGAGATGTGAAGGGATTGTGGTTGTTGAAGAGGACTGGAGGCGCTGCCTGGCCGGGAGACGGCATGGGCGACTCGAAGAGGCCATCACCGGGGAGAGGACCTCCAAAGCCGCCCAGGTCGAAGTGTGCTATCTCGTCGTTGAGTGTTTCCAGGGCGGTGCCTGGAGAGGACATGACAGGGGAGTAATAACCTTTGGGTTTCTGAGGTCAGTATATCTCTTCTTCTTGTTAAGACGGGCACCACCTTTGCCCTGCTTGCTTGCTGCCGATGCTTGCCGCTGGATTCTCGACGTACCCATATTCTCCTGGAACCCTGAGCCCGGTGGGCTGAAGACATCTCCGACTCCCATTAGGCCCGGTGTGTGGTTGCCCATAGGGCTCTGGAGGTAGACAGGAGGTCGCAAGGAAGGACGATTGGTGTTTGGGGTGCGAGGCGCGCTGCTGCTGCTGGGGATGTTGAGACTCTGGCCACGACGGTGATGTGTGGGCGTCGAGGGCATAGCCTGCGGTTGCATCTGTTGGAAGGACGGGCTGCTGAAATCATTACCCTCCTGCGGCCCTTGCTGCTGCTGCTGCTGTTGCTGCTGCTGGGCATGTTCGAATTTGAGGTGGGAAGTCCACATCTTGATATCTTGGGCCTGGCCTGACCTTGGCCACACCTTGGCCTGTTGCCCTTGACCTGTCCTGGCCTGGATCGCCCTGGCTATTGTACTGGGTATATCTCTGAAGATCGGGGGGTGGAGGGGAGGGAGAGCAGGCGCAAAGACGAGGGTAACAGTCTACACCCGTAAGGTACTACGTAGTAGCAGTTCGGAAAGAGTAGACCAGACCGGGGGGAACGGCGTGGGACGATCAAATTAGAAGAGGAGAAACGGAAACGTAGCGCTGTGGTGGAGCACACACGAGAGAGAGAGAGGAAGTAGCAGTAGTAAGTAGTGGTATGTAGTAATAACAATAGTGGATGGCAGCATAAACAATTCCACAGGACGACGAGAGAGAGAAAAAAAAAGAAAAGAGAGGAAAAGCTGCAGCGGCTAATGGAAAGGAACAGCGACAATGGCGTGTTACGACAGGGTGTTGTCGGCGACAAGGTTGACTGTCAACAGGGGGGGAGGAGGGAAATGCTATTAGAAGGAAGAAAAAGAAGAAGAAAATAAATAATAAAAAAAATAAATAAAAATAAGACAAGAATGCCCAGTCAAGGTTGGGTTGTGATTGGGTAAGTTAAGTTGGGCGTAGATGGCTTCGATGGGCTTGGCTAGGTGCTCAGTGCTGTGCTCAGTGCTATGCTGTGCTACTGTCACCTTACCTAAATGCCCATAGCAGCAAGGCGTGGTTGTGTGTGTTGTGCCCCCTCCCAATCCATGCCCCATGCCATACTACATTCATCTTCTCTCGACAACCAATTTTCCTTTTTCCCTCTCCAGCTTCCTTCCTCCGTGGGTCCAGGCCCTCCCACTCAGCCTGTCTGACCAGCCTAAGGCTTGCCTTCCAAACAAGGTTCCTGCAGAGAGGGGTGGAGCCACCGTCTCATCCTGTCTCCATCCAGCTCCATTCGTTTTCCCCGACCCGTAAACATTCCTACCCCCCCGGTTGTTGCGGCAACTTGGCGCGTCTGGGCCGTGTGCTGACTTAGACCATCCCTGCCCAATCGTGCTGTTTTAGTGCCTAGTCTCAGGCACCGCCTGGTAGTCTTAGCACCTAACGACAGTGCCACAGTAGTGCCAACAGAGAGTAGAGCCACTGAGCCTCACCTGTGGAACGTCGTGTTGGTGCTGACCCCCCCCCCTTGGCGCTCTGGGATACCCCCCCAGCGCTAATCGATACCTTAGGGCCTTCCCCTGTCCGTACCGCCTGCGCAACCGACCAAGCGGCGTTGCGCGTCCACCCCCGATTGTTATCATCGATCCATCGATCACCGATCATCGATCTATTCTTCATTTTTCCTGCGACACAGTCGGGCCATGGACAAAATTTTCCCAAAAAGCCGTTCCCAAGATTCCCATCCAATGAAGCTACCAATTTTTTTTGTCGCTGGGACAAGCCACCAACGTACATCCAACCATATTCATGACCCCCAATTGGACTTCTTTGGTGCCCGCCTAGCGTCCGCAGCTTTGAGAAGGGTCTCAGTCATCGTATCGCTCTCTCTGTCCATAGTGCCACACTGTGGTAACCTCGAAGTTTTTGAAAGCGCCCCAGGGCCAATGAACCTGGCCTGTTCTCAACAAAGTTGCTACAGGCTACTGTGCTCATGATGTAGGGCTGGGCGAAAGGGAGGCCTGGGAGGGAGTGGCGGCCTCCTCTTCGAGCGGCCTCTTGTCCTGGTACCAATTGTTTGCGCCACAGTACAATACATGTCATACGCATCATGATATTTGACCTACTTTGATGGGGATTCTGTATCTCAAACTCCAAGTTGGTGCTGACCCACTCATCACGTCCGCCGCGTCTCCACCGCGCGCGACGTGACAACCCTGTCAAGTGAGGTCACATCGGTGAGGTTTTATATTACCGAAGGACGATTCGCAGTCCATATCCAGTACTAGAAGTAGTACTTGTACCAGTAATCCCAACGGCTGACCTGGCTAGCCTTCACCGCCTGCTCTGTCTCTCTCTTCCCACACAAGACAGAAGGTAACGGTCATCCTGACACTTGTTGGCGTCGACAAGAGTCAGCATTGGTCATCTCTCTCTCTCTCTCTCTCTCTCTCTCTCTCTCTCTCCGACCGGCGACAGGCAGACAGATCTGTCGCATCGTGAGGCATTCAGAGGGCAGACCAGGGCAGGTAAGCAGTCACCCACAGAGAATCTGGTGACCAAAAAGAAAGAAGAAGAAAAAGAAAGAAGGAAAGCAATCGTCGTCGAAGAGAGCTAGCAGATCGTCATCTTCCCGACAACGCCTTCGTCTCATGTTCGTTGTCGCTTTATCAAATGCTAGGATCTGAGCGCGGCGTCAATCAACTTTTGGATTGTTGAGCGAGCGGTTGTGGCCCGTTGCGACGGCCGAGACCTGCATGTCGACCCAAAGCGCCGGTGTGCCGTCCCCGATGGGCCGTCGAATCCCCCTGGCCTATGCATCCACAAGCGAATGTGGCGAAATCTCCTCGGAGAGAGTTAAATGGTTGAGAGGATACAGAGATTCTTTGAGCGCGGTTGCTTGCTACGGATCAAGTGAGTCCTGCAAGAAGGATGAATGCAGACGCTGAGCGTCGGCTGCATCGCTAAAGGAAGCATGCATAATAATATCTACTACACGTGGTAGATGTAACTGCTCACGTTATTACATGGTACAGAAACCAGATGATCGATCGCCCGGCCGGCCGAGACGGCAGTCAATGAAAGAATGCGCAGGCCGGTCGAAACTATCAAACAATCAATCAAAGCAATTGACAAAAGAAACACTCCAGCACTTTACTCTGCCCGGTATAGCGAGTCATGGATCTGTGGCATGATCACAAATATGCGATGACATTTATATCTCCAGGGGGTCGAACTTGTACGAACCCGGGCCTATACATCCCTGTATATGACTTCGCCGTGCGCATCAATAGCCCGACGGAAACACCTCACAAGTCCTGAACACCGAGCGGTATAGATGCCTCGAAAAGCGACAGTGTGCTCAAAGGCGCTGCGCACAAACCCTCAAGGACGTCATGGTCCCAGAGTTCAGCTGCGTTGGCGTTGTCGGGGGGTCCGATATCAAGGTTCTGTAGGCCCATTGTTAAATGACGGGCTCTAGAGGACGGAAATGAGAAGTCCTCGTTTGTGAGTCCCTGGAACCCAGCAAGTAGAAAAGAAAAAGTCTTTCTAGACACGGCCAGACTCCGCTTTGACTATAATCTCATATACTATCGCTCTCTCTGGGCATTTTGTTGACATTTTTCGATGTGTGTCGCCTCGTTATGAAAATGAACAGACATATACACAATATAGGCAATGGAAATTCGGAGGGCGGGTCAGAAACGGCCCGGAAGTGTCAGCAACGCCTGTGGGATGCATGGCGACCGTTACTAAGTCCGAGGCCGTTGGTCCATAGTAGTCTCTGACATCACCAAAGGCAAACCGAACCGTTGTTGTCGATGTAGACAGCATTGCACGGCAGAAAGGAGACCCAGTCGGCGCGGAATGGTCACACCCACGATGCAGCATAGCCGAGTCTCACAAATCTTGACTATACAGAGAGATCGTTTGTTCTCCCTCCTACAAGTATGATTAACCTAATATCGAATCTTCTGAATGCAGAGCCCAGGACTGGGCTGCATCCCATCCCAGGGACAACACCCCTCACCATCGAGGCCATGATCTGCCCACCGCTGGTGTACTACCTGGCCCTGCTGCTCCTCCCCCCTCCGCCTCCTCCAGCTCTAGACACATTCGCCATCAAGGCCCTCCGTAACGCCCTGGCCCTCTCGGCAGCGTGGCTCTTCCTGCGTCTGCCGCTGGCCTACCACGTCCCGCAGAGTATCGGCCTGACGTATCAACTCGGACTGGTAGGCTTGTACGGCAGTGCTCGCGTCGTGGATGTGTTCTTCATCTCGCCATATCTCCTAGGACATATCCCGCGCCGTGTTATCTATAGGTATGAGCCACGAGTCGGCACGCCCCTCATCGAGGGCCTGCGTGATCTGAAGAACAAAACCTCTCCCTCCCCCCTCTCATCGTTGTCCTCTGCGCAGGCAACACCATCAACAACACCAACCCCGGAGCCCGTCAACCACGGCATCATGACCAACCCACTCCTGAACCCAAAGTCCAAACCAAAGCCTGACCAGTCCCCCTCCTACTTCCCCCTCCACCTTCTCCACCGCAGCCTCATCACCGGCCCTCAACTCACACCCGTCCTCGAACACACCACCACCGAGGACGGCTGGCCCCACACCCTCTCAGACCGCGCCTCCTGGGCCCTCGAGCTCGAGCTCTCCATGCGCGGCGCCGGCTTCACATGGACCACGGCCGACGTCCGCCACACCCGCCGGACCTGGCTGCCCACCGTGCCCAGCAGGCTGCACAGCATCTTCCTGCACGCCCTGCCGACCCTACTGGTGTCTCTGGCTGGGGTCAGGGCCATCTACCTGCGGTACAGTCTAGCCGACGTGGACGAGGTCCTGTGGGCAGCAGCACAAAGGAACGAGGAAGCGGGACGGTGGGACATCGACTACGACGACAACCTCTTCGGCACTCGACTCCCCCTGCTCACCCAGCTGACCCTGACGCTGTGCCTGGGCGCCACCCTCCTGGCAGCCTTCTCCCTCGCCCACTCCATCTTCGCCGTCGTGTGCAGTCCGCTCGCGCCAGGCCCGCTCGCCTACTTCCCCCCGCTGTATACCAAGGCCCCCTGGGAAATACGCGGCGGCGGCCTGCGCGAGTTCTGGTCGTATGGGTGGCACCGCCTGTTTGCGCGCTTCTTTCTTGTCTACGGCATCTGGCCTGGCGAGTGGCTGGAGCGCAAACTGCTGGGGAAGACAGCACAGGAACCGGCGGATGTGGGTAAGGTGCTGGGCGGGTTTCTGAGTAGTGCGTTTTGTCATGGGTTTGCGGCGAGAGGGGTTTCGGGCGGCAACTGGTGGCTGGCTCGCGGGGAGGTGGTGTTTTTTGCGATGAATGGAGTGGCGGTGGTGGTTGAGGAGGTGGTCAGGAGGGTCGTTGTGAGGCGTAGAATGAGGAGGAAGGGGGAGAGCCTCGAGAGGTGGTGGGATGGGTGGGTGGGGAGGGTTTGGTGGATTTCTGTGGTGCTGCTGAGTGGGAGGAATTTTGCGAGGGGTTGGGTGAATGCTGGGCTGGTGAGGGAGATGAGTGGGTTGTAGTTGTGCTTGGATAGTTTCAAGGCCGAGCTTACAAGACGGGAGTCAACACAACATATACATATATAAATATATATATATATATATATATATATATGAAAGAGCTTCGACAAGCCATATCCAGTGCACCATATTAGCCTTGCAAGGCTCAACAAACACAAAACATCAATATGATGCAATCTCAGCAACACAATCAAGTTCCCATGAACATACCATGTGGTTAATTAGAGATGAATAAATATGAATTGTCAAAAAAACTATGCGTACCAAACTCTGGTGAATAGAGTAATTAGGTATTATCCGTGTTCATGGCCGCGAAGTACTACTACGAATACTTCTTTACGGCCCACCTCGCACATCCATTACTTGCCACGCTCATACTTGTCGGTGTTCTCAGGAGCGCCGCCGTCCTTGTTCACGACATCCAAGTGCTCGCCCTCGGAGGAGTTCTCGTTGGCCGGGGCCCCGGCCGGAGAGGGCTTGCGGATCTTCCAGCAGAACGAGCAGGACTTGCCCGAGTAATAACCGTGTTTCTCGCACTTTCCAGGCATTTTGACTGTCTTTGGTAGTTCGTGGTATGTGTATGTGGTTTGTGTTTTTTTCCCCTTGCTATGCGTGTTTCGGCTTTGTTGTTTTGTTTATTATGTTGGTATCGCAGGTGGAGTCTTGTTCTTGTTGTTGACGATAACGAATGGAAGAGAAGGAGGGGGAAGAGTGGTAAACGGGGCGAAATTTATAGATGCAAGCGACAGTGTAGTGATTGTTGCGTCTTGTTGCGTCCTCAAAAGTGTGACTCTGTGATTTGCGTCTCTCATGCCTTTGGAGCCGGTGGTTCTGCTTGATCGGCATATATTGGGAAGTGTGTGACCGGTGCAAGGATCGTGTGCCTCACAGTACTGGAAGTGATGAGCAGGTGAGGTGAGCCTGCTGTTAACCATGAGTAACAAACACCTACAAACATCGTGATGTTGCATACTTTGAAGCGAACTCACTATATTGAAAAGCCTCACATAATATCTCTCACCAGCTGCACTTGTCCAGCCTCCCGAAGTATCCTGCATGCTGTATAAATGGCTGTCATGAGTTTCTCGGGTCCCTCTTTCTCGTGATTATGTTTCTGATCACACTCTTCTGGTCCATGCCATGCTAGGACTATGTTTTCACAAATAGCTACAGCCTATATTTGCATTTTCTAAAGCTACTTGGGTAATCTTCCGATAGTACGAACGCACTAGTGCCGTTTCTGTTGCCCTTCATCATAAAATGATTATATATGCGCTGGTCTAGAGATACTAACGAGCACTTGAAGGTTGGTGCTTCCAGTGCAAGCTGGAAATGATGTGCTCCATATAAACAGGTAGACAGGACTCGCACAGATGTACTGCTATCTACGAACATAAGATGCCACAATATCCTCTTCCCACCGTTGATAGATCTCCGGGCGTATAATGTTCCCCTTGGACGTACGCGGCACTTTAGCATCACGAATCACAACCATCATCTTCTTCTTGATCGCCAGAGGCAAGTCCCCCTTGCGAAACGCCTGATCCAACGCATCCCAGACCTTCTGCACGATGACTTCCGCCGCCACAGCACCGCCAGGCCTAGTAAACAGCAAGAGGCCCGCGTCGGGACTCTCGCGCCCGAACAAAACGGCCTCCTGCAAGACATCCCCATTCCCCGCCATCGCCAGATGCTCATAAGTGATAGCATTGAGCCCCACGTGGTCGTGCCCATCAGGCGCGATCCTGACCTCGTCCGACAGCCTCCCAAGACACTTGTAGCAGCCCGGCCTGGAAGGGTGTTCGACAAATAGATCACCTGTGTGAAACGAGCCATCGGGTCGGTTGGCGAACTGCTTGTCCTGGGTGGGGTGGCTGGGCAGCACGACGAGCTCGTACAGAGGTGTTGTGCCTGGACTTCCCTCGCCGGCCAGGTCGTCCAGGGGCCGGAACCAGATGTGGGGTGCAGTGTCGGGGTGGGCTTGCACGTACTCCCAGTCGGCGTCGCCTCTTGTGCGCGATGCTGGGATGAGGCGGACGCCGGCGGACAGCTCGGACATACCATAAATATTCACGAGGCGGACCCCTTGCCCGACGAGTTCTCGGCCGAGCTGCTGGGGGAAGACGCCTCCTGTGGTGACCACCAGGTCGGCCTGCTTCAGGGCGTTGAGGCCTTCGCTGGTAGACACGGATGCGTATAGGTTGGCGGGGTTGAACCAGGCTGTCACCGGCTGCAGTTTGGTCAAGATCTCTCCGTACTCCTTGCCCTCGAGCGGAATCAGCTCGTTGGACCAGATGGCCGGCCCGTTGCCCCGAGAGAGGGAGAACAGCATCGAGTGAAAGCCGACGCTGTTGTAATGCCACGAGCCGATGAGCGATGTGCCATGCAGAACGCCTGGGAGAGTTCGCAGCCGATTAAGCACTGCGTAATGTGGCTTGTAGACGAGCTTGGGCAGTCCGGTGGTGCCTGATGAGTGCAGGATGACGGCTGGGTGTGTCTCTTGGATTCCGGGCCAGCATTGTGTGAAGTCTTGCTCATTGGGGCCATATTTCTCGCTGGGCTCGTGTGCTAAAGATGCAAGGCTGAGCAAATCGATGACTGTCTTCCCGTTTGCTCGCAGTGTGCTTCGCAACTCGCCAGCCGCAGCCTCATCGGCCATGAAAGTTCCGTCGACAACGATAGAGCAGTCGACCTTTTCCATGAGCTTGATGATTTTTTCGGAAGAGATCTCAGGCGAAAGAATGAAGACTGTGTAGCCCAGACGCATGAGGGCCACGAACGAAACCACCCACTCGATGGTTGTTATGACTCGGAGACCAACAACAGTAGGGGTGGGGTGGTGTAGAGATAGTCCGGACCGAATGTATTGCTCTGCAGCCTTGGTAGCCAGACTGTAGATCTGTTGAGGGGTGTAGTATACTATGTCCGCAATAGAGTGTTTGGGAAATCCGAGCGCCTTTGACGTCAGATGCTTGGTGTGTTCGAGGTATTCTTGCAAAGTGCGAGCTTGCAGTGCAGCTGGTGAGCTGACTGCCTTTGTTGTCTTATCGTCTACAGTCATGGCTGGGAGTTTTGTTGCGTGGGGGTAAGAAATGGGATTGTTTGGTTCGCAGTCAGACTGGGAGTATTGTCTTGAGCTTAGAGGAGTGTTGATGGTTGCATCACATCTTTGGGTAGGACAAGGCAACTATTGCAATTATTAATTCTTATAGACTTGTCACACGTCTCAAGTCTTACTAAGTCCTTCAACAAATGTGAACGGAGTGTCGCGTAACTACTTCTGAATGCTTTCAATGGTTGTTGTCAAGATGCCCGAAAATCATTGTTCGGACATGCATCTCCGTAATAGTACAGAGATCATTGCGGCCCCGGTCTCCGAGAATCTTTGCATTGTAATTCTGACGACCGTCCCCCCCCCCCCCCCATTAGTGTTCTCGGTTGATTGCTTATCGAGGCTGACAGACTGCTGACAGGTTCTCTTCCGATGCTTCTCTATGCCGGTAATCCTGACCGGTGTAAGTATTACTGGCTCACCTCGGGCATCGAATAGTGACCCCGACAGCCACATGCGGGCTTGAATTAAAGACACATAGGCAGAGGTGAAGAGAGGTGAAGAAGAAAAAGAGAGAAAGACAAAACGTACACAAGACCACAATGTAAATCTAGAACAACCTATAACTTCTACCATATCTTGTCAGTCGCCATGGTGATTCATACACCTACTACGACAGACAGTGACGGCGCTGACTCCAAGATGAGGCTCACTTACTTCAGCAATGAATTTCCCAGAGACGACCTGCAGGACGTCTTTCGAAAAATTCACCTGCTCGCCAAGTCTAAGGGACATGTCATCCTTGCTCGCTTCATCGACGAGGCCACGCTCGCTCTCCGCGACGAGATCCGTCAACTCCAACCAGCCTTGCGTGACACAATTCCACCCTTTGAAAGTGTGCTGGACTTCGTCGACTTTACCGGTATCCGCAAAGGACCTCTCTGTGGCTCGGTAGATGGCGTTCTTCTATGTGTGCTTGAGTTGGGCATACTCATAGGGTCAGTAAATTCTGCGCTCACTGGACTGTATGGTCACTTGGTTATCAACCGTGAAAACAAAGCTGAAGAATAGCCCACAGCTATCATGAGACTTCTAACCATGAGGCTTCTCTTGAAAATCTCGGAGGCTCTGTGGCCGGGCTGGGGATTGGTCTGCTGGCTGCGGCGGCCACGTCCCTGGCAACCACCATATCAGAATTGCCTCAAACCGGCGCAGAAGCCATTCGCCTGGCCTTCCGGCTGGGCGTTCTTGTGCAAGAGGTTTCACACAATCTGCACGCCAGTTCCTGGGCAGATGGAGGGCCACTGGATTCGTGGGCTTACGTTCTTCCGAACGCCAATGCGGATGAAGTGCAACATGAGCTCGATATCGTTCAGGACAGACAGGTGAGTAACCCCGAATTGCCTCAATGTATTAAGCATTGTCCACTAATGAACTTTTCCTTCTTTTGGGAATGTTCAGGACACACCCGCGTCTAGTAAGGTCTTCTTAAGTGCCCTTGGCCAAGCCTCGGTGACCATCAGCGGACCCCCAGCCAGACTCAGTGCTCTGTTTCTCACGGCCGACTTCTTTCGTGACCGAAAGCATATTGCGTTGCCTGTTTACGGTGGCCTCTGCCATGCCAAGCATATATACACCCAGGAAAACGTCGATTCTGTCATTGAGACCGCATCGATAAAACTGCTGCAAGATATTGTGTTGCCACGCAGTCAACTCTACTCGACAGCCACGGGGAAGCCGTTCCCTGCCAAGTCTGCTCACGACCTCTTCAGACAGGTCGTTGAAGAGATCCTCACACAGCAGATCAAATGGGACAAAGTTGTCAAGAGCTTAGCCCAACACGCACGCGACTTGGAGGTGTCTCAATTTCAGGTTCTTGTCTTCCGCATGTCGTTACCAGCCAAGGATATCATGACAGCCATGGAAGAGACCCCCAACCTAACCGCCACACAAGAAGAGCTGATGCCCTGGATCCACGACCAGACAAAAGCGTTGGCAGCAGACAACATAACCACCCCAACAACCAAGATCGCCATCGTGGGCATGTCGTGCAGAATGCCAGGTGGTGCAGACAGCACCGAAAAGTTCTGGGAACTCCTTGAGAGCGGCACCGAGGTCTCGAGGAAGATCCCTGCCGACCGTTTCGACGTGGATTCGCACGTCGACCCTGCTGGCAAGCGGCTCAACACCAGCCACACGCCCTATGGCTGTTTCATTGACGAGCCGGGCTTATTCGATGCGCCCTTCTTCAATATGTCCCCACGCGAGGCCCAGCAGACGGATCCCATGCAAAGGCTAGCTCTTGTTACGGCGTATGAGGCCCTGGAGCGGGCTGGCTATGTTGCGAATCGGACTGCGGCTACTAAGTTGGAGCGGATCGGGACGTTCTATGGTCAGGCTAGCGACGATTATCGGGAGGTCAATACTGGGCAGGAGATCAGTACTTATTTCATCCCGGGAGGTTGTCGTGCATTTGGTCCTGGTAAGTGTTGTCCAAGCTGAGAAGCTTTTTCTCTCTCTGGTGTATTTGAAGCCTGATCAGGAACTGCAGGACGCATCAATTACTTCTTCAAGTTTGCTGGACCCAGCTACAGCATTGACACCGCATGCTCGTCTAGTCTAGCCACTATCCAGGTATGTGCTCATTCTCCTCCTTCATTTTTTTTATATAAGAGAGTCTTGACGTCCATACGTAACTGAACATCGATATTTTCCACCTTATCAGGTCGCATGCACTGCCCTTCAAAGCGGAGAGCTTGATACTGCCGTCGTCGGAGGCGTCAACATTCTCACCAACTCCGACGCTTTCGCAGGACTTAGCCACGGCCATTTCCTATCCAAGACGCCGGGAGCATGCAAGACCTGGGATGCAGACGCTGATGGCTATTGCCGAGCAGACGCTGTTGCATCTGTTGTCATGAAAAGGCTCGACGATGCTGTCGCGGACAATGATAGGATCTTGGGCGTGATTCTTGGGTCGGCAACAAATCATTCTGCCCAAGCTGTCTCCATCACGCATCCTCATGCAGGTCACCAAGAGTATCTATCGAGGCTCGTGCTGCGTCGCGCTGGTGTGGACCCGATGGATGTCTCATATGTCGAACTCCACGGCACTGGAACGCAGGCTGGTGATGCCGAGGAGATTCAGTCCGTCTCGCAGGTCTTTGCACCTCTTCCCAGTCGTCGGAGCGACAAGAGGCCTCTGCATTTGGGAGCCGTCAAAGCCAATGTCGGACAGTATGTAACCTCTTTCCTCCCATGCTGACGTCCACACTTTGCCCTCACCTCCTTAGAAGTGACTCGACTGACTCCAAACAGTAGCGAGGCAGCTGCGGGAGTCACTGCACTGGTCAAAGTACTCCTGATGATGCAGAACAATGCGATTCCCCCACACGTTGGCATTCGAAATGCCATCAACCCCAAGGTACAGCAAGAAGTGGAAAAGCGCAACATCAGTATCGCGTTCGAACGAACCGAGTGGGCTCGAAACGGCGGCAAGAAGCGGATTGCGGTCGTGAATAACTTCAGCGCTGCTGGAGGCAACACGACTATTCTCGTAGAAGATGCCCCTCCAGAGACATCTCTGGTTAGTCTAGCTTCCGATCCACGAGCAGCACATATCATTTCGGTGTCCGCGAAAAGCAAGCTATCCCTCAAGGGAAACATCGAGAGACTGCGCGACTTTCTGGACAACAACCCGAACTTATCAGTAGCCGATCTGTCTTATACGACGACAGCACGCCGATACAGTCACAATAACCGCGTTGCCTTTGCTGCTGCGACTGTTTCTGAGGTGCAGAAAAAGCTCCAGTCTGCGCTGGCCAACATCGACTCGCATAAGGCAATTCCATCCTCTGGCCCTCCACCAATCGTGTTTGCTTTCACAGGCCAAGGCGCGTCTTACAAGTCGTTTAACCTCCAACTCTTCCACGGCTTCCCCGACTTCCGCTCGCACATTGCGCATCTGGATGCACTTGCACAGAGCCAAGGGTTTCCCTCGTTCATCCCAGTTTTGGACGGCAGCCATGCTCAGGATCATGCTCACTCCCCTGTTGTCACTCAGCTGGCTTTGGTGTGTAACGAGATAGCTCTGGCCAAGTTTTGGGCTGGTTTGGGAGTCAAGCCTGACGTGGTCATTGGCCACAGCCTGGGCGAATATGCAGCACTTCACGGTGAGTATTCTCATGCCGTCGTTTGAAAATTGATTCTTTTGGTTTCCTTCTCTGTCTTTTATCCGTTCCCCTCTTCTCAGTATAGCTCGCTGACCTTGCAATTTTCAAAGTGGCGGGCGTGCTCTCAGCAAGTGACACTATCTACCTTGTCGGCAAACGTGCTCAGATGCTTCAACAGAAATGTCGAATAGGCAGTCACAAGATGGTCGCCATACGAGCATCTGTCACCAACATTCGTGAAGTCACCGAGGGCAAAGACTTCTCCTATGACATCGCATGCATCAACGGCCCTAACGACACTGTGATCAGTGGTCCAACTTCCGAGATAGACCGCATGGGACGTACCTTGGACGAGGCCGGCCTGAAGCAAATACCTCTCGACGTGGCCTTTGCTTTCCATTCTTCTCAGATGGATCCCATCCTTGATGACTTCGAGGTCATGGCCAGTCGCGGTGTGGTCTTTCAGCCTCCACAACTCCCGATCGTCTCTCCCCTCCTGGGCAAAGTAATTTTCGACGACAAGTCGATTGATGCTACTTACTTCCGCCGGGCAACTCGTGAAACGGTGAATTTCCTCTCTGCTCTGCATGCTGCTCACGAGATTGGTGCTATAGAGGAAGATATGGCCTGGGTGGAGATTGGGCCTCACCCGGTTTGTTTGGGCTTCGTCAAAAGTTCACTCTCCAAAGCCAGCGTCGCGGTCCCGTCTTTTAGAAGAGGGGAGGACAACTGGACAACCCTGGCACACAGTTTGTCTGCCTTACACTGCGCTGGAGTGAAGATCGACTGGAATGCTTTGCATTCGCCTTTCGAGAAGAACCTTCGTCTCTTGGATTTGCCCACTTACGCCTGGAACAACAAGACGCATTGGATTCAATACAAGGGGAACTGGGCCCTGACAAAAGGAAACACGTTCTACGATGAGGAGAAGAAACTCGCGGCTGGGAATGCCTTGCCTGTAGCTCTCCCTGTGTCGAACCTGAGCACTTCCTCGGTACAGCGGGTCATCTACGAAGATGTGCAAGGCAGTCGGGGGACTGTGACGATACAGTCTGATCTGTCCCAACCCGGGTTGCGTGCAGCGGCATGGGGCCATAAGATGAACAACTGTGGTGTTGTCACAAGCGTGAGCTCAACTTCCTTACCAACTTCTCTCAATGAATGATGATTCATTAACAGTCTCTGCAGTCTATTCATGCCGATATTGCATACACTATCGGAACCTACCTGTACAGGAAATTCTTTCCAGGCAGTGAAGTGCACATGAACGTCTCCAACCTAGAAGTCCTCAAAGGCCTTGTTGCCAACAGCAAACCCGAGCAACCTCAGCTCTTCCAAGTCACAGCCACAACCGCAGACATCGCCACCGGGCAGGTCGAGCTGTCATGGGCCAATGTACATCCCGACGGCACAGTAGATGACCCTTTCGCAAGTGCGACCCTCATCTACGGCGATACCAACGAATGGCTCGACACATGGACTTCAGCAGCCCATCTGGTCCAAGGCCGTATCGCAGACCTTGAACAACTGGCGCAGGACGGCATCGCGAACCGCTTCACTCGCAACATGGCCTATTTGCTGTTCGCAAACAATCTGGTCGACTATGCTGACAAGTACCGCGGAATGCACGCTGTCGTGCTCCATGGCCTTGAGGCCTTTGCCGATGTCGAGCTGTCGACAGAGCGAGGTGGTACCTGGACCGTTCCGCCGCATTTCATCGACAGTGTCTGTCATCTAGCCGGCTTCATCATGAACGTCTCTGACAATCTCGATACCAAAAATCACTTCAGTGTGACTCCTGGGTGGCGCTCTCTTCGTCTTGCACGGCCTCTTCTGGCCGGCGCCAGGTATCGGTCCTATGTCAAGATGATTCCCACGCGTCAGGATCCGAATGTCTATCTAGGCGATGTATACGTTCTCCAGGATCATGCGATCATCGGCATGATGGGGGGCATCCAGTTCCGTCGCTATCCTCGTATCTTGCTCAGCCGCTTTTTCTCGGCGCCTGACGACGCAACAGCTCCGCCAGTGGCCACGTCTGCACCTGCAAAGCCTTCCAGAGCCAGTCAGCAGCAAGTTGCCATAACTGAGAAGAAGCCAACCGTCGTCCCTCCTCAGGTAGCACCGAAGCCGGCAGCTGTTCCGACAGTATCAGTCTCAGTGGCACCAGCCCTGACACCTGAGCAATCCTCGAACAACAACAGCAACGGCGCACGTGCCGAATCTGAACTGACAACGACGACCAAAGCCCTACAGATCATCGCTGATGAGGCGGCCGTGGATGCATCCGAGCTCGTCGACGATGCGAGCTTCGCCAACCTTGGCATTGATTCGCTCATGAGTCTGGTGATCTCGGAGAAGTTCCGGGAGCAGCTTGGTATCACGGTCTCTGGAAGTCTGTTCCTCGAGTACCCGAGTATCGGGGAGCTGCGAAGCTGGCTGCAGGAGTACTACAGTTAGGCAGCTAGAAGACGTTTATAGAGCAAATTACTTGCGTACACGAATGAACAGTATGATTTTCAGAAATTTGCATACTGAATGCTGTATGAGTCTTGACATGCTTTTTATGGGGAACGAATGGAAGTATTGTGTTGAACAGTTCTCTCTCATTTCTTTAGTCCTTATTTTCCCCAGCTGGGGATACAGACGAAGCAATAGCGTGATCAACCTGCCTTCAATTCCTCGAGTGAGAAGATCATGTACCATGGCTCTATCGAGGGTTGGACCACGAAATCTCGAGACATATCATGAAAGCTGCCATCTACTTGGTACAATTGGCACGGAGTCTAGACAATGTATTCGTCTGTATGGAAGTACATCCTTACAGTCACTTTCACTTTGCTTCCATTCTGTCCACTTTCGGGATTCTCTCCTCTGAGCGTGGCTCCAGCGTCAATGGTATCACCAAAACAAACCCACGGCTCCAACCACAGCACCAACGAGAGGGAAAATGCACCTGGCCCCATGCAACCACCACCATGATGTTACCAGATCCCGGACTTCTGCTATATCCACAGTAACTGGATCCACCTGGCTCAGAGACTGCAGGTTAAATAGTCTATCATTCGTAGGTGCCATGACAACCCATGTGAACGGCACCATGACGACCGTGATGGCCCCAGCCAGTGCAGGCACTCGCCACGACTTTCTGGCACTACGCCTTGAAGCTGTGATGAAGCCGTAGAGAACACAGGTGGCCACCGATATGCTTGGCATAACCAAGTGCCCATAGTGGTACATCCTAGCCCATTGGCTGACGAGATGAGGGCCGTCGGAATCCGTATCTAGCAGGACGGGTACTGTAATCAGACACAGTGATGCCATGGCTCCTGGAGGCAGAATTAGCTTAGACGCAAGAGGACAGTTGCCTGCTGAAATGGTAGATCTCACCGGAGAGGAAACTGCCCGCTATGACAGCGGTGGTCTGACTGTCAATGCCAGACATGGTGCTGATCGGAGCAATGTCGATGACAGGGTAAAAAGACTGTTGATGTGTTTGTCTCGCACCGTTGGAAAATGCGATGATGGTGAGGATTGGGTATCAGAATACGTCCTGTCAAGCTGAATAAAGGAGACCTTTTCTAAGAGGGCTGCACTGCTTACGGCCTCGGGGATACGGAGAGCGATGATGGTGAGACCGTCGTCTTACCGTGTTCGGCATCAATCTGATGCCCGAGGAAACATCGGGGAAATTCCTTGCAAGGCGGCATACACAAATAAAATGAGCATCAATAAATGATACCAACCGATCTTGCTCGAAGATGCCATTATTAGAGACATCTCATCGGTGTGACTGATTCTGTTCAAGACGCTCTCATCTGTCTTCATCGCCTCCATCATGACTGTCCAGACCGAGAACGAAATTCCACCTGCTCCGACGGGCTTGGAAGGGACGCACTTCCTGTGCCTGACCATCTGCGGTTACCGTCTTCCTGGGATGACCGAGGAAGCTTACAGACACCACATGACAAAGGTCCAGGCTCCCATGACGCAGGACCTGATGGTGAAGTATGGTGTTAAGCGGTGGAGCATGGTCAGTCGATGATTTTATTTGAAATGATTACCGTAAAGCACAACTAACGATTTAGATTCACAACAATACCGAGTCTCGCACGCTCATGAGGCGATTGTTCGATCACGATATGCGGAACTTGGCCGATTTTGATTGCTTTAGCCAAGTCGTTTTCAAGAGTGTGGATGACTACAAGAGGATGCAGCAAGATCCGTGGTTCCAGGAGAAATTGGCTCCCGATCACAAGAACTTTGCGGACATCAAGCGGAGCATCATGACGCTCGGCTGGATCACAGAATTTATCAGGGAAGGAGAGGTAGTGGATGGCATTGTAGACTTCTGAGAGGGGGGCTCATGCTGAAGAGGTTGTAGGGTCTCGCCTCAGTGCTATGCTCTTGGATATCGTTGGACCGACGATGGCAATATGTATATAATGACAACTTCTAGAATGAAAACTGCATTTCACGTTGAACTAAGACTCTTTTCTATCTACTTAAAAGGATATTTTAAGTGTTTTTCATGGAATTTTGAATGATCAACCGTATACATTTCTCAAGTAAGTAGCAACGATGTCTATGGAAAACGACGCCCAAAACTGATCTTTGCATTTTGAAGGTCTTCGAAGAATATTCCCGTTCTCATGAAGGAAAGCAGTTGAAAACATTCGAAAGCAACCAGGCTTTAAAAGCTAGCGAGGTTTCCGAAAGAATCATGAGGTTAACGTGATCGAATTGTAGGTAGCTTTTTTGAAGAGACATAGAATCAAGTTCTTGAATTACTCAAGTCTTGAGGACGAAAGAAAATCTGCAGGCAAAAGCTACCTATTTATGACTTCTATCCGTACATTGGAAGATATCTATGAAGCCATGGGAAGTAATGTCTTAACAGGCCCGTGATTATAACCATCGGCGTTCCCTTAGGAAACTTTGCACTTGTCCCCCGAACTTTATGAACAACACCAACATTCCTCCCAACATACTTCCCGCTTTCATCGCGAACAGCCTCAATCATGCCAGCGGATAGATCCAAATAGCTGATAAAGCTTTCCTCGTCATCAAAGCTCAACTCGTGTCCCTGGGCAACGTCCACCGCGAGACCGCCCGGCTTGATGAAAATCGTCTGGAGCCAGTCGCTCTGCTGACGCAAGAAGGTCTCGGCGACTCGGAGGTCGTCGTAGACAAAAGATGCTGCCTTCAGCATGACGGGGCGGAACCACCACGGCATGTCATGGGCGAGATGGTCGTCGATGGTGGCCGAGCTCAGCAGGACGAGCTTGGGCACCTTGAAGTTGGTGATGCCCTCTTCTGCACGGAGACGGTGCAGTGCCTCTACCACAATGCGTGCAGTGTCCTGTGCGAGACTGCAACCTGGAAGATTGTCGTTGCAGGTGACAACGAGGAAGACAGCTTGGGTTCCTCGGATGCAGTCGGCTATCAACGATACATCGTGAACGCTGCCGTCGAAGATTTTGACTTGTTTGCTGTCGATGACCTCTGGTAGGACATTGTATAGCTTGGTTCTGTTGCGGCAGTAGGCGTGAATTGTATTGGATGGAGATTGAAGTAAATTTTGCACGAGGGCTTTGCCACAATTGCCCGTGGCCCCTAGAATAGCATAGGTGCTCATGATTGGAATTTCTGAGCAGTCATTCACCCCAGGCTTTGGACTATGTTGATGCCTATGATGAAGTGAGGTCGAGGACAGCCAATTTTCTACATAATTAATATGAAGGCAGAAATGAACAATCACATGATGGTGGACAAATTGGGCTCAAATTGAACAAGACGGAACCCAAGTGCTATTACTTCACTTCCCTACAACTCCGATTTGATGTATCGATCATGAACAATGATGTTGTGCTAGACCCTCGTTCCGACTGCCGAGATCCATGAATTCCTTTGGCACTTTGTTTGCTGTTGTAGCTGGTGTCTGGTCGTTCGGTTTAGGGGTCACGCACGGCTTACGAGAGCAGCGACTAGGTGCATGTACGATCGGAGGCCGATATTCCCATCCGTAGTCTTGGGTTACGGAACATCCCTGCGGCAATCTCTTCACGGAGTGTCGAATAACTTATCGCCGCAGTTTTGAAACCGAATCTGTCCGTCAATCTCCGGAGATAGTTCCTTTGGAGCCACGAGAACAGGAATTTCTTCGTACTTTGGTGTCCCACCCTGCCACACGGTTTGGGCCAGCTCTGATGTGAGTCCATTCAATATTGCCTGCAATACGCATATGAGAGTATTCATCACATTCACCCTTCCTCTGTGTGTTCCCAATACCTGTACCACGAAACTTTTGCACAGAGACGCCAGCCAGCCATGGGCATCACCGTGCTTTGGGGCTCAAACGTGCCCCTGGCTCTAGGCGCCATCATTTTCATCGTAACCATCAGTTGCATTCTCATCAAGTCATCATGGAGTCTGGGAATCCCTGCTCCATTCTTGGCCAGATACACAAAATTGTGGTATGCCTGGCACATCCATCACGACGATCTTCACTGGGCCAACATTGAGCTGCATAGAAGGAAAGGCGAGTACAAAATCCTACCTAACTATGAAGTGTTTCTTTCTAAACAGTGCAAGCATGCTGACTATTATACAGGCAAAATCGTCCAAGTCATGCCAGGCTACTTCATAATTGATGATCCAGAAGCCCACAAGGTCGTATACGGTCTTGGAAACGCATGGTTGAAAGGAGAATTCTACGACGCATGGAAGGTTGGGGCAGACCCAAATCACAACAACCTGTTCGCCACGAGAAATCCAGCTCAGCATTCCGAGATGCGCCGCAAAGTAGCCTCTATGTACTCCATGACCTCTATGGTCTCATACGAGCCATATGTAGACCTTTGCATTGAGCTGCTTGTTGCGCAACTGGAGGAGAGCGCTACGACTATTAATGTGGGGGCATGGTTGCAGTACTTTGCTTTTGATGCCATCTCCATGATTACAGTGAGCCACTTTCTGAGCCCGAATCTTGGTGGCAGGTACGCACAGCGAGCTGACAGCTGGAGAAAAACAGTTCGGACAGAGAATGGGCTTCCTTGACAAGGGGAGTGATGTGGAGAACATGATTGAAAATCTGAATTTCGACCATATGATGCTCACATATGCCAGCCTCTACCCCTGGACAACGCCCTATGTGAGAATGTTATCCAGTCTCATCTCAGGACCCAAGATTCATTTCTTTATGCGCTTCGCCTCGGAGAAGATCACCGCGGCGCGCCAGGAGACACAGGATCTACCAGCAGACGGTCCAGCGTACATGGTACGCAAGTTCCTAGACGCCCAGCGCAAAGAGGGCAAGAAAGGAATGACAGACTGGGACGTCTCCGCCAATGCTGGCGCCAATATCGGTGCTGGGAGCGACACCACCGCCATCGCATTGACCTCGATTGTTTACTATGTGTACCGCGACGCTCGCGTCCTCGGACGCCTGCGGCAAGAAATTTCTGGAAGTGAGCTCTCTGGGCGACCTACTTTCCAAGACACCCAGAAACTTCCGTACATGCAGGCAGTCATCAAAGAAGCAGTGCGTGTTCAGCCTGGGGTTGGACTCCCATTGTGGCGTGAGGTTCCCAAAGGGGGCGCAGTTGTATGTGGACAGTTTTTCCCAGAACGAGTAAGTTGCCCGCTTAATTGCCATTATCTTCTTCTCAGTTATGCGCACGACTCACTCCTTGCCTCAGGTCAATATTGGCGTCAACCCTTGGGTGCCTCACCACAACAAAGAGGTGTTTGGTGTAGACGCCGATGAGTTCAGACCCGAGCGCTGGCTTGAGGCCTCAAGCGAGAAACTTGCCAAGATGGAACAAAGCATGGTACACTTTGGTTTAGGTAAGACTTGGAACATTCAGTTGCTTCTTGTCATAGTACTGGTCAATACTATGATCTGGCAATGCTAACATAACGGACATAAAATCAGGATCTAGGACTTGCATTGGCAAAAATGTCTCGTTGCTGGAGATCAACAAACTCATTCCAGTGCTTGTACGAAACTTCGATTTGTCTTTTTGTGATAAGCACGGCGACCCGGAGAATCGCGATTATGTTCCTGTGAGAAATAAGTGGTTCATCAAGGTTCCGCAACTCTATGCGAGGGTCACTAAAAGAGGCGCCGTTGGAAAGTAAGGACTGCATTTTTACGAAGATAGTGGAGTGTATCCCTTCGACCATAGAATAGTCTCCAATTAGCGATCTTAGTCGAATGCAAAAGTGTCACAAATGATGTATGCTCGATTCATATTTGATACCTAGGTACGCACGGGTTGATCCCTCAGCTGATTCTCTGAGTAATACCTACTTATGTAGGTAAGTACTTTGCTCCCTAGCTTCTGTAGCCCTTGTATCGTTTCTCGCAATAATTGACTCAGACCAGTCTGAACACTCGCATTGCCCTATCTCTTCTTAGTAGGGAAAACAGTCACCCTGGGCAGCTTGCCTTGGACACATTTCTGCCTCCAGGTTTCCTAAACTAGGTACAGGAACCCTCATCCTGTTGTCTTCACCGGTTACTCGTCATCTTGTTTTTCTGTCTTACTCTGCTACGAGGTATTAATTTGTGTATCACTCAGCGGAGAGCAGGCACAATATTACGATCATACTAAGGACTGCGGTTCCGAACCACATTCCTCTTTCTTTTCAACAGAGAATGAGGGGGGTAAAGTTCAGTGTCTGAAGCTTTAGTAAAAGCAAGCCATCTGGCGCGCTTAGGTACTTAATGCTAGTAAAAAGGACCGGTAAGTGTTGCCGTGATCAACATCACCAAGGAAGAATTCCGCCATCCAAGTCTACCATGCCATTCTTCTCAAGATCAGCGTCCCTCTTTCCCGCGATGACATCCACTAGTGCCTCAGCAGCATCTCTGGCCGGCCTGGCGCCATGCTCGATCCGCGTCTGCCGGCCTTTTTCTCCGGTCTGAGCGGGAATCATCGCTGTCAGCAAAGGTGATCTGAGACACGCTCCAGTGCCGAGAGTTCCGAGGGTGGGGATGTAGCATGTCAAGACTGTCACTTACGAGGTTGGTTACACAGAAGCCAGGGTTGAAGGCGCAGACCTTGCAGCCCCATTCCTTGTACGAGTATCTCTGACACGCGGCCAGCATATTCAGGGCAGACTTGCTGGCACGGTAGTGCTCACCTGGTATGGCAGCGCCCGGGTTGGTAGGGTCCAGCTTTCTCGTGATGGAGCCCTGGTCGGAGGAGACGTTGATGACCAGGGGGTTTGCCGATTTCTGAAGAAGAGGCTCGAGCGCGTCGGTCAGGAGCCAGGGGCCGAAGACGTTGGTCTCGAAGGTCGTCCGCAGGAGCTCGATCTTGGCCATGGGCTGTTGACTGGGGATGATGAGGATGGCGGCATTGTTGACCAGCACGTCCAGACGGCCAAACTCCTTCTCGATATGCTCCTTTGCAGCTTCGATGGACTGGGCGTCCGTGACGTCAAGCTGCAGCACCGAGATGGGGCTCTTCAGGGAGTCGCCATGGGAAGCCTTCACCTCCTGCAGTGCCTTGTTTCCCTTGTCTACGGTGCGGGCGCAGAGGATAATGTGGTAGTCTGGCGATGCCTGCGACAGACAGACTACGGTTTCTAGTCCGATGCCGCTATTGGCTCCTGTTGAGAAAAGGCGAGGTAAACTCTGTTTAGATTCTGAATCGGGATCTCCCCGCGTATACTTGGCAGCGGATTCTGTGGCGGCTTACCTGTGATAAGCACAATCTTCTTGTCGGGCGCCATTGTGGAGGACGGTCGTAAGTAGTATGCAAGATTAAGCTTTTTTTCTTTTTGGAATGGAGATGGTGACTGAGCTTGTGTGTCAGACAAAGGGGCCAATAATTGTGAGCGTGGGCAGGTTCGATTTGTACTTGAAAACAAAGCGGTCTTAAGGAACAGCAGAGGCCGAGTCTCTCCGTCTCTTGTTGGGCGAGACGGACGTCGTGCAACGCACCAATTTCAGCGGCAGGTATGATCGGCGATTGGAAAAAAGAGAACACCGAATGTAAGCAAACAGCTGTCAAGGGAGAAGAAAGAAAGAAACAGACGGGGGGAAAAAATCATATAGCAGGCTACTGCGTCACTTCCATTGCAATTACACGGTATAAATATTGTCGAGACTTAATTAATATCTTCAGCTCATCCATAATCCCCAAAGTAGATTAGTCCTATATGAATTAAGAACATCTCCCTTTTTTTCCTAGTATTGATGGGAAAAAATGCATGTGTAAAAAGTTCTGGAACCGCAACGTAAGAGCGGTCTCCGAAGTCAATAGTACTAGAATTATGTATTTCATCTTAAACCGCCATTGATGATAAATATCAGCCTTCCTTGCACCCGTCTAGTGCTGATCTGCCGGGTCCCAAAGCCACATTTTTGTTGACACACCGGTTTACCCCCCCCCCCCCTCTCTTCACAAGCACCAACTGACCCGTGGTACGACCGCTTGCCCATCATGGGAAGCTTGGAGCAGTTCGATACCTGCAGTAGCAGACTCGATGCAGCCATCAAAACATTGTCTGAATATTTCCATAGTGGCAACTACAATCCTGACGCTTCGACATCAGGTCTGCCCATCCCCTCTTCGGCCTCGTTGAAAGTACATACTGCAAGACGTACAGTCTTGCGTAGTATCGATCGTCTGCAGGCCCTACTCACGGATTCCGAGGCCCTCCTTCAGCGACTCTCCTACCAAGTATGCAAAGCCAAGTCTCATCCCCGTCATGTTGGGTAATAATACATACCCTGCGTCTGTGATCTGATTTGCTAATAAGGAATCGAATCGCGGCGTCTTTTTTTTACTAGAGCCAGCTCCTCTCTTGTCTGAAGTGGTTGGGGGATTTTCAGATCTTGGCATGCATCCCGCTGACCGGCAGCGTACCCGTTAAGGACGTGGCTGATCTGGTCGGTGTCGATGAGGCCGAGATGACGAGCGTTGTGCGCATGACGGCATCAGCAGGCTTCTTGCAAGAGCCTCAGCCAGGCCACATCGGCCACACGGCCCTCTCGTCCCCGTTCGTAACTCAGCTCTTCTATCTGGACGCCATCATGTTCCTGGGTGAGACCGCCGCCCCTGCGTCCCTGCAGATGGCCAAAGCATCCCGGCTTCGGGGACGACAGGCGGATGCGGACTGGTGGCCGTCTGCCGAGTCCGAGTCTGCCGGACCATCATCGGCATCCGAGATGCGGACAACCACTGCATTTGGTCTTGCTTTTGACACCGAGCAGACGTTCGAGGAGGTTTGCGCGGCTCGTCCGAAGCTGCAGAGACAGTGGCCTGCGTTCCTTCGGTGTATTGGCGACACAGATGAGAACATGACTCAAGTTCTTGCGCGGCTCGACTGGCCTAGCCAGGGCAAGGTGCGCATCGTCGATGTGAGTTTATGATCCTCCTCTTCCTACTTCTCTTCTTCCTATCACAGATAGAAGGCTCCAACACATCCACCCTCAGTACACAGGAGTGGATCTTGATCCCTGTCTGCTCTTACCAAAAAGGATACGACAGTGATACAATACTGATATCGCGAGACCTGCTTCGGTGATAATTAGGTTGGTGCTCAAAGCACAAGTGCGGCACAGGCGCTGGCAGGACTGTTCCCTACCTTGCACTTTGTAGTACAGCTTACTGAGACGACGACGACAAGGAGCCCGCCGTTACCCGCAGCCGCCGCTAATACAACTACTTCTTCCACTGGTGCTGCTGGGGACGCAATACAAGCGGGTCGTATTATCATCCATCAGAGGCAAGCGCCTGGCGGTGAGCAACCAATCAAAGATGCAGACGTCTATCTGCTGCGGCTACCATCTCGAAACCCCCATGCAGGAGGCGCACCGGGGGCGGCGTATGCGGCGTACATCATGTCAGAGCTACGAGCGCACCTCTCAATCCTTCGTGAACATCCGGCTGCCCTTTTCGTTCTGGCGCTTCGCTGCATTCCTCAATGTGCTTCCTTTTCCTCTTGGTTGTCGTCGTCGGCGTCGTCGTCGTCGTCGTCGTTGCTCCCCGCAGATGTCGACTCGCTGGCCCGCGTGCGGGAGCTGCTACGGATACAGCTGACAGGGTACCCGAGTGTCGTCGACGTTGCAGAGTTGGTGGGAGAGATCCAGCGGATAGGGGATGACGTGGGAAGGCTATCCGTTGTGAAGAAGTTGCAGGCGAGCAATAGCGCAACAGTGGCTGTGGGAATAAGGTATCAGTATAACCAGGTAGACCACTCAATGGATTAGCAACTACACGTAATAGGAAATAGAGCATTCAACGATTTCTTCTTCGTAGCATTACTAAGTGGATCTTCATTACTCTGATGATCTGAAACAGGGCGAAAAGTCCAGTCTGACAGCCACCCCGCCACCTCAAGCTGCATGACAGATCTTGTAGGTGAGACTTTGGATAATAGTTGGATTTGATATCGAACTCCTTGCTCAATGCCAAGCACCTATGGTGAGTCTCGAACCTCGTACTGTTCCCACCCATGGTTGTACAAGGCAAGCACAGGTTATGAATAATACCATGCTTTCCTATCTGCCCCTCTGTAAGCACCATCGCATTCTGACTGTTCCATATATTGTTCTGTACAAGGACGTCATCAATGTTGTTTACAAGGCTCCTTGTACGGGGATTGTCCGAACTGACCTATTATTTCAAGCAAACTGATCTATAAGCATGAGAAATGTTCAAGTACCTAGTAGTCGACGACTCAAGTAGACCTTACTCACCTTCATCACTGATTACTATTACATTTATTAGGGCCTTTGCCCACCCAACCCCTTGAAGGAAGATGACGAACTGGCCCTTTCAGCCAGGGCTTAGAGGACTACCTAATATTATTCTTCATCACAACAACATCATCCATCATCCATCCTCCAAGCCACCTGTGTAGTATGGTAATAGTTCAGGTTCGCAGCAAAAAGGAAAAAGAAAAGAAAAAAAAGGTGTCGAAGCCATGCCCACCCCCAGTCCCAAGCCACCAACCATCACGATTCCTTCTTTTTCTTCTTCTCCATCATCATCTTCTTCATTACACAAAGCACCAGCGCTGCCCAAGCTGCGGGACAGCTGTCGCAGCTGCGCCACAGCCAAACTGAAATGCAGCAAAGAAAAGCCAACATGCGCACGGTGTGCCAAACGAGGACGCTTGTGCGAATACCTAGTCAGCCGACGAGCCGGTCGTACACACTCCATGTCGGCCAGCAGCAGAACAATAGCAGGCGACGGACCACCCTTCACTTCCCCGTCCTCTGCTACCTCTGCAAGGGGCCACCACCACCGCTGGCCTGTGGCGGCGCCGGGGCCGGAAGATGTACCACCATCATCGCCAGGAGGCATCGCTGTCACGTCGCCTGCCGCCACCACCACCACCACCTCCTCCTCCTCCCAAATCAATCACCAACCCACACTTTCACCTAGTCGACAGGATGTTTTCCCGAACCTGCCCCTGACACAACCACTACACCATTTGACGGCGCCAAATGGCTTATTCTCCGGGCTCGACGACATGTTCAGCTTTCCTATGCCGTTAGAAATATTCGCTGGTTCAAGCATGGATCCTAATCCCGCAGAGTTCGAGCTCCTAGACCAGGACGCCCTCGACGCCTTTATAAACTCTCACACTACCACCGATGATTCTGCTGGACTGGAAAGCCATGCATCCGATAGCGGGACGACACTGGTGATGGGCAATGGCAGCATGTTTGACACGGCATCACAGGTGCAGTCCCACATCGAGATGCAGACTCCTCAAGACAGCTGTAACACCACGTTGCTGTCGGAACCAGACGTGCCGCAGGCCCTGATGGGAGGAGGAGCAGAAGACTGCTCGTCAGGCTCATGCCTCCAGCGCATGCTCTCGATCATCCAGAAGCTCTCTCATACGCAACAGCCGCCCATTGAACGTGCAGAGAAATATGGTTATGGTCCCAAGTTTGACGACCACAGTTACCGCCACTTGCTCTCTGCCGAGTCCATCATCGCCCACAACAGGCCGGTCCTCGACACGGTGGCTGATATCCTCCAGTGCTCGTGTTCTCAGGACAGCCACCTGCTGGTCCTCATCACATTAACTCTCTTCAAGGCCCTGACCTGGTATGCGGCCGCAGCCAGCGGAAAGAACGAGATACTAAAGAACCAGACGTGTCCGAAGGACTCTAGCCCAGCAGCGCCTTCGCCCACTAGCGGCCTTGTCGCTAGCACTGCGGCGGCAACGGGATACGGCACGCCGTCCTCAGTAGGCATCTCTGAGCAGCAGCACCTGGCCGGCCACCAGGAATATGATCGGGATCGTATGGCCTCCCAGCTGGTCCTGAGCGAGCTCTCTCGAATGCAGGGGATCGTGAAGACCCTATCACAAAATCTGGCGGTGTTGAGGCACAGATCAGACGGCGGAGGAGGCCGTGCTGTGAATGAGAAAAACGTAGATCAAAGAGCTGGAGGGGCTTATCATAGTACTAGCAGTACTACAATTACCTTCTCATTTGCTCTGTTCGAGCAGCTCGAGGTCGACCTCCGGCGGCGTCTTCGTGGGCTGTCGGCTGAGATTATGGAAAGGTTGCGGCACGTATGAGTTGATCCGGGGCTCCTGCTTTGTCTGTCCAATGCAATAGTATGTAGGGCCCTTTGATAGCAATGAAAGCATCAATTATAGAGACGATGTTTGGCTCTTCCCCCTCCCCCTTTTTTTTCTTCTCCTTTCCTTTCTCCATCATACGAAGAGGTCATTGGCGGAGCTGCGATGCTCTATCAAAAATTGAAGCCTCCCATTTGAAAAGACAGTCTGTAAGCAATACGTGTTCTCGCCCTGATCTACGTTCTACATCTATACATGCCTATTCTGCATCGATATATGCTTCAAATGCTCTAAGCCAGCACGGTCGACCGCAGCCTCCTTCGCTATTATATCGTCTGATCCACGGCTTATCAACCTAGATATTGGAAATGTATGTCTCGGCTATCATGTCCGTGAGCTTAACAGTGCTTGGCTGGCTATGGAGGCACCATTTGCTGATTCGCATTCAGTGGAGAATTCGAACATGTTCAACTTGACAAGCTTCAAGCTCCCGCTCGGCTTGTTTGAATTAACTTGAGGGATCAGAAGACAAGACATCATATCAATTCAAAGGTCAATGACAGCAGATGGATATGGAACGCCCTGCTAGGAAACAACTTCTGCACGACGAGGCTGCGCCTTTGAATAGTAAATCAATCTAGAAATCATCATTCTACAAACTGACATTGATGGCAGTAAAGGAAATATTTTCCATGCTCTAATTAGACACGAATCTCAATAGGCTGTATGCCATACCATCTCTTCTGTCCACCTCTCACCTCAAACGCCACCTTGCCATCTTGCGAAAGCTTCTTCAGGACTTCTTCCGTGAACGGCTCCACCGCCATGCTCCTGACCTGCGCATCAAGCTTCTCACCATGCATCGCGCTCACAAGCTGTTGCACCGTCACGCTAGCCTTCCCTCTACCACTTCCTGTCTGAAGCTTCAGCTTAGCCAGCGTCTGCAGGATGCGTGTCTCCCTCTTGACCTTGGATGCCAGCTCCCACTCAATCTTACCCTCCAGGTCCTGAACCACCATGCCATGTGCCGGATAGCCCACTGCACAAGCATGCTTCTTCATCACGCGCAGCGACTCCATCCAGGTGCTCAGGTGCTCCACTGCCGCGGTGCCGTGCCCGAGCACGTTATCCCCCGTGAACATGGCATTCTCCTCGTCGAGAACGAAGCACATGTGGTCGTGTGAGTGGCCTGGTGCGTGCACTGCGCGGACTGTGGCGCCCTGGACCTGGAAGACCTGGCCATCGGTGATGGGCCGCTGGGAACGGCTGGGCGTGTGCTTATATATAGCGTCGGACAGGTGAGGATACATTCGAAGGAGATCAGGAACGCCACCCGTGTGGTCTCCGTGCCAGTGTGTGAGCAGGACGGCGGAGAGTGTGATTCCCGAGGATGCGAGGGTGGACGAGATGAGCCTTGCCCATTCTGGTATGCCCTGGCCTGTGTCGATGAGGAGCCTCTGATCTCCTGTCCCTACTATGTACGTGTTTGTCCCCTGGAGTGTGAACTGCTCGTGCTTTAGCGATTATCCAAAATACGTCTCTGATCGTCCGGACCCACAAAGAAAAAGGAAAGGATTGAAAAAAGGAAAGAGACCTCACCTTCCCAGCATTCTGGCCGAGTACACGCAATACACGAGGGCTGATCTGTTCAACATCTGCTATTTCTGGTAGGACTGAGAGTTGGCCCTCAAGATAATCTTCAAAAGCACAGATGTTCAAAGCTTTGTTGATCTGCTTGTATCCACCCCTGCGCTTCGGGTCCACGGGGTCAGACATTGTGCGTGAAGACGGTGGAATGATGATAATTGCAACGATAGACGATACTTCATTCTTTCTCTCGCTCCGTCGAATTTTCTCTATTAAAGTTGCCGAGGCCTTGTTCGATACACAACCTTGAGAAAAAAAATCCCCCACATCTTTCAATAATTTAGGGATGACTGCTTTCTACAGCAGGAACACTGGGTCCCGGAGCCCGAATGGCTCTCGTCTGATTTCGAAAGGAATCGGTATTGGTAATCTTCATATGTCTCAAGTTGAGCCTCGTGGTTATGTGAGATGACTATTGTCTTGTACCACAATTTGAACGTAATGATCATAGCGAGAGGTGGATCTTCGGATTCCGATGCCTCGTATTCGAAAGATGAGGAATGCACATAATCGGGTAACGATGACTAGTAATCAATTGAGTGACTAAATGCTTACTGTACACAGATGAGATGCCGTCACCCCGGGTGATCCAGACACAGACCGAGTTGAAGTTCCAAGGCCGGCTCGATGATCGGCCTGTTCGTCCTAATATCCGAGCCTCTGTCGAACCATTCCATCACGGAGCAACCGCTATTTTTACGTTGAGGTACATCAGTATGGCGCAAAATATTGCGGGGGAAAAAGATTGGTATACAGATTTTAGGCGTCCGAGTCTAGTGGGCTCTGTACGACCTCACGAACGAGGGTCGTCTTGTGCCTGAATCTGGGAGGCTCGGATCACACACTTTCCCACGTCCACAGAGTGCGAAGTCATGGAGACGGCCGATTTCTCTTCACCATGAGAAGTTGATCGGATATTGGACACGGTGCGGAGGACAGATGAGTCCGAATCTCACCGACCTGGAACATAAGTCATACGACATAGGTAAGAGCATAGTAGTTTGGCATATGGTTGAGTGAGATTTTGGAGGGTTGCGTCTCGCTTTATAGGTAAGATTATTGAAGTAATACTAAGTATGTCCATCAATAAACATGCACTCTCTCGACTTTGATGCTGGGTATTTCAAGTCCGCCGAGATAATTCTTCATTCGTGTCTCTGCTCCATTCAGTCAAGTCACTGTCCACAATGTCTACCCAAACTATTGTCAATACTATTGCCCCCAACTCTAGCACAGAAGCTGGCTCGGTCTCCTCAAAAGTGAACATCCACGCAGAGAACCTAGGTCTCGTCCCAGGTATCCAAAGCCTGCCGCAAGGAGCTATTGAGGCGGCCAACCGGCTGCTACAGAAGAACCATGACGAGCATCATATGTTCTGGCGTGATTTTGCCGGGCACAACCACGCGGCGCACAACGTGCTCACGAGGCTAGCCCTGGGCGCAGATACGTCTGCTCTAGAGCTGGGGTTCCTCTCCAATGTCGAGCTGGGCCAACGCCCGCCGCCGCCGACAGATGAGAATGTGATTGCCGAGCTGGCGACTGAGGAGGGGTTTCAGAAATACCTCAGTGATGTCAAACACTATGCCAACTATCTGGTCTTCTTCGAGCGCGAGATTGATGCGAAAGGATGTGCGTACATTATTTTTGAACCCTTTTATTTTCTTGGTTTTTCCCCTCCTCTTCAAAGGACATTTATTAACGTGAAGAGTACTTTCTAGTCAGAGAAGTAATCCAGGAGTACTGCTTCAGCCGCACAAAGACTGCAGAGGCCATTCTCGCCCGCATGTTCGACGGAGCTTTCCATCCCATCATCCACTGGGGTCTTGCCGTCGAGTTCGAGCAGCCAAGCATCTTGGCCGAGGCCCTCGCCCAAGCCGCAACAGACGCCAGCTTCGACATCCACATCTTCTTCGCCAATGCCGAGAGGGAGGCTGCCACCAACCCGACGACCCACGACCGCCCCCTGGTGGAACTCTTCCACGAGGCCCGCGCCAACGAGACGATCCGGAACTCGGCGCACTGGGAGGATATGCAGTTCAAGATGAAGAACGGCGTGCTCAAGCGCGCCGAGAAAGAAATCGCCGCCCTGGCCGCGCAGTTCCGCGTCACCCCGGCGACCCTGGAGCGCCGCACCGCCGAGATGATCAGCTGCTGCGCATATTTCTCGGGCGCGGCGCAGCGCCTCGGCAAGGCGCGCAAGATTGACTTCTTCTACATGCACAACGTCACGAGCTCCATCTTCCTGACCGTTCTGGCGCGGCAGGACTGGATCCGCGTCGAGGACAAGGTGCGGCTTGTCGAGTGGAAGGCCAGGCTGGATCTGGTCTGGTATGCCACCTGCGGTGCGCCCGAGCTGCATATCGAGTACATCAAGAACTATCAGCCCACGGCCAGCGCGGGCTGGGGCTGGGAGGAGCTCTTCCGCCGCGCCAATGGCGACTATGATGATGGCCATGTGGTCAAGTTCCTGCGGGCGCTGAAGAATGGAGAGCAGGTGGCCAAGCCGTTCGAGGAAGGTGTCTGGGCGGATGCTTTCCCGGTCAAGGGCGATATGTGGCTGAACTTGTCGCGCATGGCGTATGATTCGACTCTGGGCTTGCACCAAGACCTGAAGTGGATTATGTTTCCGGGTTTCGACCAGCCATGGGGCAAAATTCCAGACGCAGAGAAGCCTGGTTTCTGAAGGTGTTCTTGGCTCTAGGATACGAGGTAAAAAATGACACAATATGAAGTCGAAAACAGTATCCCTCGGCCTCAAGTAAGAATAGCGGGACAGCAAGTTCTCGCAAATATACAAATACAAATTCTTTAACCGGTCATTGCATTCCATTGCATCGCGCTGTCCAGCGAATGTGATTCAAGGATGATAAAGTAGACGTGGCCAAAACAACCATGCAGAATAAATAATTACTACTTATGCGTATGAGCTTAGGAAACCAATTCGGGCTCAGTTCTTGAAATTGTATGAACTCTAGGAACTTTCACTTGCACTTCTTTTGTTTTGATGCCTATTTCGTTCTGCAGCATACCAATGTACCTTGATGATAAAGACCATTTTTGTGCCAGGAACACCAGTCATCCTCCTTGAAATTCTAAACCTCCAGCTTACAATTTGCCATATCACAAAGCCAACTCGCCCCTTAGTTCTACATCCGATTCCACGGCAGGCCAAATCCAACCAGGGCTGCAAGCGCTGAGCACCCAACTGGAAAGTAGAACATGATAACCAGAGCCTCGTTATACGCCAGAAGAAACCCTGGGAGCTGGCTCGGAGCCACAAGACCACGGACCTCTGTGGCCCCAGCATTCAGCACTGCGCTGGCGTCGACATCAGGAGCATACTGCGAGAGCAGATCAGGCAGACGATTGTCAAAAATAGACTGGCTGGCGGAGATGGAAATGGCCGTGCCAAATTGCATGAACAGATTGGCTACAGATGTGGCGGCTGCGGTTTCTTTGGCGGGTACGGTTTCTTGAATGGAGATGATGGGCTTAGGTAGGAGTCAGAATTAATAAAGTCGTTGGCCCCCATACTCCAATGTGTCTGGCACGAGGGACTCACCACTTGAAAGGCCATGCCTCTTCCTACCGATGCGATGATCTGGTAACCAATCCATCGCCCTGTCGACGTGTGGACGGAGAAGGTCGTGATGAGGCCAGCTCCAATGCAACTGAGAACGCTCCCGGTGATACCCCACGGAGGAATGAATTGAAATCTGCGAACTGGTCGCGGTGAAGGTTAGCCAAGTTTCATAAAAAGGGCATCTCAAGTGACCAGACAAGCAGAGAAATAATCCACACGTACCCTGCGTTCCGAAGGTGATCAATGCAAGGATTTGCGACAAGATGGATGGCAACATGTGAATGGCACTCCACACCGCCGAGTCCCCTTTGATAGCCTGAAACCAATAAGGCAGATAATATGAGATCATCTGCGTGGCACCGCCTTGAAGGAACATGAAAGCACTTCCAAACGTTACAGACCGACGCCGAAACGTCGATGGCGGTATAAGGGCATTTTCACCCGCGTGCAGAATCCACAGGGTAAAGACCACGCTCAGAGCAGCAAAACCACAAAACAAGCCAATGATGGTTGCTGAGGACCAAGCATAGGTTGTTCCGCCCCAGGTGGTTGCGAGCAAAACCGACGTGGCGGCACCAGCAAACAGCACGAAACCTACAGGGTCCAGTTTGGTGCGCATGCTGAGCACAGCCTCATCCCAGGCTGGTTTGGGCATATGATCGGGGATTGGTATGAGAAGAGTGGTTACTATGGCGAAACCTCCTATGGGAAGAAAGATCCAGAAGCCTGTAAAGCATCGTCCGAGTCAGCCATTTGAGACTCCAAGACAGGCACAGTACGTCTTGTACCCCTTCGCTTTTTTCAAACTCACACCATCGCCAGCCTACGCGACTGGTCAGCGCGCCTGCAATCAGGGGCCCAGTGGCGGATCCAAGCGGGATCAACGCGACCGTGGCCGAGGTGATAGCTGGCCGGATCCTGGGCTCGCAGGCAGCACGGATGACGAGCAGGGCACCCGTGATGAGGCCGGCCGAGCCAAGCCCATTGACGGCCCGGCCAAGTATGAAGACAGAGCTTGACGTGGAGACGGCGCAAATGATGCTACCGATTAAGAAGATCACCATGAATGTGAGGTAGATGAATTTGTCCCGAAATAATGTGAAGATCCTACCGACCAAGGGAATGAAGACACATCTAGAATTTCAAAAGGTTTAGCTTCGTTGTCAAAGAAAGGAACGGGGATCCACGAGGTGGTGTGCGTACGCAACGATGACATAGGATGTCCCGTACCAGGACACATCGCTAATGGTACCAAAATAATCCGTGAGAGTGGGTATGACCTGATTAGAGTGTCCTAGGTTAGATATATGACGGAAACACAGACAATGTGTTGAACGCCAAGGTGAATTGCGTCATAAGAGTTCTATGAAGGAGGAGTGAATTCGTACTGTAGCAAGCATGGTTGTGTCGAGGCCTACAAGATAGACGCCAAGCATCATGCCAGCGATCAAGAGCCATAAGCGTGGTCCATGGATGGCCGTGCTGGTCTCTGCGACCGATTGAGAAAGATCTGGCCCCGACTCGCCCGTGTCTGTCCCGTCTGCGTCCTTCTCCGGTTGGGGAGTGTGTTGAGCTTCTGGTATTGGTTGTGGCTCAACTGAGGTCCTTCCAGGCTCGAGTGCCTCCGTGTCAACTATATCTGTCTGCATCGTAAAAGTACTCTTCCTTTGGACGGTATTTTGGTGATTTGCAAGTTGGGTGAAAGGGGACGCGGTTGAACAGCGATTTACGTTGTATGCAGTGAGGGGGATCTTATGGAACATATAAGCTCGCCCTACGTGCAGATCAAGCCCGGTGAGCGAGGGCTTTAGTAATGGGAAAGAAAAATCTTATTGGCCAACCAGGAAGGAAAATAAGTGGTGAGATGCGTCTACGGAACTGCGGACGATGATGGGACCCGTAAGTCTTCCGTGTGTAACCTGGCGCAAAAACCAACCGTAATAATCACTTACAACTGCATCAAGTTTCCATTACAATATTTACTACAGCCTAGTTGGGATAAAATGACTTGAAGATGTACCAACTATATGGAGTTTCTTGATAATCAATTCTATCTACTCTTTTTCTCTCCTTTTGAGAGAGAAAAATTATCCTGAATAGTCATCAACAAATGTTGCATGATCATGTCGGTAATCGCAGGATTGTGGCTTCAACTTTTCCTTGAAACAGCTCCTGCTAAAGCTTCCACGAATCTCAAATTTCCAAACCATCAGCTTTGGCGATATCCATGGCAGCACGGAGAGCAATGGCATACACCATGCCCTGTGTTGGGCATGTAGTGATGGTGGGCGCAGCACTGGACCCTACAATCCGCAACCCCTTCAGACCCTTCACACGCCAATTTGCATCAAGAACAGTTCCGATGGCCGTAGTGCCCACCGGATGATGCCAGCTGCTCGAGCCCTTCTGGATGGCCGACCAGAGATCAGCATCGCTGTCCGTGTAGTTGGCGCCGGGGAAAACCTCCTGCTTCGTGTAGCCACTCAGCTGTGGGGAGCGAAACATGTCCCGCAGCTTTCTGTACGCATAGATAACTGCAGACTTGTCCCCCTCGCTGGCCCAGTAGTTGGCATAAATCAGCGGCGCATCACGATAGTCGGCGGATGCCAGGTCCACGGAACCAAAGACCTCAGGCTGCACCACGGCGGCGAAGGCAGACAGCATGCTCACGTTGGGGCTGCCGGGGAGGAACGGCCCCGCAAAGTAGGTGAATGCAACGTGCGGGCGGTCTTGAGGCAGGCTCTTCTGGTAGCCGCTGGCCACCTCGTCGGGCAGGCGGATCATGGCCAGCACGTCGCCCACGATGGTGCCGAATAGGCCGTCGCCGTTCGCGGCATACTCCTGCGCCTCGATCGCCTCGCGCGTGGCGTTCTCGGTCAGCTGCCAGTACGTGTCTACAAAGTCTTTGGCTTCGTATTCTACCGTGGCGTAGTGGTGGTCTTGCAAATTTTGGCCCACTTCTGCGATGTCTTGGATAACGGGGATGTCGAGCTCTATGAGGCGCTGCGCTGGCCCGACGCCCGAGAGCATCAGCAGCTGGGGCGTGTTGATGGCTCCAGCCGCGAGGATGATCTCTTTTGCCCTGCGCACGTATGTTGTATTGGTCAGGGTGTCATTGTAAGTCACGCTGTTCGCTGTCTTGTTGCTGAAGCCGATGTTTGACACCCAGGCGTTGTGCAGTGCCTGAAAATTGTTGCGTGTGTTGGCAAGGTAGCCAAATGTATTGTACGCATATGAGCGCGTCTCATTGGAAACACGGATGGACTCGATTCCTTGGGATACTCCAATGCCTTCGCCAGACACAAAGTCAATCTGGTTGAGGTCGAATGTCGTCTGCACCTCGTTTGAGAACGGTTCATCGAACGTGAGAAGTTTCCGCTGACGGCTGATAGCCAGTGGCCCGTCGCCAAACATCGACACATTGATCGCCTGGCTATAGTTGGCCTCGGGCGCGACTTGCCACTGCGTCGTCGCTTTGAAAGCCTCGAGCATCGAGTCCCAGCCGAGACCCTCATTGCCAGAGATTTCAGCCCAATCATCATACACCGATGCTGCTCCACGCGCGTACAGCATGGCATTGACTGCAGTGCCACCGCCAAAAGCCTTGCCCTGGAACAGGTTCGCCGACAGCCCGCCCAGCCCAGCGTCAGGCTGTGTGGCATAGCGCCACATGTAATTACTGGTAGCAAAGAACTCTGCTGGTGCTAGAATTGAGGAATCTATTAATATCTGTTCTCCTCTTTCCTTCCAATACCTATGACATTTCTCAGATGCCTGATCCAGGACTAGGACTCACTGGTAATCTCAGGATCTGCATCTCCGTCGGGCCCCGCTTCCAGGAGCAACACACTCTTGCTTGGATCGCGACTGAGATATTCTGCCACAACGAACCCTGCAGGTCCTCCGCCGATGATGAGATAGTCGCTCTCGGGGACGGTTGGGGCTGCTAGAATGGGGACGGGCATTGCAGCGATGAGCGATGCTATGCATCTCAAAGACAATGTTAAAGAACGCATTATCGAAGCGTGTATTTACAGGTGGAATGCGCAGGACAATTTTGGCCGGGACGGTAATGGAGAACAGAAAAAACCAGTATTGGCACCCACAGCGTTTACTTGGGACTACACATTGTTTATTTTCTAAACACGATTCATTTATGGGACATAGGTAGTATCTCGTCATATTCCTCCTCATAAATGTGCCCTGATAGCTCTCCCAGAAAGGAGTCATCTCCGCAACGTGGAAAACTTCGGTCAAACAACACTAATCAGAATGCAGCCAGATAAGCTTCAAGGCTTGGCGTGTTGTGATGGGGGCTGAGGGAATCTTCAAAAGCATGCCAAATCCTGGCTTACTGGTGCTCTGTACCTTTGTTGAAGCAGTGGCGCGTATCTAGTTCTCGGACAAGGTAACGGTCAGCTCCCATTATCGGACAGGATCCACATCGGAGTCCGACCTTGCATATTGGCATCGGTCAGCAGAGGGAGGACACATGTCGGAACGATACCGTCAGCACAAAATTATGCGATTATGTTGATCCGAGTAATCACATGGACCTCTTGGCGCAGTAAGATACAAATACTGTGCGGTCGGGAGGCAAGAGTGCATCCCGGGCTCCTCTCGGGAGTAGAGGGAACAGGACAATTGAGAAATTCAGATAGAAGATGGGGCGCAGAGAAGTAGGGATTAAGTACCTGACGAGATGTACTTTATAAGATATTCAAAAGGAAAGTTCTCTTTATAGACCGTCAAGTTTATGAAGTGCCCTTTTGCTTATGTAAGGAGGGAGGGTAACATCAGCAAGTAGGAAGTCTCGTAAATTCTTTCGAAAGATTGACATGAGATAGGCATGCATACACAGAGACTTGATTATTGAGTCTATGAGTCTATGAGTCTATGAGTCTATGAGTCTATAAGGATGGAAGCTGCGTCAATCTGTAATACCAGGATGAGGGATGACTTGCACGAGCATGACCATGGTAGATCAAGAGAATGACGAGCCTGTCCATAGGAAAACTGATTGCAGAGGCAAGAGTGTGTCATTCATTGCTCGTCTCCTCATGGATCGGTAAATGCGCCAAGACATCTGGAGATTGACATATGCATTCTTGATGAACATTCTCAAGCGACAAAACGATGCTTTCGAGGTCCACTGATACGATGAGTATGGACGTTGGTACGGTATGATGTGGTAATCTCTGGAGGTCGCTGGAGGTGCATATGTATAATGATCCCAGTGCCATTTCAATCACTGAGGAACAACTGCAGCTTCCATGAGAAACGAATTCAGTCACCTCATGATGCCTCACCAACAACAGCATTCAGTCCCTTTCTACCTTCTTGAGGAAGTCCCCGTTCGAGCGAGGTTGGATAGAGTGGAGATGGCTTAAGTAAGGAGGGCAGGCAGTACGCTGGCCCCTGTCAGGTGGGATTTGGGGGCGGTTAGCGCGTGTTTACAGTGGCCTGTGGCCCAATCGACAGACAGACCAAGAACAGTCACGAGCTGCTAACTAACAATAACAAGAAAAAAAGTCGGCGTCAACATTCCCTCCTTCCGACTGACGGACGGAACTTTGACCAGCATTACTGCATCACTCCACCACAATCGACCTCTTTTTCTTTTGCCGGTACAGGCCACCAACACCTTGGCTATCTTTGTTGCCCTTCGAACCTCTTGCGCCCTCTGGCCAGCTCTTATCGGTTCGAGCAACGTCAGACAAGCCTCTTTGGTCTTCTGGTCAACACGGCAACGCGCGGCTATCAGTTCTCTGCCCCTGACCTGCTGCCTCTTCTTCTCCTCCCTCGTCGTCCTCCCCTGCTTCGCACTCCCACCCCACCTTCGAGCTCTTGTTTCTCTCTTCTCTGCGCTCTGGTCGAGCAGGATCTTCTCTCCCAAAGATGTCTACCATTCGAGGTACGCCCACGCCGAACCGCGGGCCCGATCGCGGTCGCATTCCTACCTTTAATCACTCTCCAGCGCCTGGGTCTTCTGCCATTCCCAGACCTGTTCCTGTGCTTGACACGCCCAGAGAGAGCCACGCTACTAATAGCGAAGTAGGCGGCTCTTCCACTGTCAGCGCAAGCCGACAGAAGCAATCAAAGAGAGATGAGGTGAGCAAGCGCCCCAGAAAGTCCACCGTCTTGGTCGTTGTTGTTGTTATTGTTGGGTCGGGTAGACTTTGGTTGTGTCTCTCGCGCAACCCCGCACCATGATATCTCGGCCGGAGGAGGAGAGAAACCATTGCATGCGTGTTGACTGATGACTGACAATTTGCTGTTATCACCATTCCAGGCCATTCGTCGCAAGATGGAGAATGATCTCTCCAAGAAGAAGCACCTCACCGGCCGGGCTCGACACACCCGCAAGGCCCCTCCCGGCACCGTCCTCGCCCTCAAGCCCAGCCAGGCCCTGCAGATCAAGCCCCAGACAACCGTCGCCGAGGCGGCACAGCTGATGGCCGCCAAGAGGGAGGACTGTGTACTGGTCACGGACGATGATGACAGGATCGCCGGTATCTTTACGGCCAAGGATCTGGCCTTTCGCGTCGTCGGCCAGGGGCTGAAGTCGGCCAATGTCACCATCGCCGAGATCATGACCAAGAACCCCCTGTGCGCCCGCACCGACACCAGTGCCACCGATGCGCTCGACCTCATGGTGCGCAAGGGCTTCCGTCACCTGCCTGTCATGGATGAGAACCAGGACATCTCGGGTATTCTCGACATCACAAAGTGTTTCTACGACGCCATGGAGAAGCTGGAGAGGGCCTACTCGTCCTCGAGGAAGCTCTACGACGCGCTCGAGGGCGTGCAGTCCGAGCTGGGCGCCAGCCAACCCCAACAGATCATCTCGTACGTCGAGGCCCTGCGCGTCAAGATGTCTGGCCCCACCCTGGAGTCCGTCCTGAACGGCGAGCCTCCCGTCACTGTCAGCGTCCGGACCTCGGTCAAGGAGGCTGCCTTCCTCATGAAGGAGAACCACACTACTGCCCTTTTGGTCCAGGACAATGGCTCCATCACCGGTATCTTCACGAGCAAGGATGTCGTCCTCCGCGTCATCGCCCCAGGCCTGGATCCATCAACCTGCAGTGTCGTCCGCGTCATGACCCCTCATCCCGACTTTGCGCCCATCGACATGAGTATCCAGGCTGCTCTCCGAAAAATGCACGGTATGTTGGTCCTGGCTGCTATTCGTGCGCGCGTGTGTGTATGTGTGCTGACAAAAAGCAACTAATCACAGATGGTCACTATCTCAACCTTCCCGTCATGAACGATGGCGGTGAGATCGTGGGCATGGTCGACGTGCTCAAGCTGACCTATGCGACTCTGGAGCAGATTAATGGCATGTCCACCACCGACAGCGAAGGTCCGGCCTGGAACAAGTTCTGGCTGTCCCTCGACCACGAGACCGAGTCCATGGTTTCTGGCGAAGGCAACCACCACGGCCACAGCCAAGTAGGCAGCCGATCGCTCATGTCGCCCGATATCCCTAGAGAGCGTATTGTGGACAGCGTCGCACCGGGTGACTCGGCCTCGCACGCTGGTGTAGACTCCCCTCCGCACAGTGCTCTGGACCACGGCCCCGAGCTGCTGCCGCCCGCCGAGGTCCCCTTCCCCTTCAAGTTCAAGGCTCCCAGCGGTCGCGTCCACCGTCTGCAGGTCACCGCCGCGCAGGGCATGGACACCTTCGTCGTCAACGTCCTCTCGAAGCTCGGGTCAGAGGTTGATGCGATTGGTGGTGCGCCCACCGTGGAGGACGGCAAGCTCTCCAACACTGGATTCGCCCTGAGCTATCTGGACGACGAGGGCGACTCCGTGTCCATCACGACCGACCAGGATCTGCTGGAGGCGATCCTGCTCGCGCGCCAGAACCGACGTGACAAGGTGGACCTGTTTGTGCACGATCCCGAGAAGCCCCCCATCGCACAGGCACCCACGCCAGCCCCCGAACCCTCGTCGGTCGTCGTTCCCACGCCTCCCGCTTCTTCGCTCCTGCGGGAGCGCAAAAAGAGGTATGATGACGAAGACAGCGAGGAGGACGACGATGAGGAGGACTACTCGCCCCGCCGCGGCCGTCGCCAGCGCAACAGGCATGCTCAGCCAGAGCAGGTTGTTCCTGGTGTGCCTAACGAGCTGCTCCTGCCTGGTGCGATTGCCACACTCGCGGTGGTCATCATTGCGACGTTCACGATTGGAAGGATGACAAGCCGATAGACAAAGCATGGCGCTACCTTTTTCATGGCGACTTTGTACATGGTGATAATAGGAAGGAGACGATGGATTCGAGTCAAATATATATCCCCTTGAGCATTGCATTGCGTTGAGTTACTTGAACTCCTTTAGCCACTCAACTACCACTTACCGCACGCCTCCCCCCCCCCCCCTGATACGAGCCAGATTTTTTATACTGCGCTGTCTTCTTTTACTACTATTGGTGACATCATCGTCGTCTCTGCTTGGACCATGAAATACCTTGTCGCAATCATAAATGTTCATCATCATCAACCAAACAAGCAAAAGGAGAATCTTTTTATATGGTATATCGGCCAAAGTATGCACGAACAACTCAAGACCCGACCCACCCTAAGTGCCTATCCCTTCTTCCTCTATCCGCATCCCCTCCATCCTCCTCGTCTTCCGTCTCATCCTCTCTCTCGCCATCATGAACCATCCCAGCCAATCCCTCCCTCTCCCCTCCCAAGAGCGGCGCCCTCTCCGCCTCGTTCCTGCGAAAGTGACCCACCGCGCTGATTCCCAGCACGCTCAGCCCGTGCACCATCGTGCTGCCCAACACCACAAAAGAAACCACCGGCCAGACCAGCGCGATGGCGAGCGTCTTGTCATCATCCCCACCATCATGAGCATACAGCGGCCCTGAAGGCGGCGTCGGCAGGGGGATGCTCGACCCCGTCTCGAGCTGGGCGCGGGCCTCGATGGCGAGGAACAAGGCGCCTATACCCATGGGGCCGAAGTGGCCTACGAACAAGGCCTCGGTGAAGGTCTTTATGTTGGGGATGAGGTGGCAGGCGTGGAGGGCGAGGATGGCGGGGATGCGGCGGAGGAGCAGCACGAGGACCAGGAAGAGGATAAGGGTGGGAACGCTGATGTGGTCGTTGAGGGGCGAGGACGACAAAAACGAGGAGGATGAAGAAGAAGAAGAAGAGGTGGTGCCGCCGCCGCTGCCGGTAAACCTCGCCCAGGGAATTACAGCGCCAAAGTAGACAAAGACGCTCGAGTCCAGAACCAGATCGACAATGCTCCGGAACGAGACCTCGCCCTCGACCTCGTCTGACTTGGCACCGAACCAGCCGTCATGCGCGAAGCCCACGCCGGCGCCGAAGGCGAGCAGGAAATCATCGAGGCCCAGGGTGCTGCCGATGCCGACGCTCAGCACGGCGAGGAGCAGGTAGAAGGCGACGAGGCCAGGGCGGCCTGCATAGCCGTGTCCCTCGGAGAAGCGCAGGAGGAAGTTGGCGGCGCGGCCGAGGAGGAGGCCCAGCGCGAGGCCCAGACAGCATTGGTACAGGACGGTGACGAGCAGCCAGTCGCGGATGGCAGAGGCAGCGTTGTTGGTGGTGGTGACGGTGTTGCTCGCAGCGCTCCAGGTTTCGAAGGCGGCGAGGCCGGCGTATAAGAAGGGGAAGCTCGTGCCGTCGTTGGAGGCGGACTCGGCGCTCAGGAGACGGCGGAGGCGCGGCGGGACGCGGCTGCTAAAGGTGCTGCCGCCCAGGACGGAGGCGGCGAGGACGGGGTCGGTCGGGGCGAGACAGGCGCCGATGAGCAGGGCCGTGGGGATGCTGCAGTGGAAGAGGAGGTGGGCGAGGAGGGCGGTGATGGCCCAAGCGGCGATCATGGCCGGGCCTAGGAGGGTGAGCACGGAGAGGAGGTTGGGCCGCCGGCGGAGCCAGTGGGCGGGGAGCTCGATGCCCACGGCGAAGCACTGCAGGCCTAGCACGATGCGGGTGAGTTCCTGGGTGAAGACGTCCGAGGTGGCGGTGGTGGTTGTGGTGATGTCGGAGCTGCCGGTGTTGTTGGAGGAGGAGGAAGAGGAGGAGGGGAGGAGAATGTTCAAGACTGCTGGGCCGAGGAGGATGCCATATAGGACGGCCAGGGGAGGCTCGGAAAGGTAGAGGCGGTTGCGGATGAAGTGGGAGAAGAGGGCGTAGATGATGAGGAAGATGGGGAGGGCAAGATAGGTTAGGTGTGGTAGGGTGGGTTCGAGCTGCGACCACATTGTGACTTGAGAGGACTGAAAGGCAGACAGGATGAATGGCGATGGGTTGATTATGATGCTGAATGGTTTAGAGGTTGGGTTGAGAGGTGATGCTGCTTGTTGTAGAGCCCTGGAGGGCTGGCTGTATTAATTTCTAAACATAAAACCTGATGAGGAGGCTTGAAACCGACAACTTGCACAGAACTACAGACCAACAATTGCTATTGCTGTAACAAATTATTATTCATCTATCGTAATAAAGTATACACAATATTGAAGAAGAAGAAGAAAAGGGAAAGAGGGAAGCATTCCGAAGTGCAGGCTGGTAAATGATGAATGACGTTGTGAGAATCTGGGGTACCAAGTACCTTCCAAGTCTATGACGGTTTATTAGCCGCGAGATTCTCTGGTCACACGTTAGAAACACATGGTCTCGGGTAGAACAAGCGCCATTTGATAGCGGCTAAAGCCATGATCAAAGTGGACTCGAGAAAACCGGGGTCCGGCCTTCTTGTCTGATTTGATCTGTGATGTTGTATAAAGATGATAGAACCAGCCCAAGGCCTAGTAAACAATTGATATTCCATTTGATCGATACTGACACCATGTGCTCATCTAATTTCTTTTTGCGCCGTCCTCCAAAACGGCGCCGCCGCCCCTCCGTCCAGCTAACCCCCACACCGCCTTAAATCAAATCCAACAGGTCATTTCCTGCCCCGCCGCTGCTGCTCTGCCCTGGTTGTTGCTGCGCCTGCTGGGGATGCAGCTGCTGTCCCGGCGGCGGCGGCGCGCTCGTCCCGCTGAGGTCCATGCCCGCAAAGCCGTTCATGAGATCACCCATTCCAGAGCCCATCGGCGGTTGTTGCGAAGAGGACCCGGCTGGGCTGCTCACATCGAACAGACCCATCATGTCCGCCATGCCGCCTGACGCTCCACCCGCGCCGGGCGTGCCCACCGCAGGACTGTCGATCCTGTCAGGCGTCGCCGGAACGCTGCCGGATTGCTCGAGAGACGCAGGTGCGCCACCGTCAAAGTCGATATCGAGAAGGTTCTCGATGTTGTTCTGCGACTGGCCGGACCCGTTCGCAGCCGCTGCAGCCACAGAGGCTGCGATAGGGTTCTCGGCTGCCTCGCGCCGCTGCTCCTGGATGGCGGCACGCTGGATCTCATCGGCGCCAAAGCGGCCCTTGCCCATGAACGACTCTGGTGGCTTGTGGTAGACAGAGGCGAGTGTAGAGAGTTCACCGAGAAGCTGTTCGAGGAGGGCGGGCGGGAGACTGGAGATGGTGGTGGTGATGGCGGGCTTTTGGGAGAGAATGATGTTCTATTCAAAGAATAAGTTAGCTGATGCTGCACAAGAATTCCCACGCCTAATACGTTTCTACGCCGAGTGTTTCTCTTACCTTTGCGATCTCGAGATCTCCTGACAGCAGACGCCAGTAGACGTAGGCTCTGTCTCGGATATCTGGGTTGTCGTTGTCCGCTGTTGCTTGTTGCAAGACTTTCTGGACGAGGGCCTGGCCGCTGCTCGGCTTCTTGAGGAAAAGCTTGACCACCGCGGTCAGGATCTGCAACTGTGTCTGTTGAGGCGGGGATCGTCAGTCAGATATCTCGCCTTTTATAGGATCGTATGTGGTTCATCGCCAGCTTACCTGTGTGAACTCCTCCATGAACCCATCCACGAAGCTCTCCAGGATCTCGTCTGCATTGTTGATCTTCTCGGCATACTCTCCCACGATCCATATCAGCGATCCTCTGGCATGTGGCTCATCCAGCTCGTCAATGTGTTCGCAGAGCGTGGGGATCACTCCCTCGTAGCCAGGATATTTCCGCAGGATATCCTTGATGACCACGATCACCTCTTGCACAACGTAGTTGACCTTGGTTGCTATCAGATCCAGCAGCGCATTCACGCACTTCTCGCTGGCGCTCTCGATCTTGATCGCCACCTGCCCGATGGCCTTGATTGCACGCCGCACAAAGTCCATGTCCACCTCAAGCGCGTACTCCTTCAATTCGGCCAGCAACTGCTCGTAGTTCTTGTCGTTTGATATCCGCACCATGATTTCAAGCTTCTGGAGCTTAAGGTACGGCGGGTCGTTGTATTTGCAGAAGAAAACTCGCATCTCCTTGCTCAGGATGTCTGGTTTCGCCTGAAGAAGGAGGTCGATGTTCTTCAGAGCGACGTATTGGACTTCCGGCGCAGAGGCAACAAGAGTCACTGCGTACGCATGGTCAGCATCAACACATATACATCTTGGCGACTTCCAGCACACAACATAGCGCCGCCAGATATCAGGGAGAGAACGTACCCAATGGCGGAGCCATCTTCTTAAGATACGTGCGCACCAGCTCAGGGCTGATAGCCCTCATGTGGGTGAAGACAACCTTGACCGCAGCAAGCACCACGCTGGGGTTGTTGTGTTGAAACTGTGGCGCAATCCTCTCGCAGATGTGCTCCGACTCTTTGACGTCCACCGGCGGGTAGTCGGCAAGGGTCGACAGGAGAGTCACCCGCCCCCACTCAGTACACTCGTTGAGCGCCATGAGCAGCTTCTTCAGCATCGCAGATGTGACGATGAGGGCCTTGGTCTCTGGCGCGGTCTCGCTGATTTCGGAGAGGGCCTGGACGGAGTTTGCGACGACGGCGGGGTTCGGGTCGCCAATCATCTCCTGCAGAGTCTCGATGAAGCCATTCTCGATGCACATGCTCGGGTTGAGGTCGAAGAGCTTGGCCACGCAGATGGCAGCTGTCTTGCGCACGTAGGGCGACTCGTCGCGGAGCGTTTTCCGCAGGGGCTCCTCCATATAGTCTATCATCTTATCCACCCGAATACAGCCCATGGTCCGGATCGCGAGCGCTCTTATGAGCGGGTTCGGGTCTTCGGAGTCCTGTACGAAAGTATTGACGGCGAGGATACAGAGGTCTGGATGGGTCTTCGCATAGTTCCTGCTCGAGGGGGGGTTTTTTGGTGAACTAATAAGCAGCTGCGCAACAAAGGAGGAGGGCGAACCTCCCGAACGAGGCCTATAGAGAAGACCAATAGAAGCCATTTTCTTTGAGTGGACTCACATCAGGTACAGGTACACCAGCTTCTTCTGATCCAGGTCGGACGTGGCAATGTTCTTGAGGACATCTGGAAACAGTGCAGACACGTCTTTGCCCAGCGTCATGGCCATGATGGTTTTCTGAATCGCCTCCTTCCTCTCGTAGGCATACTGCGATACCAAGCCAGCTCGCAGCTCAAAGGTCTCACCCTTGCGAGGGGCAGCGAACGCGCCCTTTATCCGGTTCACAGCCATCGTGAGAAAGAACCGTCGCTAAGCAGTCGGGTCGCACGTGTGGGAGGAGGGCGGGCGGGTTTCGTTGGACACTCCGAGGCTCTGCGGCCGTCGGGTTGATGGCGAAAGAAATGGTACGCAGCAGGTCCTTGATTACAGCATTCGGTATGATGACCAGTGTCAGGGGAGACACACAGGCTTGCGTTGTTGTTGTTAAATCGAACCAAAAGGCGTTGGCCTCCTCTCAAGAAATTGATGTTGGAACCTGTCCCCAAAAGAACGTTGTCGACGTTCGAGGGGCAGTACGCATAGAGTTGACCTGCAGGCCAAGCTGTTCCAAGCGCTCGGGCCACCCACCTCCCCTGACGCTCCCTACAGGAAATAGACAGGGGCCCAACTCCAGTAAGACCACCCCTAAAAACCCCAACCCCACAGGGTATAGTAACCTGAGGATTAAGTAATAAGTACTTCTACAAGATAAAGCAACTTTTATTCGGCAAAATTGACAAGAAATAGAATTTGGGTATCAACAAAATCTAGCTGAATCTATAGTGTAAGAATAATGATGGCGGCTAGAAGCAAAGACAAGGTCATCCGGGTGTTGGGCTCCCCCCATGCAACTGCTGCATAAGGAAAATTTCCATGTCCCGATCAGATATCTCACCGTCTCCATCATCCTGTTGATGATCATGAGTGCTGGCGGCAAGCAGTTCACAAATGACATTCTCGTCCACATCCATATCTTCGTGCGAGTTGTTGTGCGAAATAGTGATAGTATATGGGTCCTGCCCGAACTGACTGTAGCCTGCTGTGTAATGTGGAGGGGCAAAGGAGGCTGCATGGTGTTGCTGCTGTGGATTTAGTATTTGTGGGTCTATTGGCTGGTAGGCATTGGTCTCCGAAAAGTATAGATATTGTGAAGGTGAGGCCGGGCTGTGGGATGGCGACTGGGCTTGGCTAATAGCCCGTTCTGTGTACTGTGGCACCGGAGAAGGTGTACGTTCTGAAGCATGACGTAAATGGTCCTGGCCAGGCTCACCTTCAGGATATCGAGAGGTGGTGGCCGTATCAACATTTGTGGGATCAGAAGAGACGACGATAGAAGGCGCAGACAGGACACCAGCCGTTGGCGGCGGCGGCGAAGGGGGTGATAGAACAGTTGTGATTGACGTCTGACTGGGCGTTGGTGGCTTTGCCAGCCCATTCCCGGCCTTGGCTCCGTCCTCGCACTCCACACAGGCCCTGATTACATCCGACACCGTATCTTTGATCCCCCTCCAATGGTACTTCTCGGCAATCATGGCCGTCGTCTTGTTGATGCCGGCATGCATCTGGCCGACATGAGCGTGTCTCGCGATCTCGTATTGCCGAACCGGGTCGGAGATGACCTCCTTGTCTTTGAGCATGAGGACGTCGTCGCTTCCGTCTGAGCTCTGGCCCTCAAGGAGTTTGTAGTGCGTCGCGGCGCTCCGGAGCCTGGATTTTTCGGCGCGGTTCGCCCCGTTAGGATACCGTCCGTGTTTGAGGTAGAACTTGATCTTCTCAAAACGCTCTTCACTCACGAGTAGCTCGTCCGAGTCCCCCTCGCCCACGGTCAGGTCGCGCCCATAGATGATGGCGTCCACGAGGCGGCCCGGGTAGGACTTGAGGTTGCCGCAGCCGGGGACGCGGCCGATACGCTTGAAGCCCAGGGCATCCCAGATCTTGCATGAGGCTACGTTGGTCTCGTAGACGAGGTTGAACACTGAGTACGTGTAACCCAGCCGAGGCCCGTAGTTGAGATAGGCCTCGCCCATGAGCCGACCCACACCGCGGTTCCGCGAGGCATCTGTGACTAAGAATCCGGCGTTGCAGACTAGTGACTGTTAGAGGAGTCTCGCATAACCTCGTTAGACAGAGGGACGATGAATGTCTCCGCCTTTGACAAATCGCAAGAGTGATGCCCCGGCATGCCATTATGTGGAAGACGTACCGTGACTGGACCGGCCTGGATAATTGGGCTTGATGTAGAAGCTGCCGAGACACTCCTTCGCCCAGTCCTTGCCCTCGACAACATCTTCAGCTTTCTCGATGCTGCCAAGGAGCATGATGGCCCCGAAGTTCTGAAACCAGTACGATGCGAACTTGTCGGAGGGCATGGTCTCCATCATGGGATAGGTATCGCCCTTCTCGATCTCCTTGGCGAACTGGTCGCTCAGATAGCGCAGCAGCGACTGTGGTACCTGGTCCTTAGAAGCGAAGGGTACAATGGTAGCGACGGTCTGCCTATCGCGCAGCGTCACCTGCTGTGGGGAGATGCTCGCCGGCAGGGCTGCGCCGGGGCCTGGAAAGGGAGCCTCGCCTGAGACCCTGTACATGGTCGCAGCGGACGGATCGTCTAGCATGGCCGGCATTTTGAACGATGAGTGGTCAAGTACACCAAGGAATCAGCAATATGACTCGACCGCCTGTCGTCTTCTTCCTTTGCTAGAGTTGTCTGCCTGTTCGAATACATCAGTATATTACCAGCCCTGGGCCGCATATGGTATGATGGAAATACAAGATCAGTAGCAATTACTTCATACGCACCTCAACGCAACAGGTGCCAACCAGACGAGAAGAAAGAAGAACGAAAGGATCACCGTGACAAGGTTTCGTGGCTACGCAACCCAAGTGCAAGGAGAAAAGCGGCTAGTTATTTCATGTGGAGCGCCTTCCGGGGTTGAGGGCTCAATTGAGAAATACGTGAGAAGGAAGTGCCCGGCCCGGCCTCGGCTTCGGCTGCGTACCAAAATGTTTAGTGATACTGTAGGGCAAAGCACTGAGAGCTTCCGGCCCGGCGTCGGCGGATCATGGCACGTGTGAGCAAAGTTTTTTCAAAAAGGTTATTATTCATCAAATTAACCCCTCCAACAACCATAAGGCAAGAACGTTCAGGTTCTTCAAAACTTGAATATCTCTTCGTGGTCTCGCAAGAGGCGTGAGTTCGAATCTCACTCTTGTCATTTTGTTTTTGCCGGATGCTGCTCGATATGTTGTTTGGTGCTGTGGGTATTTGGAGGCAATCCTGGATCCGTGAAGAGCTTTTGCAAGCTTGAGATGGGGGTTATGTAAGTGGAGTGACTGTGTTTTTAGGAGTGTGTAGAGGCCTACTTGGCGTGGCGGAGGTCGCTCACTGCTTGATATCTACAAAACAAAAAAACTTCCTTTTCTTTTCCCTCTTTTCTGTGTCAAAACTATAAATATGTACACCAAAGTTCAAAACGCTTTTCGTCATATTTTTTTCGCTGCTGTACTTACAGAATGGCTCATGTGCCAACCAGTCTAGCCGAGAGCCTTCAGCACTCAGTGAAGTACTTAGTAGGTAGTAGTATTGAGTTTCCTAGAATCGTGAGAAGGGCCATTCGACCGGAATTTGTAGCCACTCGGATTCTCTTCGGCCAGCTGTCGAAAGAGACAAGTATCTGGACGAAAGCTGATAGATCTGACTTGGCATTCTGGTAGTCTAAATCCACCTGAAGATTCTCGAGCCACTTAACCCTGATGTGTGCTGGTGTAGGATTCGAAACCCAGTCTCATCTCAGCCTTTTCAACTCACGATGGAATTATACCCGTAGTAGCCCCCCCCCCCTTCCCTTCACTACACTTCTCAACGTTTTGTTGTTCGAGAACCACAACCAAGCAGGTCGCAAGCAATCATATCATCACTATCATGGAAGTGGCCAAGCTCTGCACATCCTGCAGCCAGATCGAATTCTCGGCCCTCGCGACCCCAACGCTCGCTGATATTCACAGAGCCCAACGGGACATCAGGAGGGGTATCGGATTTTGGCCCCGCGTCCTCCCAGACGGCACCTGGAAAGGACCAGGGGAGCCACCAGTGGTCAGAAAGGTGAACTTGGGCTCCTTCGAGCGGATCGAGCGCGATTCGGAGCATTGCGAGCTCTGTGCCGTCATCGTCGACGTGGTGCGCCAGCAGGGTGGCTACTATGCCCCGAACAACGCTCTCCCCACAGGCGACGAGGTGCATTTCTGGGCAGACCCTACGTCTCACTATGGCCACATTACAGATTCCGCCGAGGACATCGAGTCGAGCTGGAATGAGGCCTACTTCAAGATGCGGCGCCTGGCCATCACGGCTTCCAGGTCGGACACGGAGGTGTCCCTCGCCTATTTTGACCACGTGGTCCAGCCTTGCAGAGTAGGGGCCTCCAAGGTCCTCGATATCAAACAACAGCCCCCAGCAGAAGACGACATGTTGTTTCTTGGAAGAATGCGCCCGCCAACGCTCAATATGGATCTTCCTCGGCGCTGGGTGGAGTTGTGCGAATCTACCCACGAGCTAAGCTGTTACCGTCGCGGGACAGAGTCTGAGCATGATATAGGGTAAGATAATGATATTGCTCTTTCTTCTTTTTCTCTCTTTTCAGTTGCCCATCCTTTCAGTCCCTACATTAGGAGCAAGAAGTAATCTAAATTCCCATTCTACAGCACATTTCGCATCCGTTTCATCGACGTGAATAACATGTGCATCCGTCTCGTCGACGAATTCGATCCGTCTGATCCAAGCATGGCCTACACCGCACTAAGCTACGTCTGGGGACAGAAGCAGAAGCTCATGCTCTCTGCAGAGATCGAACCAAGACTGAAAGAAAATGGTTCCATTCGTGATGATGATCTACCCAAGACCGTCTCAGACGCTATAACGGTAACGAGATTACTGGGTCTGAGTTTCCTCTGGGTCGATGCCGTCTGCATCATGCAAGGCAAAACAAAAGTTGACCTCGATGACAGGGCAGAACAAATCGGCAACAGTAAGTGGACTTTCAGAGAAAACTCCTGCAATCATTCATTCAAATCACCCTGACCAAACATGTCTTGTATGATTCCAGTGGCAAACATCTACAGATCCGCGTTTCTTACCATCGTCGACGCTTTCGGTGAAGACGCAGACGCCGGGCTCGCTGGACTTCGCCCAGGGACGAGGTCATATCAGCAACGAGAAGTCGTCGTCATACCACCCAGTCCCGAGAAGGGCTCAGACGGGCTGTCTCTGCTCACCACCTGCAAGGCCTTCCCGAAATATTTCGGCGAGTTCTTCAACCGTCGAGACGAGGACGCCGACATAAGCACATGGAACACCCGCGGCTGGACGCTCCAGGAACGGGCGCTGTCACGTCGAAACCTCATCTTCACCCGGGAACAGGTCCTCTGGGCCTGCGACGGCGCATACTTTTGCGAGGAGTCCTCCTTCGAGCACCCCATCCCGCCCGCCGGGTCCTCCGAGCTGCGCACGCCCATCCGGTTCGAGCTGTTCAAGGGGCTCCAGCTGAACGCCACCAACCTGCGGAGCCTGGACGGCAAGATGGCGCGGATCGCGAGCTCGTCCAAGAAGTTCTGGGACAAGTACAGGCTGCTGGTCCAGCACTTCTCGATGCGCAAGCTCAGCTTCCCCGGCGACGTCCACGATGCTTTCCTCGGCATCATGATGGCCATGCAGCGGGTCCGCGACGAGTCCTTTCACTGGGGCCACCCGCGTTCGCGCTTCGAGCTGTCTCTCTCGTGGTCCTCTTTTCACACTCCGACGCGGCGGGCCGCCAAGAGTACCTTGCCGATGACCTCGCTGAAGACCAACATCGTGTTTCCGACGTGGTCTTGGATGGGCTGGGAAGGAGAGGCAAACGTGTCAGTCAGTGATGAGAGGTTGGAAACGTAAGAAGACCATGAAGAGGACAAAAAAAGCCCCTTTTCCTTCTCCCAAATTTGTATTGTATCATTTTCTAACCAAGTTCATCAGCGAGTACCCGGTTATCTCCTGTTTCATCCACAAGAGTGATCCCCTGAGACTCGAAATGATCAACGGAACCCAAGTCAACGAGAGCGTCCTCAAGCCATCGACGCCGTACCGTAACATTCCCTGGCTGGATGACAATCATATCCGCAGAGAAGTCACCCTCGAGCATGTGAGTCGGCACCTCCCGACCGTGGCAGACGTCTTGCAAGCCCGGACACTCCCCGACGAGCACCTCATCTTCTTCTGGGCGAGCACGGCACACTTCGACGTGCCTCTCAACCCCGAGGAGAAACATGAACGAGCAACGTTTGCCGAATATGCAGCTGCCAAGCGACCCAGCATCAGGGACGCCAGCGGCCTCGAGGTCGGCCATGGTACTTTTATGAGCGCGGATGTGTGGAAGGAGTTCAGCGACTCGGGAGGCCGGGCCGAGTTCGTTGCTGTGGCGAGGAGACAGATCTTGGACCTGGACCTACCGGCTATTGTCATTGCTCTGCAAATCAGGTGGGTGGACGGCAAGGCAAGAAGGGTCAACTATGCAGAAATTGAGGAGGCTGCGTGGATGGAGGCAGGACCAGAGTGGAAGTTGATTGCGCTGCAGTAATCATCTTGGATGATTGGAATTGGGTGCTGCCCTCTTGTGCGGCGTCTTTCCGTACATGGGAAATGGCACGGTTCTATTCGAATATGTGATCTATTCGACGAGCCCCTGGTGATCTGTCGGTTTTGACTGATTTGCAGGTCGTATAAGAGGTCCAGAGACGGCTGTGATACCACCTAAAGTTCACTAAGCCAATAACAACATTATTTGCTTGAGAGTACTCTTCCAGTTCAACTGTGGCCTAATATGAAACTCCAGCTGAACAAAGCGAACCTTACGTGAGCAACAAGTGGAATAAATACCACTCTTATAATCACAGTCTAGCCTGCTATTTGCTGCTCGTCGACGCAATGTCAAAACCTATGCATCTGTCAAAGGCTCTGCTATGACAAAGATGGACTCTCTGCTCTCCTCAATGACCCAGTCCATACTTTCATATCATGATCTTGCATTCAGCAAGTTCAAAATTGAGATAAAAGCCACAAGAGAATACAAAGTCTTTTGATAGATAGCAACAAGTAATATGCATGACCGGAACTACTCTAGCACTGAAGTGATTCTCTTCTAACCATTACACCTTTTCCCATGGATATCAAAGGGAAAAAGAGTATAATCGGGCATGAGAAGGTAACCGCATCAGTTCCATGACCCCACACCCCGATTAAATGAGTGCAGCCACCACGACAGGTGCCGCAGCGACCATTCCAAGCGCCCAAGTGCCGAGCCCACTGCCCAGCGCATCCGCCCCGCCCGAGGGCGTCGCAGTGCTTGATGTGCTGCTTTTCGTCGAAGTGCTGGACGAGTCCTTGGTGTTTGTCGCCGTGGTGCTGGTGCCCGTCTCGGTCACTGTCGACTTGTTCTTGCTGGTCGTGGTGGCGGTGCCAGAGTTGCCTGTGCCGGTAGCCTGCGCGCCCTCGCAGGTGTTGCCCGCAACTCCGATCGTTGTGCAGAACGTTGTGCCGCTGGCTTTCATGCTCGCCTCTGCGGCGCTCACCTCGGAAGCATAGTTGGCGTCCGAGAAGGCGATCAGGGTCGCGCAGGACAAGGGGGTGGATGTTGTAGTGGTGGTGGTCTGAAGGAGAAGGGCTTGTTAGACGAAAGTTGTATTTTATAGTATGTTATATATATAGGTGCACAAAAGAGACATACCGGGCCATCACAGATCGGCCAGCCATCGCAGACCGAAAGATAAACTGGGGCAATGGTGCCGGCGACACAGCAAGCCGAAGTAGTGTCATCAGCGTAGTTAACGCCAGGACAAGACGTGCTGTCTGCGCGATCCTGCAGCTTCTCTCCGTTCACGGCAATCGCCGCGGACAGGGCGAGGAGACAGGAGTATAGGCGAGGCATGATGAAAGAGATAAAATTGGCGGCAAGAACGCACTGGAGAAAAAGAAAAGTGCGAAATGAGGGTGAATGCTCAAAAAGAGGAAGTCGATGGTCTGCCGCGAATTCGCTATCTATTGCAATCACTTTTCTCTCGATCAACTGATGACAATACAAGGCTTTGTCATTGAGAAATATCAACACAGAGCGGTGGTGGTATACTTTTATATCTCAGCGAGGCTAGCTCTGTAAGTAAAGATGTAAGCTGTGTCAAGGGCTGCAATTGTTGGCCCAAGCAGGCCTCCACTCAGCTGATGTGGTAAGATGGTTGGTTGCTTAAATAAGGTGCATCAGCAGCCAAAATCCTACTTAATCAAGTATGCAGTGGATTTGTCTCTTGGAGAGGATTGTCAGCAGTGCAGCAACTGCTTGCTGCATCCGACGCACAAGGTAATAACTTGCAGTAAGGGATCAAGTATGGAACCCCAGCTTAGCGCCAACATCGCGCTTTTCACATCAGATATGCTTATGTACAAACTCTTTTCCTGGTCCCAACATGGCCGGTTGGGGCCAGGGACCATCAATCCGTGGGCTGAGCTTTGAAACATTGGCACTGGCCTCCCTACACTTCAGCCTCCGTCAGCATTCATCTTGGCACGCCGTTTTCAGAAGCGCAGTCTAACTCGTGCACAGGCCTTAGTAGCCCCCCAAACAGCACCTAAAATCCACCACAACCGCCGACGATTTCCATCAAGGGAGAGCTCTTTTGGGATATACTGTCTTGAAAACAGTGATTGTTACTCAAGTAGTCAGGTATGTGGGCCTTCTTGTGCTGTTGGTTTATCCTTCAAAAGTGGGAACGCAAAATACCCACGACAGGATTCGATCCTTCTGGGACCAACACATATGAGAACGGACAACGTATGTAGAAAGTCTACACCGCAGATCCCAAGAAGTCTGAAGCGGGTCTCGTGAGTTGTTGCATTTGGTCATCTCGCCAGCCCTATCCAGCTCACAAAAAAAAAACCCTGTGAAGATCCAGCCAACATCCCGCCAACTCCCGCCGCCTGGCGGGCATCCTCCTTGCCTACTTCCTCGTATGCTCATATTAGTCGCCAGACCGCCTTAGCCCTAGTCATCATCCTTCAACGTTCAGTTTCCTGTTGGTAATGGCAGTGCAATCTCTATCATACTTTGGCCAACAAATCAATGTGTTCATATCAAAGGAATCACAAAGGATGGAGATATTGATCCCACAACATAACCGTTGAAGGGAGAAGCAATTGTAGAGTGCTTTTATTGGTTTCATTTTGATGTTTTATTTTTATCAATTTCAAGCATGATAGTCCTGCCTTGTGCTTTTGTAGTCATTTCACAATATCTCATTTCGCTCACTTGTCTACCCGCTCGAGTCCTCTCCTTCGCCATTGGTGCATCAGCTCATATGTCAACTGAAGAGGCAAAACGACCACGGTAGACTCAGCTCCAGGGGCCCTCGTATCTCAACTCATTTGTGAGATTTGGCTCTTCCTTCCAGCCTTTCCACCCCGCGGCATTGTGTTACTCTTTCAATCGATCTGCCTCAGTCTTGTCCACGGGTCTAGGTGCTGCATCTCGCCAGTGGCAGAGTATGCAAATGTCCTACTAGGTCTCCATCAAGGGCAAAGATACGGGAGGAAAAGAATAACAGAAGGAAAGAAAAGGATCGGGGGGGGGGGAGCAGCGACGAGGGAAGAGAGAGAGAAACGCATTTGTGGTTGTGTGCGTGTGGGTACGTGTGTGAAGCGGGGGGATCTGTAGCCCAGAGAGTACTTCGATCGGTGTATAACGGCGCAAATCTCGGAGTCGAGTGCCTCACTGAAGATGCCATGCAATGAATTCCAATCGCTTAATCGCCTTAGTCCTACTGAGTAATTCTGTCTATTCCTCGGACCGCAGACTAAGCCTTATCACTCGGACTCTTCGAAGACCTATAATCGGAAGAAAGAAGAGGCCGGGCTTTACCGCTTGTGCTCCCGAAACATGTATTATATCCGAGAGAAATCTGGAACGGCGAGACATTTGGTGTTGTGAAGATAACGCAATTCCATACGGTTCCAAGAAAGCCTCAGCCTTGCCGACACTATGACCGAAGCGCTCTTGGTCCTTGCATAAGATGCAGCTGAGATGTTATGTACGGCGTTGCCGACATTGCAAGGTGACCGCTGGGCCTCCTGCCTACTGCTCTCTGATGGTTGGGCGTGGAGATCGAAGATTCCGGCCGGATTATTTTGCTGGGATACCATGATCCTCTGTCGGGGTATTGTCGTGGTGAGACCAACAGCGGCCGCCATAGGCAATCTGGTGTTCAACAAGATGGTTTGCAAAGCTCTGTTGTGCGTTGTTAAGAGATCACTAATTATCTCCTCTTCTTTTCGTCCATTCTTCTTCATTCTCCTTTCCCTCCTGTTCTATTTTGTTATGCGTGTTCACAACAGTTGCTCCCCGCCCCCCCTCACCTGTCTGGTTGTTTCTTCTTGTTTCCTTCATGTTCTCTCCCTTCTCTCTTCTTCTGCTTGCTCCTTCTTGGGTTTTGCTTTTTGCCCTCTCTCTTTCTGATTCTGCATGGCTGTTGATTTGCGCTTCAAGTTAGCGGGTTCCAGGTCATGGTTCAAGTATAAACTAAAAACCTTAAGAATCTATAGCCGTACCAAGTTATGTAGCCTGTATGTTTACATGATAGTTGTGTTGTCTAATCACTTTTCGTGAATAGGACGGGCGTTGCGTGTAATAATGTGGGAAACAGCTCTGTTGAAACAGAATCATGAAATGAAGCAGAGCCACTGCCACAGTCCAGGCCCTGATGGTGGAGTCAACCTTACTGGCGCTTGCTTCCGTTGACGACAAAAAGTGCCATCATAGAAGTTTGCAGCTCTGTGTGAGACTCAGGGAGTAGTGAGATCTGGGTATTGCTTGCCACCCACAGTCTATTTTCGCAGCCTGGCTGGTCATGACTACTTTACATTATAGCACATGGCATGGTGGAGGAGACGCATGTATCATCAATGCCAGAGCAGCGAAGCAGTCTCAGCAGCTCAACCACCCGTCAACAGTCACTATTGGGAATATTCCACCATTCAGTGGGACTTTTGTACATCTCAGATAGTACAGTTTCTTGCATTTTGTTTTTATTTCCCCATTGACATGCGCATTCCCATCAAAAGGCCCCCTACCCTACCCGATCACAGCCGAAGCTGCTCCATGACGGCGCTGACAGCACTATCATCACCCTCGACCCCCTTGAACTTACCTTTTACAGCCTTCCTGCCCTCGAGATCCTTCCCGTCCGCCTCCGCCTTGTCCTTCATGGCTGCCTCGTTCTGTTCCATCCACATTACAAGGTCGGCCGGGTTCCTCCACGTACAGACGCCTCTGTTCGCGTCCGCAAGGCGCCTCTTCTGTCCGCGCTCGCCCGCGCGGCCCAGCACACCAGCGATGACGCTGACAGATCTCAGACTGTGGTTGGAGAACGGACGTATTAGCAATACAAGTGACAAAACAGATGCAGGAATGTAAAGAGAAAGAAAGAAAAAAGAATAGAAGAATAAGAAGAGAAGGTCTCACCTGTCATCATTTCCTGGGATGGCATAGGTCACCTGCGTCGGGTCGGCATTCGTATCGATCAGCCCGATGGTAGGGATATTCTCCTGGGCACACTCGTGCAGCAGGGTGTAGTTCTCGAGCGGGTTCAGCACGACGACCAGCTCAGGCATGAGCGGGCGCCTCTCGAGGAGGTGCCTCTCGAACCCAGGCAGCTTCTGGTCGCGCTCGTCGACGACCTTCAGCTCCTCCCGGCCGAGGATCTGGTCGCGGTTAGTGATGGTGCCCGGCACCCACTTGGAGAACAGGTGGCACGCGCCGGCCAGCTCGGCCGCCCGCGCCGTGACCTCCATCTGGCCCTTGCGGTTGCCCACGAACAGCATCAGCCCGCCCAGGTAGGCGACCTCCTCGACGACGCGGGCGGCCCGCCGCAGCGAGGCCGCGATCTCCTCGAGCGAGATGATGTGGATGCCCGACCGCACGCCGTAGATGTACCGCTGGTTGGCCGGGTTCCACAGCGAGGCGTTGTGGCCCATGTGGCACTGCGCCGCCATCAGCAGCTCCAGCGTCACGTCCTCGGGCCGCGGCGGGTCCTGCAGGAGCCCGGAGGGGTTGAACCGCCGCTCAACCTCCGAGCCCAGCTTTCCGATCTTCTCTTGGATCGCCTCGCGCCGGCGGAAGTTCTCGGCAATGCTCAAGTCGACTCGGACCCGCCGCTGGCGGTTCCAGAGGGCCATGGGCGAGGCTGTGGGCACCTGCCAGAGGGGTGCCGCTGCGGCAGGCTCGGTGGTGGCAGTATCGGTAGCTAGTGTGGAGGAGGGGTCTGTTGGATCGGCGGATTCGTTCGATGTTGTTGTTGTCGTTGAAGAAGGAGGCTCAGCATTAGCTGTTGGACGGGGTGGTGGGCGTCCATCTGTCGAGAGGACGCGCAGGTTTGATGGTGCTGCTCTGCAAGGTGCTGCTCGGAGGACCTGGCGCCCTGGCCATGGAAAGAAAGTCAGTGAATTTTGTTTTGAGTAAGACCATTCTTGTGGCCGAATACGTATGGCAGTCTCTTACCATGCCGCAAGGCTGAGCTTCTTAATATCATGGTGGACTGCTGGAGCCTCACAGCTGGTTGTGAAGCTTGCAGATGGGGACGAAAACGTGATGCTTTGAGGTTCGCATCACTTTTTGGCGCGCTCAAATTGGAAAACTACTCCTTACGCAAGCAAAGGGCCTGCCGCGGGGAGTTCTAGTTTTCTGTGTCATGATTCGCTGATGCGCTTTGGAGGGTGGACCCACTCAGTTCATCCCATGAGACTGATGGCTTGCAACTCCGAATAAATAGACGTCGATTTGATGAAACGGCTCAAAGATGTGAGAACAGTGATCCAACAGATCAGAATATATATGATGTGACTGGGAATCAAAAAGAAACCGGCTATCTCAGTCATAGCTTTTCAACATACCATACACACATTAATGATGCCCACAGTGCTTCTCGTTCTTCAAGCAGCCATCAAAGGTCCCCAATCCATTCGTCCGCCTCCCTCATTCATCTCACTCCCTCACTCCCTTCCCCCTCTTCAACAAGATGGTATGTTCTCTCAAACCCTCTCATACACAAAACAAATAACCCAAAATCCCGCACCTTGCTAACGCAAACCTCCTCTCGTTCTACTTGGAACAGGCCAACTTTCCCAACCTACGGAGGCTCTTCATCGAAGCCAGGACCGATGACGAAGAGAGGGAGGTCTCGCGCAAAGCTGTTCGTGTTCGCCCCTGGCCCCCTCCAGGCCATGTTGAGATACGTACGTGGAACTCAAAGCTTACCTGCCATTGTTTTCCCCCATCTAGTTCTACAACGTGGTTCTTTTCATGGGCTCTGTTGCTGTCTTCAGCCTGATCGCACAGAGAATGAATGCTGGGAGGTAAATCAAAAGAGACAGGATGAGAACGATGGGCTTGTACTGCCACTTCGTTGATATTCATGTTGAATTATGGATACGACGCTCAGGCTATGATACACGTATCTGAAAACGGAAGCCCAATTAGATATAGCAAGGTGTTCTCTTCTTGCTCTCCGTTCCAACACCAGGGGCCCGCAGCTTTCCGTAGAAAAGACCAATCGATGGCGGGCTAGCCACACAAACGCCCCCCCAAAAATAAAATAAATCACCAGTGTCATCATCAGTCTGAATCACTGTCGTCGTCGTCTCCCAAGAACGCCAGTTCAGGCCTAGGATTCCGCCGTCGCGCGCCGCTCTTGGGTGCATCACTGTCCTCATCCTCGTCATCCTCAGCCCCGTCATGACCCAATTTCGTCTTGGCCTTCTTCTTTCCCGCTCTGTCGTCGTCATCCGCAGCCTCGTCATCGTCTTCCTCGCTCTCCTCTTTCAGGTTCTTCCTCGGCGCTGCTCCTCTCCGTCCCCTGCCTGTGCTGCCCCAGAGATCGTTCATCTCGTTCACGGCTTCCAGCTCCTTCGCCAGCTCCCTCCTCTCCTTGATCTCCCTGGCCTTGGCCTCGCTAAACCGCCCATCCATCCCGATATCCCGCAGCAGATCGCGCAGGTGCCGGATCTTGGCCTGGGAGTTGCTGCCAAACTTCTTCAGCTCGATGCCCCAGATCTTGCGAACACCACACTTGACCAGCTGCCCCTGCAGCTTCTTGATCTCCGCGTCGTCAGGTGCCAGGTCCTCAGTGGAGGTCTTACGTCCCTTGGAGCCGCCTGCCGCCTTCTTGGCCACGGGTTCTTTGGATTTGCGCTTGCGCTTCGCTGGGGGCTCGTCGTCAACCACCGAGGACAGGTTGCTGGAGCCGTCATCGTCATCCTTGTCGGCCCTGGAGGGATCAGGCTCATTTGACTTGCGCTTCTTCTTGGGTGGAGGTTCGTCGTCTACGACAGAGGACAGAGAGCTGCTGTCATCACCTTCGTCTTTGGCGGCTATGGTTGACTCACCCACCTCGGTACTCTCACTCGGCACAGCAGCGCGTGGCGGTGGGCCTTTGTTGTCGGCTCCAGGGACCTTCTCGTCATCGTCGGCAACTTCTGCCGCGGTGTTCTTGCGCCCTTGAGGCTTGGCCTTCTTCGTCTTAAGCTCAGAAGCCTCGGGAGACTTCGCCTCCTCCTCTTCGTCGTCAGAAGAAGCTTTGCGCTTGCGGCCTCGTGCCGCCAATTTGGTGTGCTTCTGCTGCTGCTGCTTCTTGGGCTTCACCTCTTCTTCCGAGTAGTCCTCCTCGTCCGGACTCAACTCGCTCAGTTCACTCAGTTCCGACTCGTCAGATGTATCCTCCTGCTTCTTCTTTTTCTGTTGCTGTTTTCTCTTCGGTGCGGCCTTCTTCGGCGCCGTCTTCTTGGGAGGAGCAGCCTTCGCGCCATTCTTCTTCTGCTGCTTTTTCTTGGGCTTAACCTCCTCTTCCGAGTATTTCTCTTCCTCCTCGTCCTCGTCGTCGTTGGCGCTCGTCTCGCTCAGATCGCTGAGCTCCGACTCGTCTGTCTCGTCCTTCAGTTTTACTTGCTGCTTCTTCTTCGGCGCGGCTTTCTTCGGCGGCGGCGCCACCGCGGTCTTTTTCGTGGCAGCCTTGGTGCCGTTCTTCCCCTGTCCGCTCTTCGCCTTGGGGACTGCCTCTTCCTGTTCGGGGGCCGCAATCTGTGAAGACGCAGCGGTGCCTTTCTCGGCCGCCATGAGCTGGTCCTGTACATAAAATCACAGCAAAGTCAGCTATGATACACGAGGCTCTTGCTTTGCCTCTAAAAATGACACCAGTCGGCAGCAAAACGTACCACTATCTCCTTGATGATGTTCTTGGACCTCCCCTTCCACTCAGCCGACCCAAAGAACCCGCTCTCCAGCCCGTTCTCGGCCTCCGCCTTCTTGCGCACATTGTTCACGGAAAGCTCGTCCCTATCAGGACCCGAGAAGATTTCCCGCGCCGTCTGCACCAGCAGCGTCTCGAGCGCTTTGTCGTCCATCGCGACCGTCCTTTGGAGGGGGGGGGCGCGGGGTTTCCTCCTCTCAATCCGGTAGAGGGCTTATTTCGATTTGGTTCGACTTGAAGGCAGGAAGGATTGTGCGTGATGAAGGATTTGAGTTTCGGTGTGCCTGGGTTGGACCCGTCGCTGTTAGCTTGACGATGCCCGTCAAGATCGAACGCGACGCGTAAAGACAAAAAGACCCTGTCGCAGCCTATTCAGCTGTTTCACAGAGCAATACAATAATTAGAACAGGGTATCGTGTGAAGAAGCCGCCCTCAAAGGCAGCACAAGCTGCTGGCTGTGCATAGGCAACAATTTCAGATGCGGAATCTGCTATTTGAGCGCGTTGGGGCTTGTCTGTTGGTCTTGAATTTATTGGATGCGGGTTGGCGCGCCGGAACGGGCTTGAGGAGCTGGAGCGGGCGGGGCTGGGTTCGACCTATTATGGTAACTCTCTGGAAGCTCCTCAGCGCACATGCTATACAAACAGGGGTCTCTGCCGGCCGGGAGCAGGCGTTGCCGGGTTGTTCTTATGCAGAGGTTCGTTGCCGGCAGGAACCTTGCGGTACATACTTACTATGTATACGACGAGATCGAACCATGTAATCACGACCTTCAAACCTAAGTACTGACTTGACAAAGGCAGAAGAATGGATTTTGAGATAATAAAATTTGCCTAGACTCATAGAACTTGCTATATAGCAAAAGCAAAAACCGGATAGGCATGATACATTGTGCAAAACCTCAAAAAAAAAAACCAAAAAAAAAAACCTTTCCATTCGAGAGGAAAGGTTCTCGAGTATTAAACAATTACACCATTGACGCCTGCTTTAGCCGCCAAGCCCCCGATTCTTCTTGCCTGTTCCCGTATATCGTGAAGAAGAAGACCACCCGTTCCAACTGTCCATCGATCGACCTGTGAATGTCGCGACAAGAAAAACAAAGAGAAAGAATTAGGTCCTCACAGTAACGCCAGCAAGTCTACATAGCCCATGCAGACAACAGACTAGTCCCAGGACAAATCCCCCCTTGCCCCAAACCCTCAAAGGCCCTTTCTAAAGAAAAAAAAAAAAGCTCATCAAACGCCCGCCTCTCTACTCTTGAAGGCCAACTTGTTCGAGGGACAACCGATTCGTTTTCCGTTCGTCGTCGACTACGCCTACCTCTGCAGCATCCCGGGATAACGGTACTAGCACCAGTCCGACTATGGTGTTGAGGGACCCCCGACCCGACTCCTTCTCGTGCTGCTCGTTCACTTCATTCCCGTAGCGATTGAATGATTAACAGCAGCGCCCTCGCTTGACATGCTCGTACATAAAAGCATCTCGACGGGTGCGGCATGGTCTGTTATGAGGGATGCCCACAAAATTGCACATGTTGACGTCGCTGTTCCGGAACCGAGATGGCCTGCAATGGCTCTCTCTGATTTATGCGGACACCTGGTCCGGCCCCTAGGCCACATGGAGGTATTCCTGCGTCGACCCATCCTATTGATTGACGAGGAGGCCTGCGCCAAGGCCGGCAGACAGGGACGGGACGCCCGCGCTGGGACCTGTCAGGCTTTGCATCAGACCGTACGAGCCTGCGTTGCTGCTCGTGCTGGTGTTGGTAGTGCTGCTTGACTTGGAGGCGACTGCCTTGGCCATGTTTTCGCGCTCGGCCTTCTCCGTCTCCATACGCTGCTTCTCGACCTTTGTGATGCGAGGCTTGCGAGCAGTCGCGCCACCGCGGGAACCAGGTCCCCCACCACGGCTGCGGCCGCCTTCAGCACCTCCCCGACCTCCTCGTGCGCCGGCGGCTCCGCCACGCCGCCCTCCGCGTCCTCGCTTGGGTGCGCCCTCGCTGCAGAGAAGACTTGTAATTAGTATACGAGATTGATCAGTAGTAGGGAGGGGGTGACAGGAGGGGGAGAGAGGAAACGTCATAGAGAAATACATACTTCGCAGGAGGTTTCGAAACCTCGGGAATCAGTGGACCGCTGTAGACGAAGAAACCGTCCTGGACAGCGGCAGCCTCCTGCTCCCAAAGCATCTCTGAATCGTCGACGAAATCATCTCCCTTGTCGTACTCATCTTCACGCCAGTTCCTCTTCTTGCGCTTGGGCTTCTCGGGGGCGTTCGCATCTGCACCGCTCGTCTGGCCACCATTGTTTCCCATGCCGCCCATCTCCACGTTGGAATTCTCGTCCTCACTCGCGGCCGTATTAAAGTCCGGGTCTTCCTCCTCGGCAGAGTCGCGGCCGGACTGCTGCCTCTCGAGAGCGGCCGAGGCGGCGGCAATGCGGGCCTTGCGCTCGCGGTCGGCAGCCTGGCGGGGGTGCAGGGCGTCCCATCCGTACTTCTCTTCGGCGAGGCGCATGAAGTTGATATACTTGTTGGACTCGCCGTTCAGGTCGATAGTGATGACGATCGAGGGTGCCTCGAGCTCCTCACCAGGGGCGGCCTTGCCAAAGTCGAGGATGGACCGGTCGCTGGATGTGCCTGGCAGGGGCGGGACATCTGGCAGTGCATTCTTCAGGCTGCCCATCTTGGGGGAAGATGACGCCGCAGACGAGGCCTTCTTCTCCTTGCGGTTCTGAGCCTGCACGGCGGCGATCTTCTTGGACGATGGAGCGGGCACGATCACTGGGGGTGCCATGGACTTATCAGCGGGGGCCTTCACTGGGGAGGCGGCTGCCTGCGACGGCTGTGGCATCTGTGGAACCGCGGACTTCTTGGCGTCGGCAGCAGCCTGCTGTTTGGACATGCCAGCAGCAGCGGCAGAAGACAGTGACGGCAGTTCCTTGCGTGGCTGCTGGGCCGGCGAGGCAGGGAGGGAGCTCGACTCTTGGAAGCGAGGCTGGGCGGCGCCGTGGAAAGATGTGTGGGTAGGAGTAGGAGAGACGATCTTGGGGGCCAGTGGTGGTGGGTCGACCAGGCTCGAGATGGAGGGGGAGGCGCTGGCGCGGTTCGGTATAGAGCTGGGCGCTCGAGGGGAGGACAAGCCGCCAGTGCCGTAGGGGTCGCGCGAGATCATAGTCCCTCGGACCGGGTCGTAACTGGAGGATCGCACGGGGTCAAAGGCCAGACGACTTGGGGCGGCGGGTACAGGTGCTGGCGTTGGCGCTCGTCGCTGGTCGTCCTTCTCTTCGTCGTCATCATCGTTGTTCAGCAAGGACATGATGCCCTCCCGCTTGGGCACCTTTGCCGGGTTATGATGGTGGTGATGTTGGTGTGTGGTGAGGACGGGGGAGGTGGACGACGCCGGGGCGCGCGGGGGAGGGTCTATGTCCATGCGCATAGAGGCCAGCTCGGTAATCTTGGTCGGCTGGGGACCGGCGGCGGCGGTCATGAGAGGGGCGGCGGGGCCAGTTGAGGGAGAAGCTGCTGCTGATGCAGCTGAAGGCACATCGGCCTGCTGCTGGGGGCCACCATCATCGTTATCCTGGGTGGCAGCCTTCCGCTTGCGCTGGACCGGCGGAGGAGCATTGGGATCCCTAGGCTTTCGAGGCCTGCGGACCTTGGGAGGTTCGACGATGGGGGTGCCATCGGGGTTCACTTTTGGTTTGAGGGTGCTGCCGGGCTTGCGACCAGGCTTCTTCCTGGGCAGACCTGCGGCGGTCAGGGGTACACCTGAAGGAGGAGGTTGTGGAGGAGCCATGACGCCGAACCGAGGACCACCAGCAGTGTCGACGACAATCTCGTCCATATCAATATTGGCTCGGCCCCGGTTGAGGTGGGAGGGCGACGCTGGATTGCTGATGGAGCTCGCGGGAGGCGAGGACAGGGAAGTGGGTGACGAGCTAAATGCGCGCATGGCCATTTCCCCCCCACCGCGCGCGGATGCTCAGGTCCAGACGACTAGTGACAGGTGCAGCCAGTCGTGGGTCAATCGCTGGTGCGCTAAGATACGTGGACAAGCAGGGTCGCTCCGAGAGGTTGGACGTTCCGGGGTGTCGTCCTCAGAAGAGGGTTGGGGAATTCTCTGCTATGCTCTCTCCTCGTGAAGTGAGCATGTCAAGATAACCTCAAGGGAGTTTTTTTCTTCTTCTTCTTCTCTTCCCACACACGAGTGGTGAGACTGTGTGTGTTTTGGCGGTGGAAGAGGGTTTTTGGCTCGGGATCGTCTTGGTTGTTTTAGGAAGTCGGTCTTTCCCAATCGTATGGTAAATGGATCCTTCCCTGGAAAATGGGTGTGCTTTGTGTAGGAATGTCGTGTACACCAAAAAAGTCGGTCCCAGATTGTATGATGACGGTCCTTTATCTGGGGTTTTTTGCTTTCTTTTTCCCGTAAAAGAGTACCAAGCGGACAGTAGAAAGAGAATTGTACAAATGGATCACAACAATAGCCCAATATAGAAATTCTGGCACGCCACAATCGCCATGCGCTGGTTGTGGTGAATTGTACTGTGGGGGCGAGAGTAGAGGGGGATGGAGTAATGGAGATGCCCTAACAGAAGAGTCAGGTATCCTGACTGAGTCCGGTAGGGCTGGCTGTTAGTGAAGATCCCGGCGGAAGCGGGACGTGGACAGGCCAGGCCTCTGGTGCGGGCTCTTTGGCTTGGCTTTGGCTTAATGGTCCGTATTGAGAGAAGCAAGGGCCAGGTAAAGAAATGTGGAGATTGGGCGGGTTTGGTGCTGGGGGGCTGCACCCGGCGGCGGAGGAGTCGTCGTCTGAATAACCTCAAGGAAACCGACTGCAGGACAGGCGAGACCCTCTGCAACAGGATGCGAATGCGAAAATAAGATCAAATGAGGGTCTTGCGACAATATGAAGACAACAAAATAATGCAGGCCAATCTGCTGAATATGCAGATCTGGATTTTGAGATGCCGATGGTGTTGCGCGGGTGGTGGTTGATGAATTTGTGTTGACAACACCAGAAATGGGTGGTGATGTGTTGTGTGTTGAAAGGGGGAGAGAGGTGGGAAATGGTGAGGATGGGAGGCGGCCTAGTGTTGGGAGAAAATGAGATTGGAGATGGTTACGTTGTCTGGCCCGGGACGGTGTAATTTTTTTTATTTTATTTTTTCCTTAGCAGGAGGGAATGAAATGGAACAGCTTAACAGGAAAAACCGGGGCCGTCACCACCAACACCAAGAAAGACGAGACAAGAGAGCAGAAGAGAAGACCAAAACATGAAGGGGAGGTGGGACGGGAAAGAACAGAGCGAGCGAGCAGAAGAAGGAACGGGGACGGGGACGTGACAGATCGGAATAGAGTCAGGTCCAACTAACCAACGAACTGCTTCTGCGGCAAGGGGGGGCAAAAAGCCCCAGAGGGTGGTGAGGGAAACATGCACAAGTCTAAAACGTCGCCAGGGAACAACCATCACTAGGGCGGCAACAAGGAGAAATTGGGAATGGAAGACTAGGGAAGGACAACAAGTGTGTCGGGAAGCAGATGGATGCAGATGAGGGTCCAGGGCTGGAGCACGAGGATGACAGGTCGTGTCGACTGCCTGCCTTGGTGACTTACGAGACCTTTTGGGTGTGGATAACAGACCTAGTCATCAATGCTACAAGAGAGACAATACAAGGCAGGCAAAGGCAAAGCCGGGACCAGACCAACCCAAAAGCCACGACCAAGGAGGACGGAGGTGGGAGGGTTTGACCACGGGATGAGGATTCATGGCTGGAACCCATGCGAGAGAGAAGACCAAGGCAAGGTACAGCGGATATAGGACGGGCGGGACCTGCCATAGTGCACACAGTACAGTACATATCAGCTGGCAGGACTGGGGCTGTCGAGATAAACTCAAGCAATATAACCCGCATGCAGGGGGGGAGGGGGGAGCCAGGGAGAGATAGGAGAACACCCACTGCAGTCCTTTGAAGGACAAGCAGGAACATGCACATGAGAACAGCCAAGCTTACCGTTCCACCCGAGAGGAGGAAACATTGGGGGGGGGGGCTGGTCGGCAAAGGGCTCACATGAGATTCAAGCCGTTATGCAGAAGACATGGGTAGCCCCACACTGCATGCAGGTTCTTTACACTTGGTCAGCTTGATGTGTCTGTGTGTGTGGTGTGTGTGACTTGTGCGCTAGGTAAGTACCATAGTATCGGTTTTCGTTACCAAGTACATACAGTATGTACTGTGTTATGCACTACAGTACTATGATGGGGGAATGCAGTACCACAGTACAGAGTGACTAGTGGGAGTAAGCGAGAGACCCTCGAGACTCCACATAAGACTGGGGTCCCCGGGCATTTGCCCAGTGGGGCCAATGAGGCCGCGGGACCAAGGAAAATAGCCGCGGTTTATGAGCCGCTTTGTTTCTTCCTCAAACTATTTGCTTTTTGTTAAATGAAGATCAAGGGAAAAGCAAAATCCCCTTGTGTTTCTGATTGTCTAACGGAGAATGATTCCTTATCTAGTAAATGCGGACCAAAGCAAGGAAAACTACAGACATCAGCACCATGAAAATGATCACAAGATTGATTATGCTAGTGCCCATGACTCAAGAGCTGAAACCATACTATATAGTACATGATACTCGCTCGCCTTTGGACAGCACTTGACGAGATTGTAATATTCACAAGCAACTCTATCAATTTAAAAGGATATCACGTACATTATGCTAGTTCCCTAATCATATGCTTGTTGCTGGTAAAAGCCCTGAACTGCTACATGGGCAAAAGGGGCCAGACCGCACTAACATTCCCCGGGCCAAAAGCAAAATTCCCCTTTGCAGAACGAATTATTCAGCCTACGGAGCATTGCATCTCTTTGGTCTCCGTATTATGGTAGTTTGCTGCATGATACTTACTTATGCAGCCTAAAGTCACGCTAGACACTGGCCTGGATTGTAGTCTGTTGGAAAAGCCACTTCTGTTTCTTCACCCTTAACCCCTTCTTTTCTTACTTGTGGAAATTCACGTGTGTAGTAGTACTGTCTCCAATTTCTACAGCGTATACAACCACCATTGGCCGCACGCTGCAATGTGTGACACGAGTGTCCTGTGCTGAATTATTTACTTTCATGAGTAACTACCACTGTTTCACGATTCTACTGTACTCCATTCCAGTCAGATGGTCTTGCCCCCTCAATCGTTAGCTCTCCTACAACTTTTGGGTGCCTGCATGATATCAAGTACGGGCGAACTTGACTAAGGGAGTCCCTCAACACCAATGACAAATGTTTTCCAAGTGAACAGAATCTCAATCAAAATCGTACCTAGAAGCCAAAACCACTCTGAAAGTAATATAGGGGCCGTACATAGCAGAAAATATTGAGCCCCGAGTTTTCTATCATCTTTCGCACACGTTGCTTGCCCTTTGCCCCGGAACTCCCTTGTGCATGGTAGACTGTACTAGAGTCTCACAGCCGGTGACCGTCAAGATCGGCGCTAATGCAAGTGACCGGGACCCCGCTGGCAACGCTGGGAAAAACCTTAAAACAGCGCTCGCAGATGCGGTACAACCGCAGCCCCTTGCTGCTCGGCTGTGGCAGGCAGCGATTCGCGATTAGATAACACCCGACGCATCCTTGCTTATCCTCTCGCTTTTTCTCCCAAGTGACGCACGCCTCATCCTCTAGCCACCCCTCTTGCCCACTCACCCAAACTTGTCCCCCCAAAAATGTTCCAGCAACCATGAATTTCGTACTCGATATCAAGGAGAAGGACGTTGGCGCGGTCAAGGCCCCAAGCTTCCCACAGCCAAAACCTGCTGGCGATGGCTTTCCTCAGCACAAGAAACGAACAAGAGTGTCGGCCTTCAAGCAGAAGCATCAAGGGACAGACAGTGCCTCCTCAGAACATAAACAACAACAACAACAACAACAACAAGATGATGCCTCCAGTCCAGCCCAACAAAAATCGGGAACATCAACAGGTCGCGGCGTGTCAGATGAGAAGAGGAGGATAGACCAGGAGAACAGCGACCTACTCGCGTCCATGTCGCCAGAGCAGATAGAGGAGGAGCGACGAGAACTACTTGAGCGCCTCGACCCCTCGATCGTCCAGATGCTTTTAAAGAGGGCAAATATAGATGACCACACCTCGTCATCGCCCTTTGACGAGCCTTCAGCAGCCGAGACGGAGAAGCCTCCCACCATCACGGTCGACGATACCACCGCTGCTGCACCGTCTGCACGAGATGAGACCGCAGACAAGCCTCGCAAGACGGTCCGCTTCGACGAGGACGCAGCCCCCCCAGAACCACCCTCGGACCTCTTCGAGGCAACCTCACAACCACCTCCCACCACCACAACAGGCCCAGAAACCAGCCTGTCTGCCAACACCACGCACTTCCCGCAGCCGAAACAGGTCCCAGACCTCGACCCTGCCGACCCAGACTTCCTCGAGAACCTGCACCAAAAGTACTTCCCTAGCCTGCCCGCCGACCCGTCCAAGCTCGCCTGGATGGCACCCATCCCGACGCCCCACTCCACCGCCGACCGCGAGTCCCCTTACTACCCGGGCCAAACCTCCCTCCCCATCTCCGCGCTGCGCTTCGACTTCAAGGGCCGCCTGCTCTCGCCCGCCCGGAGCAGGAGCATCCCTGTCAGTAAAGGCCTGCACCACCATGGGGAAGCGCCCGAGGCGGCAGGCTATACGGTCGGAGAGCTGGGCCGGCTCGCAAGGAGCGCCGTGCCCGCCCAGAGGTGTGTTGCGTTCCAGACACTGGGCAGGATACTATACAGGCTGGGCAAGGGGGAGTGGGGTAGTGGCGGTGGCGAGTCGGAGCTTGCGAGGGGAATTTGGGCTACTGCACAGGAGAACAGGGTCATAGACAGCCTGCTCGAGGCTGCCGAGGTGCCCGAGGGTCAAGGTCACCGGGGGAGTCGGGCCTATGCCATCGAGGCACTCTGGTTATTTGAGAAAGGCGGCTGGAAGGAGCAGTTACAGGGCAGGTGAGGCCGGGGTCGGAGGTCACAGATCAGAGAGAGGCAGGACTTCTTCCCCACGTCATCGTGTCCGATGCTGGGACCAGGGACTTAGGACTCAGTTGGTCACATATCTGTCTGGTTCAGCAATGTCCGGGTAGGGATGTCGTCAGATATTCAAAGCTCGCTGGATAACACGCCCCCCTCCTCCCCTCTTTTGGCCAGTGCAAACATACTACTTGAATGCGAAGTCTGCCACCCCCAAGCAAAGGACACCGAAAATTCACACTTCTGGCCCGCCTTGTCCAATCTTGCATTCACAACAGCAGGTCTACCCTCACGATATGAAATGATATACCCGTATGTGACACACGGGACAGGAACGAATTCGTTTCACCAAGACCCGCCGGGGAAGCCATGGCGGTTTCCCATGCATATTGATTCTTCTTCTCCCCTTCATGCTGAAGTCAAGACGGTGAGAAGTTCTTCATTGTGGAGGAGAGAGAGAAAGAAAAGGAAGGAAGGAAAAAGGGGTCCGGGTGGTTAAGGAGCAAGTCATATTATTTACCATCACTCTCCTCTTCACTCGATACGTTGTGGGTAGTGCAGAGCCGATAGGTTCCCAGAGCAAGAAAGGCGGCTGTAGGCTTTCGTAGGTGCCAGAGGGGCACTGTTCAGACTTACATACATACAGACATGTATGAAATACATGGCACACACAAGTTAGGCACTATCACACTTTCACAGAGTGTATTTCCTCCATATGAAGGACACGACATATCAGTCCATGTTATCGCCTATTTCATTATCCCGTTGGTAGCATAAGTACACATGAAGAAGGGGAAAAAACGTGATCAAGTCATCTGCTCCGATTCAAAAAGTTGAAAGCTCATCCGTGCTCTCGACGACGACGAAAACATCCCCTCGTGCTCCCAGTCTACTCTCGAAACCCCCTTATCCCTCCCCTGAAATTATTGCAATACGGTGCTGAGATATCTGATGCAACGAAACGAATACTCATAAACCCAGTGCTTTCTCCACCTACTTCCCCTGGGCACTCCGGACACCATTCTCCCTGATCCTCAACGCTCACACGAGGCGAGTGCGAATTCCATAGCGAGGACGCACTGGCAGTAGTCTGCAAAGAAAAGAAGGAAACAGGAAGCAGCAACGCATCTTCCGCGATTCCCAGCAACCACACACGCAGGCCAGAGAGCCGCCGGTCCAGCCGAAGCAACAAACACCCACCAAAAAATTTATTCTGTATAAAGGACAAGAATGAATTAAAAAATGACATGAAACGATTTGTAGAAATCGATAGAAAAAGCCGCACCCCATGTTTTCGGAAGGAGAATTAGTATATAACGAGATGGTGAGATTGGTTGATAGTGGCGAATAGGTGACGATGCGCAGATGATGATGATGATGATGATGATGGTGGTGCTGATGACTTGTGTCGTGAAGACATTGAGTGTGCAAAGCTTAGACGGTGTCGATGACGGCCAAAATTGGTAGAATATACTAAGCGCTTGGAAGACCGAGAATTGCAGCAGGATAGTTGATCGAGAGACAAGTGTTGATAATGCGTGGTGGTGAGTCAGGGCAAATTCTGAAAGAAAAGGGCTGCGTAGGTCCGATTGACCGAGTTCATTTGTCTCGCGGCCTCGTAACGATATATTGGAAGAGGATGGATGTTGCGCAAAAGCGAAAGGTGGTATCAATGGTTCGGTTCATATATACGCCGGCTCCGGAACACCGCAAGACCCGAAGTATGCACAAGGAGAAACCTCGGATGATGCGTTGGTCAAAGAAGTGTTTCGACGGCTGTGGCTGGTTACCAGCCCTTCTTCCGTGCGAACCGCTTGTTGAGCAGGGCGAGGACCTTGGGCACATTGAATTGAACATATTCAAGGTCCAAGTCATCTTGACCGTCTTTCTGCATCTCAAGGAGATCATCGAGCTTCAGATCAAGTTCCAAGAGACCACGGTTGCGGCCTAAACAAATCTGTTAGTGGTCTGTGACCTGAAAGGGGAGGTGAAAGGAAGGGGGGGATCAGATGGTGCCTCATTCATTCAACTTACCCTTGTAATGGAGGGAGATGACGAAGGTTCCCGGCAGAGGACTTGTGAAGTTGAAGTAGATGTTGGCCCGCCTGTTGTCGGGGACATTGCTCTTCTGAATGACGCCCTCCTTCTCAAGCTGCTGATGTGTGAACTTGTAGGGTCCCAATACTTGCTGCTTCTGCTGCTTGCGCCTCGTGCCCTCACTCTGGCTGCGCACATTGTGCAGGTAGCTCTTGTATGTCTCCAGCTGGCCCACCAAGTACGTATTATGGTCACGGATTGTCTTGTAGACCTCCTCCAGCTTTTGCGTCTCTACGAGAACACCTTCCTTGAGGGAGCCGAGGTGCTGGAGCTCCTGTTCAACTTCATCCCGCAGCAGGCCAAACTGGTCGGACTTGTCAATGACTCTGAGCTCCTGCAGCTGGCTGAGCAGCTCCATAGCACGGATACCTTTGCGGACCATAACTGCATCGTTCCGTGATGTTGCTGCCGCATCTGCAATCCGCTCCAATCTCAGTGGCCTCCTACACACTGAGCTGTTTGGTGGGACAGAGCGCATGATCTGCACAAAGATGGTCTTTGCCTCCATGAAGAAGATCTCCTCTTGTGTGATGTCCAGAGCTGCCGTCAGGTCATCCATAGCAGTTTCCCACCTGCTGAACAAGGGCAGGTTGATGACCCGGTTCTCCTTCCGTGGTACTTGGGGAGGAGATCCTCCGAGTTCTGACATGATGATGGCCAGGTGGGAGTTCTCGTCCTTGCAGAGCTCGTTCCTATGCTTGTCGATCAGGGAATGCATAGCGTAGATCTCATTCAGCGTGATTGAGAGCTCCAAGTCCTTCTTAGACAGAGCCACGTAATTGTCCATCTCAAGGGTCTCATAGAAGTCCTGCACCTCACAGAGATCCAGCATGAACTTGTTGACCCGGTCCTTGTTCTGCTGGATGAATGGCTGCAACTTGGCCATGTAAGGCTCCTTTGCATATGATGGCTTGTTGGCAAGGTTCTGCAGCATCTTTGCAATCAAGGTCAGAGTTCGTCGAGGCTTTTCAGCAGGTGTCCCATCAATCAGCATGTAGGACTTGGGCGTCACAATGGCCGGGTTGATGAATCGGAGGAAGAAGAAACCACCGATCAGCGTGCAGATGACTTGGTCGTTTGCGTCTGGGTACTTCCGCTTGGTCAAGCTGCGAATCTGCTTGCAAATCCACCGAATGCCGTACGGGGCCTCCTCCAGGCCGTCGATGATGGTCGACAGGAATCCGCCCGCAATGTCCATCAGCATTGTCAGCCTCGGCTCGATAATCGCCTGAACCTGTCTGTTCTCGGCCGCTTCTTCGGCCGTGACACCCTTTGGTAGGTTTGGTGGCAGACTTCCAGTGTCTGCCTCGATTTGCTCGATCATGCGCTCGTACACCTTCAGAGGGTTGATCTCAAGGTCGAGATCCTGGAGCTCGATGAGTTTGTTGATCCTGTCGGCCAGGATCGTCTTCAAGAAACTTTGACCCGGTCCTCTCCTCGTGTATGTCGTCATCATTCGTGAGACGGGAGTATTTGCTCGGAGCAGGGAGGAATACTCGGGGGTATTATCGAATTGGTATGTCAGGACGGACTAGCATCACAAGTCAGCGGGAACAGTGGGTGCCAGGGTCAATAGGGAGCTGCGCGGACCTGAAACATGGTGAGCAGCAGGTGCTCTTCGCGGCTCTCGTACTGATTTCCGTATATCGTGAACATGACGGTCTGAAGAAGCGAGTCGATCTCAGACATGGATACAAGCCGGGACAAGTGTGCGATATGTCGAGGTTCCGACTGCAGGAGAAAGAGGAGATTGCCGTATCTCTGAGTCTTGTCGTCGTTGGGGAAGACACCTTCTTGTATATCTGTTGCGTCTTCAAGATGGCTTGCAACTTCGTTTTGCTGATCGAAATGTTAGCCATTTTTACATCCTGGGATTAGCAATTCAGCGCCGCCTCACCTCTTCCAGAGCCATGCGGTTCTGGATCAGAAGGGCGATCCTGGAATCCAGATACCGCACGTCCTTCTCTAGCACAAAGTTCTTTTTTGATTGCGAAGATATCTTGGACTTGAGGTCTCGCAAGACCTTTTGTGCTGTATATTCAATCAGCAGCCATCCCAGGGGTAGTACGGCTCGATGCAGCACGAACCTTTGGCCAGGTCATCTTCTATCTCCAGGTCGGTCTCCTGTGCCGACATGGACATGTACAGCGCGGACATGGAGTACCGCTTGGACTGACGTGCTGAAGATCCGCCATTGTACGAGGACATGGTATTCTGACGGGAGAGTGGTTGTTGGTATGAGGAGGCCGAGGAGGTAGAGGTCCGCGACGGTGTTTGCAACATGACGGACATTATGGTGGTGGCCGTCGTCACCGCTCGCTGCTACAGTTCTGGACGAGAAAGCGTTGGAGCGGGCCACTGGAATGCAGCGAGTCCGACAAAGGGCGGAACGTTGGGCGACTTGTTTAAAACAATGTCTCGCAAGGTGTCGCAGAGGCAAACAAGCGTCGAGACAATCGGCGGCGGATAATGGGGCAAACGAGCAGCGCGGACGTACGCGCCGTTTCCCAACCGCGGAACGAAACTTCTTGACCTCTCGTGTAGATCTCAAGCGTATGTGTGTATTTCTATGTCTGTGTGCGTATAAGTGTGAGCGTGTGTAAGTCGCAATTGACGCCGCCACTATCGTCGACTCTCAAGAACGACCGGTGAACGTCGCAGGGTTTAGCGCGGGATTAGGGACCGACGGGTCTCGAGGTTCGATTTGGATGGACAGAGGGGTGCGGTAGCCTGATGTACGGAGGTTTTTCTTCGGGGAGCAGGTGCAACAGTCGTATCTTGTCACACGAAATGGGGAGCGAAACGTTCTCGTCTCGTCGAGGCTGGAAGTCACCGCGGACAAGAGGCCGCGGTACAGTTGTTGTTCGATGAGGGGGGGCGTTCCGGAAGTGAGGTGTAGTCAAAAGACGCAAGGCCGAGGTGAGGGTGGTCTGTGTCAAGAACCGGAGTGAAAGTGGACTTGGGGACTGCTGTTGCTGTTGCTGCTGCTGCTGGATTGATGAATGAGTTGACCACGGTTGGGATTGGGTCGGCCAGCGGAAGACACCCTGACAGAGAACAAAAAGCGGGACGTTATCAGAAAGTGGACAAGGCCCTTCGCCCGCAAATTCGGTAGCGGGCAAGCGAGGCGAGTTTAGGCTTGATGGTCGGCGGCGCTGATTGCTCAATCGAGGCCTGGTCGGTGGGGAAAAGAGGGACAACTATCGGGGGGTTGGTTGGGCTGGGATCGCAGCAACAGGAACAGGAAATCGGTCGCTCGTCGATTGAGGAATACGATGGTCGAGAAAAGGAGAGAGGGGGGACGAAAGGAATGGCTGGGGTGCAGCTTCTTGTGTCTTTTTGATACGCGAGAAGGTCGGGAGGGGACGAAGTGTCGAGATGAGTGAGCGAGATCGAGGGGTGTTGAGGAGGGGAAAGAAGACAGGTGAGAAGGTCGAGACAGAAAAGTAGTCGCGGCTTGTGGTGGTGGACTGGATGATGTACTGTACTTTGGTGGTTGTAGTACTATGATACAGTACGGTAAGGGTTTGGAGGTGGAGTGGAGGAGGAATGGAGAGGGTGCAATGTGGGATGAGGGAGGGTCTTCTAAATCCCGACAGCGGTCATCCTGCAACCCCAAGCGCTAATGTCCCCCATCCAACCCACTACTGTTGCACGTTCAAAACCACTACAAAAAGAATTAGGGAACACTACAGAGCGCTACTTATCAAACTAAACCCCAACCTCCTGCCCTAATGCTAAACTACAGCGTTTGTAATTTTACTCTTCTCTTCTCGTGTCTCCATTCCTTTTGTCACCCGGACTCATGATACCCAGAATCAGTGCTGTCTATTAAATGTTGATTCAGACAGTTCTAATACCAGGATGCATTGTAATCGTTCGATTTCAAAGGCAGGCATCCCCGCCAGGTCAGGTACAACACCGGTGGTACACACGCATGTCCAGTTGTACAATCACAGTCACAATCACAGTCGCAGTCACAATTACAGGGCGCAAGGCATATAAACACAGGACTGTATGACTACGTGATACTACTGTAGGCGTAAATAATTATGGTGCTATGGTACGAGGAGAAGGGAGGCCCTGGGCATTGACATGGGCCTGGACATGACGGGTGAGGAGAGGCGACCCCTGCGGGACGGCGGTCCAGGAGTGGGAACACAAGGACAACGGCGGTTCCTGGGGACTCCCTGTCCACCCTGTCATCGCGCCCCCCTCCTCCTCCTCTCCCCCCTGTCAGGAGCATTGATCAGGTGGCGTGGTAGCCCAGAGGGGCTAGTGCAACATCCAGGGGTCGGGGCACATCGAAAAAAGAGAGAGGTGCACCTGCGTTTCAGATTCCGACGAGGCCACGGCTGGTGGCGTACCTGGCGTATCTGGTTCAGGGAAGGAAACGGTCGTGGTGGTGCCTCTTGTGTCATCTTCAGGACACACACACATTGTTAGGCATCACTGTGTTATGATTTGACTGACTCCACCAGTATCCACCCTCCTTCGATATGCTTCACTTCCCTTTTGCCAAACGTTGAAACCAGGCGCGAAGAGGGCGTGGTCTATCTGTCAGCCCTGTTTGGGATCATCATCACTAGCTACTATGGTGGTACAAGTTCGGTATACAAAGGAAAGAAGGAAGAAGAAAATTGCCAGTGATGAAAGATGATCCCGCCCCCTTGCATCCTCTGCTCTATATATGGTCTTAGTATCGAACTCATGCGAGACCTGGGAGATTACGTAGTACCAAGGTCTTTGTCTTTAGGAAACAAAAAAAGAAAGAAAAGAAGAAAAATCCAGGTCGTGCGGCATGCGACCGACCGACCCTCTACCAACCAACCGTCATCAAATCGGCGTCTCATCTCATGGTACTCATCTCTCTCATCCCCTGCCCCCTTCAGGCCGGACCAATAGCCGCAAGACGGACGCTAGCATCCAGGAGGAAGACCCTTCTCGAAGAGCGCAAGGGTTGCATCACGGCTGATGTGCGCCAACAGCAGCCGACCGAGCCTCTCTCTCTGTGCCCGTTCCGGATCAGACAGCCAGACAGTTCGTAGGGTCCCACACACAACCTAACCACCCTTCCAACGAAAGACTCGCATCCACTCCTTGCAATTGGACCAGCCTCAACATCTACCTTGTCAGCTTCCCTTTAGGATCCATTTTGGCTTCACCTTCAGCGCTGGCTGATTGGAATCTGATCCATATATTTTGATTGCCAGCGCCCGGAACGAGACTCTCGGTATGAGCTGCACGCAGATCACCTCCTCCTGTAGCTTGTTGTCGTTGGCGCGTTGTGGCCTCGTAAAGCTCACAGGCTCGGTCTGGGGATGTTCCCGGTGGTTGTGAGATTCTCCTGATAGGCACCCTGCCCTGTGTTTGAGAATATTGCCCAGGCCTCTGGAGGTGGTGTCGGGGAAAGCCCTCTGACTGGCCACGATGCTCACTACGGAGATAGGAACAGATACCTGTGTATGTACCACAGTACCTCGATCATACCGTGGTAGTGCAGATCCAAACAACTCCCTGCTCTTTCCCTTTTCTGGGAAGAAAACTCAAAATTATCTCGGATATTCATAGCGAAAGTATGATCTCGACAACGGCAAGCTGAAAAGTCTATCGTTTTCCGGCTATCCGCTCCTTGAGTGCCGATACGCTCGGAATTGGGCGAACACCTGGAGCTTGCGCTTCGCAAGATACGTGCGACACCTCTGGGCATACACAATATTTTGAACCCGACGAAATGGCTACCGTAAGAAGATGAACGGCCGTCGTAGCCTTGTCCGATCATCTCAGGTTGTCGCGTTGTAACCCCCGCTTGGACGTGTCTCGCTCGGACGCGCTCGACCGTTTTGGGAAAATCATTGCCGGCTTGCGCCAACTCCCTTGCTTGGCTGTCCAATGCTGGTCTGGTCGTGCGAGCACAGCACAGCACCCCAGCTTCACGTCCCTCAACTGATTTTCTACTTCAGTACACGACTGCCCGGGGCGAGCAGGTCCACACCCCGCGAGGCGATGACGTCGAGCTCGACAATATGAGCTCACTACAGGCGAGATTCCCGAGGATCTACTCTCTGTTTGCATGGCTTCAAAAGAGAACCATGCATTGGCAATATAACAGCTAATATGCCACTGGCGGTCCCTCAAATCGAAACCGAGGCGCCAACTCAGACTCCGGGAACTGCGAAGGCGGGAAAGAGGGTCCAGCAAGGCAAGACATGGACATGCTGCGAGATTTCGAGGCCAAATACCTGAGCCAGGTACCTTAATACCTTCACAGCCCTCGTCCTTGGCTGGATGACACGGTTACGACGCTTGCGTCGGGTGTCTTTCGTCCCCCATTCTGGCCTGTGCTCCGCAGGGATAATGAGGAAGTTGGCTGGGGCTGGGCTGGCGAACAAGAGGCACTATGTTTGCATTGTCTGCTCCGTGGTTCGTCCTCATTGCCTCTCTGGCCCTTGTACACCCCTCAGAGACAACCAACCAACCCTCTGTAAGGAGAAAATTGAAGAGGTGCAGTTATCCCAAACGCTGTCGACCCCACTGGCGGCACGATAAAAATAGAGGCTCCCACTTTGCTTCCCGCAGGCCCTACTTGGCCTACAAGCGCCTACTCTCTGGGACCTGCACTAGTCAGGAACGAGGCCACAACCGCTCAGCCGGGTCGGGTGGTTGACTGGCACGACTGGTTGGCTCAGTGGTACCAAAGTACCTGGCGCTCTCAATGGACATTTAGCTAGTGACTGGGACAGCGCGGTGGACCCCTCCGCACCAACTAACGCCAAGAGGCAGCTCAAGCGGGCTGTCGGGCCCGGGAGTGCCGGGCAATTCACCTTGCGACAAACAACATCAGCCGACCCAGAGGAGAGCTCGCAATATCGGCTTTTACGTTGTCCTCCACGATCCCCGCTGAATGTTGGGATGGCGGCGATGACGACGACGACGACGACAACACAGGGGCAGGGGGGAGGGTCTCATGGCGTGATGAACCAGGGCCGGTCACGGCCAGATCTGGCATACATTCATCGCAGTGCGCCCCCAGATACGATATGGCTTACGTGCAGGGGCGGAACGTGGTCATGGTGGGTACAGAGGCGTCATTATTTTTACGACTCTCCGGTAATTGAAAGCAACGCACGGACGAGCATCGATCTGAGATACGGCTTAGTCGAGGACACTGTGAGAAAGGCACTGTCCCGTCTTGACAAGATTGTATCTCAAAACAAAAACAAAATATTAAGCCTTGTTTGAGGGTCTTTTCTTTCTCCCTCCCCCTTCTTTTTTTTTTTTTTTTTTTTTTTTTTGGCTTTGGCCCCCATCCCCTTTGCGCCTCGACTGGACTTGCAGCAGCCGTGCCGCGCGGGGTCCAAGGTTGCGAATGGTCAAATCTTGGCCTATCCCATTACTCCTTGGGTTTCCTTTGTCTTCCCCTGCCCCCTGGACGACCAACCAAGCAGGCCTTGACTGTTTGGCCTCTCTGCCCGGAATACTGATAACCACCTTGCCAAGTTTCAGGGTTGTGCCACCTGAACCTTCCCTCTCCTTTCTACCCAAAGCTTGACCGCTCAACTCTTTGTCATCTTACTCCAAGCCCTAAGTCGGCCGATCAACAGACCTCAGCGGAGGCAGGGTCCGCATGATCAGCAATCGCACATATGGAAAGGTAGATGATCGCCGGCTCCCAGCTCGCAAGACCAAAATCCCTTCCAACCCCTCCTTGGTAACCTCGTCGCAGGCTTTGATTTGCACGGCAGTTTTGCAAGAAAGGGAATAATAAGGACAAGGATTTAAAAAAAAAAAAAAAAAAAAAAAAAAAAAGAAGAAAAAAGTGATCAGAGAGAGAAAAATCCTGGCCGGAAGATTACCCATGCAGCCCATGGTGGCTGGGATCTTCGGATCTTCTTAATTTCCTTCCGCCCGGGGGGAGCAATTAGAGCTTGCTTAGGGGGAGGCCAGCCTGGTGGCTAGCGCTCACCAGCACGTGCCCGCGGTCAAGTAGCGCCAATCAACACGAGACGGTGACATCTGTCAACTGGCACGCTGAGTCAAGTTGACCCTTTTTTTCCTTCTTTTTTCTTTCTTGTTTTACCCTCTTTACAGGTGACCCCGGGCTGTATCTCAACAAGTTCCTGCGCAATGGAGCCTGGTCTTGTCACGCACGGACACAACATCAGCACCAGCAGCGCGGACGCATTCAGCTCCTGTCGGCGTTGACATGGGACCTCCAGGTCTGCTTCCTCGGAGGCCGCCACAGCTGTGACTTGTTTCACACGATAGTAAATATGAAAAAAGACTTCCGTGACCGGCCCTCGGTAGGCCGAGCGGGTGGTGGCTGAGGTTGTTCATGCGTGGGCGGTCAGCTGAATGCGGGTTGAGCTTCAGCCAGTGTCCACTGAAACGTGTCCCTAGAATATTGTTGTTTAATGCAGCATCGTCTTCTGGTAAGGCATAAGCTTATCTGATCTTTTCTTCATGCCCTTCTCTCTATTTTCCTCTTTGTTCCCTCCTTCCTTTTTCTTCCTACATTATCCGCCCTGCAGTCGTGCACGTGAACGATGAATGACTATCTCGCCGTCCAGAAGCCGCTCTGCCTTGTCGTGACACGCTGCTCCGCATCTGGCAGAGAGCCTCGATTTACACTGCAGATCAAGAGGCTGAAAGGGAACCATGGACGGTTTCATGTGAACGAGACGAACCTCCATAGCATTCTGTATTATACCATAGTATGCCACGGATGAAGTTGGCTCCTTTTCAAGGGGTTTGAGCCCCAGCCTTCTTGATATGTGTCCAAATTGGTGATGTAGACATGGCACTTTTGCGAGAGAACAGGGCAAGGAGTTCAGTGGTCGGTTCAGAGCTTGACAACAACATCAACAAGGCATCATCGGTCACTCTCACAGAACGAACTGATTGCAATTGGAATGGCTTAGAACGAGCTGGGTAAGTAAGTATGTACTTAGAAGTAAGTACGAATAGTGCCCAGATGAGCATAGCCAATCCCATGACCGCAATTGAAACGCGTATCACGACTATAACAACACGACACCCATTTGGGAACACCATCTGGGCAGAGCAATTAATATTGTAATACTACCCTCACACAAGAAAAGACCTCAGAGAGGTCTCACCTTTACAAAAGGCCAGCATACGTGACTGCATTTCGTACGTTTTTGACGATGCACTTCTAGAACCATGGCAGCGTGCTTTGTCAATCCGTCAGTAAGTGATCATTTAGTCTGTTGGCCGGGTCAAACGTTACTCAAGCCGCAGAGATCACTTCTGAGCAAAGTTGGCCCCATCCTTCTACACCATAGTATACGAGGAACACACGCATGCCAAGAAGAAAGAGAAAGAAAGAAGGGATGAAAAGAATTGACCTACAGTAGCAGCTCAAACCATCAACTCGACAAAAACATGTGCACAGCAATATCAGACAGACAGCCAGCCAGCCACCACACCCAACCCCCTGGAACTTCGAGACGCCGCAACAAGCGCCCAGAGCCAGAAAGGAAAAAAGGGAAAGGGGGGAAAAGAAAAAGGCAGGGGAAAGGGGAGGGGGCTATGGGTGAGCCAGCCACATCACGCCACGCCGCAAATTGCAAGTGCGCACGGCGAGTGAGCCGTACCGTACATTCTGTACATGCATGCCCACCGGCGCTTCGGCATAAGTTTTAAGGTGCGCATGCATGCAGTATGTATTATGCAGGGTTCGTCCGAAATCTCTCCTCGTCTCGCCACAACGATCGGCTGCATGCTTTACCTGCAGGTCATGGGCCCCTGCCTTGCCGCGCCGGAGAGCGATCATCCTGCTGGATCGTCTTTCGATAATCTGGGCCGTAGAAGAAAGGGAAGAAGGAAGAAGGGAGGGGCAAAAAAAAAAAAAAAAAAAAAAAAAAGGAGAGAAACAGGAGAAACAGAAGAAAACTTCAAGGTAGAAGGGGGCGGTGGTGCGGGCTGGCTCAGTTGGCCGCCACGAACCAGCGTATAAACTGTCCAGTGATGTGTATTATCTACTGATCAATGTCAGCCAGACCAATACGTAACTTGCCCGGGGTACGCGTCTGTTCTCTCGTTGGGAAAGGGGGGATCGAGCACGGCAGATGTCAATCTCACACCTCGCTCGCTTATGAGGGCAGGCGCTCGTGGCACGAGTCGATCTGATCCCACGAGCGCCACAGTGACATCGGTGTAGCAATGGATTGTCTCCTTCGGGATGAGAGGATCGTCGCACGCGCGGCTTGAGCGAGGTGTGCGGATTCAGGCTCAGTGCGCTTGAGCTGAAACCTGCTGCTGTATGGCGCATGGGGCTTTCATGTTGAGTTATAATATCTGAGTACTTAATCTGTCTGGATCAGAAGTGGAAATCCTTTCGTTGTGAATCCTTTAAATATTGAGACGGGTAGAGTTCAAGGCAGCAATGGAAGTACAGAAATAGTCCCTCCACACACCCTTGACTCTGGCAAAGAAGTTGGCCGGTCTTATTCAAAGGGTTTGGTGGCTGCGGCCATTTCTTACTTGATATCAATCAATGTGTTGTCATGGGTGAAAGATAGGACTTGGGAGATGACTCCCTAATTACGTTACAGCTGTAAGGTTCATGCCAGAACCACTTCACCCATAATACAATACTTCTAAACATAATGCATGGATTGTGCTTCATTGAGCATTCGCAGCAGATCCACTTGAAAGTAAAAAGGTAACATAATAAGGTAGCCGAGAAGCCTGGACCGCAAGAAGGGCAGTGACAAGTCTGAGATCAGCACTCTCTCCATCTTAAGCTTGGATGCCCACCAATGGGTCTAGTGAGAAGTGAAATCTGAGAGTACATGCTCATAAGAGTAGCACAAGACAATTCAAAATGTTTCTTGTTACATTGCCAGTGGAGACAGAGGATGAGGCCACAAAAATTCGCGAGGTTGATGTACATGGACTATGTCACTCTCAAGGTTTATTATCTATTAATTGATCTTAGCCTCTATGGACTATTTAATTGAGCTTGGTTGCCTGTCTCTCCAATCTTTATGTATCAGATTAGGAAAGCAAGCATACTTGGAACACCAAGGGACAAAGGGACTGTGCAGAAAATCAAGCATTGACGATTAGAACAACATAACAGAGCTTTCCACTTCGGATCAAGAAATAGTAACAACGATACGCTTTAGGATCGTGTCATATGCACATAAATACAATGCAAGCTCAATGGAATTGGATAAAAGTATTGGCACAAAGGAAAACGTACATCGTATCATTGATTTTCCAGTCGAGACATTGGAATGACACAAAGATTGAGTTCAGGCTTAGGACAAGCCTATGAATCAATCATTTCGCTTGATTCTCTAGAGAAGCTTCTATTCTCTGTCCTTGAATATCTCACTATTATGAAGAGGCCTTCCTAAAGCTGCTTTTAACAAATTATTGAATATTATACCATATATGACGAGTACACATGAGCATTTGTGAATTGCAAATGACCAAAGCGATTCCTAAGCACCTAAGCAACTAAATACAAAAAAAAAAAAAAAAAGCGTTCTACCATTCTGGTAGGGGTATAGTAGTACTTGAAGTTCCAAACCAATGATATAAGCAGTAGGCTCTTTATCGTGGCAACCTTAGAAACTCTACTCAAAGTCAATCTCAATATCTATGAACTTGCTTCCTACTATACCCTCAACTGTTAACTTTATCTCCTGTCACGAGATGTTTTGTGTCTCTATAGTTCCTATGTTGGTTGACCTCTTATCCTTTCCAATGCAATATCACCCAAGCCATCCATTGTCTTCGCCTTCTGGCTTCATCGGGGCTATACCTCTCCCGCATTTCCAAGGCTGGTGCCGAGCCAAGCCCGTGAGGCTCCTGTCCTGGCCAACAACCAGCCAGTCAACCACAACTACAACAACAGCAATCTTGTTTCTCTCTGTCCCGTAAGGTCTGCCAACGAGTTACAGGGGGGGCGTGTGGAACCTCGTCAGAACGAAGACTGGACATATTTCAAGCCCACATGCAGCAGTCTACGTAACGTATCGATGCTGCTTCAGCTGCCCATCGAAGATATCAAGCATGACGGCTATATCAACTTCGAGGCTGCTGGCGTCGATAAGGAGTCTGCAAAGAAGGACCACGTCCTGCTCCACGCGCTTCCGCCGCTGGTACCCAAGGCATATAAAGCTCACAGGAAACGACCCTAGCGGTTCAGAGCCAGGGTGGAATAATGTTGGTGGAGCATTACGTATATGAGTAGGAGTATGATGCTCAAATCGTACGATGATGATGATTTAGAGAATGGCAGGATGGGAATCCAATGTGGTAGAAATTGATACTCTCCTCATTCTCCAGTCTGCGACAGCATAGCTACCTACAAAGTAGTTATGTAGAGCCATTCTCTCATTTCTCCTGCACATCACATGTTGGATCACATGATGACTGAGCAGAGGGTCCTCCCCAAACCAAGACGGTATGCTCATCGCGCAACCCTCGTCGATAATCATGGCATAATCATCTTCATCAGGGTCGCTGTAATGGCGATGCGCACACGGGAAATACCTATCCACGTGGTCATGACTCTTGCGCTGCATGGTGATATATCAGCCCTGTCCATCTGTGACAGAAAAGCTTATCAAATGAGGGCATAATACTCGCACGCTTAAATCCATGGTGAGGCTTAGGCTCAGGTCCATTGTGATATTCGTGCTTGTGTCCCTTTTTATGCTCGTGTCCGTGCCCGTGTTCATGCCCGTGTTCATGTTTATGTTCATGCCCATGCTGATGCTGATGCTCACGATCGTGATGATGTTTGCCCTCAGCGTGATGGTAAGATCCGTTCCAGTGATGATGGCCGTGGGCGCCAGAGTCCAGAACCACATGGGCTGGGACAGCTGGAGTGCCCTCAAGCCCGTCCTCGCAGGCTGCAGTGTCGCCGATGGGACTGGCCGAAGCCGCACCCAGGAGCAAAAGGCCCATCAGAGTCAGCTTCATTGTCATCCAATGTCGATAGCGCTGAACAGGAGATATGTATGATGGGGTGTGTAGAGTGGACTACAAAGTTTGTTCAGGAGTGAGGCATCAGATCTGAGAATTGCTGTGCCTTGCCTCTTATATATGTATATATATTTGTCTGGCCCTTGAGCCCTCAGAATGTGCTCACTCTAACGAGTTGAGCTTGATCATTAATGGATCATGTGCAACATCCTCATCGAACAATGTATACTCTTCTCGCTTGCGCATATGTCTGTGGTCCCTAGACCAATGGCTCGAAATGACTCCACGATATATGTCTCGGGGTCTGGACATACCTGGCGACGACAGCAGTGATGGGGATGAAGTCAGCCTTTCCGAATGGGGGAGGACAAAGGTCACCTGTGTTGATACACAAGGTCTACAGTGTTAGGCAAAGGCGGACCACACCGACTTCATTAAGCGAACCGGCTATTCCTCCCGAAACTTTGTGGTGAATTGTTCATTCCACCTGTTCGGTCCGCTTTGCAGGAGTCAGTCATACTGCCTTCGGCTTATTCCTCTTTTCCTAAAGTCAACAGATTATCCGTTCAACACCGTCGTGTTCAGACAGTCATTGTGGGGGGGGGGGGGGGCAAGTATGTTCATGAAATGTCGACATCTAATTACGGACGTAGATGAACGTCGGTAGCAAGCAGAATCAGCTTTGGTTGCACCGTAAGAGAAGACACAAACAATAGAAAATTTCCAGCGTTCACTGTCTTGGAATCGAGGCCTCGGCGCCTCCAGGGCTACCACCGGCGTTGCATGTGGGTATACGCAGTGATATCTATTGACATCACGACCAGTGACGGTGATATATTAATCAAATACATGGACTGTGGCTTTTCAATGACTTCCTTTGCGGATTGGGACTGCCAGCTAGGCCTAAAGTCTTGAATACTGCTACAATACCGAGATGGACTTTTATGCCCACTCAACATTTTCATTCTGGTTCGCTTCAGGCCGTACTTGAACTCATCAGAAATATGATCAGAGGTGACCTTGAGATGTAGATATCTTGAAGTGGGCTGGCGGTGACCTGGAAATACTACCTGGATTGAACAAACAAGACGCGAGTCCAAATGTTTCGAGTGTCTCAAAATGACAAGTTGATTTCGGAGTACTCGACTGCTAGGACAGCGGCTGAAGAATTGACAGGATCAAACGAGTAGAGGTAGTATTTGCTTTTTTCCTCTTCTTCTCTTCTCTTCTATTTGTAACACTTCTTTTTTTGCTCGGTAAAGAAATGGTGGACCCCGGGGGCGGGGAGGGATTGATGGAGAAGAGGAGTGTTGTCAACACAAAGGCAAATTTCCCCATCTTTCTTCCTAAGTAAGAATCAACTTCCTACATGAATGGATTGTGATAAAGATCAAACAATTCACTAAGCTGTTCGAATTCTTCCATCACCCCTTCCCCCAATCACGAGTTTCGAAACGATCATTGTGGATGCGCACTCCCCTCCCCAGTCCGCACGCGTTTCAAGACGGTCGTCCGCCCCGTGCGCACGCTCGAGTGTCACAGCCCCTGCAGTCAGTGTCTCAAAACCCCAGACAATAGCACGATTTCCGTCGCCACAACCATTTTGTGAGCCAACCCGTCTACATGATGTGGTGCGCAGGCGGTACCAGCAGCAGCACATCCACCTCAACGGGCTAGATGGGGCGCTATACATGCAAGGAGGATTTGACTCCTGGGGAGTTTAAGGAGCTGCTTCAGTAGTTTGCCACGTGCCAAACAAAAGACCATGCGTATATTTGTACTGTTTATATGATTGAGGAGGCCTTGCTCGGACGTGTCTGTACACCAAGATCTGCTCGTCCCAACTTACAACTTTCCCCCTAAATTTCAAACCAGTATAGGAGGTGTTCACTTAATTCTTTGCATCTCGTGAGGTCGCTCTTCTTTGCACAATTTCCTTCTGGGCTTTGCCTAAAGCCGTTGGTTATATCGATCTGAACTTCAACATCGACGAGCAGGTGCAAGTCGAAACCGACGTATTCTTTACCCATCATCCTCATCACTACCACCACGAACGAGAACCACCTCTCAAAAAGAGAAAATGTCCTCCCCAAACACAGCCACTCGCCCAAAATCCCCCACCACCTCCTCGTCCTCCCACAAATCCCGCCGTGGCCGCGGCGGCCCAGGTGGACCCGTACCAGTAACAAGGACCAGCCCCACTGCCAACGGCCTCAACATCGACATGTCCAACTTACGCATCAACAACGACGTAGCCTCAGTAGCGGCCTACTCGTCAGCAGGCACGGGTGTGACCAACGCCAGCACCAACAACACGACGAGCAGCAGTCGGCGGAGGCGCAGGAGGAGGAACAACAACAACAACAACAATAAAGGAGGAGCAGCGAACGCAAACGCAATCGCGGCGGTGGAAGCAGGGGGGACAGGGTTCGGCAGGATACCGCCTGTGCCGAGTAGGGGAGGAGGAAGAGCGGGCGGGCAGAAGCCGGCCAAGCTGCAGATCGGGCTGGACCTGAACGTGGACCTGGAACTGAAGGCCAAGATTGGGGGGGATCTCACGCTGAGCCTCGTGTAAGTGGCTGTCTTTTTTAACTTCTTTTCCTCCTCCTCCTCCTCCTCCTCCCCCCGAACTGTATTTCCCCTTTCACGTACACACAACCTTCTTTCTTCCTCTTCCCGGGGCGCAGGCTGACCGAGAGGAATGACATGTGGGTTACGGTGAGTAAAGGAGTTGAGAGAAAAGTATGTTGAAGAAGCATACAAAGACGAATAAACAGAAAGAAAAAGAAAAAAAGAGAAATTCAAACAAGAAGACGAGAAAAACCAGAGACCAACCATTCTTTTCTCATTCCGTTCCGGAACCCTAATAGGCTCGAAGAAAAACCTAAACCACGAAGCTGCCCGGAGCTGCCGTGCCCGGGCGAGGGCGAGGAGCTGGACACGGAGCTGTTCTACATACGCGTGGGCAGGCTGCGGTTCAGCAGGCGGTGGATTGACCCGGACGCCGTGCTGCGGGGACAGGTGTTTTTGACGGGGCTGTCAGCGCTGGTGCTGGTGGGGATTGGGTTTGTGGCGGGTTGGTTGGTTGGGTCGCGGGCTGGGACTGCTGGCGGCGTGGTGGTGGACAGCGGACGATGGTGGGACAACATGCAGATGGGAAGCAGCGTGGTTGTGTCGTCTGACGGGCCTGGATTGTTAGCGGATGGAGAGTTGGGGGTTGGTGTGGTGCCATTGTCGTCGTCGTCATCGTCGTCGTCGTCTTGGTCCAGCCATTCCTGGATTGGTAATGATGATAATGATGACAATGGTGATGGCGTCGTCGTGGTAGGTGGCGGGTGGTGTGGTGGCCTTGGTGATGATGGTTGTGGTCAAGCTTACGGCGTGGACCCGGTTTCTACAGCACTGAGGAAGAAGAATTCTTCTTTTCTGTATTGATACTTAGTACCATATATTTACTTCTACCAAACAAACAACTGTCAAGAAACGGGAGAAGAAGAAAAAGGAGGATTATGTGGTATACAGTTCCGGTTGGCTACCGATTCTCCTCCTCCGGCGCCGTGATAATACGTGACAGTGGTGGTTTTGTCGGTACTCTTACACAATGCTAGGGTGTTTTATTTCGATTTCTTCTTTTCTCTTCAAATCGCAAAGGCGTGGAGGGGGAGAGGGATTGGTGTTGTGTGTGTGTGTGTGTGTGTACATATGTAGGAAGCGCACGCCATCCTGATCCCCACGGCCGAAAAGGCGAAGGACCGAGGCGAAGGAGGAGGATGGGAAGGGTTCATGATGACTTGTTGGTGGTGAGCTCCGTCGGTTGTCCACTTCTGGAATGACCAACGATCCAATTGACGGGCAACCTAGCCCCTCTAGTAAAGAACTCCAGGCCGTGTAAGGTTAGATACCAAGGTAGATCCCCACGGGGAGGGGGGGCTTGTTTAGTAATTATGCTCGTGCTTGGTCTGAGACTTTGATCCAGTGTAGACTGAGATGGATTTGTGCAGTTTAGTCGTTGTCACCTTGTGTCTCCTCTTGTTCAATGATCAAAGGATTGAGAGGACTCTCTGCCAGGGACATCAGCTAGCACATACTGCAGTAGTAAAATAATAGGGGGTTGCAAACCCTGCCACGGCACTACGAGGATCCTATGCCCGCGTGGCCCTCATCGTGAAATGCAGGCAGGGGGCTTTTGGCCCAGCAAACCGCAGTAAAAGTCCCGTCTTCTAGCCTTGTAAATACTTACTGACTAATCTGCAGTGATAGGCTAAGGCTAAGTGCTTAGCATGTATTTTGTACTTGGTAAGCATGCTGGATGAGGGAAAACGCAGGGAAAGAAGGAGGTGTGCTAGGGAAGAGAAGGCGCGCCGCTGATTTGTTCCCGTGTTGGGCCCGGGACGGGAAGGGAAGCCGTTTATCGCAGAGCGGGGCCTCGCGTCTCTTTTTTCTTCTATCTTTTGCCTCCTTTTTTTCTTCTTCTTATGACTCTTAATATCTATGTATCATTGGATGTTTCTTGTTTGCCTTGTTCTTTCTTCTTTCACATCTCTGGTCGATGAGTGTCGCTCCCTTTTCCCTCCTTCTGCCTCTCTGCATCTTTCTCCGTTATTGTCCTCATTGGCGGCCATTGGTGTCCCTCATAACATATAAGACATCGCTACTACACCGCCTGCATCTTCAGAATTCCTTCGACAGTTGGACCGAAGGCGACTTACTTTTATCATCATCATTCATCATCATCATTCATCATCATCTGGAGCTTGACTACCCTGGGTCTTTTGTGAATCTCAACCCCCATCTTTCTACCCCCAACTAGTCTCTGTCGCCTGGTAAAAGAGAGAGGGGAAGAGAAGAGAGAGAGAGAGAGAGAGAGAGAGAGAGAGAGAGAGAGAGAGAGAGAGAGAGAGAGAGAGAGAGAGAGAAGAGAGAGAGAGGGAGAGGGAGAGAGAGAGAGAGAGAGAGAGAGAGAGAGAGAGAGAGAGAGAGAGAGAGAGAGAGAGAGAGAGAGGAGAGTAAGAAGCCCATGGCAGACAGCACAGACCTCGACGGCGCAGAGAAGCCCTCCGCCACTTCCCAGGAAACCACCACCAACCACAAGGGCGCAGCACATCAGCAACAACATGACCACGAGCGTACAACAGACACGTCCTCGCTGAGCGAGAAGGGCCCCTCATCCCCCCCGAGCAGGCATACGCGCTCGAGGGCCTCGTCCCACGCCACAGATGACTCCGACCCCCTTGAGCCTCTCGAGATCGCCCTCTCAGGTGCAGGGCAGACGTCGGCAGCCGATATAGCAGAAGCGATGGCCCGCACGCGCACAGCAGGAACAGCAGCGACGGGCACATCAGCCTGGTCCCGACCGCCCGAATTCGAGGTATCTTTTGACGCGCCTTCAGACCCCTTGAACGCTCGAGAGTGGCCCTTGTGGTACCGCATGTGGGCGATTGCGGCCGTCAGCTACAGCACGTGGGTGGTGGTGTTGTACTCGACCTCGTACACAGCCGCAATCCCAGGTCTGATGGTGGCATTTGATGAGCCGCAACAGTCCGTGGCCACCCTGGGTGTCACCACCTACTTGTTGGGTCTGGCGGTCGGCAGCCTCATCGTGGCGCCCATGAGCGAGCTGTTTGGCCGGCGGCCTGTGTACCTGCTGTGTTTGACCGTGTCCACTCTGCTCGTGCTACCCTGTGCCTTGGCCACGGGCTTGGCCGAGATCGTGGTCGTGCGCTTCTTTGGTGCTCTGTTCGCCTCCGTCATGGTCTGCAACGGTGCCGGCACTATCGCCGACATCTCCACGGATGATGACAGGGCCATGTACATGAGCCTGTGGAGCATTGCGCCCCTCAACGGTCCCGTCACGGGGCCTCTCATCGGTGGTTTTGTGTACCAGTACTTGGGCTGGCGGTGGGACAACTGGCTGGTTCTGATCCTCAGCGGCGTCGCTGTGCTGCTCATGGCGACGGTGAAGGAGTCATACGCGCCCGCCATCCTGAAGGCCAAGGCGGCGAGGCGCAGGAAGGAGGAGGACGACGAGCGGTACTGGTGCGAGTATGACGATGCCAAGCGGTCCACGCTTGAGCTGATGCGCGTCAACCTGAGCCGACCTTTTGTGCTGAGTGTCACCGAGCCTATCCTGTGGTTCTTCAACATCTGGATCTCTGTTATTTACGGCATCTTGTATTTGGTAAGTGGCGGTGGTGGTGACCAACCTTGTCCCTCTTTCCTTTTCACTTTCTCTTTCATCTTCTTTCCTCTCCCTTTGTCTCTGTCCTTCGTGCCCTATTCTTAGCTGACCAAACCCCCCACCCCCCTTGCAAAGTGTTTCGTCGCCTATCCCATCGTTTTCGAGGACAAGAGAGGTTGGGGCCCGGGTACAACAGGCCTATCCTTCCTAGGCATCGGAATAGGAACCCTCATCGCCATCTTCATGGAGCCCGTCTGGCGCCGCATCATCAATTCTCACGCCAAAGACCCATCCACCAACCGCGTGCCCCCCGAGGCCAGCGCAAGCATCATGTCCCTCGGCGCCATCCTGACCCCCATTGGTCAGCTCATCTTCTCGTGGACCTGTCTTCCCACAAGCATCCACTACGCCATACCCATTGCCTTTGGTATCCCCTTTGGCATGGGCAACACATTGTGCTTCATCTATGGCACCAACTACCTCGCCGGCGCGTACGGCACTTTTGCCGCCTCTGCGCTGGCGGGAAATGCGGTTATCCGGTCTATGTTTGGGGCTACGCTGCCGCTGGCGGGGCCTTCCATGTATACCAAACTCACGCCGCAGTGGGCAGGAACGCTGCTGGGCTTGTTGGAAGTGGTGCTGATACCGATCCCTATTGTCTTTTACAAGTATGGCAATCGAATCAGGGCGAGAAGCCCAGTGATCAAGCGGATGACGGAGGCGCAGGCGCATCAGGATCGGAAGAGGGCCAAGTTTATGGAGAAGCTGGAGAGGCAGAAGAGGCAACAGCAACAGCTGCAGCAGCAGGAGGTCAGTGCTGGTGAGGGTGAGGGTGAGGATGGAGTGGCGGGAGAAGAAGAGGTGGTGCGTCAGGATGAGAAGGTTGAGGTTGTTGATGCCAGCAATTCGTCGGTGGCCTATGGTGAAGAGGTCAAGGGCGCTGGTGATGCGGAAAGCAAGGATCTGGAGAAGGGTGTCTGAGACTGTGATACGTTACCATGTCTGATTGTACGTGCGCTGAGTGTGTCTTGGTGGGTACGAAGGTTTGGGCCTGGCCTTGGCCCCTGTCGTCTGATTTGTCTGCACGCAAAGAATGTGTACAACAAGAAGTAGACGACAATACATGAGAGAGGTGAGCTTTCAGATGATACCAAATCCAACGAGCTCCTTCTCCCCTGAGATGTTCAGGCGATGTCTTGATTCTCTGCAATTGCAATATAAAGGCATCCAAGTTCACTTAGGGAACAGCCCCCACCCCCCCTCCCCAATTCTCGCACGAGTGGTGATAGTACGTAGCCTTCCACCTACCTCATGAGCCTTCACAATTTTCGTCCTAAATCGTTTCCCTGTCTGGTTGCGTGTTATCTTATCATAAGTGACACAATCAACAACACCCAAGGTTGGCGCTCTCCCTCTCGGAGTCTTCCGTCGCCGGCTGACAGCCGGCTCATTCTCCGGTGGCGTCTCACATGACAGCTGAGGCGCTTGACCAAAAAGGGGATGTCATCGAAGAAAGAAAAGAAGGAGGGTAAGAGTGCCCATGGCACATGCTCTACTTATTATCCCTTCCTCTCTCGTGGTCTATTCCCATCTCTATCGGCTGTACGGATCATGGAACAACCTGGAAAGTGGAGCGAAAGCAATGAGGTTCGAGACCCGAGAGGGAGAGAGTTCGGTTTCCAGGAGAAAAGAAGAGAAGGACAGATGTAACCACCACAGACAGACAGGACGGGCAGACAACACACCACACGTTAAAGACGCAACCACGGGCTAAGTTGAAGTCATGCCAGAACAGTACTACAATAATACAATGTGTTCTGGACCACCGGGGATTATTGAAATTCCCCGCTTGCGCACGAGGACAACAGAATGATGCATCATGTCAATATGTGGTAACCATGGTGGGTTTTCAGACGATACTGTAGCATATCACAAAAAAACAAATATGAATAAAAAAGGAAAGAAGAAGGAGAAAACTCAATCCCATGTCGATCCGGCTAATTCGATCCGGGGAGGGGGGGGGGCGCAATGGAAGAGAAGGCGGACGCAGCCACAGGGACTTGTTTTCTGTCCTTGTCCATGATCGAATCCAGGCACGGAAGGTCGCATCCGTCGAGAGGAATCGGCCGAGTCCAGCCGAGTTCGGGTTCGAGTTTACATGCTTTAATACCAGATCCAGCCTCGCAGACCGGGCCTTGGCATTTTCGTTCCATGTTGCAGGAAAGAAGGAGAAGTTATTGTTTTTCTTGTTCTTTCTCTGTCCTACTCCCCTGGCTTTCTATCTTTCTTGGTCCGGGGTCCCACGAGGGCGGGCTTGAGGGGGCTGAATGCCCATCGAGGAAGGTCAAAAAGGGTTATTTTTTGCATGGCATGATGGAGTGGATGAAAGTGTTATTGTTTTGTGAGTGGATAAATACATATATACCTTTTATCAATATACTTTATATTATAACTTGATGTGTTAATTTGCTGGGAAAACCACCTACTGTATTTCAAGGCATCACAGTGATGGGCCGTGTGCTTTTTTCCGGCATGTGAAAGAAGTTTACGGCCAAGTATTGTGTGGCACTTGTCGTTGGCCGAGTAGGGACAATTTTTACATGCTTAAAACGCCCGGTCAAGCCAGTGTCCATGTGTGTTTCAATCCATCTCCCCGCAAGTGCTGGGCGGGCATAGGATCTACAGGGGTTCGGGGGGGGGGGGTCCTGAGTGGCAGGGGTAGTAATGGGTACTTCCCGCGCACTACAAGATTGGTGGCATTCACCCCCGTAAAGGCTCCGGATGCAGTAAGATGCTGACCCTCTCCAAGAAACAAAAAGTAATCAGATGAATCTTGATTGTAGGAGGTATAACCCTGATGGTCCCCCATTTGAAGAAATGTGAGACATGTGCAGATTGTTTGAACATGCCACAGGAATGTGTCGATCAGCCGTCTTCAACAAGAATTGTCTCACATTTTGAGTATGTGTGCCGCAGTATACAGTGTATTTGGCCGCTTTCCCCCTCAGCGTATCCTTATGGCCCTAGCACTAAACTGCAGCACGTTTGCTGTCACCTTGGCACGCTTGGGTAAGGCCCTTCATACGCGTGATAGGCTCTTGCCCTTGTGAGACGTGCCAAGCCGGTGGCGCCCACGGAGGCCCCAACAGGCCATTTTCCTCCCACTGCTCGGGGCTGTCGGGGTCTCTGGTCGCCTTGGCTGCTTGGCTCGTCAGGGCTCGCTCAGCTCAGGGTCCCCTGGCTCCATTTCTAGCTCCGTCTTGGCAGCATCTCGCCTTTTCGATAGTGCCCTTTTCGCGCCCCCCCCCTTCCCCCCTCGAAAGAGACCCCGCCACCTGCTTGCTTTTTTGGCTTCAGTGCTGCTGCTGCTGCTACTGCTACTGCTGCTGATTGCTGTTCACAGGGCTCTCGGTGGCTTGAACGCAGGCTTGGCTTGGCTTGGCTTGGCTGGTTATGGTCCCTTGATCTTTCTTCCTCACCCCTGCCAGTTTTTGGTTTGGTGCGAGGGGCACAAAGAAAGAAGGAACCGAACCATAGTTGCTCTTTACACATTCAATTAATGGTTACACTGAGCAAGCACACATGACAAGAACGGAGGCTTGTTCCCTTGAATCTTTTTTTCTTTCCATCGGCCCGCCATGATCTGATCCATGAATGACTACTTTTGGTTGTCGTTATTGGTTTATCTTTATACAATCAGATTCTCTTTTCTCTCTCTCTCTTTTTTATTCTTACTTCTCAATTTCATCATTAACTCTGCTCCTATCAACCCCTGGAAGAACAAAAGGTGTCTGACCTCTTCATGCTCCAACGCCATCCGTCTTCCATCTTCAATCTTCTGCTCTTCTTTCTTCTGACGACGACGACAGTGGCTGGCTGACATGCGCCTCATCCCCTCTCCTATTCATCGCCGTCACGTGAACAGCATGCTCTCCCGTTGATCTTCATTCCGGAACCTGCAGACGAGATAGTCGACCCAACCTGTCAACTACTCCCTCCAACGCGCCTCTCAGGACGAAGAGCTTCTTCTCCTTCTCCCCTCTCTCTCTCACCCTAACAGCATAAAAAAGGGACCTTGCCCCGTTGACGACCCTCTCCGCTTCCTGAGGTGCCCGCCGCGGGGGAGGTCCGTAATCCAACACCGAGACACGCCAGCTCAGGACCATGCCTCGCTTCAGGAGATACCGCGTCTTCGTCGCCTGTGCGCTCTTTCTCGTCTTTCTCCTCTACCGCGTGTCGAGCAACTCTGCTTGGGACGAAGACTTCGAGTCTCAGTTCCAGTATGTCGCTGCTGTCCTGCCCAACCCTGGCCGTACCAGACCTGCTCAGGATGGCGGCTACAGCAGCAGCGGCGGCGGTGGTGGTGGTAGCCTCTCTGCTCAGACACAGACGATGCCCCACCCACCGCCAGATAGTGGCGAAGGGGGCAGGCCTGACGACGATAAAGTAGTCAAGATCCCCGAGCTGAAGTCCGGTCCCGTGGCAGACGACAACACGTACGCCCTGCCGGCTGCCAACGACCGTATCTCGGTGGATGCAGCAGGTGGGAACAGCCCGTCACTCGTCAACGCCGCTGGCGCTCCAGACCGGCAGCCTGGCGAGGTGCAGGATGTCTATCCAGCAGCAGCAGCAGCAGGAGGAGGGGGAGTCGGCGGCGCTCAGAACCCGCTCCAAGTCCAGGACCCGCCAGGCAGGTACGAGCCTGGCACGACCTTTAGCGAACCGATTCACTGGATCAAGCAGGTTGAGCGCTTCCCCATTGAGGAGGACTCGTTAATTCCGCTGCCCAGCGGCACGCCTAGGTCGATCCCTACGATCCAGCACAGCTTCGGACCAGAGACGGACGAGGCCAGGGCGAGGCGAGAGGATCGCCTAGACCAGATCAGGATGGAGGCACAGATCGCCTGGGCTGCCTACAGCCAGTACGCCTTTGGACATGACGAGCTCCTCGTCTCGGGCATGAGCTCCCGGGACCCGTTCTGCGGCTGGGGCGCGACGCTGGTGGACTCCCTGGACACGCTGTGGATCATGGGTCTTAAGGATGAGTTTGAGGAGGCTTACAGCGGCCTGAACGATATCGACTTCACGACTACCAATCGTAATGATATCCCCGTCTTCGAGACCACGATCCGCTACCTGGGCGGACTCCTGGCTGCCTACGACGTGACGGGCGGGCACAAGGGCGACTATCCACTGCTCCTCAAGAAGGCTGTCGAGCTGGCAGAGGTGCTGATGGGGGTCTTCGACACGCCCAACAGGATGCCCATCCTGTACTACCAGTGGAAACCAGCCTATGCCTCGCAGCCCAAGCGCGCCAGCACCAGGGCCGGCATAGCAGAAGTTGGCACCCTGTCCATGGAGTTTACCAGGCTGGCGCAGCTGACCGGCAAGGACAAGTATTACGACGCTGTTGCCCGCATCACCAATGCCCTAGAAGAGTGGCAGAATCGCGATGATCACACGGCGTCGCTGATCCCGGGTATCTTTCCCGAGAATATCGATGCCTCGGGCTGCAACAAGACCGCGAAAGCCAATAAGTCGCTTGACAGCGCCAGTTCCCTCGCCAAGCAACAAGCGGCAGCAGCAGAGGACAGCGCACTACATGAGCCTGAAGGCTACAACCCGAAAAAGGCAGCAAAATCCCCCGAGATAGAACTACGCGACAACGTTGACCGCGGTGGTGATGCAAGCGCCTCAGAGGAGAAAAATCCCATCCGCCGACGTGCCCCGCCCCAACCTTCGCCCAAGATTGGTCCAACAGAGGACCATATCAGCGGCGCGTACAAGGGAGGCTCGAGCAGCCGCTCGAGCAGCAGCGGCCGCGGCCCTGTCCAGGAGCCTCTTGGGGCGGATGGCCTGCCTACCGACTGGGAATGTGAGGCCCAAGACCTCGCTGCTTCGTCGGGAACCCAGTCATTTGGCATGGGCGGCAGTCAGGACTCGGCATATGAGTACTTCCCCAAGCAGTATCTCCTCCTGGGCGGTCTGGAGGCCAAGTACCGCTCCATGCACGAGAAGACAGTCGCTGCAGTCAAAGAGCACCTTCTGTACCGACCCCTCACCCCCGACAACGCCGATATCCTGTTCTCCTCCAAGCTCACGATCAACCCTGCAAATGAGCTGGAGCTCCCCAGAGACGGCACTCACGGCTACGAGGTCACGCATCTGGCGTGCTTCCTCGGAGGCATGTTCGCCATGGGGGGCAAGATCTTCGACTCGGACGAGGACCTGGATATCGGGCGGCGCCTTACCGATGGATGTGTTTGGGCCTACGCCAGCATGCCGACGGGCATCATGGCAGAGATTGCCTTTGTCACGCCGTGCCTCAATGCTGGATCCTGCGAGTGGAATGAGACGGCATGGCATCTTGCGATCGATCCGAACCCTAGGATGAGGGAGGACCAGATGGAAGCTTATATCGAAAGGCTGGCCCAGTGGAAAATCGATAAAGATGAGGCCCTGCGCGCCGAGGCCGTGCTGCAACAGGCTGCAGAAGAGCTGGGGACACCAGTGACACATGCCCAGGATTCAAAGCCCCACCCAAAGTCGGGAGTTCCCCAGAGGGACAGAGACGACGGCTCTATGGGGCGTGAGGACGATGTACCGTACCGTGCAGGTCGTACCAAGCGAAATATTGATCCGGTGTCGGGAGATACCCTTGCGTTCGACCCTTCACTACTCAATCAAGAGGCCATCGAGGAGAAGATTAGACAGATGGACGAGGAGTACTTTGGCGAGCCAGAGGTACCCGTACAGGACCCTCACCAAGCGCCCATGGAGCAGCCCAAGCCCAAGGCGCCGCCCAGGCCCCCTTTCAAGGTCCCTTCCAAGCCCCACAGACCTCAGACGCATGAGGAGTTTGTGGCAGATCGTATCAGAAATGGAGGGCTGCCGCCAGGATACACCCAAGTGACCAGCAATGCCTATCAATTACGGTGAGCTCTCTTGCGTCCCCCTTGCGCACTTGTGAACCCATTACGCCAATGCTGACAAATTCGTTCTTTCTACTCTCTTCGCAGGCCTGAGGCTATCGAATCTGTCTGGTACATGTACCGGATCACGGGTGATCCCACGTGGCAGGAAAAGGGGTGGAAGATGTGGCAGTCCGTCATCGCCCATGTGCGCAACAACCCGGCCCACTCGGCCATCAACGGCGTCAACGACCTGACGAAGCTGCGGCACGCTGGCACCATGGAGAGCTTCTGGATCGCCGAGACGCTCAAGTACTTTTACTTGCTGTTCTCGGAGCCGGACGTTGTGTCGCTCGACGACTGGGTGCTGAACACGGAGGCGCATCCGTTCCGGCGGCCGTCGTGAGACGGTGAAGCAAGACAACCCAATGGCAAGGGCTTGGTGGGACTCGAGAGGACAAGGGCGTTTTATTTTTCCTTCTTGCTTGAATTCCAAGTAAATAGCATGGCGGAGCGGAGTTCCGTGGCGTTTATTTTTTCTCGACAAGTGGCGGTGGGCCTTCAAACGGCTATCGACGGGTCATGGGTTTGTTGGAGCATATATATTATCATGCACGTCATACCACTTGGGGTTGGGTTGGGCCAAACTCAAAGTATGAGGGGGAACGGTGTTTTTTGGATAAGGAGTAATCACGGCATGCATGAGAACAGGAAGAACAGGGTTGAAAGAAGCATCTCTTGGCTATGGACCTCGGACAAGGAGGGAATTAGAACTTTCTGTCATGGAGAACTGTATATATTGGGCACTTGCTGCTGCAGCTACTCCGGCTGCTATTACCACACTGACGATGATACCTGCCAATGCTACAACCTATATTTCAGCTGTCTTTCACCTTGACTTAATTTTTCGTCTTTCCAACCTAACCTCAGTTAGACATCATCCTTGCTGAACTACCTCGTCACCCTTGCCAATCATTCACTTCATATTCCAAAGCGAAGCCAAGAGTCTAGTTGTTGACCCTCGGGATGATAAGGGGCTCCAAAAAGTATGTGTATTATGTACTTGTGCCCCCCCCCCCCCTTTTTCCGCTGTCCCATCTCAACCCGCCCCCGTGATCCAAGTTGCGATTCCCCTGCCTGCCCTACCAGACAAAGTACCTATAATCCTGATACAGCTTCCCCTCTTCCACAAGCACAAGCACAAGCACAAACATGAATACGTACGTGTACAAAACCCATCGGAACGTGCCTGGTACAAGATTACGAAGAAAAAAAAAAAAGAAAAAAAAAAGAAGAAGAAAAAAAGAAGAAGAAAAAAAAGAGGAAAAAAAAAAAAGAGAAAAAAAAAAAGAGAAAAAAAAAAAGAAGAAAAAAAAAAAGAAGAAAAAAAAAAAGAAGAAAAAAAAAAGAAGGAAAAAAAAGAAAGAAATCAACGAATGAAGTAAAAACAGATCTCGGCATGATGTTGATATGAAATGAACAAAAGGGAGAAGACGAGTCATGTCGATTAGACGATTGATATCTGGAGTAAAATGGAGAAAGTAAGAACAAACATGACAATGAGGTCACTCGTAGAAGCAGCGGCGGTGGTGGCTTGCTCCCTTCTAAAGACCTGACGCACCCACCCTTGGCCCAACGTACTCTCTGACTTCCCGAATACCCTTTTTTCCCGATCGTTTCGTTCCATGTTTGGTTTGTGTCACTGGTGAGGTTTGAAATCTCGATTCTTCTTAACGTCGACGTTGCTAGCACGAGGACACTTTCTTGTCAAAATCGACCAAACAAATTTAGAGGGAACGTGAAGAGGAGGTTGTGAGAGAGAAGGCCAAAAAAGTCCATGTACAAACTCTTTTTTTGTTTTGGGTTTGCATCTACTGGGTATATCGTTGTCCCTAATGTGTTTCTCGCTCGTGCAAAACAAAAAGATTCAATGCTCCGCCCCTTCCCCCACCCCCCTCCCCCCAAACCGAATCCCTTGCCCCTTATGTACGCCCTCATCGTGACAGATGATGAGAGAAAGCCCGGACGGTCCCCATCGCAAGTAGGCCCCTCCCAGCCCGCATGTGGGTGATGTGGAGGAAATCAAGAATACAATATGTCCAGCTGTCCTCTCCCCGCCACCGCAAAATTCGTCACTACCCTCGTCATCCATGGGGTCTGATCTATCATGCTCATTTTCCTTCGTAACTAGAGAGCCCAATGCGATGCCTGTGGAAAAAAGCAAACGAGGAATTTAAAAAAGGAAGGGGGGAGTGCGATCCCTCCCACCCCCTTCCACCCATTTCCTGCTCCATCGCAGGAATATTTCCTTTTCATAGAAAGAAGATATCATTATTAATCCGCCAGCTGGCTCAGGACACGTATGCTCAATATCATGACCAGCAAGCCGATCGTGACGATGATGAGCAGGGTGAAGGAGAACCAGCCCAATACCATGGCGCTGGTGCCGACCCCTGATTTGACGGCACCGTTGCCAAAGTCCTGCGCGATGGTACTGGCGGCGACGGAGGCGGTATGCTGCCAGAGGACAGAGACGAGGATGAAGATGGACGAGATGAAGATGATGGCGAGGGCAACCTGTGACACGGGCCGGCTGGGGAAGGGCTTGACCTCACGTTCGGAGCCGACCGAGTCCTCCTCCTCATGCCAGCCAGGGAAGGTGGCAAGCAGGAGGAAGCAGATGAAGGCGAAGATGATGGCGATGATACTGTTTGGGAGTGAAGAAATAAAAGTCAGCTGGGCTCTGCTCTTCTATGTGATATTGGCACCCCACCAGCCCCAACAATTGGGACTTGAGAATCATGGGAGGAGAGAAATTGGCGGCTGAGGAACGTACACAAGGTAGGGAAAGACCACCATATCCTTAAACTGGCTCGCTAGCCAGATCAGATTCAGAGGGTCCTGGTCGACGCTGACCTCCTGCGCCAGGGCCGTGGCATTGTTGGAACACAGCCAGGAGCCGCCGTCGGGGTTGATGCAGATGCCAAAGTAGCCCACGCGGGCCTGCAGGCGTGCGTCACCTGCTATGCTCTGGATCTCGGAGTAGACAGCATAGTTCACCTGTGCTGTGTCGGGATGCGGCGTGTAGTTGTCGTAGTAGAGGGAGAGGAGGAAGATGTCTGGTATCAGCGGGCTGGAGGATGAGCAGCCTGCTAGTAAAAGTGCTGTGGAGGAGAGAAAAAAGCGTTGTTAGTCATGAAGGAGACAAAGTATTTATCGACGAGAGTCTTAGATGTGGGTGCATGCGTTGTAAAGGACTTACATAGTAGAATGATGGCGACTGCTATCAATATCATCAACACATGATGGTATCCCAGGAACGGTACGAACCCTATAACAAGATAGCAGCAGTCAGTATTATGTTACAAGAGGAATGCAGAGTTGCTGCTCCTGTCCCGCTCGACAGGAATGTTGCTCCAGAAAGAGGACAGGGCTTTGATTGTAATACGTACGGTACCATCCTGTCCTGAACGCCGGCATCTTGTCACCGGTTTCCTTCTTGTTCTTCTTTCTGTGTGCCTCCGGCTTCGCGAGCCCGCCTCGATCTTCTTGTGATCCCTAGCCCGACCTCCGTGGAGAGTCGGCGGGACGTCGGCGCGCCCTGCAGCGCAGTCGTTATGTTGATCAATTACCCCTACAAGGCCTCGTGGGTGCGAGGTGGATCCTCTTTCTGTCCAGAAGCTCGAGATGGCGTGTACGAGTATCGACGGGACGGACGAGGTCTGACTGGAATGAAGGGAGGGGAGGGAAGGAGAGACAGTCGACCGTGGACGGGAACGAGTGACAAGTTGAGACTTAGTTCGTAGTGGCCACGACGATTGTAGTTGACGGCATCCAGCAGCATGCCAGATACGCGTGTGAGTTGGTTTGGGTAAGGTAAGTTTGAGGGAGAGCGTGTGTAAGTGGGAAAGGTAAAAAGGTAAAAAAAGTAGAGATGTGTGAGACTTAAGCTGCAGGTGGAATGCAAGAGGTTGGGTCTGTTTCCTATTAACAACGGCAGATAGGAAGTAGTAAGTAATATGGAGCAGAGAGGAGAGAGGGAGACGGAGAGGAAGGGAGAGGATGGGAAAAGGTGAATTGAATGATGCAGGTCTGCAGTTTTTCCACCCCTTGTGTTTGGTTGCACAAGCTTGTGCTGCAGGGCGGGTGGGCTCGAGTCTTGTTCAAGACGGTGGCTGGGAAACTGACGGGATGGAACCCGCCGTCATGTCATGCAGCCCGGGAAGCCTGCAACTGCGCCTGCAAGAAAGAGAGAACATGAAAAAGGTTCCGGTGAGTAAGTGGGTGGTGGATACGCGATGATGGGTGGGTTGGGCTGGCGACAGAGAATCCTAAGAGGACGACCTGCGCCACTGGATTTTTTTTGGCGGGGGGATGTTCTTCTGACAACGCGATGCCTTCGATCGCAGCTACAGAGTACATAGTACATACATAGTAACGTTAAAATGGTACGTACCTCAAGCCTGGGCTAACAAGGTTCCTTTCCGCCCATTGGAGCTGCAGAACTGGCCAGTGATGTGATCCCTTTGATCCTAGCAACGAAATGAGAGAGCTTTGAGGAACAGCAGCTGCCATGTACGTTTCCCCCATCGGACTCGCCAGTTCATCACCAGCACTCAAGGCTGATTTGTGGGAGGATGAGTGGTCGAGGTCGAAGGATGAATTGTACATAGTAAACAAGTCCAGGGGTCGTTGGGATAGCAACAGGCCTCATTTAAGTTTAGCGCCTCGCGGGTTGGTCCACTTAACTAGGGTGCCTTGCATGACGTAGCGCCAACCAGAGCCATCCTGCCCACTTCGCGTGTCTCCCCAGCCTCCTGCCTTATAGTAAATTCGAAGGCTGGGACCCAATAAGACCCCTAACCCCGCTGACGTCTTGTTCCAAAGTAAATACGACCGTTCTCTCCTTCCCTAGACCCTGATCTCATGGGGCAGGAACTGGCTTCGTTATTCCCTTTCTTTCTTGTTTGCTTGGATCAACTAGTCCACACAAGGTGTGTGCTCCCAGCCAGGGCGCGCACCGACCAGTCTGTTCTCTGGCACGAACAAGACGCCAGGCACCTCAACAACAACATCTGGGTATCAACCAAGGTGATATCCACTTGGAGGCTGATATTCTGGACTACACACATCAGTGGGGAAATTTGAGTTGGCTGGCAGCTGCATCACCCCTGTCTTAAGTAAGACCTTTTAAGAGAGCCAATTTTGGGTCCAGATCCGACTGCCCCAGGCTTTTTCATCCCCCCGGAAAACCATCATCTGGACCATTATGATCATCTTTCTTGCCTGGATCTGCCTGCCCTGGACTTTATCCATCTTTCCATACTTGCTGAACGCCAGCATGATCGACATTCTGTATTGAACGGATCTCCAACAACTGCCTCGGCCTCAACGAACGAATATGCCCACAGTTCCATGGCAATTGGCGAGCCCCACGAAGGGGCGCAAGGACCTCTCCTCTCCACCGAGACGGGATTCTAGAACGAGTCCCAGGACGGCCGAGATCTTGACCCTCCCATACAAATTATCCGAGAGCACCTAGCATCACACGAAGATGGATTTCTTGCATAAGGCACACCCGGATATCCACGGGTCGTCTTATGGCATTGCCGAGAGACAGAATACCTAATCGTCCGGCCGCAGTTTTCTCACAGGCTTGCCTCTACGTTATCACTAGGTGAAGATGTTGGTTTCCATGGAGAAGGGTCTCATGACAACGACACACGAGCCATGCACCAACATGATTATTCATCCATAGCCATCGAGGGACTGTACAACGTCATTGGACGCCTGTGCGGCCGTTGACGATTGATTATTAGGTAGGTGTTCCCTTGGATTTGAAACCGTGTTCCATATCTTCACAACCTCCGTCACAAAGTGAGGGCATAGTGGAATGGGGCTCTGTGAGTTAGAGCCTAGAGAGGAAGATGAGCTTCCATGGCTATCGTAGAATGCGGAAGACAGAGGGAAATCCATATACAAAGACCTGTGAAATCTGTGAACACACCGTTATCTGGTATGAGACTGGAAGCCCTGCTTTTGTCCAGATTGATAAATAATGCCCTCAGCCCAAGTAGTTAGCACAGGTGAAGTAAGGTCTCAATAAGGACATACCAATAAGGATCGTGGCCATAGTGACAACAGCCATTGAGTCTGCAGGAAGCCTGAACTAAGTATATAAGAGAGTATAATGTTACTCAATAGTCTTGGTTGTTTCCTTTAACCTTATGAGCTGAACTCTAGTAGAGGATCGCTCGATGAAACACAGACCACAACCGGCGGTATGCCTCTAAGTATCAATTAATTTTTGTTTACAAAGACAGAGTATCCAATTACCCTAATGTAAAGATACCAAGTATGAACGGAAGAATCGGAAGACGCAGTTGTAAATAGTTCCAAACCCTCAACGGCTCATGAATGAAGGTGATTGCAAACATGCCCTGTAGCATGTTAATCAATAGTAATATAGTGCATTGTCCCTGCTTGGCATGAATAAGCACCATGCCTCGAGGAGAACAAATTTGTGTCAGCAGAGGCTCTAGGGATAATCAACATAAATCAAGCATTCAAACGTTTTGGAGCTACTGCTCGAAGGTCGCGCCCAGGAAGATCTCATCGAAGACCTTCGTGATATTACGGCTTCTTGGAACGCGGCTGATGGCAGGAGTAGTACTGACGTTGCTCCGGTACGTCCTCTTCTCCATTTTATACTTATCTGAATATGTGGCAAGTGAACACCTTATATGTGGCAGAAAAGCAAGTATCATCGCGGAAGCATATCACATCGTCGTCGTCAAAAAACTAAACACATGAGGATTCAAATTCAGCATCAGATGCCGTTCAGCAACTAAAGTTAAAGCTGTAATGTGGATTTTGTATTTGGAGCGTGAGGGGATGAGGGGGGGGGAGGGCGTTGGTTTCAAGTACTCACTGCCATGGATTATATGGGTCGACACCTCAGCCTTCACAATTCGAGCAACCCAACCCTCCATCACACCGTACACCACCCTCGCTCGGAAACCTCGACATCCAAGTAAATTCTATAATAAAAGCAGCATTTAATATCGGTCATGCCCAATTTGGATTGCTAGGAAGGACGTAACGGAGAGAAAGGAGAATAAATCGGCTTTGGCTAAGACCGGTAACTTAAAGCCGAGAAGGGAAATCACCAGCCTGCTTTGTGAAGCCTGAATATGTATGATAGCGACCTTCTAACAGAGGCTTTTCTCTTGATTATAAAAGGGGAGCGTGGCCTCGCTCGAGACTTTGTAACATTGTGAATTCACAGCTTCACAGCATTGTCGAAGAGTGTTGTCCATCAGTGACAGAACCTATAGTATCATCGTGAACGCAGCATCTCCTTCACCAGCCTTCCAAGTCCCAAATACGAACAGCAACATAAAACCACCCAAGATGTCTTCCCCCCAAAAGCTTTCCACCCGCCAGCTAGGCAAAGACGGACCCCAGGTGCCCAGACTGGGCTTCGGAACCATGGGTCTGAGCGTCGGCTACGGCCCTGTTCCGTGAGTCTCCTTGCTCCGCCCCCCCCCAAGGAACCGTCATCAGAACAAAAGAACAAAAGAATACATGCTTACACAAAAGTCATTCCAGATCCGAACAAGAACAGCTCAAAGTCCTCGACCGCGCCTGGGAGCTCGGCGCCACCTTCTGGGACACAGCCCACAACTACGGCGACAGCGAGGTGCTCATCGGCAAGTGGTTCCGCCAGCACCCCGAGCGGCGCAAGGACATCTTCCTTGCGACCAAGTTCGGACTCTCGTCGAACCTCCAAGCTGTCGGCGCAGGCGGCAGGATCACGTGGCGGCTCGACAGCACGCCCGAGGAGTGCCGGCGCTCGTGCGAGGAGAGCCTCGAGAAGCTGGGGACCGAGTACATTGATCTGTTTTATATACACCGGTTTGACAAGAAGACGCCGGTCGAGAAGACGATGGAGGGGTTTGTGGAGCTGAAGAAGTAAGTTGAGGCGCAAATACCCATCAGGTAGACATAGAATGCGTGTGTGTGTGTGTGTGTGTGTGTGTGAAAAGAAAAGAAGAAGAAGAGAAGAGAGGAGAGGAGAGAGAGAGAAACTCTAGACTGACGAGGCAACTCTTTTTCCAGCGAGGGCAAGATCAGACACATGGGCTTCTCCGAGTGTTCCTCCACCACCCTCCGCCGCGGCCACGCCGTCCACCCCATCGCGGCGGTACAGATCGAATACAACCCATGGACCCTCGACATCGAGACCGACGCCGGCACGAACCTCCTCGCCACGTGTCGCGAGCTGGGCGTGGCCGTCGTGCCGTACTCCCCTCTGGGCAGAGGCTTCATGACCGGCAGGTGAGTTTCAAGAACATTCTTGCCCCCCCCCCCCCCCCCACAATCCCCTTTTCCTCTCTTTGAAGACGAAGAGATAGAGAAAAAAAACAGAAAAAAAAAACGGCCGAACTAATTTTGGGTTCCCTCCCTCTCCACTCCACTCCAGATACAAATCCGTAGACGACTTCGAGCCCACCGACCTCCGCCGCCACCTCCCCCGCTTCCAACCCGCCAACTTCGCCCGCAACCTAGAACTGGTCCGCATCTTCGAGGACCTCGCGGCAGAGAAGAAAGACTGCACGCCCGCCCAGGTCGTCCTGGCCTGGATCCTGGCCCGCGGTGACGACTTCTTCCCGATCCCCGGGACCAAGAATGTCGCGTACCTGGAGCAGAACCTGGGCGCGCTGGGGGTCGAGATCACGGCTCGAGATGACGAGATTGTCCGGGCCAAGATAGCCGAGATGGGTGGGGCTGTTGGAGACAGGAGTCTTTCTATGGCTGATACCTTTGTGGACACGCCGCCGCTGTAAAGTTGGCTGGTTCGTTGTGGATGAGGATGGAGAGAGAAAGAAAGAAAGAAAAAGGGAGGAGATCCGGTCTGGGAAGGGCGGTCAAGCACAATATGCAAGCACCACTGGACGCATTTGTTTGTATGCTCACCCGTAAAAGATAATCTGGATGCTTTGCCTATCAGCTGAAATCATCCATTGCGTCCCCCCTCGCCCGTTACAAGAAGCAAGCCCCATTGCCTCCCATCCAAAAGCAGCATCCACACCGAATTCCCATCCCATCTATCAAACCCAGTACTAGCAATTCCAACGAAACCATCGTTCTCTCTCTCTCTCTCTCTCTCTCTCTCTCTGTCTCTCTCGCGCGCGCGCTCGCTTCCCCTCCCTCCAATGCCCCTTCTGCTCAGCTGCCCTTGCTCTGTGAATTGAAAAATCGAGGCTGTTCCTCTCCCTCGGACCTCCCTGATCGTTCCTGAACAGGTAAGGTACAAGAAATGTACAGGCCAGATGCAAGAATCAACTTGTGCCAGCGCAAAAGCATGCAACATGCCAGAGGCCGACCATCAAAGCCGCCCGAGCCAAACCACCCGTGTCGTTGAAAAAACCAACAGACAACAATGTGATGGGTTCAAGGCAATATGTGCAGTGTGAAAGGAATAGAGGGGTGAGAGGCAGAAAAGGAGAAACGAAATAAAAAGGAAACCAATAACACATGTATTTCATTTTATTACAGGGTCTTGAAGTTGTTGTACCAGCGTCTTGCTACCATGCTCTTTATCTTATTCCTTCCGCTCTCGCACGCGCTCTCTCCTGTCGGTCCGCTGCTTGGTCGTTTGGTCTAGATGCCGTCGAAATCACCGCCCAGGTCGTCTTCGTCCAAATCACCTTCCTGTATGTCATTAGCCATCTCGCGCTCGCGCTCGCGAGCTTCCTGTGCATTCTTGAGCTCGAGGCGGTGCTGGTTCATAGGGAAGCGCATAGCCTATTACGTCACACACACACACACAAGTTAGCTATCTGCATACTGTACATGCGTTTTGATTGGAGTTCAAGTCGAGCTTGAAAGTAGGAGGCAAACGTACCTTGACGCTCTCGTCATGCAGTGCAAGACAGGCTCGGATACGATCGTGGAACGCCTCCGTCGGCTCACGCGTCGCATACACATCACCTGTCTCCTTGCTCTTCATGAACCCGTGCTCGCGGTCCAGTGTGGCCTCGATGACACCGTCACGAATTGCCTTGGCCACGATGTACTCTGCGGACTCCTCGCTGCCGAGATGCAGGCGGATGCAAATATCCCGCAGGGAGATGCGTGAATAGGACAGTGACATCATGCGGATACCTGTCTTGATCACGTTCTGCCGCAAACGCAGGATCAGCGTGTAGGTGCCGTCGCGCCGGAAGGTGTCGGCGTGGTCCGCGATGGTCGTCTCGAAGTCCTCCAGATTGCCAACGCGCACGGCCTGCACGAGCAGAAAGTAAGGGTGCAGCGCCTGCTCCATCGAGGCGACACGGAATGTCGCGCGGTCGGGGATGTCACCCATCAGCAGCTCGACGACCAGCAGAAGCTTGGTGGCGGTCTGGGAGAAGCCGAGAGCGCACATACTCGACGGAGCCTTGCGGGTAGCAGCGGTCAGGTGCTCGTGAGCCTCGGTGTAACGCAGCTGGATCGCACGAATGCGGCCGAGATAGTAGAGGAACCTCGCGACCTGGTTGTTGGCGGCATTCTCGGGGAACTGTGTGTGCGAGACGAGCAGGTCGGCCTGGTTGATGTGCGACGTGAGCAGGTAGTTCCGAAGCAGTAGAACAATGACCGAGGACTGGACGTCGATGTCCTTTCGCAGGACCGCCGTCCGCAGGGCCGCGAGCAGGGTGGGTCGGATGGCGATGATGGGGGACTGAGGCGATGGAGGGAGAGGGGCAATGTTCTCATAGAACAGCGAGTAGTAGAAATACACCTTGGCAGACAGCGAGTCGAGCGTTCTCCGGTTCAAAGCGCGAATGTGGTCGCACAGGTAGCTTGAGAACTCTGCGCCGCGCTCAAAGTGCTTGTTGTCGTACAGGTGGACCTGGATCAGGATGCCCAGGAAGATGTCGACCTCAGGGATGACCTCGGTGTTGGTGTCTTTCTTGCTGCCGTTCTTAGCGGCGGGAGCTTTGACTTTCCCATCGGCAGCAGCTTCAGCCTGGGCAGCTAGCTGACTTTCTAGGGGGATCTGTTCCCTGCCGTGGGCCTTCAAAAGCTGCTGCGCGACGCTGGACGAGAGTGTGTTGCCGGGGTAGGTCTCGACGATGACCTGAGCAAGGATGGCTGGGGTCAGGCGCTTGCGGATGGAGGACACGAATCGTAGCGCTCGCAGGGAGAATCTGGCATCGAAGAGGGCGACAGCTCGATCGAGCAGCGCGAAGTTGCTCTTGATATCTAGAATGAGAGGAAGTCCAGGGTATCAGCATATCAAGCTCAAGCAAGGTAGCAGCTAGATAGTGGGCCGAGAGGGAGGTCTGGAGGGGAAAACAACCAGCACACATACCTGCTACAGTCTGGGCGGCAGGGTCAACCTCGGCCTCTCCGTCCTCCTCGGCATTGTCCATGTTCACGTCACCATCGGCGTCGTTTGGTGGGGGAACGGAGGACTGCTTCTTAGACATAGGCACGACGACAGTCATCTCCTCGTCGCCGTCCTTGACACCCTTCTTGCCCTTGCCCTTGAGTGACGAGGCGTCGTCCTTCATCTCGATATCTTTGCTTCCAGGATAGCCGCCGTTCTCGACGGGTTCTTTCCCGTTGCTGTTAGGTGTCTTTCCGGGCATATTCGGAGGGGGGAAATTGTTCGGAGAAGGTCGTGTAGTTCCTGGGGAGATCAAGTTTTGTCGTCGGGTAAGAGAGTGAAAGTGTATGTGTGTGTGTGTGAGTGAGTGAGTGAGATAGCCGGACAGCTAGCTGGCGCAGCTGAGCCTCGTGTGTTGTAGAGACGGGGGAGCAGGGCAACCGGTCCAAGGCGTGGTGTGTCCAAGGAGAGGCAAGTGGGCGAGAGAATGAACGAACGCAGGCAGCGTGGAGACAAGAATAGATCCCGTCTCGGCCAAGCGTTTGTTGATTAGATCAGCTGCCCGACCTGGACGGTGCACGCAGAAGAAGACGCAAGGTGACCTCTGTTGGACTGTGAGTCCGAGAAGAGGCTGATGGATCACCTGGAGGGTTGGTCAGTCGAGATCGATCGTTCGTGATTCCCAAAGATGGTCGTCTTCGTAGGCAGGTCGCAGGTGTGTTGTCGGTGGCAGTTGGGGATGGGGCAGGATAACCTGTAATGTAGCTTGGGTGTGGGATGGGAGTTAATGATTTAACGAGTCGAGGTTGCAGAGAAAGAGACCCGGCCGCTTGTCCACTCTCCCAAAGCTTCCGTCAAAGATTGAGCCAGGTGCTGCGTCTTAGGCGCCGTAGGGTGTTAGCACGGTACCCGTTAGTGACTCCAGCTGCGCACCAAAAAGCCTGGTACCTTGCTATGTGCGGCAACATACTCAGCGGCGAACAGCACAGCAAAGCACAGATGCACACATCATCCACCCGGGGACGCTAAACCCTGCACCAGCAGCAGCCAGCAGCGGCAGACCCACCATGGTGACGTTCTCGTGCGCTGCCTGCTGCCTTTCACCTTGTCACCCGGCCCAGCCTCGCCTTACCTGCCTTTGGTCTTTAGCCTGCCACCTGTACTGCCTGTCACCACCTGTACTGCAACAGTCACTGCACTGACATTAGTCAGACGCTCCACTTACGTACTACGGAAATATGGCGTATCATGCTATCACCATAGGAATTAGGTCTGTCTTATCTTCCAAGTCAGTCAGTTCGTGATCAGCGTTCCAATAGATGCACGTTATCAGAAGCAGGTACTGGGAAGCGCATGTAGTAGAAATCTGCTTTTGTGCTTCGAAAGAGGCGTTTTCGTTTGGCTGAAGAGACTCGAAGATTGCTAGACTGGACGAAAACTACTTATCTAGCATGGCCCAAAGAGTGGCAATCAAGCCAATACCGAAAACAAAGAGGTATTGCCCCAATAACTGACTCCTTCGCCTTCATCGTATCCTCCTCTCCGTGTTCTTTGATCATATCCGTTTGAACCTCGCATGCCTAGACGCCTGATACCAGTGGACCCCCTTGGAAAACGCCGACCAAGATGATCGTCCTTGACCAACCGACTGAGAACAATCCTTCCGCCCAATACGCCTTGATCATCCAGTCTGATTAGAAGAGCGGCGAAGAAAAGAAAAAGAAGAAAAAAACAGGAAAAAGGAGGTTCAGAAAACTGCAGGACCGCAAGTCTCCAGGGGCGCGGGAACAAAAAAAAACCGCCCCCTATGCACACGTCACTAGACAACTCTGTCGAGCCAATTCTAAAGATCACGGCTGCCAGTGACTTTCGCAGCCTGGATAGCGCTCATCTTGGTGATCCAGCCCTGTGCAGGTTGTACCTTTCGGACGGTACGCAGCTCGTCAGACGAGTATCCTGGGATGCGTATGTTGTAGGTGCGCTCCAGGACGAGCTGAATGTCGCGAATCTCGAGGACCTTGGAGCCGCGCTGCTTGGCGTTGGAGCAGGCCGCGTGCAGGAGACGGTCGACAAAGGAGTCAGCAAGGTTGAGGATAGACTGAGATGAATGGTGTGTCAGCAGGAACTTTGTTTTGTTATGTATTGGAAGAGGGAGGCTGTCTCGTTTTGGAAGTAGGGTTCTTACCTCCTCAACCTCAGGCGTAAGTGAGTTGCCCTCCTGACCCTCAGCCTGTCCACCACACACCTGGCGCACCAGGTCATCCAGCTTCTTGCGGTTCAGGACGCGTTCACCCTCACCCTCCATCTGGACGACGGGAATCTTGGGGATGACGGGCTGACCAATCACGCCGCCGGCAGTGCCGCCTCCCTGCGTGTATGTAGGACGGCCAGGGGTCACGCCGCCTAGGTTAGTAGCGACGGGTGTGGGTGCCATCGCAGCCTTCTCGGGCAGGTGCTTGGGGATGGGTAGCTTCTGGCTAATGGTCTGCTGAGATTGCTGGGTTGGATGCGCGTGCGAGTGGCCTGGTTGTGCTGTTCCCATAACACCTGCGCTTGCTGGGGTTCCGATGGGTCCTTGAGGGGTGCCTTGCTGGGGTGCCTGGCCAGGAAGATGCGGTTGTGAGTTGCGAGCCTGGTTTGCGTACTGAACAGCAGCTGTGTGTGAAAGTGGGTGAGGTACAGCAGACCCGGGGTTGGCGCTTGGCATGATAGGTGGTCTGGCAACTTGGGTTGGCGTGCCAGCTGATGGCATCCCTGCAGCCGCACCTGCGGACGCGAGCGCGGTATTCACTGGCGGTGGGGGTTGAGGTTGTTGTCGGGGCACAGTGCCAGGCTCGATCTTCACCTGTGCCGGCGCACTGGAAGCTGCCTGCGCCGGGGTGGCTGGTGACGCCTGGGGAGGCGCGGAGGCTCCCTGAGAGGGCTGACGCTGGGGTGGCTGCTGCTGTTGCTGCCCAGCTGCCTGACCATTCGCACCCGGCAGGCGCGCCGCACCGCCAGCCTGCGAGACCTTTGTATCAATAGCAGCAGAGGCGGGCTGTTGCATAGTGGTGTTATTACCAGGCTGCTGTTGTGGCGATGGTCCGTTGCGGGCAGCCTGATTTGCGGCAGCCTCCTGTGCTCCGCCATTTGCCTGTGCTCTTGCCTCCTTGATGGCCACCTGTTCCTTTCGAAACGAGTCGACAAAGCGCTTGGCGACGCCATGGTTCTCGTGGTGTTTGGCCTTGTTCTGTATCAATTCCTGCAGCTTCTTTTGTTCCTCCGGGCTGAGGCCAGCACCTTTCTGCTGCAGCTGCTTGATGACCGTATCAAGCTCCTTGATCCTCTCGCCCGTCTGGCTCAGCGAGTACAGGGCTCTCGTGTACTTCTCCCTCTGGCCTTTGGCCCACGCTGCTGCCGCCTCAGTGCCCTGGTCGACGATATTTTGCGGCGGGAGGAAGGTCATCTGGGCCAGGTGCTGGCGAATCTGGTTCTGCAGCTGAGCGTTCACCGGTGCGCCAGACTGCTGCGTCGCCTGGGGCTGAGGTTGGGGATTCGCAGCTCCAGCCGGCGCAGCAGGAGTCTGGGCAGCTTGGGCACCCGTGGACGGAGGAGGAGACCCCGCCGGGGGTGCTGTGTTTGTGACCGCGCCAGGCTGCGTGGTCGGCGAGGCCTGAGATGGCTGTGACCCTTGTGCCGCAGAGTTTGGAGGACGTACGCCCGCGGCCCTCATCTTATTGATGAGTTGGGTGCTGAAGTCGTGGATCTTCTTCTGGGCTTCCATCTGCTGCTGGGAGCCTCGCGGGGCGCTCTGCAGAACATTCCAAAGCCCACGCAGCCCGTTTTTATATCGGAGCTTCTCGGCGTCGGCAAGCGGTAGGCTGTCCATATCGTCTGGCCGGAAGACTTTTCGTTGACCGGCTTGGCCTGGAGCCGTCTGGCCTGGCTGCCCTGCTGGATTCATCTCGGAGACGGTTTAGCGGTTTGGTGAAGGGTAAGAGGACTTGTTGGATACCTGATCGTTCGTCAGGAAGAGGAAGAGCCCGTCTCAACGGAGTGTCTTGGTAGGGTGGCGTCTCGATGGAGAGGTGTCTTGAAGAAAGGAAGACTACGTCAGCAGCAACATGGGTGGTTCACACGAGGGTACAACCCTCGCGAGCAGATGCAGATGCTCACTCCAGGGACGCGCAAGGCCGTGATTGTATGTAGCTGACATAGACAAAAGGATAAAAAACAATGGTAATGGGAGGGATGAACGGGACAACAATAAGTAGAACCCGCGCAGAAAGATGCTATTGTATGGAGAATAGGGAGGGGTTGATGAAGAGGATGCAATAGCTGCGCAGAGGCAGGATTGTCTTTTGGGTTGATGGTTATGAAGATGGAAGCAAATGTGACAAGGCGGCAGGCGATTTCCGCTCTCAAGCGCGAAGGTTCCAGGGTGGACAAACAGGCCATGTCAGGGTTGAGGGGGTGCACGGATCTTCTCAGGGATCAGGCCTAACTGCCCTCATAGACCCTATAAAGCCCCGCCCCAAAGCTGGAGGGGCTCCCAGCCTAGGGAGCTGGCAGTTCCTCGGCAAAATCATGAGAAGCCAGGAAACCTTCTTCTTCCTGTCCCAGCTAACATAGTGATTGTTCCGGCAGCTTTTCAAGACATCATATCCTCGAGGAATGCCTCTTTTCGAGAATGTTCAAGTTGGTATAAGTCCTTGCTCTGCCATGCATGTACTTTTGTCACAACGACGCCCACTAAAGACTGTCGTATGATAGGCCCCACCAAGATGCTTGATTTCTACTTTAAGTGCTTGGTACCATGGTCAACATTTGCATCTTAGTTGCACAAGTTGAGACAATGTTTATTACATGTGCCCCTTGCTGTAGATGCCCCATTCCAGATCTTCTTCAAGGCTCTCCTTGGGTGAGTCCATTATAGATCAAGCTGTCATCAAGAGGCACCTAGCAACTATTCTCTCTGTGTCAGGACAAATCATAATAATGCCATCTTGAGGCTGTATTCTATTGTTGGAAGCAAAACAATATTGTCTATGGAAATGGCCAGACGTTAGTAAAACTCGCTCAGAAAACATAATCGTGCCTGTGTACGTCCATAGCCCCGCCCCCCGAACATGCAACCGACCTTCCGGCACAAAGATGCATATGGTGGCATGATGACCCCGAGAGAGACATGAGAGACATAGAGAGTCGTAGACCATCTTCCAATAACACCCACATATAGCACAATCTGTCAGCCGTGCCCCAGTTTGTTCACCCAGCGCTTGTGATTCCAACGCAACCCTTTCACTGCGCTGAAACAAAGGAAATGACAATTCATCCTTGCTGATATATGTACAGAGGAAGAGACAATATAAAGAAAACAAAAACAGGAAATGCGTATTATGCAGGAGGAGGACATGTTCGCTGTGCTGTTGTCGAACGCCAGTATGCATATATGCAAAAGCCTAGAGTATGGCGAGGATATGCCCCAGTCAGGATATAATGACGAGTGTCGAATTGCCATCTCGTGGCCTTGTGGCGCAATTGGAGTTGAAGCGGATGCTTTCCGTCTGACAGCGAAACAGATGAGGGTTTCTGTTGTTGTGATTGTTCATGCAATGCCTAAGGTGACCTCGGCGAGTCAACCTCCATGCTCTTGTATTCGTAGAAGGGCAGTTCCTTTGCCAATGCCTCCTCAAGTTCTTCGGGCTCAACAACTTCCTCGATTCTAGGCGGCGGGTCTGAAAAGATCAGACTCCGCCGATCGCCGGCATTTCTCCTTTTGAGCCGCTTCGCGCTGGATCCTGGCTCGTCGAAGCCAAGGTCCGGCCGCGCATTCTCATGATCGCTGTCACTGCCGCGTTCACTTATGGTCCGCTTCGTGCCGATGCTGCTGAGGCTCATCCGCGCCTGTTTCTGTTTTGCCCGGTTGCGCTGCCTGGCCTGGTACGTCTCGTCGTCGTCGAGGTCGGTGCCGTCCGATGACGATGACGATGACGATGACGACCAGCCCTGGAGATCAGGACTGCGACAATTCAGGTTCCTCAGGTCGTTGATCATGTGCGGATCGTCCGCTGTAAGTCGAGCCCGCGATAGGCTGCGTTCCGACTCTGCGTACTCAATTGTGTGTGGGTGGATGACGTCGTCTCTACCTTGCATATCGTCCTCGTCAAAATCACTGAGCTCTTCGATGTCGAACTCGCTCTGTATAGCTGATTGGATGTCTGAGATGTCCTGCTCCACATCTTGTTCGGAATCATGGAGAGATGATGGCGGCACGGGTGAGTCTCGTCCACTTTCGGAAGGAGAGGTGGATACAGACTCCTCTGGCTCTGATATCCTGGCGACTGGAGAGCCAGGGGAGCAAGGCGAAAGGTTTTCAGGCTTGAGGGAGTTTGTTTGATGTAGACGTCCACTCCCAAAGAACATGGCTTCTGTGGGCTGTGGCCCTGTCGCCGTTGGGTCTGCCTGTGGAAATCCTCCCGGGCCGAAGCCGGGGCCGGACCTCGTGCTGATCTTCGGAAGGAAGAATGGCGCCTGTGCTGCAGTTGGGGTCTGGGGTGGCGACGAGGGCCGCAGGCCTGCAGCAAAATTCAAGATTGGCGAAGTAGGCGGCATGGTGATAGTAATTTGACCTGGTGACGGGAATAAATGTCCGTCTCAGGCGAAGGCAGCGTGCAGGGTGCTGGAAATGTGTCGTGTATCTTTTGCTGCGATCTTATCGATCCTCTCTCACCGACACTGTGGGGTAATGTCAAATCGCGGGGCGAGAGAGAAGGGCGGGCCTCTCAAGGCGTCAGCACCAAAACCATGCACCTCCAGACAGGAGAATAGGTCAATGCCGGATTGATGATGATCATGATAAATCAATCCCTCGTGTGTGGATAAGGCAGTAATACAAAAAACGGAATAGCGAGTTGAACAGCGTTCAGCACACACACACAGCCCCACTCTCTCTCTTTCTCACTTTAAAGCCCTTGAAGAGGCGACAAGTGCCGTTATGGACCACGCCGATCTGGACAAAAATGGAAGGACAAGAAGTGCAAAAGTGACAATGAGACGTCAGCCCTGGGGCATTGTGAGGCTTGCGAGATTGAGCGGCCGTCGTACAGCAAACCAAGATAGAGTAGCAAGGAGATGCCTGTCCCAGAGGTGCAGTAGGAGTGGACAGGATCAGCCTAAGATTTTGCGCCTGTTTGTCTCGATCCAAGTGGAGAGGCGTTTGCCTTCAACGTCACGACTGACCGCAAGTACTGCTTGCCGTGTTTAGGTCGACCTGGATGGGGGAGAAGGAACAGGGCCAGGAATATAGAAGGCGGATGCGCTGCAGGAGATCAGAGGACAGAGGCAATGAGAAAAGGGAAAGGGAAAAAAAAAAAAGGAAAAAGGGACTAAGAAAGATGAGGTCGAAGGAGAAAGCAGTGAGTGGAAGGGGAACGAAGAGGCCAGACCCGCTTTTATCATTGTACTTTCAATGCAGGCCCCGTGGCTGTCGCCGTGCAGGCTGAAGAAGATTATGTAGGTCCGGGCCCACGAAACCCTGCGGGAGATGGTTCCTCGCCTGGCAGCAGGAAACCTCCTCTTGTGACAAGCAAGTGCCTACTACTTATCTGCCGACATCCAAGAGCTCTGCAGAAGCAGCAAGCAGTGACTTGAGCGTCAACATGCCGAGAAATCCTGGGTCATGGATGATGAGAGGGAGACTGCTGCAGTCTGAGGCCTTACAATATCGCGGGATGGTGTTTGCCTGCAGTGTTCGCCCACTCCACTGCAGCACATGTTTGCTGTGAAGGGACACACACGACCACACCCCCCATTGCCTCTGCTGACAGAATTGACAAGCATCAGCTGCCGGTAGAGTCAGCCTGAGGAAACTTGTCAATGCCACAATGGCCTGTTCTGAGCCGGCTAAGAACGCCAACATCCATCGACACGGCTCAGTTGCAACCCTGCACTCGCATGTGGAGGGCGGAAATGCTATGTCATCGGTCAATCGACGACAACGGATGCTGCATGCGTCTGATTGTGGAAAGAAGTCGAGATCCATTATGCAGCGAATGCGGCCAATAGATACAAAGGACGGGGGATGTCGCTTCATGCAGAGGACGCAGAGGAAGGTGAGATAGCGCACGCCATGATCGACTAATGCAGGTGATATCATCCAATCCCTGGTGTTGAATAGGCACAGAGCGACACAGCAAGCAGCAGCAGCTGTCGATCATCCATCCGGGCCGGACTCTGTGCCCTGAGCCGCGCAATACAGTAGTTGGAAAGTGAGTGAAGTGTGCTCCATGGAAACGCTGGGTTCACCATGCTGCAACGGTTCATAGCGGAAGCATTCGGAATTCCTGTCTCTTCCGTGGTCCTGTGTACTTTTCCCTCAATCCTGATTCTTATGGTGGTATGTTGTACTTGGGCCCAGAACCAACGAGTCTGGCAGATGAGGTGAAGTTGAGATAGAGTTGCGATGAGAATTCTAGGACTGAAACCAAGTTCCAGGGGTGATGTCACTCGTTCACCCACAGCAGCATTCAGGGGCCTTGTAGGGCCACTATCGATAACAACGCGTCTAGATTCGCGGGGTGTTCTGAAAACACAATTCCAGACCGAACATCATCCAAACAGGCTGCGTCCCTTTTGATGTGCTTCAAAGGAACTAAGCTTCCTTGCCACATCAATTCGAGTCGTCAAGGACCGCGTTCTGCCAATTTTAAAATCCACTGGAGTAACGATACAGCAGCGCGACAACGTGTTCCCATCTTAGGTGTTGTGAGAAAGTAAACAACCCAAGCCGTCACCATGTCTCTCCTCGCCGCACATTTAGAACAGATTACTTTCTCCTGTCAGGGTATTGACAGCCTTCCGTACGTGCCCCGTGTTCTATTCTTGTCCGTCCCATCTCTCATAACTAACAACAAGGTCACAGCTTCCCCCCTCCAAAGATATTCACCAACGCCCTCCTTTCCAACCACGACATTACCTCCTTGATCCGCGACACCGAGGCCCACGAGCGTGCCCTGTTCTCTGTGCCGGCTCCGCCGCCACCCTCAACCCAGCAGCAGCAGGAGCAGGCTGCGCGAGATTCCGAATCTAAATCATCCTCCCGCCGACAGACTGTATTCAATGTCACGGCCGGTGAAGTCACCACCGGCCCACCCACGTCCCGCGGCGCAGGAAACCCGCGGCGTAATACAGCCGTCGCTGCCGTTCTTGGCGGCGAGATGCATGCGACCATCACGAGGCGGGCGCCAGCATCGCAACAGCGCGAGGGAGCCGGAGACGTCGAGCTCGAGGTCTTACTGCGCGGCGCGGAGAAGCTGTGCCATGTGTACCCGCTGCCCGGCGCGCTCGAGCGGATACCAACCATCAGGCAGAGGTGGAGCAACCAGGCGGCTACGCTAGGGTATTATGAGGCCAAGGTAGCGGAGCAGACGGAGCGGCTGGGGCGGATGAACAAGCGGGATGAGTTTGGAGCAGACCAGCCCGAGGAGGATGAGGACGAGGATGATGCGGCGAATGACATCGTCACGGATAGCATGATGACGGAGGAGGACCTGAGAAAGGAAGAGGAGGAGGTGAGAGAGCTGGAGAAGAAGAAGCGTGAGTTGCAAGCGAGACTGAGAGCGATGGACAGGGACCTAGGTGGGTTGCTGAACATGTGAGAGACATGCCGGTAGGAGACGGCGTGGAGTTGATGATACCCAATATGAGTGAAATATATTCGTCACAGAACACAACCTTTGAGGGGGCTTTCTAGGAGCGTGTTGCCAGGTTTTCCTCGACCAGCATCAAGCCACAATACCGCCTTCCGCCTCCTTCGCCTTCACAAACTCCCCCAGGAACTCTTCAACATCCTGCGCCCCGCTGATCTCAAACCGATCATTGATAAAGAAATGCGGCACGCCTCGAATTCCCTTCGCATACGCCCCCTCCACCTCCCTATCCACCTCCTCCCCACCTCCGCCCTCCTCCAGCCACTTCTTCGCCTCCGCCCGGTCCATTTCAGCCTTCGCAGCCGCATCAAGCAGCATCTCATGGCTGGTGATATCCCCCCCTTCCTCGAAATACCCGCTCATCAGCGCACTCATCAGCCGTTCCTGGACCTCATCGCCGCCCTTCTCCGCGTCCTTCTGCCTCGCCAGCTGGACCAGCCTGTGCGCGTCCCGCGTGTTCCCCAGCTTGCCCTGGAAACTGAAACAGATGCCCTCGCTCCGGCCCATGAGCGTGAGGCGCTGCGTCAGGGCCTCGATCCTGTCTGGGCCGAACTTGGACGCCATACGCTCAAGGACCGGCGTGCCTTTGCCCTGGGGGAGGGTGGGGTCGAGATAGTAGGGCTTCCAGGTGACGGTGAAGGTGTCGGCGGATCCGCCGGGGATGGTCTTTTTGTAGTAGTGGATGGCGCGCTCAAGTCGCTTCTTGCCGAGATAGCACTGGGGAGAAAGAGAAAGAGAATTTTTTTTTATAAGCCTTAGTTAGGTCTGGTAGTTTCACGGCTGTAAACTTACAAAAGGGCAGATGGGATCAGAAACGATAGTGATGTTAAAGTTCGTCATCGTGGAAGTCTGACGGTGAAAAAGTCGTTTGGTAGAATAAAATAAGCCTGAGAACTTGGCTCCGGATTTGAGAGCACTCATGATGAACACTTGTGGAAGTGTTTTATGTTAGACTCTCAAGTACTGGAAAGTCGAAGGCTTCTTGTGAGGAGACCTCATAGAGACATGCCTTGTACAGTAATCTGACAAATCAACCCGCCCGCCGTCCTTGACCGGACGCCATCCACATTCAGCAAGCGCCCACTGCATTTCTCCCGCAAACACACAGCTGGAATTACCGCAGCCGAACACTTCACTACCTCTCATATAATCAATGACTAGGCTGCAATCATAACGACGTCTCGACAACCACACATATGCCTACCATAAGCAGATGGGGACTGCCGCGAGCCTAGCAGATCGTGCTTGGCATGCAAGTGCCCCTGGATCGGAGACATACCATCTACTGAAGGTTCAATGCCTATGTTGTAGAGGGTGTTATGGCGCTGCAACTTGACCCAGAAACTTTTGGTAGAAGACCACACAAGTTCAGGTCAATGAAGGAGCCACCAAGCTGCGTGACTTGGTGGCCAGAGCCCATCGTCCTATCAACATCATCCCTCACGGCTCACGGTCACCAGCATCAAGCCTCGATATGAACGAAGAGACACTTCAGGATGTTCAGAAGGAGGTCTTGCATGAGACCCTGAGCGGACTTCGCAATGACGACCCATCTACCGCTGAGGAATGCTGTGTGATCTGCCTCTCTGAGATTACAGAGCCATGTGTGGCAGTCCCATGTTCACATCGTAACTTCGATTTCATCTGTCTTGCAACATGGCTGCAGGCAGACACACGCTGTCCGCTCTGCAAGGCAGATCTCGTCGAAGTTCGGTTGGACCCCGCCCAGGGGGAAGAGAACCGGAAGAAATACAAGGTCTCCGACATTACAGGCACAGATCACCAGCTCCTCAGTCAACAGGCCATTTTGCCGCAAGACTTGCGAAGGCAGACTGGTGGTCCAAACAGGCGACGGCGCGAGCAGCGGCTGGCTGCCTATGGATCCCAGTCTGCGCATCCATCAGAAATGGAGACTCGTGCCCAAAATGCCCTGAGGTTCCGCCGCAAGGTCTACAGCCAGCGGCTTTATTCGCTTCATGTTGGCTCAAGCCTGTCGACTCGCTTCAGGGAATGGACACGCGACGATATCGTCGAGGGGTCCGAGATGTTGGGTCGTGCCCGGGCTTGGATTCGGCGGGAGCTGCAGGTGTTCCGTCACGTACTCAGTGGCGGCGAAGGCGAAGATATAGACACTGCTGAAGATGGCCGAAAGCGCAGGCGACAGAAGAATGCAGCTTTCGTGCTCGAGTACGTGGTTGCTGTTCTGAAGACAGTAGACCTTCAGGCCAGCAACGGCCATGCTGGGGCACTGCTAGCTGATTTCATAGGAAGGGAGAATGCTGTGCTTTTCTTGCATGAGCTCCACAACTTCCTCAGATCACCTTACAGTGTGGAAGAGTGGGATATGCACGCACAGTATCGTGAGCCGCTGGAACACGCTGGGCCACGAACTGAACTGAGGTCGGCCCACGACAGATCTGACGAGGTACAAGCACAACATTCAAGGATGGTAGCTGATCGTTACAGGCCGCACACATCTCTTCGACGACAGTCATCGAGAATTGATGTAAGGAGCCTGGGTTCGAGGAGAGGAGCACCGCGAGGGGCGGACAGGTAAACGTTGGGTGGAAGGAGGTAGGCTGCCTTGACAGATGCAGACAAAGCCTGAGCAGCAAGCACGACGGCATGTCATGACATTCGAGGCGCAAGCAGACTCCGGATTGACTTGTTGACTCGAGGGTAGCTTTCACGAGGATGTCTCCCAATCACTGCCTCGAGAAGGAAGGACGAGCGCCTGCTTCATTTTGATAGCTGCCTGCCTCCCTCCTTCCTGCCAACCGAGTAGGCCAATTTAGAAGGAACATAGGAGCATCCTTAGCGAACAACAAAGTTTTGCTTGTCTTTTATTTCTTCCTCTCCAATCTCTCATCTTCTATCGTCCGTCTTCATTCTCTTCTCTCCATCCATTCTTCATAACATACATACGCAACCCCCACTTGGGGCGACACTTTTCGGACTACAACGGCAGCATCGCTATCATACCTCATTCTGTTGCTTGCGTCATTCGTTGAAACAATCTACCTCTCTTGTTGTCTCTGGCATTACACACTGAACTGCCCTTGTCAGCCATGTCGCCAGTGTCGCCCGCCAAAGTCGCCCAGGCCTCACTAGCTGGTGTTTCAAGCCTGCTGCACGGGATCTCTGAGCCATCGGCCTCCTTGGAGCCAATCCCTCCAGTAGTCGATTTCAATGGTACTGCCTCCCTTCTGCCGGCCCCTGCCGGTCCGCAGAGGGTTGGCGTTCACGACTACATCGTTCAGTATGATGTGGACATGATGCGACAGTCGCGCCCTGGGCTGTGTGAGAATGCCACCGAGGCATCATTGAGCCAGCTATACGGCGACAACGGCGTCTCGTACTACCGTGAAGCGTGTTCTGGTTTCCGACATGTTCCTGTCTCTATGTTGTAAGTTTTAGTCTTCTTCTTTTGACAGCTCCTAGCTTTTACTGACCTCATCTCGCGAAAAGCTATCCTACCTGTGGCTCCAATGGCCGGCAGCTCAACTATTCCACTCTCTTCCCTGACTCCCTTCTCTCCGTCATCCAGGATGAGATATTTGGGGACACAAAGGCCTTGCACAATCTTGGCACACAGGTCCTGCTTGATGCACCTGTCTGTCCAGGCACCCACCCTTTGATCATTTTCACCCCTCCTATCGGGAGTCAGCGTCAGGTGTACACCCAGGCCGCAGGTGAGCGTGCAGCCGAGGGAAACATTGTAGTTACCGTCGACCATCCTCTCCTATCTGGGGCTGTCGATCTGAGTCAGAACGAAACCCTATTCAACATGGCTGGCGAGATCATCCAGCGTGAAGAAGGTATCAACATGATGATCTCTGACGTGGAAGCCGTGGCAGCCCATCTGGTGCACTCGAATCCAAGTCCCTTGCCATCTTGGATCTGGCCGGTGGGAGCTCAGATCAATCCCAACAACATTTGCGTCTGGGGCCACGCAGCTGGTGGGCAAGTTGCTCAGATGCTGCTGTCTAATACTGAAATTGCATGCGGTGGACGCCTGGATGGCCATTTGCACATTCCTGCACCTTACACCGACATTGATAGTCTCTACCAGCCTCGCCGAAACAAGAGTCCAAAGGTCCTTCCGGATGAAGAGGGTTTTCCCGACAATAGTGAGGACTCTACCGCCAACCACAGAAATTTTCTTCTGGCATTGAAGAACATGGCGCAGGGAATTCGCGACGCAGTAGTCAACTCACTGCTCTCGATGGGTTGTCGCATTATGGGAAAATGTGACGTCTTCGTTGAGAAACGCGGCCTGTCGGGCAATCCACAAGACTACTACGACTTTGAGTCATCTGACTCGTGGGAGAAAGGCTACAAGAAGCTTTATGGCGAGGGCTGCCATAGCCATGACTATGACTACGAAGATGAGTGCAGCCCTTCTCATCATGAGGGCTGGAACTCCGATGACCCCGAGGACGACCACGTTCCGCACTACCGCAAGGGCGACTACGACTGGGATGAGTGTAAGGATGACTGCGATCCGTATGAGTATGAGCATGGCTGTGACTATCATGGCTGCCGGAACGACTGCGACTCGTACGGCGGCAAAGATCACCGTGGTTACAAGAGACCACCTCCCGGCATTTTTCCTCCGATACCTTATCCACCTCACCTGTACCCATCTCCCATGCCATATCCGAACTACACGTACCCCAACTACACTGGCCCTGGCAAGACGGTCCATGTCAGCGGAAAATTGGAGCACAACTCGGACGTTGAACAAGATGTGGCTGGCGACCAGGAAGCCTCCCAATCCAAGGATACGTAGTACGATCCTTATAAGACATACAGCTGCCGCAAATCTTGTTATCACAAGAAGCACCGCGAGTGCGGTCACGAGGACAAGGACTACGACGATGACGAGGACCTGAGGTACACAGCGCCAGCAGCAACCAGCAGTCAGAAAGGTGACGAGAATGGCATGACCACGGTCGAAACAGATACCGAGGAAGTTGACAAGAACTTTATGCCAACAGTAGGGCCCGATGATGAGGACAATGATGGCGGAGAAGATCCTGAAAAGGATGACGAGAGTGACAATGGCGAGGATGGCGAGGATGGCGAGGATGACGAGGATGGCGAGGATGACGAGGATGACGAGGACGGTGAGGATGGCAAGGACGACCAGAACGATAGGGACAGCGATGACGACGAGACTGACGAGGGCGGTGAGGACAAGCTTTGAGACCGCCTAGACGTCAAACCTTGGGACTGAGTGATTGTCAATGTTGACGCATCCAGGGACCTGCATTTTGCCTCTCCTTTTTCTTCGAGTTCTCCTTCGAGTTGCATTTGTAAGATAGTATCGGTTTTGACCTAGCAGTGTTAGCCATCAATGAAGCCAGCACAACTCCATTGCTTGTCTTTGATTGACATGACTCAATAATTGCTACATGCCAGCGCAAGTCGGTGGCTCACCGGCCGGAGAGGCTCCTGGTTTTGCATCGGAAGAGCAACGACGGACGTGATTAAAGCCGAAACTCTTCAAATATGCAATCAGAAATAACTTCGGATTCGGAGAGTATAGCGCAAGTCTGAGTAGCAGCGGATGGCGAGATAACAGGCCAGGTAATGCCCATGCGTGATTCCCACGATATGAGAATGGTCCTCATCTCGAAATTATGTGGAATTGCTTGACAAAACGGAGCAAGGTTTGGTTATATAGGTATCTTCTAGTAGATAGTGAAGGCGTGTCTACCAAAAGCCATGGATAGTTCCGAAGGACCGCGACAGTGATAGACCTCGGTTCCATAAATGGAAGTGAGCCCTTGAAAAGGTGGAGGAACAGGATGCGTTCCTCGTACGTGCCAACAGACCGACTGTCTCTGTGGCCGCTCATGAACCAGAATTGTTATATAATTTCCTTCCCCAGATACATTGATCATCGGCGCCGCCTGAACCGGCTGTTATACCCCGGCCCACCTTTCGCGCCGTTGTTCCGCAGCTTGAGGCGCTTGAAGTTGGCATGCGCGAGCTCGTTGACCTTGCGAGCTGCCCTTTTGACCGGGTTTGCGGACTTCTTCTTTGCCTTCTCCTCGTCTTCGGCGCTGGTCTTCTTAGCTGGTGCTTTAGTCTTGGCAGTGATGGCGTTGGTGGTTTTCTTCTTCTTGGGGGGCTTAATGGTGTTAACATCCTGGGTCAGCTCGTCTTGATCGTCTTCGGAGTCTGCGAACTCGGAGCCTGAGAAGAGCGCTGGGTCCTCTTCCTCGTCAGCCTTTGCTTCGGTATGTTGTTGGATGGCTGGACCCTTCTCATCCTCGTCTGTTGAGGCGGTGCTAGTGGTAGGCCTCTTGGTCCTCACGGGCCTCATGTTCACCCTGCGGGTAGTTCTTTTTTGTCCCTTCTTCTTGAAGATCCGCAGCGGCTGTCCGTTGCGGTCCAAGCCTGCGTTTTCCTCGTTTGGCGAGTCATATTTGCCCTCGTCGTCGAAACCGCCGAGGAGAGTAATGTTCTGTTTCTGTGCATCTTCTGCCAGGATGCTTGGTTCAGCAGGTCCGTTGTTGTCTGCTGGCTTTTCCGATGCAGAAGGCTCGGCGTCAGGCTTATTGTCATCAGTGCCTGCGGTAGCCTTCTTCGGCTTTCCGCCAGCGCTGGCAGCGGCCTCCTGCTCCACCTCCCGCAGCGCATCCAGCTCATCATCCAGCTCCTCCTCCTGCAGCTTCCGCAGGTCCGCCACAACGCTGCTCAGCCCGCGCAGCAGGGGCTTCCGGGGCAGGCGGATCGGCTCGGGCGACACAAAGTCGCTGCTCTCCGTGATCTTGGCCATTGGGATGCGCCGCAGGAAGGCGGGTGTCTGGAACTGCAGTTTGGAAACGGAAGACGACGACGTGCCGGGCGTCTTGGCCACTCTGTTCCCGTCATGGGGTTTGAGCGGCGTGGTCAGGAGGAAGCCGCCGCCGCTTTTGTACGGGGAGGCCTGCCCTGTGCGCCTCCTGTGTCGTGAGGAGGAAGGGGTGCGGCCCAGCGCCGTGGCGAGGTCGGGATCCATCCCGGCGACCTCTGCCGCCGCCTCCCGGTACGACGATATCTTCCTGGGCGTCTCCTCCACCATGGCCTCCTTGCCCCTCCTCCCGGCCTCGATGACATCGGACAGCCTGATGGAGGCCTGCGGCTTGCAGGGCGAGTCGATCTCTGCATCCTTAAATGGCAGGGAATCGAAGAGACCCAGCACGCGGCCGTCGCGCTGCGGAGTGGGGCCTATGGAGGTGGGCACGACGGGGGAGAAGAGCTTTCGGCTGAGGGAGGGTGTCACGGCGTCGCGAGCGCCGCCAGGCGTAAACATGTGCATGGTGCTGTGGGGTGGGTTGTACCGGGACGAAGATGGGGTCTCTGCTGCGCGGAAGCGCTTCGTCGAGGGCGTGTGTGAGGGTGCTGGCTGGGCAGACTTGCGCTTGCGGGTCTCTCTGTGTTCGTCGTCGTCATGATGGTGGTGGTGGTGGCCTTTTGTGGTTGGCGGCGGGATCTTGCCCTCAAGAACGTCCCTGAGTCTCTGATATTCCTTGTACGCGGCAGCTAGGGTGGAGAGATGTGTGTCAGCCGATAGAGCAGCCAGCCTCCTCCTCCGAGCGTAGCGAGAGCGGCGGTGTGGTTTTGGGGAAGAGGGGAGGTTCTACCCATTTCCCTGTTGTTCTTGATGTCCAGCCTGCTGGGCTTCTTGCCGGCATGATCTTTGGAGAAATCGAGCTCCCATATCTTGATCCTGACGCGTAGGTCCTTAGACTGCGTCTCGTAACGCTCGCGGGTGACCTCGTCCATGGTTGCTGTCGACGAGAAGGGGTGGTTGATTTTAGTTTATACCATATTTCTTCTTGATTTCGTGTGTCAAGTATCGTCTCTGCGTGACAATAGAGTGTATAGTGGTAGTAATACTATGTGCAGTCGAGAGCGTATATTGTTCGTGTCGTAGATCTGAGTAGGTGGATTTTTCGTTTGTCGATTGCAGGATCAATCACTTGTTAGCGGTCCCGCGACGCGGTGGAGGCTTCTAAGTCGCGAATACTATAGTAGACGCGACAGCCTGCAGTATTCTTTCCTGATTGGTTTAGTGATAACCCTAACCCTGGGTTTTGTAAATGCTATGAGTTGAATCCTGACAATTGACTTTCCGAGTTTACTGTTCATGTTGGATGGGTCAGAACACATAACTCTCCCCCGCTTACAGATATGTATAATTACGCAGTCGATAGGATATGATTGTTATGTTCCCAGTGCCTCGAAACAGAATTCACTAGTACACTGAGGATTCGAAATTCGTGTGTTGTGTACACGTGCTTCTGATAATCAGGCAATTGTATTATCACTCGCTTCTCCAGAGAAAGTTCCTCGGTCCATTCTAGGCTGCTTTGAACAATTTACAGATACCTGTGCTCGTTTTGTCCCCTCACCTTGGCAGGGTGCTCAACCCTGGCCTCCTGTCTGAATTGAACTCTGGCACACATACGAAAGGGTTTCCAACCAGCCGCTCGGTATTATACCATGTCAACAGTTTGTTCAACTCGTCCATGTTTTGACTCAGAAGGATCTCGGTTCGATAGTTGGATGTCGTCTACCAGCTCGCCATCGAACCAAGTGTATTCGATTTGCGAGCCACGCAAGAAGCGGGCCCCATTCTCAGCCGTCTGCGGAACACCTTTGCGGCCTGGAGTCTCGCCGCTTCCTGTCATTGCTTCTCCCTTGCTCGAATTGGGAAGGATCAGGTACAGGCGGGTCTTGCTACTCCAGGATCTCATCGACGATGCAATACGCCTCCAAATATTCTGTAGCGGAATGAAGGACTTGTACATCGGTGCGCAGGCGCAGAAGATACTCGTTGCCATCTGTAGGAGATCCCAGAACGCATTGCTGTTGTTTTCCTCTGTATTGGATAGTGCCGGATCAGCAACAAGTAATGCGCATATGAATGAGAGGGAGGGCCACAACTCACGCCCAGCAGTATTGGCCGCAGAGTAGACCAGTCCAATCTTGACGAAGCCTATCACACCAGACAGACCCCCCATCACAAAGATAAATGTGAGCTTCGTCTTCACGAGCCTCTTCATCTGCAGCTTCTGGACCACGTAGACTGCGAGTGCAATCATGGCAAAGTCCATGGCTGAGTTGATGGTCTCCTCCGAAACCAGGAATGCGTTTCCGTTGATACATGAACCAGGCTGGGTCCCGTCCACATCCCACCACTTGGAAATGGGATTACACAGGAATAGTAGCAAGAATATAAAGGTAATGAACCAACACACGTGGATGGCGGCGAGCACATAGACCCATATTTTGAAAGTGGGGTCAGTCTGGAAGATTCGGTGGTAGAGAACAAATAGACTGCCCTTGGCGAACAGCTGGTTGACGTAGAAAAACGGAGTCACGATGTATGCAAGCTGTTGTCTCATTTAGCGCACGGAGTCGAGTCTGGCGATGCCCAACTTGCTCAAGCGGGCACGACACTCACCTTGGCGCTGAGGACCTCTACGTCGTAGTCGCTCATGTCGGTTGCAACGGCTACGGCTAAGACGGAGAGCGCAAAATTAGCTGCGGCTTGTCTCCTCGTTGTGAAACATTGGCTACAATATAGACGTGATAGATGCCTTGGTGGCTTGACTTACTTGCTAGTGGACAGATTGCATACACCAGGAAGCCGACCAGAGCCAGCACAGCAAAAAGGTCATCCCAGGCCAACTTTCGACCTCCCCTCTTGGTGGCGACCACACGCAGTATGGTAGCCAGAATACAAAGGGGAATGGTAATGAGAACTAGAATGATAATCTTGCCCTCAGAAGGGTCTTGGATGACATCTTCGAATGAATAACCCATGATGAAAAGTCGTTAATCGCCTACTAGTTTGCCGCCGAATCGATATTGTCAAGCTTCGAGACGACTCCGTTTGCTCAAGAATAGGCAAGGGCCTTGCAAAAAGGAAGAAGGAAGACAAACAAAAGGAAAGAAGAAGAAGAAGGAAAAAGGATTATGGCTTCGCAGGCAATACCCATTGCACACACATGTGAGACGACCGTGGTCGAGCACATGGGGTCTGGATCTGAACATGGAAAATTTACATATTTAGAAACAATGCCTCCCACCTCCCAAAACGGTCATTAACGGCGGACCCATTCATGACATGCCCCTCTGAATAATGCCTTGTTAGAAGCCCAGAATCAGTGTGGCTTGAATGTCGGTCTTATTCAAATAAACGTGATTGGTTGGCTTCACCATCTTCAGCGCGTGCCGCGTCTTGCCGTATTAAGTCCCGGAGCTCCGATGCATAATCCCAAATCTTCTACTTGGAGCAAAGGGACGCCGGCTTCCTTCCTCTGCCTGCATGGACGCTGCAACATTGAGGTCTTTCTAGACACCGGCTCCTGTTTTTCATAGCTCCTGCACATTGTGGTCTCGACCAGCAACGCTCCCGAGAATCCTCCACCTCCATCCGAGTCCTTCGAGCGTGAAATCGATTGCCAGAAATCAACCAGCCATCGCAAGAACCGACAAATGGTTATTCTGAGCCAACCGCTATGTCCAAGCCCCTAGAGACGTCACTTCAAGGCCATCTGGGGGGCTGGCTAGGCATCAGCATCCCTATGGGTCAATTGCTGGCTGCTATAGGTGCATCGGTGAGCCCTCGTAGCGTAATAATTCCCGTCTACGTTGGTATGAATCTAACCCCTGCTTGTGTTACCAGATTGTTGCGTATTGCGTAGCCAAAGTCATCTACAGGTTTTACTTTCACCCTCTTTCCAAGTATCCTGGTCCAAAATTGGCTGCTGCTACTGATTTATGGTGGGCCTACGCAAGGTAATTACAGCCAACTCTTCTTCGAGCGGTGGTGGAAATTGTCGCAGCAGCAGAGCTCCTAGTTGACGTAATTATCCTTCTGTTTCTCAGTATCACTGGACGGTACCCGTGGATCATAGAGGATACACTTAAACGATATGGTGAAGATAACACCTTCTTGCTGAAGCACTCTACTGGGGAGGAAAAGGCTAATATGATGTATAGGCGACATTGTCCGCATTGCTCCGAATGAGCTTGTTTTCGGCAATCCTCAGGCAGCACGAGGTTCGGCATACACCACTCTGATCATCCTCGGTTGCTTCAGACATTGACTGAGTTGGCCTGTCCAGACATATATCTTCCACACGTCAAGAATATGGAGCTGTTCGTACAGCCCGGATATGATACCCTGGACACAGGAGACGGCGGTATCACATGGGAGACAAATCCCGCCAAACATCGAGAGATAGCCAAGAAGCTGGCACCGGCATTCAGTACCAAGAACTTCAGGGCGAAAGAGGCCACTGTCCAGAAGCACGTTGACCTTTTCATAAAGAGGCTGATAGAGGTTGGCGCACAACAGAGGGGAGTCGATCTCCGACTCTGGACGGAATGGTTGGCATTAGATCTCGCTGCGGATATGACGTATAGCCAGGACATGGGTCATGTGCGAAATGGTATGTGTATGCCAACCCATCCCTTCGGCCTGACTTTGCTGATGAGATTATTTTAGCAAAGAGCTCAGAATTTCTTGATACAGCTCTGAAGCTAAACTTCTTCGGAGCAGTGACTAATATCGCAGCGAAATTCCGCTTTCTCACGCCCTTCATATACCTTTGCATCCCTCCGTCCGTATGGCTATCTATGCCTCGTCTTATCAAGATGAATAGCGAAGACGTCAAGATACGTATCAGCCGTAGAGGCAAAACAGAGCATCTCGACTACTTTGAGCAGCTGGCCCCGGCTGATAAGCCTGAGCCTAAGGACAAAAAGCAGATATTCCATTTGCAGAATATAGCAGGGCAACTGCTTCTGGCTGGCTGGCAGCCCATGTCGCATCAGTCGTACTCTGTTATCTGTCAACTCCTTAAGAATCCACGCGTTTATGCAACCCTGGTGGAGGAGGTGAGGTCAACGTTCAAAGACTCTAATGAGATCAGCACCGATACAACAGCGACTTTGAAGTATCTGCAAGCTTGCATCAACGAGAGTCTTCGAATGCATCCAGATACTGTTGACGGGCTGCCACGCATAAGCCCTGGTGCTGTGGTTGACGGGAAGTTTATCCCAAAAGGAGTCAGTGTCTGCTCACGAGCCCTCGTTACATGAAGTTGTCTCCTGTATTGACCACTCCAAAATAGGTCATCTGCCAACACAGTCATTTCGCCGCCGCAAGGAGCCCACGCTTCTTTGCAGAGCCCCTTGAGTTCCATCCTGAGCGCTGGTTAGCGCCGGACCATCCTTGTTTCGACCAAAAGTTCAAGGATGATAACCTGAAAGCTTCTATGCCTTTCAACCAGGGAACTCGAGCCTGCACAGGCTCGAGTATAGCCCTGGCTGTGCTCCGTCTATTCCTCGCCAAGGTTCTGATGCACTTCGACCTGGAAGCAGTGCCAGGTCAGGATGAAGTGTTGTTTGACGAGCATTACAAGTACCTCGCGTTCTGGGAGCGACCACCATTTCGCGTGCGGTTCAAACGTGTTGATGACACGAGCACTCCTGAGCATGGCAAGCTCAATCATGTCTAAGAAACATCTCTGGATGTCGAGTTATGTGTTATAATCAGGCATTTGGCTCCCAGCGGTCTTCGATCCATTCAACTCGCGCACGAATGTCTCTTGTAGCTGACCAACGAGCTCTCTTGTGATACGAATCTCTTATTTCACAGCATAGCAATACCATAATCATGGGATTCATCCTCAACTCTCCATCTCTCAGACCTCACCACCTTCTCTTCTTCCATGGCCATGGTGCCAGAATTATGATTCTGTTGTGCCCGACATAGGCATCCTCAAGTTATATATTTATGAAAGTATGAATCTCTCTCGAATTTTTTTTTCAGGTAGAGTAACCATAATAACTTTTTTTCCTGCCTTTTCCTTTTTCAAGTTTTGACTCTCTATACAAGTCCAAGATAGGCTTCTCACGTTGTTCTGTGGTCTCACTGGCCTTCGTTTGCCGCTGGGTTTTCTACTTAGCACACTTAGGTCGATGAGGCCCTTGCTCATTGCTTACAATGTCAGGAAAATTTTCTTCTTTTGTATGACAGCGCTCGAGTTCTCTTTTAGTAGTATAGAAGGAAATCGTAAACAGAGTAATATTGCTGATATTGCAGCACAAAGTCCAGCGCATCACATTCTCTGGACCGATTTTGATAAAGTGACAGTTGCTAGTGTCGAACTGCAGGCAATACAAAACATAACAATGCTTGTACGTATCTGGTAGTATTGTTCATTGGAACCTTGAAGTGGCCCCAGCGAGGTATCAAGGGATATATGCCCGGAGCTCCGACACCTAATACGGCAAAAGCGCGCTCCACCGCACACGGCACGGATAGCGAGCTGAACTCGGTTTATACAAGTACCAAGTACTGTAAGTAATATTAATAGTCGCGAGGGTTTCTTCTTTTTTTGTGAAGTAAGCACTAGTAAAGAAGGCTGATTACTATCACAATTACGTACTCAATACCTCAAGTACGTGAACCGAGACGGTCCTCGGACAACATCTCGGGACTTTCCAATATTTGGAGTCCCTTGCTTCCGTTGGCTCATGCTGGGTGTGATTAAGCTTATTTCATTAGCAGTTTACTTTGCAGCAAGACCCCACGCGGCTTGGTTGTGGGTCTGCTGCTGCATCGTTCACAGGACTAGGATAACGCTTGGGTATATCAAGCCCTTAGCCCCCAAACCAATACCAGCACTGCGCCGTAATGTCCAATCGCTTGCTGTATTGGCCATGCGATGCTGTATCAATGTCTCTCTGCAAAATCCTGATGATGGCCACCAACACGCCATACGAATCTGCAGTACAATCCTGGTCTTACTGGCCGCGGCAGGCTTCCCATGTCACTAACATAAGCGCCCCCAACGCGGGTCCTGGGCAAAGAAGAAGCAGAAGAAGAGGAAGAAGAAAAGAAAACCAACACGAAAAGAGCAGAAGAACCCTATGTGGTCAATCTCATCGGCAGACATGTGCAGGATATTGGGTTAGTTGCTGCTGTGGCCCAGGACACACATGGTTTTACAGTGCAAACTCTTACCCGCTGTTGGCCAAAGTCGCATGCGCTGGCAGGCACTGGCAGTGGCTTCCCCCACTTCATAGCTCGTGCAGGGGCCCTGGACCGGACCGCTATTCTCCACTACTGACATCTCTCATTCAGCCGCAATTCGCCATTGTGGACGGTTTCCCTTGCTGCCGCTTTCCTCCTTCTCGAACCAACCACGCCCAAACCTTTCGTTGTCGAACTTGGCATTCTACCTGGCACGTCCGGCCAGGCCTCGGCTCGACGAAGCATGGCTGCTGAGCGACAAAAACTCGCAGGTATATCTTCCCGCCGATCTGCCTGTGATAGATGTCGGTTCGCAAAGTCAAGGTGTCTGCGGGAGGATCCCAACCAGGCGCGGTGCGACCGCTGTACTCGCGCTGACTCGGACTGCGTCACGAGCCCCATCTTCAGACTCCGGAGCTGGCAGCCTCCAGCCCCCCGCGAGGCTTCGCTCCACATGTCGGATGCGGGGAACACCACCCGGGGAAACAAACGCCAGCGATGCCACGACAGCCAGCAGCAGCACCAGCAGCAGCTGCTCACCCCAAGCGACTCTGGCCAGCAGCTCAACATGAATGTGAGTGCTGCAGACGCTGGTGGATCACGAGGGTCTGACGATGCCGCCACTGTGGATTCAGGCCTAGGCTGGCATCTGCACTCGTCGCTAGGAGGGGTGCCCAATGCAGCTGAGCAAGATCTGTTGTATGGGACAATGCCGAGAGAGCCGGTGGGAGGAGCATTCGAGACCATTGCCATGAATCTTTCCGACAGCTTCTTCGGCACTGCATCTCCCTCAGAGCCGTATGCGAACCTCACAGGGTCACTGACCTCTCCATACACCGCGAGCAACGATCTCCGGCACCTGGCTGGTGACTTTAGTCCCGAGCAGCCGGAGAACCAGCCACCCCAGAGGAATACGCACGACGACGCTGGCGGCGGCAAGGACGACCAAAGTATCGACCGCGAGCAGACGCCTATGCAGAGGCTGTCGAAGCTCAACTACGAGCTCATCACCATGCTCAGCAGGATCGACCAGGGATCGCCCAAGATCACAATGAAGACGCTTCTTCGGCCGAGCGAGAATTCATCAACCCCGTCAGTCGTGGACGATATACTGCACAGGACGAGAGACTTTATAGAATTACTGAAGCTCTTGGCCGAGTCCTGTCTGCCGCTGTCGAGTCCTTCGCCAGCATCTGCGAGTCAGAGCTCCACCCCCACCCCCCCAAACCGGAGGCGGCGAAATAGCCTATCGAGCAATCTTTCCGACTGCGACAGCATCACAGGAAGCCTCACAAGCAGCACGGGCTCACCGAACCCGTCACCATCCGCTGTCACTACCCCGTCGCCCAGCCTTGAGCTCGACACGCCGTCGCTGCTTGCCATCCTCACCGCCCATATTCACCTGCTCAGGCTCTATGTGATCGTTTTTGCACACATCTACGCCTATCTCAAACAGCTTTCTGAAAGCGATAGCCCAGAGATCGGCCCAATCCCTGGCCTCACCATCAGCAGCTTCCCTATACGCAAGTCCCTCCCCCAACCCCTCCCCTTTTCTCGATTCGACGCTTAGATTCTAACCTACGCTATAGAGTCGGGCAACCTGCAGGCGCTCATCCTCATCCAGATCGTGACCAGTCTCTTTGAGCGCATGGACGCACTGCTCGGTCTGCCTAGAGAATATCGCATCAGCACGCGCCGCGGGAATCCGGTCGGCCTGCTTAGTGCGCCAGAATTCCTGGAGCTGGCCAGGGCCATCATCAAGAAAGAGGATACCGGAAGACCCGAGAACGGGAAAGGCGGCATCAAAGCTCTGCGAAAGCACATTACAAAGGCAAAACAAATGCTGAGGGAGAGCATTGCCCCGTGAGGCTGGAACACGCCTCGCAACTTGTTGAACTGTTTCTCCTGCACCAAGAGCAACTCCAATGACGCCAAGGGCCAGCCACTGCGGTTGTATGAAGGCTGACCGGCCCCATTTGTAGTGTATGAAGGAAGGCGCCAAGGCCTACAAGAATACGAGGACGGGAATCAAGAGCCCCCCAATGGGGTGAATACATGGCCACCGGCGTTCCTCAGCACTGAGAAACTGCCGTACTAAGAATTTCTCAGCAAATCTATCTGATGTGGCTCTTACAAAACGTTTGCTATACATTATGCAGCCTTTGCTGTCTCCAATTATGGTGGGTTTTGGGCCTTGGAGCGCTTCTGGCTGGCTGCCAAATATGTTCAGAATAAACAGTCTGGTCACTATGGACGCGTGCTAATTCACAGTCAGGATATCATCTCAATCGGGGTCAGCATCATCAATGGCTTATAGGCCCAGCGTCTTCAACGAGCCCAAGTGATTATCGTGTCGTCTTCCACCCCCTCGCCTGTGGGTCCTTTATCTTGATTGTAGGTTATACCTAAGTGGTGTTCCATTTTGCTCATTTACAAGGGGCAGCAGCGTTGTGGCGTGTGCGCGGCTTTACGTAGGCTGACAAGACGGGTACAATACACACACGGGGCTGATTATGTAGCATCATCTGGGTGAGCACCGGGGTAGAATAAGTGATGAGTGGCGGAGCCTGTAAGACCAGCGTGGTATCCGTGAGTAGCTTGTCCCCGCAGCTGGGCGAAAGCTTGGGCGAAAGCTTGGGCAGAAATACGGTTATGCGGCAGTATGCTCCGGTGGCTGTCGAACCAACGATCCCACAAGCCTCTCGGTTAACGACACCCGCCAATTACCTGGTCTTTTTGCAATTCCAATACTAGATTCGCGGTGGAGCCCGAGGCGTCGATTGCCCATCTTGGGCTTGACCACATAGTATGCTTTCTGTAGACATGGCATTCTTACTATGTAGGTCGATATCAATGGATCCAGGGTGGTGTGACGGCCTTCTCAGAGCCACATCTAGCCCGCAGTGGAGCCGCGATCAGAGTAATGCAAATACAACCACCTCCGTTGTTCTCAGCTTCCAGCCCAACGAATTGACTATATGCGTAAGCACGATACGCCAGGTCTTGAGGTTCCCTCGTTGCTGCGCCGCTTACACGTTGATGCGACCTGGAGGCGAACAAGCTCTTTCCCTTCACTGGCGCACTTGTGGCAAAACCGACCTACGCCGTAAGGATCTCTAAGGGCCCCAGGGAGGTTTTGGGGGCCCCAGCGGCGGCTGGCACATGAATCCTTTCAACAGTTCCCATGACTTCATCAGATACTGGGCCTCGGCGTCGCTTGTCCTTGAAAGGCATAGAACAATAAACCCAGTGTGAGCCATTGCTATTGCCTCACGATCGAAATCATGCAGCAAGGCACGGAGATATCCGCTAGTTGGTCACCTCCGAGCGATCCAACATGGCATCTCCAGGACCAGTAACGGGGCTGCTATCCAATTGTTGTCTTCCTCAGACTTATTCCTGTTCCTTCGCGGCAATGAGATTGTCCAGTGGTAAATGACACTGCAGTATATTATTAGCGATTGCCAAGTCCACATCCACTAATTACAAGAAACGTAGGGGAGCGTTTAGGGTCGCCCAAGACTGTGTGACATTGAAACTTTTCGACAGCACCGTGTCCCAAACAAAGTGTCAACATGCTCGGATCTGGAGAGCCCATCGCCATAATCGGCACTGGGTGCCAATTCCCTGGCGGCGCAAGCACGCCCTCGAAACTCTGGGACCTCCTTCGTGAACCCCGAGACCTGCTGAAGCCCTTGGAAGATCGATTTAACGCACAAGGTTGGCATCACGACAGTGGGAAATATCATGGACATTGCAACGTCAAAGAGTCTTACCTGCTCGACGGAGATGGAGTGCACCGTCTCTTCGATGCACAGTTCTTCGGCATCAATGCGGTTGAGGCCAACACTATGGACCCGCAGATGCGTCTCCTGCTTGAGACAACCTATGAGGCACTTGAGGCGGCTGGTCAGCCTGTGGAGGCCCTTCGGGGCTCTGACACAGCCGTATACATTGGCGTAAGAAAGATTCAATTCTCTTTTCAGAGTCAATATGTACCTGGTGATTGAGACGTTGAGAATTATGTCTATCCGACAATCACTTTCGTAAGCAGTGGCTGAAAGCTGCGGTTGGCACTGATGTGTCGAATGCGGCATGTGCCATCTCAAGATTGAGCGCTGACACACATACAAACAATTGTAGATGATGGGAAACAGTTACAAGACGGTGATGGAACGGGACCTGGATAGCATTGGGACTTACCATGTCAGTGGCGTTGCGCGTGCCATGATGTCGAACAGGTTATCTTATTTCTTTGATTGGCATGGGCCTTCCTTGTGAGCAAAAATCCAGCTTCGTTTGCGGGTTTTCATCGTCATGCCCCTGGAATTCTTTCTGACAGCTGAGGCTGGCAGGACCATCGACACTGCGTGCAGCTCCAGCCTGATCGCCGTCCATCAGGCCGTTGAGCAACTTCGCTCTGGCAGATCTCACGTGGCGGTAGCCGCCGGCTCGAACCTCCTCCTCGATTCACCGGATTACGTCGGGATGAGCAAGCTTGAGATGTTGTCTCACGAGAGCCGCTCACGAATGTGGGACCAAGATGCTAACGGCTATGCCCGAGGGGAAGGGGTTGCAGCCGTAGTGCTCAAGCCTCTGAGTGCTGCCATTGCGGATGGTGACCATATCGAGTGCATTATCCGGGAGACTGCCACAAATCAAGATGGTAGAACGCCAGGCATTACGATGTGAGGACACACAGCTCCACCACGCTTTCACCTCTCCGTTTTCTTTCCCCTTTGCTTAGTCGTTCTGCGAAAAGCTAACACCCAACATAGGCCCAGCGCTACTGCTCAGGCACAGCTCATGCGCGACTGCTACTCGCGTGCAGGACTCGATCCCACTGACCCAGCCCAGCGCCCTCAATACTTTGAGGCTCATGGTACGAACTGGTAGTACAAGACGTTCCTTCTGTCCGTAAGCACATCTGACGGTAATATACCCAGGCACCGGAACTCAGGCGGGGGACCATGTAGAAGCCCAAGCCATCACGACGGCCTTTTTCCCTGGACAGAGCAGCACGCGGCACAAACCCAGTTGCCTCTTTGTTGGGGGCGTAAAAACCGTCATAGGACACTCTGAGAGCGTTGCCGGCCTGGCAGGGCTCATCAAGACGTCTTTGGCCCTGCAACACGCCCTGATCCCGCCGAATCTCATGTTCAATCACATCAGCCCCAAGGTGGAGCCATTCTATGCAAACCTCCAGATTCCCACATCAGCTGTCTCGTGGCCGGTCATAGGTGATGGGGTACCCCGAAGGGCCAGTTTGAACAGGTAAGTGCGATCTGTAGAATGTGCTAAGAATCGTCATCTTATAATGGATCCTAACATTATGGCCATGCAGCTTCGGTTTCGGCGGCAGCAATGCCCACGCCATCCTCGAGAGTCACACGCCGGACAGACCGACACCAGGCAGTGTGAAGTTGACATCGTTCGTACCTTTCGTATTCTCTGCTGCCTCGGAGACCGCTTTGTCCTCAAATCTGGCCGCTGTCTGCGAGCACCTATGGACAGATGGGGCGCATACGAGTATGCGTGACTTGGCTTTGACGCTGCATGCTCGCCGGTCCCGGCTCCCATATGGCACTGCCATAGCTGCAAACACTGTCGAGGATCTTTGCAACAAGCTGCAAGATAAATGCTCGAATAGTTCCCGACAGCCGGTGGGCATACGGTCTTTCCAACGGCCGGGAGATCAGAAGCACAAGATTCTCGGTATCTTCACTGGCCAAGGGGCACAATCGCCTCACATGGGAGCAGCCTTAATTCAGTCGTCTGAAAAGTGTCGCTCTATCATCGACAAGCTCGAGAGGCGTCTCTCTACCCTCCCCGCGGAAGATCGACCGGCCTGGTCGCTGAAGACGGAGCTTCTGAACGCCGACGCCGTGAGCATCAGCCGAGCTACGTTGTCACAGCCACTGTGCACAGCATTGCAGATCATGCAGGTCGACCTCCTGCGCGCAGCGGGCGTCCAGTTCTCGGCAGTAGTTGGCCACTCCTCGGGCGAGATTGGTGCAGCATACTGTGCGGGCTGGATCTCGGCTGAAGACGCCATCTGCATCGCATACTATCGAGGCTTGCACTCTCACCTTGCGGTCGGCTCCAAGGGGCAACGGGGTGCTATGTTGGCTGTGGGAACGTCCTCTGAGGACGCCCAAGAGCTTTGTGACGAGGATGAGTTCCAGGGACGGGTATCTGTGGCGGCAGTCAACTCCACCGCCAGTGTCACGCTGTCTGGTGACGACGAGGCTATTGAGGAGATCAAGATTATTTATGAAGATGAGAAGAAGTTTGTGCGGCGCCTGAAAGTCGACAAGGCTTACCATTCCCAGCATATGGTCCCGTGCTCCAGAGCCTACCTCCGTTCTCTCCAGGCGCTCGATATCCAGGTTCATGAGGCCAGGGTACCTTGGTTTTCAAGCGTCGCGGGAGGAACATTGATGGGATCTGACATGGCCTCTAGGCTGGCAGGCCCGTACTGGAATGACAACATGGTACAAACAGTAAAGTTCATGCAAGCCATAGAGGGTGCTTGGACATCACAAGGCCCGTTCGATATGGCGGTGGAAATCGGACCTCACCCGGCTCTGAAAGGACCCGCACTTCAGACAATCCAGGACATATCCACCGCCAACCTGCCATACACGGGGGTTCACTACAGAGGCGAGAATGCCGTTGAGTCGTTTGCCAACGCTCTTGGTCAAATCTGGACTCAGCTGGGTACAGTCGACCTCCTAGGCTTCGACACCTTCATCACCGGCCGTCCTGGCTATGAATTCGTGACGGGTCTGCCAAAGTACGCTTGGGACCATGAAAAGGAGTACTGGCACGAGTCGAGATACGGAAGGGCTGTTCGCACAAGATCAGACCCAGTTCACGAATTGCTCGGCCACCTCACGCCAGACTCAACGGAACAGGAGATGCGATGGAGGAATATCCTCTGCCCCAAGGAGCTGCCCTGGCTGAAGGGCCATGCCCTGCAAGAACAAGTAGTCTTCCCTGCTGCTGGGTATGTTGTTGCGGCGGTCGAGGCTGCGGCGGCGAAAGCACGCTCACAAGGTCTGTCGGCTACCCTTATCGAGGTTCTCGATCTTGACATCGGCAAGGCTTTGGCCTTTGACTCAGACGACACACAGATGGAAACAATCACATCGATGGCAGACATCCCGCAGCACGGCCCTACCAAGACTATTGAGGCGAGTTTCCGATTTCATGCAGCCCAAACGACGCAAAAGGGTCCACTGAATCTCCTTGCAAGCGGACATGTACGGGTCTCTCTAGGCGACGGAGACGAGTTTGTCCTTCCACCCAGGGGCCAGTCTGAACATGACGCTTATAACGTCGGCACTTCAGAGTTCTACGACTCGCTTGCCAATCTCGAGTACCAGTACGATGGACCGTTCCGCGCTCTCTCCGGGCTCAGGAGGAAACTCGGGTTTGCCACGGGTTTCATAAGCAACGAACCGACGCGAATGCTGATCCACCCTGCCGTTCTCGACGCTGCCTTCCAGTCTGTCCTGCTCGCCCATTGTGCTCCTAACAGCGGCGGCCTCTGGTCTCTCCATGTCCCCAAAACAATCCGGGCCGTCAGGGTGAACCCTCACCTCTGCCTGGCCAACACGAGGGACGGCCGGATCCCGTTCGACTGCATGCAGCCCGAAGCTATGGATGCTCTGGAGGGTGATGTAGGGCTCTTCGCCGCCCATGGCTCCCAGCATGCCATGGTACAGGTCGAAGCCCTTCAATGTGTACCTTTTGCGAGAGCCAAAGCCCAGGATGACAGAGAGTTGTTCGCAGTGACAGTCTGGGATGTCGCTGTCCCAGATGCAGAGAAAGTTGCTTACGACGGCGAGCCGACGACCGAGCAAGTCGAGGTTGCTCGCATTATGGAACGCATGGCAGTTTTCTTCCTCCGTCAACTCGACTGTGGGGTCCCAAGGGACAGTCCGGCCAGATTCACGGGCGCATACCCTTACTACTTTGAATTTGCGACCCATATCATCTCTCTCGCCAAAGACGGCAAGCTGCCCCTCTGGTCCTCGGAATGGGAAAACGACACTCTAGACCAACTGTCTGCGGCGTACGAGCCTCATCTGCACTCTACGGATGTCAGGCTTCTCAAAGCTGTTGGGGAGAACATCATAGACATCGTGACCGGCCGTAAGCAAGCCATCGAGGTCGGCATGAGAGATGGCATGCTGTCGCAATTCTACGAGCATGCTATCGGCATGCAGGAGAATACGAGATACCTGGCTCGTCTAGTCAAACAAGTTGTCCATCGCTATCCTCATTTGAACGTGCTTGAGGTTGGCGCAGGCACTGGAGGGGCTACCAAGGCTGTTTTCCAGGAGATTGGACGCACGTTCTCTACGTATACATTCACCGACATATCGTCTGGCTTCTTTGAGTCCGCAAAGCAAGTGTTTGCCCCTTTTGTCGACAAGATGACCTTCAAGGTGTTGGATATCGGCAAAGATGCAAGACAGCAGGGCTTCAGTGAGCACTCTTACGATCTCATAGTGGCTTCTGCGGTCCTCCACGCAAGTGAGTATGCATCGTAATCATTCCCTGGACAAGTGTGCCAAATGAACTAACTTGTTTTGTTTCTTCTTTCTCTTCACAGCGCCGAATCTCCAGGACACACTGAGGAACGTGCGACGCCTGCTCAAACCAGGCGGGTTTCTGGTCGTGCTCGAGCTGCAATTTGATAATCTCGCACGTATGGGAACCATCTTTGGGGCCTTCCCTGGCTGGTGGCTCGGTGCTGCTGAGGGCCGCACTCTGTCACCCTGCGTAGACCTGGCGCAATGGGATCACCTGCTCCGAAACACGGGTTTTTCAGGTTGCGATACTGTGGCACCGGTCAGGAATAGCCTCGTCATGCCGCCTGTGGTCTTTCTCTCTCAGGCAGTCAACGGCAATATTAATTTCCTCCGAGATCCTTTATCTGCGCCCGTATCGCCTCTCGGGGAGGACGCTCTGATGGTCCACCAAGACCTGTTGCTGCTCGGCGGAAGCAGCCTTCTGACATCCAGGCTCGTGGGACAGCTCAAGTCCGTCTTAGGTCATTACTGGAGAGCCATAAAGACAGCTCGCACGCTGTCCGATGTGGTCTCCATGAAGATCAGCTCCAACACGACTGTCATGGGTCTCGTCGAGCTCGACGGTCCTGTGTTTGAGGACCTCAACAATTCCGACTGGGAAGCACTCAAGACTCTGCTCCACGATGCAGGCACGATCCTTTGGGTATCGAGAGGTCGCCGTGCCGAAAACCCCTACGCAAACATGCTCGTTGGTCTTGTCCGCTCGGCAAGGAAAGAGATCCCGACATTGGATATCCAGTGCTTCGACGTCGAGGCGGAGTCAGCGCTGAACACGCGCCAGCTCGCCGAGACGCTGCTGCGGTTGAGAGCCACGACCATGTGGCAGCGCCGGGATGGACAGGAGAGCATGCTCATGACTGTGGAGCCAGAGCTGATACAGGACCAGAGCGGCTCGCTGATTATTCCTCGCGTGATCTCAAGCCAGGAGATGAATGACTGGTACAACTCTCTGCAGCGGCCAATCTCGAAACCAGCAAGTATTCAGGATGATCAAGAAAATGTTGGCATCATGGTGGATGACGGACAGGGTGTTTTCCTTCGACAAGAACCGATGCCACAAGGCGGGGAACAGCGTCGCATCCGCGCCACGCATTCTTTGTGCTCGGCTGTTCGAGTGGCCAGGCTTGGCTTCATGCATCTCATCCTTGGACAGGAGTGCTTGTCTGGGGATCAGGTCGCGGTTCTCTCAAGCAAGCATACACTGATGTTCGACTCCGACAGAGGGCTTGCCATGCCGGTGGTTGTAGAAAAAGGCCAGGAGGCTGCGTTCGTGACCTTGCTGGCTCACCATCTTCTCTCGAGCATGATTCTTGAGGATCTGGCCGAAGAAGAAGTCGTGATTATTCATGAGCCGAAGAAGGACTTCGCCGTCGTGGTAGCAGAGGAGGCTGAGCGACGTGGAGTCCTGGTCCAGTTCACCAGCAGCTCGACGACCGCGTCCGAGCCTGGCTGGTATAGTATCCACCCAGCATCCCCAGATCGTGTCATTAATGCCATGATTCCTGCGAACACGGCCGCGTTCCTCGACCTCAGCGGAGACGATGCCAATACCTTGGCTGGAGCCCGCCTGCGCTCGCTACTCCCCAGCTACTGCCGCCAATGTAGCATGAGAAACATGTTTTCTGCATGTACAACTTGGGCGCCACACGGGAGACAGCTACAAATCGTTCAGACTCGGCTGCGAGACTGTGTATCCCGTGCCTCTGCGCATCTAGCGGGTCCCGGCATCTCAACCACCACCACAGTGTGTTTAGACGCACTCGCCCAAACATCCCACAATGACCCTCCACGCCTATCACCGCTGAGTGTCATAGACTGGTCTCGCCCTGCCTCACAGATACCGGTTCAGGTGCAGGATGCTGGCTCGCAGGTCCGCTTTTCGAGCTCCAAGACGTATTGGTTGGCGGGCCTCAGCGGTGGTCTTGGACTGCTACTCTGCGAGTGGATGGTGCGGCAGGGGGCAAAGTATGTTGTCATCTCCAGTCGAAGGCCAAAGGTCGCAGAGTCGTGGTTAGCTAAGATGCGATCCGTTGGCGCCCACGTCAAGGTCTTTGCATGGTTCGTGATGTTTCTCTCTCCCCCCCCCCCCCTCTTCAAGCTGACCTGCTTACTCCTCTAGACATACATTTATATCCCCAACCTGAAACTAATCAACTTGTTTGCCAGTGACATAACCGACAAGGCGGCAGTCTCTGAACTTTACAGCACCATACAATCGACCATGCCCGTCATTGCCGGAGTGTGTCAGGGTGCAATGGTTCTCAATGACACCACAATCCGAGATATGTCACTCGAGGCCCTTGTCAAGGTGACAAGGCCGAAGGTGGAGGGCAGTCTGCACCTTGGCCAGCTCTTCCAGGGAACGGAGAACCCGCTCGAGTTCTTCATATTCTTCTCCTCTGCAGGGTCAGTCCCCGGCCAGCCCGGCCAAGGAAACTATGCGGCTGCGAACCTGTTCATGACGGCGCTCGCAGAACGGCGCCGTCGACAGGGCCAGGCTGCCTCAGTCATGCACCTTGGTCCTGTGTTTGGGGTCGGGTACATCACCCAGCAGGGGGCACACGCCGAGGTCAAGTCCGTGGCTCACGTCTGGGTTCCCATCTCCGAGCAAGTCGTCTGCCAGCACTTTTCAGCCGCCGTCATCGCAGGACGTCCTGGGTCCTCGCCCAGACCCCTCGAGACGACGACTGGCTTGGCCAAAGTCGCGTTTCCTCAGGACGCCGGTCCGTTCATGAGCCATTACACGCAGGATCGGGCCACCTGCACCATGGACGTCTCCAAAGACCGATCCAAGGTTCCGCTGCAGACACAGCTCGCAGAAGCGCAGGGCCGTGGCCAAGTGGCCCGCATCATCCGAGAGGCCTTCCTGCTCAAGCTGAGCATACTGCTGCAGTCTGACCTGGCCAAGCTGGAACAGGCCGACCCAGCCAGCCTGCGTCTGGACGAGATGGGACTCGACTCTTTGATGGCCGTGGAGATCCGCGGCTGGTTTGTCAAGACGCTTCAGGTCAACATACCCGTGCTCAAACTCTTGAGCGGGGCTCTGGTCTCTGAGCTCGTCGATATCTCGGTCGACACCATGCCGCGGACGCTGGTCCCGAATATCGACGACGATGCTCCTGATCTGGCCACAGCGGTCTCCGAGCAGCGAGCCGAGCCTGTGAAGACAGACGGCCAGCCGTCACTAAGCCAGACACACCGGATCGACAATACACTGCTCAAAGCTTCGGCTCTGCAAGCCCAGCCGAAGTTGTTCACACCAGACTATACGACCGAACCGCACCAGAATCGTCACGCTGGTCATGCCTCCCAGAATAACCCTTCTCAGGGGGCTCACGTCGAGTTTCTCCGTTCCGACCTGGGGGCGAAGGCACATCCTCGGCAAGCGGATGAAGATAAACTCGTCGTTACGTCCTCAGTGCCCATCCCATTCCAGCAAGCGCAGGTGGAGGAGCCTACACCAGAGGACTTGTCAGCTTCATCCTCGTTCGAGAATAGTGATAGTCTGGATTCAGGCTCGCAAATAGCGACATCAAGCGACGGCGACCTCGAGAAGCCAATCCGTCCGCCTACTCCCTTTACTCCTCCGGTTGGACAAGCTGAGGAGAAGGATCTGCTGGCATCGGTACCTTGGCCTGGACTGGAGAGGGTTGTGCGCCTGTCGTTCAGCCAAAGCCTCTTCTGGTTCTCTGCCGCCTTCTCAGACAACCCGGCGAACCTCAATCTCACAGCCACGTTTCGGCTGACGGGGAAGATGCGCGTGGAGGACTTGAAGAGGGCGGTCCTGGCGCTTGGCCAGCAGCACGAGTCTCTCAGGACAAGGTTCGTCGCCAGTGACTCCGAGCCGAAACAAGGCATCATGAAATCGACTGCCCTGCGTCTTGAGCATTACACAATCCGGGACGATCGCGAGGTTGATCTCTACACCAACGACATACACAGCCACGTCTACGATCTCGAGAGTGGCAAGACTGTGCGCCTGGCCTTGGTGTCCAGATCGGCAACACAGCACTTCTTCATCATTGGTGTGCATCACCTTGCCATGGATGGCGCGTCCTTTCAGCCTCTGATGAGAGACCTCTTGAGCCACTACACGCAGAGACACCAGGAGATCAGAACAATGCAGTACGCGGACTTCTCCGAACACCAGCACAGCACGCTCGCATCTGGTGGCTTCAAGGACGAGCTCGACTTCTGGAGGACGGAGCTCGCCGATCTGCCGCCGACGCTTCCCATCCTGCGGATGTCGACGCTTGCCTCGCGACCAAAACTGCAGGCATATGGAAACAAGGCTGTGGACATGTGGATCAAGCCAGACACCAAGGTGCGGATACAGGCTCTCTGCCGCAGATGTCGAGCCACCCCCTTCCACTTCTACCTCGCTGTCTTTAGGGTGCTGCTCTGGAGATACAGCGGGGCGGAGGAGTTCTCCATCGGCATTGGAGATGCGAACAGGACTGAAGATGCTCTCATGGACACTATTGGTGATCTTGTCAACATGCTGCCGTTGGTCTTCCAAACGCAGGGTGCTGTGCAGTTTGACGCACTGGTGCAAGAGACGCGGGCCAAGACTCACTCGGCGTTGGCAAACTCCCGAGTGCCCTTCCAGCTTCTGTTGAAGGAGTAAGTGCTCACTCAAATCTACAGTGATTGGGGAAGCCAAGGAGGGTTTGTACGACCTGCTAACCGCTATTTTTTTGCTCTAGACTGGGTGTTTCACGATCCGCAGTAACCACGCCCATCTTCCAGGCCTTCATAGACTATCGACTGGGCCGAGGAGAGACGATGCGCTGGGGGGACTGTGAGCTGGAGCTACAACAGTTTCGCCCCTCGAAGCTGGCGTACGACGTGGCAATGGACATTGTTGATAATGCTGACGGAGACTGTCACCTCACGTTTGTAGTGCGCGATGATCTCTACAGCCAAGAGGACGTGGAGCAGCTTGCCAAGAGCTACGTCCTGCTCGCCAGCGCGTTCGCCTCACAACCAGACAAAGCTCTCAAGGAAGTGGACATCTTTGATGAGGTTGAGATCGAGGAGGCCCTCAACCTGGGCAGAGGCCCGCTCTACCAGTCTCGCCATTGGGGCACGACGGCCATTCACCGGATCGACGACATGGCCGACAAGTACTCTGGGAGGACAGCTGTGATCTCCGAGGACGGCAGCACGGAAACATACGAGAGCATCGTTCACCACAATGTCCACAGGATCGCCTCAGCGCTCCTTGCTGCTGGCGTCACGCAGGGATCGCGGGTCGCCGTGCTCCAAGAGGTCACTCCTGGCTGGGTGTCGTCCATCCTCGCCATCATGCGCGTCGGCGCCACATACTTACCGCTTGACGTAGGCACACCCTGGGCTCGACTCTCTGCCATGGTTCAGGACGCCCAGCCCCAGGCCGTGCTTGTGGATGCGTTCACCCGGCACAATGTGGGCGAGCTGCAGCGCAATGGCCTCCAAGTCGTCGATGTCTCAAGTCTGGGTCCTGGACAGCAAGTCCCCATCTCGGCCACTTCGGACGGGGTGGCAACCATTCTGTACACCAGCGGGTCCTCAGGAACCCCCAAGGGCATCGTGCTGCGTCACCGCGGCGTCAGCTCCTGGCTAGAGCCCTGTGGGATGCTGTACGGCTTCAGACCCAGCGGCGAGGTGGTCCTGCAGCAGAGCTCGCAGGGCTTCGACATGTCGCTGATGCAGATCCTCACGGCCCTGTGCTTTGGAGGCAGCGTGGTGCTGCTCCCCAGGAGGCTCCGCGGCGATGCCCGCGCCATCAGCGACATCATCACCCGTCACGGCATCACGCACACTTTTGGCACGCCCTCCGAGTACCTCAGCTGGCTCCGATACGGCGACTCCGAGGCGCTGAGGACGTCCTCGTGGAAGACGGCGCTGGTAGGAGGCGAGGTGCTCGCGCAGGCGGTGCTGATGGAGTTTGCGGCGCTCGACAAGGCGGACCTGCGCTTCCACCACATGTACGGGACCACCGAGTCGACGTTCTGCGCGACGGTCTCGGAGCTCGAGTACACAAGAGAGCTATCGAAACCAACAGCGTCTGGTGTGTCGCAGCCTGGCTATGCCGCGGGCGTCGCGCTGCCCAGCTACAGCGTGTACATCCTCGACGAGCAGAAGCGGCCTCTGCGCGCCGGCATGCAGGGCGAGATCTACATTGGCGGCGCTGGCGTCGGCGACGGCTATCTCAACATGCCACGCCTGACTGCGGAGACGTTCCTGGCAGATCCATTCGCCACGGCAGACGACCTGGCCCGAGGCTGGACGATGATGCAGCGCACAGGCGACCTCGGCCGGTGGTCTCGAGCCGTGCACCACGGCGCCGTGCTGGTCGAGGGCCGCATCTCGGGCGACACGATGGTCAAGCTGCGTGGCCTGCGCGTCGACCTGCGAGAGGTGGAGGGCGAGATCCTCCGCGCCGGGGCTGGCATGCTCGCCGAGGCTGTGGTGTCGATCCTGCGCGCCTCGGCCGACACGCCCGAGTTCTTGGTGGCCCATGTCGTCCCTGGCCCTCTCCTTGCGCAGGAGAAGGGTTCCCTGGAGCTGCAGTTTCGTCAGGTTCGCGCGCAACTGGGAACTCCCGCTATACATGCGGCCGGCGTTCATGATTGCGCTGGACAGCTTGCCCCTGATGTCTTCTGGCAAGCTGGATCGCAAGGCAGTTGCTGCGCTGCCGCTGCCCAAGGACGAATCCGAGGCCGATGGTGTCGTCGTGCTGCTGACGGCCACGGAGGAGAAGCTCAAGGCCGTCTGGGAGGATGTCCTCTCGCACGACCTCGCCAGCGTGCACAGCATCACTCCGGATACGGACTTTTTCCACATTGGCGGCACATCGCTCGTGCTCCTTCATCTGAGAGAGACCATCCAGACGCGGTTCGGAGTTGCTCTGAGCCTGGTGGACCTCTTTGAGGCGAGCGTGTTGTCGAGCATGGCCCATCGCATCCAGGGCCAGGTCGATGCGGCGGAGGTCATTGACTGGGAGGAGGAGACGGCGCTGCGTCCTTGCATGGCACAGCTCGACAGTGCTCTGCTCCAACACGTGCCGCCGTCTCAGAGCAGGGTGGTCATCCTCACGGGCGGCTCAGGCAACCTAGGCAAAGGGCTCATCCGCGCCATGATAGCAGACCCAACCATCAAGGAGATCCACTGCCTCGGCGTGCGCAATGCAGCCAAGCGCACCGACATGCAGGGCCTCGAAAAAGTCACTCTGTACGAGGGCGATCTGCAGCAGCCTCGCATCGGGCTGGCCGAGTCCGTGCTCCACGATCTGTTCAGCCGCGCAGACCTGATCATCCACAACGGGGCCGACATCTCGTACATGAAAACATACCCGTCCCTACGACAGTCCAACTTTTTGGTCTGCAAGGACCTCATCCAGTGGAGCCTGCCGAGGATGGTCCCGTTCCACTTCATCTCGAGCGCGGGCGTCGGCAACTTTGCACCACCCGGCGCGCCCCTCTACGCGTCGTCCCTGGCCGCCTCGCCGCCGCCCACGGACGGGTCGCACGGCTACACGGCCGGCAAGTGGGCGAGCGAGGTGTTTCTCGAGAAGCTGGCGGCAAGACACCCGCGCTGGCCGGTCTGCGTGCACCGCCCCACGCTCATCCTCCGGGACGACATCCCGGCGCTGGATGGGGCGCACAACCTCCTCGGGTACTCGCGCAGGATGGGCGCGGTGCCTGCGTCCAGGGGGCGAGCGAGTGGGGTGGTGAATGTGGTGCAGCTGGAGGCTGTCGTGGAGGGCGTGCTGGGCTGTGCGCTGTGGCGGCCGCAGCAACAACAAGAAGGACAACAGCAACAAGAAGAAGAAGAAGAAGAAGAAGATGGTCGTCGTCACGGCGCTGCACAGGACCCTCCTCACCACCGACATGGCAAGGTGCACTTTGTCAACCACGCAGGGGCGCTCGACCTCCCGTTCAGCGACATGCAGAAGTGGTCTCTGGAGCGGACAGAGGATGGGTACGTCGGCTTTGGCGGTCTGGCGCTGGAGGAGATTCCCCTGGACGAGTGGGTGCGCAGGGCGAGCGCGCTGGGGATGCATCCTGCGATGGCGGCTTTGATTACCAGCTTCTCCAAGGACGAGGAGGTTGCGTTTCCAATTATTGCAGAGAAGGGTGCGGTCGAGGAGGACGTCGCTGGTACGGCGCTTCCTTTGAACGCGGGGCCTCTGGTTAGAGACACGGTGCCGGTGACTGCCATTGCTGCCCCTGCGCGGGTCGAGAATGTCGCCAGAGAAACGGGTAGTGTTGCAAAGGGAGTGGATGGGGGGAGGACGAAGAAGGATGTTGGAGATATGAGGAGTAGTTTTGTCTGGAGAACGGTGCTGCTCTTGGCTCTGCTCTTGTTGGTGGCTGAGGTTTATAAAGGTGGGAAGACCTCGTAGCTGGTGTTCATTGATATATTTATTCTTGTATTTTTCTATCTTTGTTTGGATACATTCAGTCAAACTCTGTCAATTTCATGGCTGTCGTTGCGCAATCACAATCATTTGCGTCTCTCCTACATTGTCATTATCATTACAATTCTCCATGCATTTCTTCATACTGTTCAGTCTCAAGGCTCACTCGGAAGAAAAGGACTAGTGTGATGACCAAAATGTTTTATTTTGAACGCTTACGTGCTAGAACCGCGCTCATCACTGGATATTGTCCGCTGCTGTTGCTCTTGTCAAAGATTCAACAGGTTTTGGGATGACTTCAGGTTCATTATTGAATAGTCTTCGTATGTCATGCGAGGGCCAGTGGCTCAGCCAGCCCTGGATACGTACGTAGCCTCAGTTGTCTGGCTATTGTTTTCTTTCTTGGTTTTATTTTATCTTCCTTTTTTCTTCCTTTGCGGTAGCTTATTCATTTCAGTGTCTTTTTTTTTTCCCATCTGTATAGCTCATATTCACTCATAGATCATTTTCATCAAGAGTCCCCAGGGCTCTCATACAGCATCAACGGCTTTCCAAAACGTAGTTCCAATTCAATCCAGGTATGCTTTCTGAGATGATTCTTCCGATGCCCCATCTTGATTCACCAGTGTCATTGCCCAAGAATGACATTACATCGTCACCACCAACTTCTGCCCCGACACCGCTCCTGACCTCAACATCTTCAAACCCTCCAATACGCGCTGGAGCCCTCCTCCCAGGTTCTGAATAGGATGCGTCTTGAGCAGACCCTTATCCAGCAAGCCCCGAAAGACGCCAATATATCGTTCCGCAAGGGCACGCTTCTCCAGGTCCCCCAAAGTCTCATAGCCATTCGACAAAGGCACGTCCTCGCCCGAGGCCTCATACGCCAGCACCAGCTTGAGGCGCACGGCCCGGCGCGTCCGCAGCGCCTCGGGGACCAGCTCCAGCGACGCATACCTGCCGCCCGTCCGACCGATGGCCGCATAGCAGTGCGCAACCGTCTCCGGGTCGGCGATGCAGTCGTACACATACCTGAGTTTCCCACCCGTGAGCCGCTGGATCTCGGCGACGAGGTCAGGCCGCATGTAGTCCAGCGCCGCGGCGGCGCCCCGGTCGCGCGCCAGGTCGAAGTTCCGCGGGCTGCAGACCGCAATGGGCGTGAGCCCGGACAGCCGCAGCAGCTGGAGGGCTATGGTCCCCGTCGCCGTGCTGCCGCCGTAGACGAGCACGGGGAAGGGCTTCTCGGCTGGCTTGTCTGGGTCTGCGGTGGCGGCCAGGCCCAGCGCCGAGGGCTCCCACAGGGCCAGGAGGTTCGTCATGAGCGCCACGCCCAGTGTGGCGGCTTCTTCCATCGACAGGGTGGGTGGGACGGGAAGCAGGAACTCGGGCCGTGCTCGCACGTACTCTGCAAAGGCCCCGTTGGTGAGGTCGCCTGGGTTGGAGCCGTGCACCATGCCGCACACGCGGTCGCCGAGGCGGAGATCTGTGGTCGTGCCGGGCGGGATGAACGCCACAGTGCCTGAGAAGTCCATGCCTACGACGGAGCCTGGGGTAGGGAAGGCTGCGCCCATCTTGTTGTCGCTCGGGTTGAGCGCTACTGCGACTGTCTTGACTATTACTGTGCCGGCCTTGGGTGATGGCAGCGGCACGCCCTCCATCAGCTTGGGGCTGCCATTCTCGTTTTGTAGGATGGCTGTCTGCGAGATTGGGAGCTTGGCCGCCAGCATGTTTGATTTTTTTCTGCTTTTTTTCTTTTTTGTATTATTGGTTTTTGCCACACTTGAGATGGGTGAATGAAGACAATTGGCGACTTGGCCACGGAGAATTTAGGTCCTCGCATATCGATTTTGATAGCTTGCATGCCTGTACTTGTAAGTCAGTGTGTAAGTAATTAGTAGATTGTAGGAGAAACGTCAGCAGCACACACGTGCTTCTGCCACTGCTTGCATACATTGCCATTTTGGGTAATTGTCTGCCGAATGCTTTGGCCTATCATGGAAGACTCCAGATGTCAGTTCGGCGTAAACACCACATAGTGGTCATCGCAAATACAGTAGACCCGGCATGGAAGAATACACACTGGTCCTTCGGCACCAGCCTCGAAATGGATCTGTCGAGTGGGGGACAGCAGATCTACTTTGAAAGGCCAGGTTAGAAGGCAGATTGTGCATGGATATCCCTCTTTTGAAAATCTAATTTATTGAATTTACCTTCTAGGGTCCTCGCCAGGTGTTCAGTGTCTACGAAATATACAATTAAATACATATGTACTGCCCGTTCCTCATCTAATATTGGACTTAATCTCAAGTCAACTTCTGTCTCACTTAAATAGCTGCCCCCTTCTCGGCATTCGTCGTAGGTTTTGCCCGGTTGTACCTGTCATTTTCATGCTTGAGGCCGTACTCGGTCTCCAGCTTTTCCCTTAGCATGATTTCATGCTCAGCAAGAGACAACAGGAACCCCACGCCAGCAAACGCGATCGAGATCTGGAACACCCTCTGCACCGCCTGCGCGTACACCGACCTGATTTCTGCCTGGACAGGCAGCGCGAACTGCTTGACCTGCGCCGCCGACGCCGCGCCGTACGCTCCTCCGCTGGCCATCATCTCTGCAGCCGCGGGGTCCGAGATCTCACCAATGAGCTGGCTGACCCGGTTGTTGAAGATGCTCGCAGGGATCGCAACGCCCCAGACCCAGCCGATGCTCCTGATGAAGCCCCAGGTCGCAGACGCCGCCGCCTGGTCCCGCTCCGGCACTCCGTTCTGGAAGGCCGGCAGCTGCGAGTTGAGGAGGACGCCCCCGCCCAGCGCAGCGACGCACTGGTAGCTGGCCCACTGCGCCACTGTGGTGTGCGGGTTCTGAAGCGTGAAGAGGCCCAGGCCGAGCATGAACACGGCGAAGCCGGCAATGTGGACGGGCTTGTACCGGCCCCAGCGGCTGATGGCTACGGCGGCGAGTGCAGCACCTGGAATCGCCACGAGCGACATGGGCAGCAGGGCCACGCCGGAATACTGAGGGCCGTACAGCTTTGCGGCCTGGAAGAAGACGGGGAGGAAGAAGACACCCCAGAACGTCAGGGCCGAGTTGATAAAGGTGTTGATGCTGACGATGACCGAGGTGCGGCTGTGGAAGAGGCGAGGAGGCATGACGGGCTCCGCAGCTGCGAAACGGCCTCCCTGTGTATATGCGAAGAGGAAGAAGCCCAGGAACCCGAGCAGCAGCGGCACGAGGATGTGCCACGAGGCCCAGCTGTAGCTCGCGCCGGCATACGCCAGGGCATAGAGGACGGAGACGGTGGAGGCGATCAGCACGGCGTTGCCCACAAAGTCGATGCGCTGCATCTTCTGCGCGAAAGTTGTGTCCTTCTTGTAGTTGACCTGGAGGAAGCAGGACAGGAGCAAGAGCGACACGCTGCCGATCGGGATGTTGAGGTAGAAGATCCAGCGCCATGTTGTCGTGGCCACGATCGAGCCACCAATGAAAGGCCCCAGCGTCGTGCCCACTCCGTAGATGACGAGGATCACACCGATATAGTTTCCGCGCTTTCGGAGGGGGACCAGATCCGAGACGATGATGTCTAGATGTGATTAAAACATGGCAAAGTCAGAGAAGCGAGCTCTTTGATAATGGCCCCAGCGACGTTAGAATATATACAGGAAATAAAGACCCACCATTCAGCAGAGTGATGCCTCCAGATCCAAGTCCTTGGATGGCTCGCCCTGCAATCAACATGCCAGCATTTTTGGCACCGCCGCAGATACCGCTGCCCAGGGTGAAAATGGCCACGGAGCTCAACATGTTGTATCTCCTTCCAAAGACATTGCACAGTTGGCCGACTAAGGGTTGAATTGCTGCGCTGTAGGCATTATAAAACTACGTCAGATATATGACAATCCACCACTGTTGTATGCCACAGTCATCAACACACGTACCTGCAAATGAAGAATGCATTAGTCACCCAGATGTAATTCTCGCCCAGCTGCAGATCAGAGATGATCATGGGTGCTGCCACAGTGACAACTGTGTTTTCCAGGGCCGTGAGCAGCAGTGTCACCCCCAGCCCGAGAATGATGACCCAGAGACGCAGCCCGGGATGGAAGTCGTCCATCTCTGAGCTGCCATCTTCATTCTTCTCATGACTGCCTGCTTCCGCTGTCGGGTCATTGCTCGACAATGTGGCAATTGCATCCGTGGACGTTGCGGTGGCTTCGCCCTGAGAGTCTGTTGCAGCAGCGTCGTTGCTGCTGGTACTGGCCTGTGGAGCGTCTCGGCCGGAGAACATATTGAGCTAGAGGGTGTTGGACTTGGTGGAGCCGGGCGGCACGACGTTGAATCGCCAAGACGAGCCCAGAAAGCTTGGGGCTGGAGCTACCTACCTACAGTAACGCAGACAAATCTATGAGCGCGTAGAAGGACTGCGGCACCTCCGTTACGCCTCCCGGAGCTCTTTTGGAGGGAAGAGAGGAGGGAGAAGGTGCTTCTTGGCTGAACCCTGCGTCTGCTGTAACGGAATCGGAGCGCTTGACACAGTAAATGCATGCCGATATCTAAATCGAACAAGAACAATGCGCATGTTCGGCGTTGCGCAGCCTAAAAGGGCCTCCGTCAGCGGTCGAACTTCGGCGTGGTTTTGCCTAATTGGGATAATTGTCTTAAAACGACGGGATCAACACCGTATTGGGGGCCCCCTTTGAAACGACAACACATTTGCCATCACTCACAGCCAGGACTTTGTTATTAATTTTGTTGAGATCAGTCTGTCTCTCAGCATGACTAATTGATTGGCTGAGAATAGTAATTATCACTTCCAAATCTTTTCTTTCGAATTGCAGTCTGAAAACCCAGGGCTCCTAGCCTCTTCTTCCAATAGTATCTCACGCCATCTTCGGTGGGGATCATAACTGTTGCATGCATTGCTCTGAGGTTGTTGGACAAGGGGAGTTTTGAGGATTGCGATTGCGAACAGTGTCTGGACAGAGTAACTTCAGGTGGCAAATTTGAAATTGAAGCCTTGAGAGGCACTAGATTGCCTGGTAGAATAACCTGGACAAGCAAGACCCAGCCATGAGATGACATCTTGCACATAAAATCATTATGAAATCACATGGAGGACTTTTTGTGAAGGAGTGCTCGCTTGACAAGCACTGATCTCTCGCCCTCTACCCCAAATCCTCCGGGCCTCTCTTGATGAAAACGAAGCGGACACGAAGCTCAGGCTTGGCCCACATGCCGTACACACGGAAGCTGCCATCAAACTCGAGCTCTTCTGACACCTGCTCCATGTCGAACAGCCAGATCGTCTTGGCGATGAACAGTCTGAACATGATCCTCGCCACCTCTCTGCCGGGACACTGGCGAGGACCCACGATAAAGGGGAAATGGGCCCTGTGGTCGTCCTCTGCAAAGGCGACATCGTAGTCCGGGTGGTCGTGCGGCAGCCATCGCTCTGGCCTGAAGGTCCTGGGGTCATGGAAGAACCGGGCGCTGCGGTTATAAGTGAAGGCAGACGATCGGACGACGACCTGAGCCGGCATGGCCAGTTAGAAAGTAGATTTGCCCCATGGCGCCTGGACGAATCGTGCCTAAAGAATAACGAGCTTCGAGGGCGTAAACACGCAGGTAGACTTACACCTTTGGGGATATATTCGCCATTCACTTCAGCCCCCGGACTTATCCTGGGGAGAGCGTGGTGCACCGCAGCAGAGCTGAGCCGCAGTGTTTCCGAAAGACACGCATTTAGCCACGGCAGAGACCTCAACGTCTCGCTGTCAATCTCCTCGCAGGAGGAAAAGGCGCCTCTTATCTCGCTCTTGAGCTTCTCGAGAGCCTCCGAGTGCTGCAAGATGAAGAAGAAGAGCGCATAAATCGCCACCGAGGTCGGATCGTACCCGCCGAGGATCAGCTGGCCCGCGACGGTCAGCATGTAGCCGACCTGCTTCTTGCTTGTGGGCGCAGGCTTGTCGACGGGCAGGAGCTGCTCGAAGTAGTCTGAGTGGCGGAGCTTGTTTCGCATCTCGATGCGCTCCCTGACGCGGAGCCGGAGTTCGCTGATGATCCTGGGCAAAGACCTCATCACACTCCATGGGACCAAGAGCAGTGCCAAGGGGGTCACGAGGGGGTAGGTTTTGGCAGCTGCGATGATAACCATCAGGTGGCTTGCTATCTCCAGCGTGTCTAGGAATGAATGGTTCTTCACTATTCACATTACGTTAGCAATAATATCAACAAGAGTAGTATTGAGAATGCAGAACGACTCACTGTCTCTGACCTCGTGCATCTCCCAATTGTATGCGAGGTCTGCGGCGGTATCCATGCACACCCGTTCTACCAACTGTAGAAATAAAGAAGATTGAGATATTAGTATCAGTATCAAAACCTTTCAGATTCAACTCATACCGATTTCAAATCTAGTCCTTCAGGTCTGCCTCCCATCTCTTTCATCCTAGTCATGGCCAAGTCAATGTAGTGGTTCATGATAGGTAGCTTGGCCCTTAGAGAGTTGCCACTGAAAGCTGGAGACATCATCTTTGATACCCGGCGATGCTTTTCCGGATCTCTCTCCCACAGCAGGCCATCGTCCTCATCGCCCATGCCTTCGACTATGGGTGTCTTGATGAAAGTTTCCTTCAGGTCCCTCTTCGGTCCGTGGATGTCTTGTCAGGTGTTAGTCACACTGCCATTTCACATCATGATTGACAAGAGGTGGAACTTGCCATGAAAAGCCTGTGGCTCCAAGAACACCAGTGAGTCTGGTCCAATGCGAACTATGTCGCCTGCCCAAAGTATACATTAGCTTTGGAAGGGGTCCTCAGGAATTCGGGATGCGAAGGAATTCAATGATACACAAGGACACGGCGGTCGGTAGAGGCTTCACATACCATACTTGTTCAAGGCGCTCTCAATGACCCAGGGCCATCTCCCACCAGCCCTGTAGACTTTAGCGTGCGCATCTCCACGCCATCATGGCTACACCCATGTGAACTCACATATGATACACCTCCCACGAACGTGATACAGAGGCAAGCTTCGGGCCAGGGAACCTGGACAGTGGATGAAAGTATGCATTGTAGATGTAGTTAATCAGGGTGTGCACAATAAGCTGGAACAGTCAGTTATCTAGTGAAGGCCCCTCAATGCCTAGGGAGTGCATGTTGTCATCAGAATACACCTACTGCTCCACCAGCCAGGAGTAGCCACTGCTTCCATGTCAAACTAGTCAACGCTGCCGGAAGAGCTTTCAAGTCATGAGTTGTCATGAAAGACATTATGTTGGCCGGAAGCGTAAGGCGGTGTGTTTCGAATGCGATTTATAGATTTTTCTCATCAAATCGTCCAGATGTCCACCTTCTCGGCAGAAAAGAGGTTTCTGGGGCTCTGAATTTGTATAAGATAGAACATGTCCGGCCGTGAAAGGTCGACTCCGTTCCAAAATCTTTGCATTCCACTTTCCAGCTGCAACCTTCAGCAGTGCGTGCCGTATTCATAACGGCTGCAATCAGCCGATCGGCAATCCTTCGCCGACGAAATGGAACGCCTTAGCCGTGTGTAAGCCGCTGCATAGAGGAGTTGGCTGATGGAGGTGGCGTCGCTGATTTTCCCGAAAAAGTAAGTTGAATCCGGCCTGTTGTGAGCAGGAGGCGAGTCTGACACCACCACCGCTTTCCGGGGACTTTCTTTGCATTTAGACTCGAAGTCGACTTGAACTCTGCGCTCACCCGGGTGCGCATCTTCGCACAATACTGTATACATAAGCTCGTTGTCTCTATAGTTATTTATTCACATAACATACTGGACCACGACGTAATCCACCTACGCTACTGCCTGTAATACTCTTCTCCTCGCCTAGCATAACACCACCGAGCCTATATCTTTCCACTTCTTTTTCAACCCTAGCACGGACAAGCTGCTTACACAAAACTGGTCCAAGAAAGAGCACATACTTGCAAGAATAAGTAACAGCTAATTTATTCAAATACTACGCTCGACAGCACCACATGCCTTCTTCGGATTCAGCGATGCCGGGCGCGTTTTTCTCGCTCCGGTCCCTTCCCCAACCACATTCATAGCTCTCTATAGTAAACCAAAATCATTAGTATAAGAACCTGCGACTACCTGTACTACAGCACCTCTACTGGGCCGACACTTGGATTGGCCGAACATTCACCCTCGGACATGGCATACAAACTCGATACTTTGTTATTGTACAATATTTTCAACATCATGACTTAATAAATACTAGAGTTAAAGTATCAAGCATTTATCACACAAGTGAAGTATAGGCCCGATCTTACGAGCTGGAACCGAAATCTGGTTGATAGCTGCCAGATGTCTGTTAATACAGAGATTGATTCTCGCTATATTCAAGAACCGATCTGACAAAGCGGCATGGTGAGTGGGGGCCAGCCCTTGCACACCAGGGTTAGGGTAACCACGGCTTATGCCTGACGTCAAGTACATATTATAATCATGAACCACGTCTGTCAAATCAAAAACCAATACGGCTTCTTCGATTACCCAATTTCTCCCAAGTTCCTTGTTCTAGTGAGCGGGAAAAGCTCTTTCAACCCGTAGTAGGCGTTCAAGGGCGGGAGGCAGCCCAAAGTCGATCCCTCTCCCGGCTCCTCCCATAAAACAGCCAATCCTAACGTGAAACCACTTATTGCTAATTTGCCAGCCAGTGTGCATGTCACGGGCCCTTCTAAAGCTTATGATCAGGGCTACTATGATAAGAGCCGAGACGGCAAATGCTCTCGACCGATGGAAGATGCACTGGATTTTGGGCCTACGAAAAATACCTCTCACAGATTCTATCACATGTTGCACATCTGAGCAACCGAAGATCGACGCTGCAAGGCAGGCACCTTACTCATAATTCCTAAGAAGAAAGGTTGAGGATCCCTTTGTGGTATCTGGATAGAGAGGGCACAGCCGGTGTTCCCGAGCAGCGTGGTCCACTCCTCTCCAAGATACAGAATATGTCCCTGTGACGGCTGTTTTATGCACCATGGGAAGAGAAATGCTACATAGTAACCATGCGTGCCATGGCAGATGATCGATGGGGAAGTCGGCACGCACCTTCATTTCCGATCCTTAGTCATCAGTCGTAGGCGCACTGACAGGAGTAGACATTCCGGGTGGTGACTCGGTGATTCAGGACCCCCTGTTCAGGCGCAGCGGGTAGAAACGCCGCCCGTCTGACTTGACCCTGCGCATCCAAGGGTGTAATGCCCACGCAGCATTTAGGCGAGTACTTGCTTTCCTGGTAATGCTAGGCAAGTGGTCGTAAGCCGGGCTACTGCCTTATCATCATAGAGGACAGCGGCCAGGCTGCCAGTGCCAGACCCCATTTCTCGAGTCACGACTACAGACAGCAACAAGTCCCCAACATGGTATGGTAGTATGGTGCTAACACTACCAGTTATGTACTATCGTACATAAAACAAGTGCTATGGTACGATTGCGCTAACCCCAGCCCCATGTCAATTACCCCAGTACATGGAACTCTCTTGCGCCACCATGTATCTTGTACCGCACCATACTATGTACTATTGTGCAGTACTACCGTAGCGATTTGTTGGCCAGGGACTGACGTAGCGCACCCTCCCGGGGTTGCCTGTCACAGGTGAGCACTTGACCAACCACCCACCTTGGCCGTCCACGCAGCAATGGAGCTTCCCCAGTTCCTCATCACTCCCTGAACCTTCAACAACTCATCATCGTCCACTTTTAACCCAAACACTCCTACCTCTTCACTGACTGTCGTCTCCTACCCTTCCCTAGTTTTTTCTCTCTTCATCATCTTTCTCACCAACCCAACAACTCTCATTTCTGCTTCTGTTCCGCTCCTTGAAAGTCTACACAAGCTGCCCATCATGAAGGGTGCTATGCTGAGCGCCATGCGTGAGTCCATTACCCGCCCTCTTTACGTCGCATGTTGCCACCCCTTGTGATGGCCTCTCTCGGTTCCGGATCTGTTGGTCATCTACCATCTATCCAAACGTTGCAGCAGTGGACTCGCATTGTTTCCCCTCTCTCCCAATTTCCTATGCTACGCCCTCGTGGTCTTTGGGGTTGCGCTCTCTGCCTGTCGCCCATTATGACGTTCCCGATGTCGTGACGCGTACTGACCTCCGGCTGATGATGATGTAGTCTTTGGCGCCTCCGCCCAGGCGGCTGGAGTCCACAAGATGAAGATCCAGAAGATCCCCTTGGAGGAGCAGATGGTCAGTACCCGGCCTCTCCGACACCTCCGTTGCATTCCTCGCTAAACAGATAACAGAAGGCGTTCCCCTTGCAGCAGCAGGCGAAGTGGCTCGAGCAGAAGTACTCGGGAGACTGGAACCCTTTCTCCTCGCAGCAGCAGCAGCAGCCCATCAGCATCGAAAAGGGACACCAGGTTCCTATTGAGAACTACCTGAATGCTCAGTGTACGTTGCCACCTCCCGGTACTCTTCCTAGTCCGCTTGTCTAACAGCCCTCGGCCACAGACTTCTCAGAAATCAGCGTCGGGTCTCCTCCCCAGACCTTCAAGGTCATCCTCGACACCGGCAGCTCCAACCTCTGGGTTCCGTCCTCCAAGTGCGGTTCCATAGCATGCTACCTCCACAACAAGTACGAGTCCTCCTCGTCCTCGACATACAAGAAGAACGGCTCTTCGTTCGAGATTCAGTATGGCTCTGGTAGCATGAAGGGCTTTGTCTCCCAGGACACCCTGACGATTGGAGACATTACTGTCAAGAACCAAGACTTTGCCGAGGCTACCGAGGAGCCCGGGCTGGCCTTTGCCTTCGGCAAGTTCGACGGAATCTTGGGCATGGGATACGACACCATCTCCGTCAACAAGATCGTGCCCCCCGTCTATAACATGATCGACCAGAAGCTCATCGACGAGCCCGTCTTCGCCTTCTACCTCAGCAGCGACGGAGATGGTTCTGAGGTCGTCTTCGGCGGCTCGGACAAGGCCCACTACACGGGCAAGATCGTTAACATTCCCGTCCGTCGCAAGGCCTACTGGGAGGTCGACCTTGACGGCATTACTATCGACGGCGAGACTGCCTCCTTCGAGGACTCTGGTATCATCCTGGACACCGGCACTTCCCTGATTGCTCTGACAACCGACATCGCGGAAATGCTGAACGCCCAGATCGGTGCAAAGAAGGGTTACAGCGGAACCTACACCCTGGAGTGCAACACCCGCGACAGCCTGCCAGACATCACCTTTGGTCTTGCCGGCTACAACTTCACCATTGGCCCTTACGACTACACCATTGAGTCCGGCGGTTCCTGCATCTCTGCTTTCATGGGCCTGAACCTGCCTGCTGGTCTGCAGGGTATTCTTGGTGACGCGTTCCTCCGCCGGTGGTACAGCATCTACGACATTGGCAACAATCAGGTCGGCATCGCTGCGGCCAAGTAAAGATTGGGGTTCCATATTGCAGTGGGCGGCTCCAACGAGCATCTGTAAGAACACAATAGTCTTTTGAGACAAACATTTCGGAAAGCCTCACTCGGTCTCTTTTCCAACACTAATAAGGTCTTATTAAGAGGTGCTCTACCTCAACAACTCCCCAATTCATGGGTTTTCCTTTTGGTTTTGTTTCTGGTGGCAACAGAATGTGTAAGGTAGTTTAGGATTGCATTGGTCGCATAGGTGACATAGCACAGACACGAAGGCTCGACAAGGCTTTTCAGTCCTCTCACCCATCTCACATACCTGAGTTGAGGTGATGTAGAAGAAGTTAGCTAGAGCAATTGACATCGGGGTTTTTTCTTTTTTTCTTTTTGAAACATGTTCAAATTAGGATCGTGAGTCAAATGCTCCCATGCAGCTGGTTCCACGCCGCCAAACCATTCATCGCACCTAAGTAAACATCGGCCATCGTGACCGCTATTACGTACTATGACTGTACATACTCAATGTACTGTGCTATGGCGGTAGTGCCGCATAGAGAAAGACAATCCCTCCGAAGTTCGCACATCCAAGCTAAGCTTGCCCCCCTGAAGTGTCCGAGTCGAGCCCTAAAAGAACCCTGCTACATCGATTTAGCGTCCATGGGGCGCCTGTTGGATTTTTTCTCTCCCCGGATCGGCGACTTTAACATTCGCTTACTGAGTTGACTCCCTTCAACCTTGCTCTGTTTATATTTTTTCTTCTTCCCCACGATTTGCCCAAGCTTTCTATCCTACGAAGCTCTCTCGTGCAATCCGTTCAAAGACTCTCCCTCACTCACACACCTCAAGAATTATCACAATGGCTAGCAACGGCCACTCGTACGCCCTGTCCCAGGGTCACAAGGACGCAAGTCTCCCTTGATTCGACCCCGCCATGCCACCGTGGGGTCAAGCTCTAGACCAAAAGCCTGCTGACTGTTTTATAGATGCTGGAGAAGTCTCTCCTGGACAGCGACCCTGAGGTCGCCCAGATCATGGTATGTTGCTCCTTATGAAGTCGAATACTTCCGTCTGAGCAGAGGTTGACTCGTTTCCTTCCAGAGCAACGAGATCCAGCGCCAGAGGGAGTCCATCATCCTCATCGCCTCCGAGAATGTCACCTCCCGTGCCGTCTTCGACGCCCTCGGCTCTCCTATGTCCAACAAGTACTCAGAGGGCCAGCCTGGTGCTCGGTACTACGGTGGCAACGAGCACATTGACCAGATCGAGCTGCTCTGCCAGAAGCGTGCCCTCGAGGCCTTCAACCTCGACTCTTCCAAGTGGGGTGTCAACGTCCAGACCCTCAGCGGCAGCCCTGCCAACCTGCAGGTCTACCAGGCTCTGATGCCTCCTCACGGCCGTCTGATGGGTCTCGATCTCCCCCACGGTGGCCACTTGAGCCACGGCTACCAGACACCCGCCAAGAAGTAAGCTTTCTCTGACTACACCCAATCTCGTTGTTGATGAGAGCTTCCTCGTGACTAATAGATGTACTCCCCCTTCTCTAGGATCTCTGCCGTTTCCACCTACTTCGAGACTATGCCTTACCGTGTCGACATTGAGACTGGCATCATCGACTACGACACACTTGAGAAGAACGCCGGCATCTACCGCCCCAAGATTCTCGTCGCTGGTACTTCTGCCTACTGTCGTCTGATCGACTACGCACGCATGCGCAAGATCGCCGACAGCGTTGGTGCGTACCTGGTTGTCGACATTGCCCACATCTCTGGCCTCGTCGCGTCGGGCGTCATCCCATCGCCTTTTGAGCACGCCGACGTCGTCACCACCACCACTCACAAGTCTCTCCGTGGCCCCCGTGGTGCCATGATCTTCTACCGCAAGGGCGTGCGCTCTGTCAACCCCAAGACCGGCAAGGAGGTCCTGTACGACCTTGAGGACCCCATCAACTTCTCCGTGTTCCCTGGTCACCAGGGTGGACCCCACAACCACACCATCACCGCGCTGGCTGTTGCCCTCAAGCAGGCCCACACGCCCGAGTTCAAGGCATACCAGCAGCAGGTCGTCGACAACGCCAAGGCACTGGAGAACAAGTTCAAGTCCATGGGCCACACGCTGGTTTCGGGCGGCACAGACTCCCACATGGTCCTGCTCGACCTGCGGCCGTTCTCGCTGGATGGTGCACGTGTCGAGTCGGTGCTGGAGCACATGAACATCGCGTGCAACAAGAACGCCATCCCTGGCGACAAGTCTGCGCTGACGCCCTGCGGTATCCGCATTGGTACCCCAGCCATGACCTCTCGCGGTTTCGGCACCGCCGAGTTCGAGCGCGTTGCCGACTACATCATCCAAGCCATCAACATCTGCAAGGAGGTTCAGGCCAGCCTGCCCAAGGAGGCCAACAAGCTCAAGGACTTCCGTGCCAAGATCCAGAGCGGCGAGGTTGAGAAGATCAACGACCTCAAGAAGGAGATCAAGGAGTGGTCGATCACCTTCCCTCTGCCCGTTGAGGGCTGGCGCATGGATGCTGGTATCTAAGCACCAGCATGAGGGGAGAGATCTAGTTGGAGAGAATCGAATGTGGAGGACTAGATGATAGGAATCTGCACCAACACCCAAAAAAATCGGGACTGGCGTTATTCAACAGCAAAAGTCATTGGACGGATGATGATGATATCCAAAAACAGGCTTCCACAGCCTGTTCTTTTTGTTATTCTTTGGCGGGATATGGAGCAAAGGGCGAGTTTTTTTTTTCATTTTGACAACTTTCTACTACAATAACCGGGAATTGGTATAAAAAATTGAGGGAGGAAGGCCATCATTGCATTGCATTTCATCAGGCGTTGCAAGACACTTTCGGGTGTGGGGCTTTCTTCCGGGACTGCCAATGAACGAACCGCTTCAACGCGGATTTTGAGAATATTTGTCAGCTGCGTGGTCTCTGTTCAATCATCCATATATGTGTGAACTTTTCAAAGATGCTTTGCAATCGAATGACTGCATAGAGGATGTGAAGAAGATGTTATTCATGTAACTTGTCTGTGTCTATGTTGTGAAGTATTTGACTTTGAGGCCTCGAAGGATTCACGCTCAAGCCCACTCTGATTGTATTTTGGCTGGCCCATCTCTCTCACTCCCCCCTCTATGGCTTTCCCCCTCTGTGCTCGTGAGAGCGGGAGAAATTGTCTTTGATGCGTGAGACAGGTGCTTTGAGTGCTTCACGGTCCTACGGCAACCCCCCCCCCCCACTCTTACTGCTCACATCAATAAATTCTCTCCTTACTTCCTCCTAGGCACCACAATATTCTCCCAAGCCTCATCCCCCTCCCCAAAAGCCCGCACATTCTCCCCAAGACTCCTCACCTGGTTCTGGATGGTCGTCTCGCTCAGCCAAGCCAGATGCGCCGTCATGACCAGGTTCAACCTCTCCCCAACTCCTCCTCCTCCCTCTCCGTGCTGCTGCTGCTGCTGCTGCTGCTGCTGCTGCTGAGAACCACCACCCAACAGCACACTATCCTCCTCGCTCCCTGCAGGTTCCACGGCGAACACATCGGTGCCGTAGCCGAAGATGGTGCGGGCGGTGAGGGCGTGGAGCACGGCGGGCTCGTCGACGATGCCGCCGCGGGAGACGTTGATGAGGATGGTGTGCGGGGCGAGGAGGGAGAGTTGGGGGTGGGATATGAGGTTTGTTGTGGAGGGGGTTCGGGGGAGGGAGAGGAAGAGGATGGTTGCTGTTTTGAGGACTTGTTCGAAGGGCAAGCGGGGGGGTGTCGTTGTGGTGATAGCGGTTGTAGTTGTGGTGGTAGATGACGAAGTTGCTGGTGTCGAGGAGGCAGAAGGAGTAGAAGAAGGAGAAGTGGTGGAAGCCGTCCCTCGGTCTGATATGATCACCCTCATCCCCAGAGACGAGCACAGCCGTGCAATATGCTTCCCCACCGCACCGTAGCCAATGATTCCCGCCGTCTCTTGGGTGCATGTCCTAGGCGGGGAGCCGGTGGCGTCGCGCATGTGTGCGTTCATGGACCCTTTAACCTTCCACTCGTTGGGGTGGGACGGGGTCGAGGAGGTTAGGGTGTTGTGGACCTTGACGAGGCTTCGGCGGGTGGCAAAGTACTGTTGTGTGTCAGTGTGTGTGTATGTGTGTGTGTGTGTGTGTGTGTGTGTATATGTATGGTTTCTGCATGGGAAGGGCACGACATACGAGGGCTATCGCGTGCTCAGCAACAGTCTCGCTGTTGCAGTTCGTGCTGTGCATCACCTGGATGTTGTTTTTGCGGCAGTACTCGAGGTCAATATGATCAGTCCCGACAGCATGCGTGATAACACATTTCCTACAAGCCAACAACAATGCCCCCCCCCCACCCACAATCGTTAGCCAACCCAATCCATTCATTATCATTGGCAGCAGCAGCAGCAGCAGCAGCAGCAGCATCCACCCGTTTCTCTCTCACCACTCATTCCCTCTCAAAAAGAAACTCACAAATACGGCGCCTGGCTCAGAACCTCACCCGTCAGCCGGCAGATGGTCCCAACCACAATACTAGCCTCCCGGATCCGCCCCACGACATCGTCCTTGTCCGCGTGCGTGTTGCGGTACACTAGGGCCTCGTACGTCTTATTCCGACCGAGGTCAATGGTGGTCTCATCCCAGGGGACGTGGATCGTTTCGAGCACGGCAATGACCTCGTGGGTGGCTGTGGGGAGCTGTTTCGCGTGGAGGGTTGGCTCGGAGGGCATGTTGGGAGGATTCAGTTGTGAGGCAGTGAACTTTCCTTGGGGTTTTACTCTTTTTGAATATGAATATATGTGTACTGTGTATGATTCTAATGTTGAGAGGGAAATAGTCTAAAATATGGATTATCCTTGATAAAAAGTAATTTTCATGGGTTCTTCGTTGCTGGGGACCTGAAGCGGCAGGGAGAAGATATAGGACGTCTTTTATTCAGCGTTGGGGATGATGATAGGAAATACCTAGAATGCGCATATATTGAAAGAAAACGCGTGAAGAGGACAAAGAATATAAAGAAAAAGCCACGCAAATCACAAATAAATAAATAGGACGTCTTCATTCAGGTCACTAGTCGTGTAAAGTTCGAATGAGACCCTGGCCATGTGGTAATCCCTCGAGTGACGATCCGTTCCGCACTTTCGCAAATGCGCGCTGCGCAGTAGCGGAGGGAGGGAGACCTTTCACTCTGCTTACAGACAGGTTTTTTCATGTCACGATCAAACAAAAGTACAAGATTTGTCAAAATATCTCTTCAAAAATTCTAGGTATGCTGATTCGGCGTTCTGAGGCTGTTTCCAGTACATGCGGCCTCATCCTGGAGGTCTTAAGTCTTCTCTATCTAGCAGAATAGCCAGCCACAGCTTGGGTATCTGAACATCGCACAAAACGGTCTTCACTTAGAGGCCAACGAATGTCCTACCGGCGGTACCATCATCCACTGAATGTCCTGTCTTTCTACACCACACATCCGCTACAGGATGCAGTGCACTATCTACTGGCAATGATCGTCTCTGCCAAGATGGTTCTGGACATGCTGTCATCAAGGAAATAGCTGCAGACGAGCTCATTTCCTGAAAGTGGCAGTCTTGCCCGGCCTTTCTGAGTGCATGCGTCTTGCCGGCTTGGGGCCCTCTGCGGTCATACGCGCCGCGTACGGGTCAAAGGCCTTCTTACCCTTGTCTTCCCGGTTGCTCATCAGAGCCCTCTGGGCGTGTAAGACTGACTGGGCATTGCCGTAATCAAACGGCGTCTCGTCCTCCTCGATCTTGTTGTCCTTGGGCGCTCTCATACTGACCCGCGCCGCGTTGTCGACCTTGGCCTGGACCCTCATGGCCCTCGCTGCATTCTTCTTGGCTTTCTTGTCGGCCTTCTTTCGCGCCTTTCGCTCGCCTGGGCTCTCTTCTACGTCGAGAGAGATCATATCCTGGGACTCGAGCGCTGCACCGCCTTCCTCTTCCTCTTCCGACTCCTCGCTTTGGAGATTCTCGAGCTTGCGCTTCCGTCCTTGGCGCAGCGTAAACTCGGTGTCATCTATGACTGGTTCCTCTTTGGCAGGCGGTGCTGGCGGATCCACAAGAGGTATCATATCTGCAGTCTCCTTTTGCGCCTTCTTCTTGGCTTCCTGCTGGGCAGCAGAGACAGCCGCTTCCTGGACAATAGACGTCCAAGGCAGGGGGATAAGCTTGCTGCTGACGTCTTCCACAGGCTTCACGGAATGCTCCCAGAGACTGCTGACGGGCATTGAGCCAAAAAGCTGCGACTTTTGGCTCCGAAGCTCGTTAACTGGCGGAAGGTCCAGCTCAGCCTGCTCACTCCTGCCGAACTCTCTCTGCGCAACAGCTGCCACCGTGTTGCCAGCGAGACCGGCCCTGAAATGCTCAACGGAGCTGGGGCCATTCGCGCCCGCCTCCTTCGCCGTCGTGACCAGCTCAAATAGCTCATCAAGCGACTGCTGTACTTTGGCGGCGCATCTCCAGCCCAGAAGGCTCCACAGGGCTTTGGGATCGCTCGGCAGGAGCTTCGCGATCTCCATCAATACCTGTTGCGGCATGATGAACATGGGGCTCTCATCTTCCTGTCGAGCCAAATCATCGCGCCACTTGTGGACCGCACGGTAGACGGAAAACTGGGGGCCATCAAGTCTAGTATAACTCTTTTGTAGGCTATTAGCCCAGCCTCTGGCTCCCTCGCCTGTGGTGGGATCGGGCGCCCAACTGGTGTATCTGTCGAGGGATGTCTCCTTGGACCTCCGAAGAGCAGATTCAAGCAGGTTCTTTTCCGGATCGCTGACGTCGGATCGATCGATGAGCTCGTTTCGCATGAGATCGTAAACGTAGAGGAGATAGTGAGTGTCGCAGCGGGCATAGTAAAGCATCTCATCCGTCAATGGTCTGTAACTGTCAGTATAAGGGACGCCCCCCCCCCCCCCAAAAAAAAAAGAGAAAGAAAGAAAAAGGGTTCGTGGAAGTACTCACCGTATTCTCCAATCTGCCATCTGATACTTTTTATCTGCATCAAAATCGACAAAGGTCTTGAGAAGGTAGGCCAGGCTCCTCTGGGGATAATTGAGAGCAACACTGGCGTGGTAGGTATCGAAGAGGCCGACGATATACAGCCCCAAGTCTCTTTGCAACCAGATGATATCCATAAAGGCACCGTGGAAGACTTTCAGGATCTTGGGGTCGGCGAAGACCTCGTTAAGAACCTCCAGCTTGTGTCGCCACGGTCGCAGCGTGTCGATGACCCAATCCTTCTGCTGAGTGCTAATCTGCATGAGAGACAATAGGCCGTGGTAGGTGCGGAGGTCATGGTGCTCCAGGTCAACCGCGATTTCTGTTGCCTGTCTGAGCTCTTCCAGCATCTCGAGAACGCCCTCGTAGGTGTCGACCCATATAGGAGATGTCGTCTCGATCGGTTGGTACGGGACGGCGTCACGCTTGGCGTAGGTGGTCGCGGGATATTGTAGGTTGGAGATCTCTATTTCGTACGGATGTTTATATCTGTATCTATGGTTAGCACTTGTGCAATATCCATGGTGCTTTTATGCTTGGAGGAACTTTTGCAGTCAAATTCTGAATCCTAGAGGGAGATCCGGTCCAAACGGAGCACCCTAAATGGTTTTTGTCCAGGGGAGGGAATGAAAGGAGAAGGGGAATCGTACTGTTCTTGTCCATTTTCGTCTACAAAGATATCGAGGCTGTCCTGCAATGGCACCGTAGCATGGGGCTTGCTGGTCAAGAGAGGTTTCCAGGGCCCAGTTGCAAAGTTATCGACCTTCTTTTCGAACGCATTCTGGGGCTTGACGATGTTGGCGCGCCGCCAGTTAGGCTCATTTCGATCGGTTGTCTTGGTCTTCTTGGAGGGTCCCACGGGCTCAGGAAAGTCGCTCTTCCTCTTGACCCGCCCGGTGTATTCGTCGAGGGCGATATCGCCCTTCTCGAGGAGGCCGTCGATCACATCTACTATGCTGGTCCACTGAATCTCGGCGTCCTCTGCATCTTCGAGCTCTCCGACTGGTTTCTGACCATTCGCCTTGGCGGCAGTGTTGATGACCTCGGTGGAGAGGCCGAGTAGATGGGTTGAATGTTCCTCGAGGCGGTCGCCAGTCGTAGGGTCTGCCGTGCGCAGGAAGCTGAGATCCTCGCTCGCGATCTGGTTGACGGTTCGGGTGGTCGATACCAGGGCAGCCTGGACCTTGTCCTGCAAGGACTTGAAGTCCTGCGAGGCATCCATAGCTATTTAGAGGCAATGGCGGAGGAACGCGCCAGGAAACGGCGGGTTAGGTCGAAAGGAAGAAAGAAACGCTTCAAACCGTGTTCTTGATGGGACTTCTGAAATGGAAAATTTGGCGGTTGACTGGCGGCAGGCAGTAGAGGGCGTCTTGGCTCGGTGCAGGTACTTGCAGCGGGGGATTTTTCGGCTGTGGAAGCAGGGGTTTTGAGGTACAAGTACTCCCCCGATAAGATAGCTCTTTCACACAACCAGCTCATCTTCCCAGGTACTTCAGTTACCACCTAATGGCTACCTCCGACCCAGCCGTGTGATTATTATTGTTGTTGTCAGTGAATTCTCCCACCCTACAAGAATAAGATCAAGAGAGCAACAACCATATCACACGAGGAATTTCTTTATTACCATCACTAGGTGCGTCTCCTATGAGTTGTTGTTTGTGAGCTGTGACATCAGGAGCTGCAGTTGACTCCGGATCGGGTCCAGTATTGCCAAGAGACCAACCAGCGAACATGTCTGCTTCTCTTGCAACTGAGTGCAACGAAGTGAAGGAGTAAGTCACTTGATGATTTGGACTTTGACTAGAAGCATGCACTAATGCAGATTTCTAGGAAATATGATACATGTTTCTTGAAATGGTACAGCGAAAGTAAGTCGAGAAGGTGTATCGTCTCTCTTGACCTAAATGCAAGTTCTGACCAGACACAGAATACTTAAGAGGGTTGGGGAAGGCCGATGACAATGATTGTGCTGCCCTTTTCAAGCAGTACCAGGCGTGTCTAAATGTGCGAAAACGTCCTTCTCATGCCACTATGAATTTATTCTCCAAGTCCTTGCTGACACCTGGCAGGTGGCCCTCAAGCAAAGAGGTATTGACAAGCTTCTTGAGGAAGCAAGGGAAGATAACCAGGAGAATGATGTGGTGCATATGCATCGCAAATGTAAATTCCACCTTTTTCCCTAAATGATGACCTGCACTGATTTCTCCAACAGGAACTGTAAGAGGACGAATTCAGAACTGTTTTGAAACGGAACATGGGAAATCTCAAAACCTGGCGCTTGGAGTTCAGCAGGAGGTCTAGCATCACTTCTATACCAAAAATATCCTGCGGTACATATTATCCTTTCAATGTCACAGAGGATAATGTCCTTTGGGAGGGTGGGCTTGATCAAGCTGCCCCAATAGCAACGAGGTGGTCCACTTTGTATCCTTGGATTCCCATTGTAAAATCTGCAATTTTCTACTCGCAAAAGTTAGAGACAACAGAGGTAAGGACAATAGCCTGGATGATGCCCCTGACCCATACATGTGCCTTAAAATGCTGTCCATCCGTAAGCTCAGCTGGGTAACATTCTCTCCCTTAGTCTACCCTGAAGCAGACAACATGGAAAGGCCTCGACCCCTGTCCACGTGGATGTCTACAGGGGTCCAGGCCCTGAAGACCGCCTAAACAGCTTCCCTCAACGGCAGGCAAGGCTGACTATAGCAGCCAGCAGCTACAGTATCCCAGGTCCCTCTCTCTTATCAGGGATCCCACACCAATTGAACCAATACCACTCGGTCGAATTGCGATTCGAGCTCGTATACCTAAACTTGAACTCATCTCCCAGTCTTATGGTCGAGCTTTTTCTTGCCATGGACCTCTGAACCTGGTGCAGCTTTCCGTCCTTTCTCATGCAGTTCGCGAAACCAACAAGCTGTGGGGCGTCTCTAGATCGACGTCTATAATCATCAAGCTGGAGCACATTATTCCGCAATCAAAAGTGACGGTTTCCAATCACCCGCGATCACAGCACCAAAAACAATACACATCTCTTGCATTGCAAAGCCACTGTGGTGGGATGCTCCTAGTCATCTTCTCGAGCACGTCCAAGGATCGAGTTCTCCCTCCAAGATCTACAACACTGCTCGGAATGCGATTGAGGTAGCGACGGCGCTTCTATGAACCCATTCTCCGCCCTCACGCTTGGTATCTTCGTAGCCGGCTACACCACCGCTCGATGGGACCTTGTTACCAGGCTCTATGAGCTTGCCATCTTTGCTTGGGACTACGGTGTTGTTGTCAGTCTCCAGCCACAAAGCTTTTTTCCTTCTTCTTCCCTGCCTGTCTTGTGTTCTCCGTGGTTCCTTTCGCCGCGCCCCTTCTTCTCCGGCAACTTGTAGCGCGACTTGGCTAACTTGTCTCTCTTTCTTCCTCGATAGTTGCGCGCCGCATACGGTTTTGTCATACTCTCGTTGTTCTTCCTTGTCATCTTCCTTCCTGTAGCACATCTCGCGGCAAGAGAGTCAGATCTGGTACGACCAAGCCTCCGCTATCCCGAGCACGCCCTTCTTCGACACTTCGTCCTCTCCTCCACATGCGCGCTAACAAGCTCTCAAAGCATCCACGGTCGCCCGGATCAGGTATATCTGCACGGGAGCAGCTGAACAGGAGAGGTTCTTTTTAGGCGCGCGGGTTCTCGTTTCCTCTGAAGGCTGTCTGTCATGCCAGAGCATGATGGCCTGATGCGCATTTTCTGGCCGATCGACATCCCAAGGTCTGACTTGCCTGGGGTGGTCGTGGGCTGGAGGAACTCAAAGCTGGATGTCTTCGTGGTCGCCATATTAGAAGCTGTTGACGTCAGTCCATTCTTGCCCGTTTGACAGGTGGTATAGATTGTCGTGCTGAGACTTGGCAGGCTCGAAATGTTGAAGAAGCGCTCAAACTGCACACCCTGCTGCGGAGCGCCCCTCACCCGATAGGACGAATCTTCGAGCTGTGCGGGCAACAGTGCATGCACGTGTTGGGCGTGTCAAACCCGAACGATGCCGTCGCCGTGAATCCCTCCTGGGTGCGCGTCACCGTTGACCCGAGCACGCGTGTCCCGCAGGTTCGATGCGCCCAGGCGTCAAGCATACAAATTATTCTTTTCCAGCGGCCGCAGCCCACGAGAATGCAATACATCTCCCTCAACCCGATCGCGCTCGCCCTGGGACACAAACATGTCGACGAGAGACACACCACCCTAGGTGAAGACGAGGCGGAGGACGAGAGACAGGAGAGGCTTCGGAGGGAGAGGACGAAGCGGCTTGTTGAAAAGCTCAAACAACACTCCATTACGAAACGACAACCTTCGGACAAGGAAAGGGCCCTCCCGCAGATTGTCAACCAGATCAATTGGTCCGCGGAGCTCGAGCAGCTTCTTCAGAAGAACGTGTCGAGGTTAGGGGCGAGACCCAGGCGAGCTCTTAGTGTGTCCGAGCGTGTGGTCGAGTCCGCGACGACAATGAAGAATTTTGTTCTGCTCTGGATGTGGGAGCTCGTCACCCTCTACATCTTCCCCATCATCCGCCGGGCATTCATCTTTGGTCTTGTCGGCCATCGGATCGCAGCAGAAATGTTTCTCATCATACTGGAATGGCGGCCACGGCCTCACATGGCTGCCATCAAGGACATATCAGCAACCGCGCAGCAGATCGAGATCCGCCTGCTCCAGTTCTGCTACTGGCCCATGCAGTATGTGACCTTGAGACAGAGGAAGAACGACTGGGAAAGCGTGACGACCAGCCACCCAGACTATATACGGTTCTACAATAGCCTTTGGCTGGTCGCGAATGATGTGATTATCGGGATAGCGTTGGGTTCTTACATCATTGACAACTCCACCTGGGTTGCCGAACAGATCAACGTGCTCTTGGCAAGATACACGGTCGAGGCCCTGCAGAGCAGCATTTCCTGGCTAATGGGATGGCCAGCGGGTCTCAAACTAAACACGGAGCTGGCAGCATTCCTGGGGGATCTCTTCCTATGGGTCATTGACTACTGGGCCAGTAGGTTGCCGCATGTTCGTCCTCTCCGATGCCGACTGGGCTGACACTCTTTTAGGTTGCATCGATGCTCTCCGACCAGCGCTGCCTCACATCATCTGGTTTGTCGGGTTTTCCAGCTTTGCTGGGGCCAGCATGCCCATCGCCATGTTCTCGGACCTGTTGTCGATTCTCACGGTCCACATCTACTCGTTCTATCTCGCCTCCGCCCGTATATACCACTGGCAGCTGACCATCCTAATCTCCCTCTTCCACCTCTTCCGTGGGAAGAAACACAACGTGCTGCGGAATCGAATCGACTCATGCGCCTACGACCTCGACCAGCTGCTGGTCGGAACGATTGTCTTCTGTCTTTTACTGTTTCTGCTGCCGACCGTTGTGGTGTTTTACCTCAACTTCGCGATTGCGCGGATGGTGATCATCTCCTTGAAAGCATCTTTTGACACCCTTCTTTCCTGTCTCAACCACTTCCCCCTCTTCGCCTTGATGCTCCGAATCAAGGATCCCCAGAGGCTGCCAGGTCAGTTGGGCACCGAGATTACCCTCATATATATGTGTGTCCAATGAAATGTCGCTGACAATCTCGCAGGTGGCATTCGTTTCGAACTTCGAGATACCCAAGAACATAGAAATGTACCTAATTCGGAAACCGACCTCCCCTCCACATCGGTCATCTATCTCAAGGTACGAAGCCCGTGGACCCCTGGCCTCTCTTTCCGTGGTTTTACTATTGCCAAGAAGGGTGTCCAAACTAACAAGTGCTGGCCTCAGTCCATTCCCCTGACCTTTCGTGCCATGTTCCACCAATACTTCCAACTCGGGTCCCGCATCCGCAAGCATTATCTCTCCCCTCGCGTGGTCCTATGCCTTCTCACGGGCAAGTTCGTCCCGCCAATTAATCGGAAGAATCTGTACAGCCTACAGTACAGTATGCTCCCGGCCAAGAGGTCCGGTATCACGGGGATGTGGGCCGCCGTCAACTCATTGTTCAAGAAAGAGGGCAAGATCCCAATCATGAATGGCAAGCTGAGGCATTCGAGTCAATTCGGCGGGCTGACGAGGAGTAGAGGGTATGGCGGAGGGCATTGAGAGAAATAGAGCCCAAGAAGGAAGGGGAGGGGGCGATAGTCGTTTGTAAATATGAAAAAGATGAAAATTAAAAAAAAAAATTCAATGTTGTGCATCCTCTCCAAGTCCAGACTATGTGTGTCTGTGGTCCGTCAGCGCATTGTTTGTATCAGGCCTCGTGTGTGCGTATATGATGCAGAGCAAGGCAGCCCACTGTTGGAGCAGGCAGCCACTGCCATGAAGAGCACCACAGCGTCTATCTGCATGCGGAGAGAGTATCTGGCCAATATCAGGGGCTGGATGAACAAGTGATCGATAGCGTGATATTACAATACACCAAGGAGGACCAGCAAGCAAACTTCAACGACGCAGGATTGGTACCGTGCAACGAGGGTATCATATGGAGGAGAGTCACGTAGTGTATTACGATGACATTGTCCAACGTCAAGACACTTGCACAGTTTTCCTATAATAACCCCCCCCCCCCCCCAACCTCTTCCCTCCCCCTATGACTTTCCTTTCAATGCCATATTCCCTTCCAAGAAAGGCTCAACTGATCTCACAAGCGGCTCATGATTGCTTAGTCCAGTTGACTACTTTCTCTCCTTGTGTATCTCTCTCTCTCTTTCTTTCCTTCTACCTATCCCTCTACGTTCTACAAAGTCACTTACTTGCGTTGCTCAAGCCTTGTGAAAAAGTACAAGGACAACAGAGGAAGGGGACAAGACCAGCAGCAGAGTCCACAAACAGAAACGTCACGACCAGCAGCCGTTACCCCGCCCCACCACCATGTGCAACACAAGCACAGCTACCGCCCGACGCAACAAGCTAGATTCGTCCTTTGCGTCACAGCCGCACAAGAGTCTGCCCGAGTTCGAGGGTAGTAAGGCTGGACAGCTTGATCCTCAGGGATATGATATCGTTCCCACTAGGCAAGCAGTACGAGGTGGTTGAGTCGAAGGTGTTTTGCTGAGAGCACCAGGTTGAGATATCATCTCTCGCTGGAGGATACAATTTGTTGGAGTGTGATTATGAAAAACTTGGGTGGACGGCGGCGCATGCTCTGTGGTAGGATACGTTTCATACAAAAGCTCGCCATGTCATGAAAAGAAATGGCTACACGTAAAATAGTCGTCGATCAACGAGCCAACCAAGTCCACAACCTTTCCACGCACCAAGTTCGATTAGAGAATCTACTACCCAAATAGGGAATCCCTTAGTACTCAGCATAAGGCGTGAACATGAGCTCCTCCGGTGCCGAGTTCCACGACGGTCCCATATTGAGGAGATCTGTCAGCCACCACGGCTCGTTGGACAGGTCGAACGCTACGTCAACCTCATTAGATGCCTGCCCCATCCCGCCCACCTCGCCCACCCCGACCACACCAGGCTCGACCCCAAAGACGGCCGAAGAATGAGAAGAAGGAGGATGGGGATCAGAAGACTGCATACCGGCCTCCTCCGCCTTCGCTGACCCTGCCGCCCTCCGCAACTCAGCCGCAAACAGCGACTGGATAGCCCGAAGTAAATACGTAGTCTTGAAAAACAGCCCGCTCCGGCCCCCCTCGGCATCCACCATCCCCAGCTCCCGCGGCACGCGATCCATCCTCTCACAAGTCCGATCGAGAATATCCAGCACGTCAGCCCGCCGGTGGACTTCGTCACGGTCCCAGCCTGGCTCGTCGTGGGTCGCGAGGCGGAGCAGCACGACCAGGCTGTGCAGGAACTGGGAGAAGATGTCGACGGTGACGCCCGGCCAGTAGGGCAAGGGCATCTCGAGGAGAAGAGCCAGCCAGCGCTCGGCGCTGGCGAGGATGGACTGCAGGTCTTGGAGGCGGCGGAAGTGGGTGGTGCCGGTGTAGTCGGTCTGGTGGGAATGGGGCTGGCTCAAGAAAGATTCTAGGATCGTGGTCTCTGTGCTGCAGAGGTAGAATTCTGCTGTTCCTGAGGCAGAGTATTTGTCATGTCAGTTTTGTCGACTGTGTAGCGGGTGTGAAGAAAAAAAATCAGACGAAGAGGGTGCGGGGGAGTACTTGAGCTTACTCTCTGCTAGTGTTGCTGGCGGTAGACTTTGTCGAAGGTCATTGAGCCGTCCGAGCATAGCTGTTATCAGACCTGTGGAGGGCACGCCTGCGCGCTCGTCCTGGTGGTGGAAGGCTTCGCTCCGGGCCAGACAGGTCAGCGAGTTTGTGATGATCTGACACTTGATCTGCATGGCCAGGAGTATGTCCATGTTTGTTTCTTGTCCCTCGGAGAGGACGGCCAGGCAGGCGTCTAGGTATGGTGTCCATCGAAGAGGTTCTGTTTTCCTATATGCCGTCCATGTTCTGGCGGTATGGGGGTATCAGTCAGCAAGCCATGGTTTCCCAGGCTAGACAGATCTCGTGCTCCCGTTCTTGAGAAGAGAACAGCACTTACGAGGAGGTCAGGTGGAACACGGCAAGAATGGCACGACGTTCTTCCAGCGTTCGTACCTGGTGTGGCTTCTGAGGGGAGGAAGACGAGGAGCAGGGGGCTTGAAAGTGAAGCTGGGTAGGGCGGCGAGCCCCAGTCTGTCTTGCTCCGGCCCCAGGCACATCTTTCTGTAGACCCAGCTCGAACGCGAGTGAGACGGACACCTGAGATAGCATTGTCATGAAGGGTTTGTCCTGTTTGAAGTAGTGAGACCTATATTTGTGTGTGTGTGTGTGTGTGTGTGTAACCGTCAGTCAGCCAGACAGAAAGTATTACAATCTGTCTCTCTCTCTCTCTCTCTCTTTGCCTGACCATCTCTCCGACATACATACCAGGAAGCAAAACAAACCACCCCAAGCAAGAGATCCAACGAAGCATGCTGCTCTGCCACAATCCTCTTAGAAATGACCTTCCAGATGGTCTCCTCCATGGCAAACTGCAGCGAGACTTTCTTGGTCGTCAACGCCATGATGACAAGCCACAGGAAGGGCCGCTGGGCCCACAGCTCGGCGGCGCTCACGCCGTGCGGTATGTGCACCATGGGGAAAGTCGACACGAAGGCCTGGCGGAAGGTGGCCAGGTTCACGTCGGCGGTGGCGAGCGGGACGCTGTGGGCGGCTACGTCCTTGAGGATGATGGAGGCCGAGGCCGAGGATGAAGTGGCGGTTTCTGCAGGGCGGAGGAGGTGAATGACGCTGGGGTTCATGTCGATGACGAGGTCTGGGTCGCATGCTGTTGTTGCTGTTGTTGATGCTGTTGCTGCTGCTGCTGCAGAGGAGGAGGAGGAGGAGGAGATGGGTGAGTCTGTGGAGCTGGTGCCTGGGGCGGCAGAGATCCTGTCCAGGTCTGGCTGGTATTGGGCCCGAGGCTGCGGCTGGCTTGTCCTCGGTGTCCTCGCGGCTGCCTGGGAGCGCAGGAGAGACACCAGGTCATCAAGTTTCTCCTCCAGCCTGGACTGGTCTGGAGGCGGCGGTGGAGAAGCTTGCGGCCAGGCATGCGCATGTGCCTCCACCGCATCGGCCTTGCGCTTGCGTGTAGTTGCAGACGGCTCACATGTTTTCCCCAGGCGATGACAACTACAGAGATTCTAGATCAGTTTCTGAGGAAGTAGGTGCGCAAAAAGCCAAAGTGAATGTCTCCATAGACGACGGGGCGTACCGTTCGCATTCAGAAGTGTCATATCGCTGAAAACACTTGCATTTGGCGCGGACACACCCTGCGCATGCCTTCCCGTAAGGAGCCGGCGCGAGGGGAGCGCTGGACTTTGGTGGTGGCAGGGTGATTCTTGGGGAAGGGGTCGATGTCATTACGGAAGGAGGGGACAGGGAAAAGGAGAGGTTCAAGTGTGTACAGACAGATATCCAGGAAGTGATCTGGATTGCGTTGCCTCCAGTCCCATGTGCAGTGAGGAAGATCCTTCTCCGGTGTCATCAATCATGTTGGCGGATTCATTCCGACAAAAACCCTGGCCAGCATGGGCTGTGCCGCTTTTGGAGACTCGCAATATTATTTCAGCGACGAGGGCATGTTACAAGTACATTGATAAGAGAATAAATCACGACAAACTTTCGATACTCTCTCCAGATGACAACAATCGGCGTGGATACCCTCCAAGCCGGCGTTTTCCAATAATATACTTGGCTGCTTGCAATTTTGCGCGTGGCTCCAAGGCCGCCGTGTTGGTGTGGTATCAAGACTTTGTAGCCAACACTTGAACCCCTTAGCAGGAATAGGTAGTGTACAGTGCACTAACACCACTGCTGCTTCTGCTGTAGCGGGTACACACCACCACTACGACTACGATTATCATCATTTTACCTTCAACTTAGAGGCTCAACCAGCTGCAGGCATTAGCATTCTTACATAACCCAACCCTCAGCCAGATGCGACTACAATAAGTCAAACATACTTCTTAGAGTAGACGAGCGTAAATATATACATTACGGTGCAATTCACTGGAAATCGGAAAGCGAAATAGAAATCTAAAATGACTAAGAAGGAAATGTCTATTCATAAAAACCGTTCGACTTCCTCCCTGTTATTTCTTAACCTATAAAACCGGCGCCCCAAGAGTTTCCCACCAAGGTCATAAATGAATGCTCTCTCCTCTCACAGATACGGCTTCCACTGAGCCTCAGTCCACTCCCAGAACTGTCTCGCAATACCCGTGCCGCCCTCAGCCTCCGTCTTGACAGCATTGACATAATCCTTTGGCAGATTCCAGAACTGACCCCAAGGAGCAACTAGAGAGAAGAAATTCAAACACCAGAGTCAGTCTCTCATACACCCAAAAACTGAGAGGAGAAAGGGGGAAAAGCAAAGGACGACCTACCAAAGCAACCCGACTTCTCGGCCGTAATCTCAGACGAGAAGGCCGCAAACAAACTGGTATACGCTCCATACACAGGCGGATGAAGCAGTGTATTGCGCAGGATGGCCGTGGTCACCCCGCCCTGGCTCCGCCAGAAATCCGAGTCCAGCGCGCCCGGATTCAACGACACAGACAAGATCCCGTCAGCCCTGTGGCGCTCCGCAAACTCGGCCGCGTGCAGGTAGTTGCCCAGCTTGCTGAACCCATAGCGATCCATGGCGCTCTCGGCCTCCATGTTACCCGCCACAGCCTTCATGAGGTTCTTGGGCAGCACCGCCTCCGTCGCCGACGACGAGACCCAGACCACGCGCACCGAGCCGCTGGGCACCTCCGGCTGCGCCGCCGCCGCCAGCAGCGCCGGGGTCAGGAGCCGTGTGAGGCCCCAGGGCCCCACGCAGTTGACGCCCAGCTGTAGCTCGTGGCCCTGCGCGGTGACGGCGCCCTTGTCCGGGTAGCCGACGCCGGCGTTGTTGAAGAGGAGGTGGAGGGCGGGCTCGCGCGCCAGGAAGGCGTCTGCGGAGGCCTGGATCGTCGTCAGGTCGGCCAGGTCCAGGCGGATGAAGTGCAGCTCGCCGGCCGACTTGGGCTCGGCGGCGCGGATCTCGTTCATGGCCTGGCGTGTCTTGTCCTCGGAGCGTGCCATCATGTAGACCTTGGCGTTCTTGGCGTACATGATGCGGGCGATTTCTTTGCCTAGGCCCGTGTTGGAACCTGTGACGATGACGACCTGTTTGTGGTGGTGGTCAGCATGGGTAAGATTCACACTCGAATTAAAAGAAAGAAATGGAAGGGCATTAAGTCTTTGTGCTATGTATGTTGTAGATGTTGTCTTGCCTTGTCCTTGAGATCTGGAACATATTCCTCAGTAATTGTCGGCTTAGCCGGACACAGGAACTGGGAGAGGAGGTTCTTGGTGCCAGTCATTGTGATGGTGGTATCTGGGCAGGAAGATCAAAGTAGAAGAGGTAAGAAGAGGTGGTGTAAATTTAAGCAGGTAGCTGTACAAGGCTGATCCGTTTGTGTTGAGTCTGTGTATTTTGTCTGATGTCCAATACCTTCTGGTGAGATGGAGGAGGCCATCCACGGGCATCTTTATATATGTTCTTCATCATCACTACTGCCATTACTGCTACTGCTTGCCATGCCGTCTGGCCCAGCCAAAAACACTCAAACCCGCGGTCTTCATCTAGAAACGACGACATAGGGCAAGAGAAGGATGACAGCATTCTTGTTGCAGGATGAAGAACAATCTTGAGCGGGTGAGTCAAGGCGGCCGCCTCGCCGCCCTGAGGCCGAGCCAACGTGCAGATGAGGCTGAAAAGGTCCCCTGCTCGAGGGTATCTGCATAATGTAAAAGACGAGAACCCGCGGGGTTGGCCACCTCAATCCCGCGGGTTTCGAAGTCCCATGCTCACCCCACCACCTGTTTGATAATCAACTGCGGCGGGATTCCGCTGGGGGTTCCAGGTAAACAAGCAAAAATCCATTGCATTACTTTTTCATTGTATAAATCAGAAGGAATCGAGTGCTCGGTGAAAGATGCAAGTTAGCAGCGGTACGGGCCTACAAACACACCCTTGTGCATAGCTTCGTCAGCAGGTTACATGATCCGCTTAAGGATGCTGACTACTTCCGTTGCGTCTCTTTTCTTTCGGGCAGTTGTCCAGAAAACAAGATTTCAAAATGTCTCATGTGTTCATACATTGCTTGAACTCTTCTTCTCAAAGATGAAGTAAAAATAAGAGCATTATGGCTATGCTGACTAATATTCTTTGCGGCCTCAATTGTCCCCGCCGCTCATAGTAAACCATCCATGTCTCCCACTTCACAGAGAAACTCCAAGCTTCGGCACACAACACAAACATCCCCTCGCAGCCTCGTTGAGCATCTCAGCAGTGACGACCATATCGTTCCTGATGAGTGGGTTCACCGAGACTCATCAGGAACAGCCTTGATCCGCAGGAACCACAAAATCGCCCGTGGGTGTCGGCTCTGCGGCTTTGGGACTCTCTCAGCTGGTTCATTCCTCTGCGAATCCTGAAGTGCTGTTGGAGCGGGGGGTGGTGTTGTGGTTGCTGGTGAGCCTCCATATAATTATAGATTTGGAACTCACCTCGTACCATATACCTCTGGCTGGAGGAGCAAGCAACCTAGGTATTTCCCTTCTTTTTTTTTCCTCCCCTTCTCTTTCTCTCCTTATTTCAGTAGGGAGTTGCCTCAAACGCCGACCCGCTTGGTCTCTGGCAGTTGTCGGAACGGCATAGGCACATAAACACAGATCCTCCTGTGATGTTGTGCATAAGGATGCCACAGAGGCACCGACTGTGGAACATGGTAGTGTCCTGTTTCGGGCAGGCACATCGCCGCTTGTCCAGGCCCAAAATTGAGGTCTCTGGTGATATTATCTGAAGAAACTCAATCTGCAACCTGAAGACCGCGTCTTTTTGTATGTTCCAGGTTCGGCTTGAACGGGTCCCTGTTGGGCGGCTCGCATTTCTGCTGTCCGCGACTACAGCCCAGTGAAATCGTCCATCGGCTCCGTTGGACAGCTAATTAATTTCCAGGGCGTGCATTACTGGAATCGGGACGAGATCGCGACCAAGCATCCAGTTTGTCTCAGAGACGCTCACAGTGACTTGTAGTCCTCGGTGCAATTCTTGCTATGCTCGAGACTGGCAGACTATGCGTCCAAGAGGCGGCAGTGTCAACAGAGCTTTTCAATTGGGAAAAAGGAGAATATCAAAAGCAAAAGGGAGATAAAGCTTGTGGGAAAGTCCAGATGAGGCAAACAGTCAAGCGAGTGGAGGAGGACGGATGAATGAATCCATGAACGATTACTGGGCATTGAGAGGGCAGAGATAGTCACCTTTCTCCTGGACACAAGCACATTCTCCTACTGCAGAGTGGTAATGAGGTTGTTGGAAAGGCAACCTTAGAAATGGCCAGATATCTTAATAATCAGCTCGTCTGGAGAAAAGTAGGCAGTATCCCCAGGCCGTTTTACCCGTGGGGAAGCTGGCAGGGCTCGCTAAGGAGCAGAGGTAAGGGGCCCCAGAAATGTGGGGTAAAATCATTCGACTTTCTTCCTTTTGGGCATCTTTTGGAGAACAGCTTTGCAAGGGCGTTGCTGCGGTGCACACCATACACGTGATTCCGCAGCATGAGGGGGAAGGGGGGGAAACACAAGCATGCACAGGCAAAAATCCAACGACATTCCTTCTTCTCCTCCACAGTCCCCCATCAATCTTCTCACCCATTTCCAACAACATGCAGCAAAAGAAGAAGAAAAATGTACCTCGCGAGAAGCCCCATCCGCAGCGCGCATCGCTCCTCCTAACGACTCAATTGCAAGGCAACTTATCCCCCTTTGGGAGCAGATCAGCCCCACCCGCCCCGCCTGGTTAGCCTCGAAACTCTGGGAGAAGCACACGATCCAGCAGGTCCTGCTCGCCCGCGTAGAGAGAGATAGAGACCCACTGAGCTCACCAGATTGCCGCGGAAGATGGAGCTTGATTTCCCCAGGAAATTCCCGCCGAGCTAGCCAGAGCTTGGGGGGGCGAGGGAGAGAGAGAGACAGAGGCCGGCTGGGGACCTGCTCTTGGGAGAAAGAGGACGAAAGGAATCGAGCAAAAGACACGAAGGCGATACAGAACGAGGAGGAACTGGATAAAACCCACAAGCCATTGTGAGCTACAGGTTGCTCCTGCTTGAGGGGCGAAAAGAGAGCTCCAGTCCGTTCAATTGGCCTTACGGCCACACATCCTGCGTCCTGAAACGCTAGGCCAGCACGCAGTCGTGAGAGCTCTCTCGATGGCATCCAATCTGGTCGCCTGGCTTGGCAGAGCAACAGCTGGCGGAGGTTTTTACCGAGGCCTGGAACTGCACTTCACAAGAAATGGACCGGGATACTAAACACCAAAGGTGACAGAAAACGAGGAAATCGCTTGGAGTTTACGATCCAGTGGATCTGGGAGGGCTGGGATTTTTCTATTGTACAGGTTTCCCGAAAACTTGTGTCCGCCCAAGTTTTGCCGTCTATGGTCTATGATTGCCGCCGTCGTTCGCACACTTCCAATGCAGTACACGCCGCCAATGCTCCTCCCCTACTTGTCATGAATGCCGTCGAGTGGCTGGCAAGGAGTATATCCCGCACCAATTCATCTCTCAGCATATGGCCCATCAAGATACTGGCAAGGCCTGTTCCATTTGTCAAGGACATAATGGAAAAGTTGTTTACGTCTGCAGAAAATCTTTTGTCAGTTTTCATTCCTTTTTTATCTCCCAAGTTTGATGATTATCTTTGTCATGACGACTGAAGCTTTGCTTGATGCTCGATGGCATCGTTGCCTGCTTTGTGAAGGATGGTCTCGATGATTTGAGGGATTTAAGAGTGGGCATGGGAGAAGGCGAGGGGGGATTGCACGTACGAACTTGGCCATGAGGGCAACCATGAGATCGAAGAGACCAATGGCCTCGACGAAGGCGAAACCCAGAATGGCGTAAGAGAACAGCTGGCCACGGAGGGCAGGGTTGCGGGCAACACCGTTCAGGAGAGCGGCGAAGACGAGACCGATACCGATACCAGCACCAGTCAGACCAATGGCGGCGGAACCCATACCCAGGTTCTTGGAGACCTCAACGAGGGCGTTGGCCATCTCGGAGCTGTAGGGGCGAGCCTGCTGCTTGAAGGCGGAGCGGGTGGTGGTGTTGATGATGCTAGAGCGCTTCAGGGTCTGGATGGGGCTGGGCTTGGCCATGCCTGTGGGAAGAAAGAGTTTTCTCAGCACCGAAACGGGAGCTACACCTTACGGACAACAACAATGGTCTTGCAAACCCAAATTGAGGTCTCGATAGATCTCAATTGGGGTTCTGGGAATATTGGGTCGATGACGTTTCGAGGTCGACGAGTTGTGTGCGACGATAAGCTCGAGATGGATGGGGTTGCCTTACCAGTGATGGTGCGCTTGGAAGCGTTGGCGACCTGCACACGCATGGCGGGAGCGGCCTTGGTGGCCATGGACGAGGCCAGGCGGGAGGCGAGGACACGGGTGGCGGCCATTTCGACTGATGGAGAGGAGAGGGGATGGGAAGAAAAAAAGAGAAGCTGTTGATGAAAAGGGAAGGATTGGGCAAGTGTGCTGATGGCTGGGAGCTCAGAGCTGCTTGGTGTGGAAGAGTGAAAAAATGAGAGTGGGAAGGGAAAAGGACAGAGCGGAGGTCAGGTGAAATCGGGTGGGACGGAGACCCGATGCTGGCTGGCTGGCAGTGGCACAACTCAAGGAAGATTCACCCACAACCGTGTGAAGTGATATCATGAGCCAATTAGCAGCCCAGGAGGCAGCACACGAACCCACCGCTAGACTCGAGGCTGTGGATACTATATCCCAGCCAGCACCCAGCGAGGGAAAAAATGCCGCCCCGAGGCCGCAAGCATCTGTTGCTCGGGCGATATCGGGACCAAAGGAATATTTGAAAAGGAAGCTTGATCCCTCGAGAAAAAAAAAAAAGAGAGAGAGCCAGGGCCTGGGACCAACTCACTCACTTCCCTACGGCCGGCTTGCTGCCAACTTGGCACTGGGCTGCTGACACGACTCGTGGCCGAGGAGAGTGCTTATCCTATCCGACCTTGCAAGCTTGTATCTCGGGGCAAACGATGCACAGCAGTGATCACACATCCACTCATCCGTCCATTCTCAGCGATTGCTTCTTGAAAAGCAAAAAAACCAACACAAACCATTTCTTCGGAACGGACCAACACTGTCACCTGCTGACTTGACGCCTTCGGTCATGATTGCAGCTGACTGTACAGAGACAGCAGAGATTTTCGTTGGAATTTGATATGCGACAGACCCCCACGGCCGAACCCTTGTATGCGGCTAGAAAAAGATGCGGCCGGCTCTCCCTGCCATGCGGTTCCTGCGTTTGCGCCGTGCAGAGAGACATGTCAGACACACATGGGGAGCTCGCTTTCAGGGGATCTCCGGCTGTAACGCAAAGGCTGAGTAAGACTGCAGCTGGCTGAGATGTCTCGTATGTGTCGACCTGCTACATGCCTTTTTATTTTATATTTTTGGGTGCTTGTTTTCTTCCACTAGTCTGTGTGCTTGCTACTCCTTGATACCCCTTTGCTTCCCCCTGTGATATGGCGTCAGAGCAGTTCGACAAGATAAGGGCCAAGACGAAGACCAAGGGAAAGACGTTGCGAAAATTGCAGCGGTTCTGCACATGATTCGGCATCTCTTCTCCTTGTCTCTTTATTTCAGGTGACCTCTCTCCAAGCATGGGCTGCGCAGAGCACAGACAATGTCCGCATGCGACAGTCCGAGATTTCTTGAGAGCTCGCAGGTAAGCTTCCTTGAGGAAATTAGGAGGAGTGGGTCTATGATGCCAACGCTTTGGTTAGTACTGTAAGCTGTTTCGCTGAAGATGGCGGTTTGCGACACAAGAGAAAATTTTTTCCTACCAAAGCTTTCGCAATCCCGCGATGTCCCGTCATCCCGCTACGCCGGCCCCCCCAAGAAAAAAGAAACCACCCACCCCTGCTGGGATGGCCCCCCCCGGGCTTATGATGCGCACCCCTGCTCCACAAGCGCCTTGAAATTTTGGAGCCTCGTTTCTGAGGCTGACTGCTGTTACTATGTAAATACTATTCATGGCGTTTTGACTTAGCCTCAACTACCGCCTGTAGGAAAAGTTAAATTCACACTGGCCACTGGTTCATCCTTTGAACCATGCTTTCAGGCTCCTTGCTCTACAAATATATGTTCTTATTCTACGACTCTGTCCTTTGGGTCACCTGTCTTACCGTCAGCAGCAATCCTCCGGCTAGAAGGATACGCCGACCTTTTGTTTTTGGGGAGGCGGGAGGGGGAGGGGGCGCTGTGACCCCGAATGAGTGACGCACCCTAGAAAGCTGCTTAGCTGGCGACCTCATAAGTAGGTGGCCAACAGCCGGAACTAATATAGCGTATGTTCTATACACCATTGATTGCATCGACCTATGCACCATGGAAACTTAAGTTTTGCATATGACAACTCACAAACAAAGGTGAACTTGTTCATCTTCTGTTCTCTTTTCCCAGCTACGATGATGTGTCTACGCTGCTGCGGGATTATCAAACACTACAGGCGCAGGTGACTTCATGTGTGGTCTTTGAGCGTCGGCTCTCATAGGAATCACCTACTGGACACTGCAAGGCATACCGAAAGCTATGCTACATATTTTCTGGGATCATGGGTAGGGCTTCACCGCACGCAGCTTGTCTTATCCTGCACGGACCATGAGGTCCTTCCAAAAGGCCACTTGTTGGCGGTACACTCTGCCTACAGGTTGTGTATATTCGGTCCACTTGCTGTGATATAAATCGCCCAACCCTTCAGGTATTATTACTTCGTGTCCTCCTGCCCTTAACATGCTGCTGTCTTCCTGGCACAGAAGTACAGCCATGGAGGCTACTCTAAAACGTCAACAACCCCAGGAAAACATCCCGCGCGAGGGCGATCATGGGTTGAGCTGTTCTAGACCGTCTGTCAGAACCGTTCTGACATGCGACTATCTCAAGAAAAGCATGTAGATTCCCCCCAGGATCTAATCCTCTCCGGGTGTGGTATCGCGTGCCCTCTTTCGACTGGGACTAATGATGCTGTCTGGTCACCTCCAACGCACTCGGGGCTGGCATGTAGGAGCATAGGTATTTCCCGTTTCCGGCTTTGGGGTAGCAGCAGCAGCAGCAGCAATCTGAGGTAAGATGACGTTTACCCTCTGGCAACGTATGTCACATTGCCCTCCTACTTGCTATTTATTCGTTTCAATCTTCGTTGGGCAACCAGTCGATTGAAATGCTAGAAGAGATCTCCTTTGGGAATACCAGTCTCAATCCATGCATATATCCAGAGCCCTCTCGTTTAAGAGTGGGTGATGGTAATTCCCCATAGCGGGCCATGCAGCGCTAACGTCGCGGGCCGCACGCGTGGTCGAGAAAGACAAAAAAAAGTTCCAAACAGGGTTGCAACGGCTTTCCCTTCTGGAAAAAATAGACGAATTTGTTCAGAGAACAGAAAACCTCCCAAGGTCAAGCGTGATATTGCAGAGTCCAGAGAACGGACAAAAGGCTAATTCCCTCTCTCCCTCGGGCGGATTTGCGTGCTCGAACCCTGAACTTCTTAATGTCACAAGCATACTCAGGTAACAGTCGGTGTATACCTCGAGCACGTTTCAGCTAGTGGAGGGACTCTCTCTACCTGTTCGAAGCACCCTCGAGTTCAAAGGGGAACAAGTCTTGACCATGAGCTCCATTTATCCATCTCTCGATGCACGAGGCTTTCGTTTGTAGCTCTGCACAGTTAAGGAGAAACGTATGAGCTGAGCACGTGGAAGTGGCTGAATGAGTGTTGAGATTGAATCTATCTAATACAAAAGGAAGATCTTCTAAGTAACTAAACCAGGCTCTGAGATGGTTTATGAGGAGACCAAAACAGAGGGTTAGGGTTAAATATGCCCCATTTTTCACACACCCCCCATCTGACTGGTCAGATGTGCCAGAAAAGTGGGTCTTTTGTGGGGTCCCCGCAGACGCGTTTAAGCTTATGTGGGCGCGTTTTACAGTCGCCTTGCCTCCTTCCAGTCCTCTTTCTTTTTCAACCAGCTCTTTTTCCATCTGTTTTCAAGGTTTTTGAAAGCCTCCGCGCGTCAATATGCCTCTTCTAGTCACTCCAGATTTCTCGTCAGGCGAGTCTGACGTTTCTGTCCCTCTCAGCGAGCTCAGTATGGCTGTTTCCGATGACAGCGACTCTGCTGAGGGCGAGATCCATGTGGCCTCTTCTGGTCCTTCTCCCGATGTGGAGACTGATGAGGATCCCTTGGGTGCAAACCCCAGCTCCCCTGCCAGTGTGTCTGAGTCGCATGGTGGTCCCTCGATGGCCACAGAGAAGAGCGCGAGCCCTGTTCAGCCTGTCTTGATTCCAACCGCTGGTCGGCACCCTCTTCCTGATGTGAGTATAGAAAGAGCTGCCTGGGGATTGGTATGGGCTGAACTGATTGTTCTTGTTTCCAGGGACGGCGGTCTGGCCTGCCTGCTTCAAGTCCTCAAGCTCCGGTCGAGTCGTCTGCCGCTCGTGCTGATACCCTGATTTTGCGTCCTTCGGTCGATGGTGCCTCCGATTCAGTCGGTGTTGGTCTTTCCAAGCGCTCTGGTGCTGGTTCTACGGGGATTTCTAGCCCGTTTATCGATGACGACGACGATGATGATGAAGACGGCTCTGTGCTCCTTCAGGAGGCGCCCAAGACTGTAGGTTCGCACCGCTTTTTCTTCCAATGTTTACCTGGCTGACCCTTTTTCAGGCTTCCGGTAGCCTTTCAAGTTCTGGGCCAGTCGCAACAAGGCCTGTCACCGAGCAGGGTATGGCTCGTTTGAGGTCCCAGGATGCGTTGATGCAGGAGCTTCAGCAGGAGCGCCTCGATGTGGCTGCTGGAGACGCCGCCAAGTTGAGGACTCCTCGGTCGCGAGCCAAAAAGACTTTTCCAGTGGCCACCCCTTCCAGTACTCCCGCTGCAGGTTCCTCGAAGAGCCAAGACGATGCTTCCTGGGGTGCTGTTCGCGATGTTCCATGCATTGGCTGTATCAAGAGTCTGGCTGCGAGCGGCTCTGATGGTTCCTGTCACGACCAGAAGGACTCATCTGCTGCTCGCTGTGCTCGGTGTTCGAAGGGTCACAAGTGTATTCCGGTCCCTTTCTACCTCATGCCTTTTGTGGACGAGCTTTATATGGCCAAGCGTGCGCTTGCTTCTGCTGAGGAGATGGATGCTCCTACGCCCTCGAAGAAAAGGACGCGCGCTGGAGTGGAGAAGGAGAACTCCACTCTCAACCTTGCTCCTCTGGGGACCCGATCCAAGCATGCTGTGTGGGCTTAGAAAGCTGCTCTTGAGCATTTTGAGGCGGGCAAGTTTTCGGAGGTTGACGAGCTGCAGAAGCAGATTGAGGCGCTCACGGAAGAGCGTGATGTGCTCCTTGCTGAGCAGGAGGCTGATCGTAAGGAGGCAGTTTCACGCTCTGCCAAGGAGGGGAAGGCCGTGGTTTCGGCTAAGAAGAAGGGAAAACAAGCTGCCGTTCAGTCTGTCTCGCGCTCTGTCGATGATCATCCTGTCGAGTCTTACCGTGAATGGCATCTGAAGCACGAGAAAGCCAAAGCTGATATCGAGGCAGTGCTGGCTACCCTTCACCCCCCACCTAAGGAGTGAGCCCTGTTCAGGCTTAGGTGTGCTCTAGGCTTTGGTGGATGATTGGGTTTTTTGTGGTTAAGTCCTTTGG